GGTCGGTGTCACCAAGGTCGGTTCTGGGGAATGAAATGAGTGAAATCAAAGTTATGATATAGTGAATTGGTTCACGGTGTTAAGAAACATTACCAATTCGGGGTCGGGTCCTTGCTGACGTCCTAGTTATTCCAAGGTCTGCTAGTGTTTGCTGGTCGGTCTCCGAGGTCGGGGGTGTTTGCAGCTGGGAAGTTTTTCTTTTGCGCGTGGGACCCCCAGATCCGATTCCCGGGGCGGTTGTTTGTTTTTGGGTGCTAGTATGTATCGCCGCCCCTAGAACCAGTCCTTGGGGAGGGAGGAGTACGTTCAGCAACCGACCCTCATCAGGGGATATCAGGGACCATACGACCGACCACCATTCATTGAAAGTATCTACACTCTCAGGGTTGGAGCGGAAGGGAATATAAGAATTGGAAATTATATACGTGGTAAGCTGGGAGATATAAGAAGGGATTGAATTAGGAAGGACTCGTCGGTCGGGACTTTGAAAAATTATTTGGGGACCCGCGACGGGTCCGGGGATACCTTGGCAACAGCCGAACTGACGCGCCATGAATTGAGGTTCATAGTTAAAAGTGTAAAAAGTTTTCTGCCCTTTTTTATCAAGTTTCTTGCTACTAAAAAGAGACCTGGGTTTGAGGGCGACGTCCCAGGCGAAAGGATAGGTGGGATGAGGACAAGGCTCAGGAGTCGGAAGCGGGTTTGGTACTGGAAAGGGCCAAAAATGGTCGGGAGCATAACCCGCATACTTTTTATACATAGAAAATCGAGAGTTACTGCGGGTATCTGTTAAAATGGCAGTTATTATTGGATCGGATGATTGGAGTTTATTGCGTCCTGAGCAGAGTCGGTTGAGGACTAATCCTAAATGTTTTTCAGATGTTGGCATAGTGGGCGGAGATCCTAAGTTAAACGCGTTGGGAAAGTAAAGACGGAACCAAAGTTCTAAAAACCAAAAAGGACCCGACGCGGCAGTGTCTAATTTCCTATTATCGTTATCTGTTAAACGAAGGCTAACCCGGGTGAGTCCTTCAAACAGATTGGCTAAAAATAGGGTACCAAGGGAGAAGAACCGACCTGACGCAATATGAATGGCCAGGTCGAGGTGAGAAGGAAGAACACTTTTGGAAGGAGAAACAATGATGTACCTACAAAGCCAGAACAGAATAAAGGCAGTATGCTCCCGGTCGGTTACAGGAGTCCCTGGAGCCCCTTGCTGGTCGGTTGCGAACTTTGTCCAACCCCATTCCTTCACACCTTGTAAAGACCATCCCGGATGGTCTTCTGATGGCTCCTGCCCATCTAGGGCTCCCATTACAGGGTCTTCACCCACGACTGGGAGATGTGCGATCATGGCCACGTCCATAAGGGTTGGGCCAAAGGGGGCCGAGGGCAAAAGGAAAGTCCCATTTTCCGCATTCCAGAAGGCGGACATGGCCAACAACACCTTCTCATGCAGGTTGATAGGCATGGTAGACAGTAGTATTGCTTGGTCGATCTTTTGGGATCGCCATTGGGTCTGGAAGTGTTCTGCTACTCGTCGATACCAAGCACGATACAGATCTTTTGGGTCTGTGAGATGGGTCTTGATGCTGTCTCGGATGCGAACTGCTTGGTAGTTGGGATTGTTGATAGCCAAGGCGTTGCGAGTTTCCAAAACTTCCCTCATCCGATTTGAATCTTCGGGAGTAGTGCAATATGGACGGATCGTCGGAGTTAGTACTTTCGAGGCTGAAAATGGACCTTCTGGAAGGGTTCCGTCGAAAGGAAGGGCAGGAATGTATTGATTCGCCATAGTTAGAATGTTTTGGGATTGTGATTCACACAGGCTTGTATTGCGAAGAAGGAATAAACCAGGAGTGTTGCAGTAACTGGTGTAGTTGCTAAGGGAGTTTCTCGAGAAGGTAGTGCTTTATGAACTTCCAAACATTTATTGGCGTTTGAAAGTCCCTTGGCGGCGGGCAAGTTGTTACGTACGAAATTTAGAATTAGGTTAAAAGCCCAAGGTAAAACGAGGAATGGGCCTGGCAATAGGGTTGATTGAACTGGCTGAAGGACACCGTGAGGAAATCAAGGAAAATAAATTTATTTATTTATTTCTAAGAAAATTTCAGGACGGAAGGTCTTCAGGTCGAGAGGTCCGCAAGACGGAAAGACCTCAAGTCGGAAGGTCTTCAGGTCGGGAGGCCCTCAAGATGAAAGACCTCAAGTCGGACGGTCTTCAGGTCGGGAGATCCGCAAGACTGAAAGACCTCAAGTCGGACGGTCTTCAGGTCGGGAGGTCCGCAAGACGGAAAGACCTCAAGTCGGAAGGTCTTCAGGTCGAGAGGTCCGCAAGACGGAAAGACCTCAAGTCGGAAGGTCTTCAGGTCGGGAGGCCCTCAAGATGAAAGACCTCAAGTCGGACGGTCTTCAGGTCGGGAGATCCGCAAGACGGAAAGACCTCAAGTCGGAAGGTCTTCCGGTCGGGAGGTCCGCAAGACGGAAAGACCTCAAGTCGGAAGGTTTTCAGGTCGGGAGGTCCGCAAGACGGAAAGACGATGAGTCGGAAGGTTTTCAAGTCGGGAGGTCCTCGAGACGGAAAGTCGTTGAGATGGGATATCCGCAGGTCGGGTAAACTGTAGGTCGGATAGAAGGAGGAGTCGGACAAACACGGAGGCCTTTGATCAAAGACAGGGGGCGGTTGATATGGAGGTCGGCCCAAGTGGGGTCGGGCGAAGAAGTAGGTCGGACGAAGGACGAAGTCGGGCCAAAAGAGCGGAAGGTCTGTGGTCGGCTCAAGGAGTGAAATATAGGGAATTTTGGTCTGCTGGGGACACGTGTCAGCATAAGAAAGGTTGGAAGACGGTTGAGAAGGAGACGTTGTAACCGTTCGGGTGACGGTTTTCAGTACGGTTTCCCAGGGAATATTTAAGGATTTGGATCATCATTTGGCAAGGAATCTTCAATCAACTTCAACAAAGCAAAGTCAGATTTGGGGATCACCACTTTAAATTTCAGTCTTTTATTTTCCAGTTTATTTTCTGTACCGTACAGTGTTTAGAGATTCCTAATCTCAGGCACTAATTAATCAAGTTTAAGGATATTTTCTATATCTTTGAATTTTACTTTATTTTTGTTGAAAAATTACATCAACAACTTTTTTTAAAAACTTATAAAATTAACAGATTTGTAAAAATGTTTTGGCTCTTGCTTCACCTGCACAAAGCTCTGTTCAGGTGCTTCTATATTTTGGCTTTCAAAACTGAGTCACTACGTCTTTATTTATTTGACATGAATAAAAAAGACTGGTTAGACCTCCACTACAATAGTTATGTTTATCATTTTTGTCAGTTCTAAAATGATAGTCTTATTTTCATAAATAACTATATCATTATAAAACTATCATTACGTTTTCATTATTATTACATAATTGTCACTACCTTTTACACTAATACACTTATAAAGGCAAAAAAGTTTTTTACCCGTACTTTTTATCCATTACCCATATAATATTAATATTCTTTAAATCCCGTATCAAACACAACTCAGACTATAGTTTTGGGACGGAGGGAGTATATGTTTAAAAATTTTCGGGGAAATAACGAAATTGTCTTATTGATCATCAAAATAAAGGGCTTGTATACAAACAATACAAAACGACTGATAGACTCAAATTTAAGTAATATAATATACGGATAAAACTAAATATAAATAAATCTATTTAATCTAAAATCGAATATCTAAAATATCTCAACAATATGAAAAGTCATCTATAGACAATCTTTTGTTTTTGTCTCGGTATATTTTCCATGAGAGGATTCTTCGTCCCTTTCTCTTAGCAATGTGTGAGAGCTTTACAAAATGTATAAATGATATTATCTACTATAATCACAAAAATAAACAAATATTATAGCGATTGCGGGTTCTTATATCATAAATAAATAAATTGTGGAGTTATTTTTGGCTAATGACAAGTGAGGCCAATAATGCACAAACCTGCACAATCCGAAACCCGAACCAGATCCGATCTTCTATGAAACCGGCAGTCCACAGCTGAACCGAACCCGGTCCAGTGGCTTATATATAAAAGGGCAGGGGGGCCCGGTTTCTGAGACACACAGACTCTCACTCTCACTCTCGCATTCTCTCTCACCGACTCTAAAATCTTCTCTCTGAAAGTCCTACCTTGTGACGGTGATCGAGCGATCTTCCTTGAGTCTTCTCCGATGATCTGTCCGGCGATTCGACTGAGTTCCTTGATAAACAGATTGTGCTGAGGCTGTTCTTCGGTTCGATTTACGATTTCGAGCATTCCTTTACAGTGTATTGATTATATTGTCTGTTGGGAGGGATTAGACTTAAATCGTTGGTGTTTTCGTTAGATCGTAGTTTGGTTCGTATGTTTGTTGCGTTTCCGTGGATGTCGGCTGTGTTTAGGTTGTTATTGTGCATTACAGTAAGTGTTGAGATCGATATTAGATTGGGTAAACTGAGTCCGAGCATTTGCTTTTGTTTAATAAAAAATTCTTTAAATTTTTGATTTAATTCGTGTGTTTCTTATATATATATATATATATGACATATTGATCTTAAATGTGTAACAACATAAATAAATAAATAAAAATAAACACTATATGCATAAATCAACAATATAAGAACATTATATATAAATTAATAATATGAGATATATATTTATATAATACAAATACTTCCTCATTCTCAAAACTATAGTTTAAATTGTGTTTAACACGAGATTTAAAAAATATTGATATTATATTAGTGGTGGGTAAAAAATAATAACAATTGTGAAATAATAATAAAAAAAATAAAAATAATTTTACAATGATATGTTTTGAAACGGATAAAAATAATAAACAGGATTATTATATTGGAACGGAATGGCCATAACCTATCTATCTAGATAATATGTAACGCTGAACTATATACTTTAATTTGATAGTACTCTTACCTAAGTAATAAGATCACATCTTTCAATAGATTTTAACATTTGTTCAATCATTTCTCCCACACCATTTCAACATAGAATATATTTCATTTTTAAATAAATTCAAATTTATTGACCCTTTATGATCATTGTTTCGATGTGAAAATAGAATTTGTAAAATTAATTAATAATAATAATATTTTGAATTAAACTAACCTCCAAACCATTGCATATTCCATACCAAATTCTAACTTACCAAAAACACACAACAATTCTAACTTCCAAGAGTTACCTTCTCCGAACTTGTACCTATTTTTATCGTCGATTCCGATTCCAATTCCGGCGGCGGCGCCACCGTATTCCGTTCGCCGAGTGGTTTTCCGGCGAAGCCTCGATCCACCATCATCCGATTTATCTCGTCGTGCTTCTTCAGCTGCCCCGATTTCCTCAGCTCCCGCATTACCATCTCGTAAAGCGCCGGGCTCGGCCTCAAACACCTCTCCTCGACCATCTGCCGGAAATATTTGTAAGCATTGTTCCAATGCCCGATCGAACAAAACATCAATATCAAAATCTTGAAGCTGTTGGCATTCGCCTCGACTCCAATCTCATCCATCTCCTTCCACAACTTGATCGCCATATCGTTCGACTTCGTCTCCACGAACATCTGCATCAAAATATTGTATGTAACAGTATTTCCCCTGCATTTCATTTCGTTCATCTTCACGAACAAATGGTGCGCCGCGTTCACATCCTTGTCACCAGCGATCAGCCGGAAAATCGGATTGAACGTCGATGGATTCGGGGCGCACCCTTTCTTGGCCATCGTGTTGATCACCTTGATCGCCTCGTCGCGATTCCCGTCCTTGCAGTGAACGGCGATCAAGAAATTGTATGTGATCGCGTCTGGCTCGACTGATAGTCGCTTCATCTGGTTGTACACTTGCAGCACTTTGTCGGTCCTCCCGGCTTTCGCGTGGACGCGCATCAAATTGTTGAATGTAACCGTGTTCGGCGAGCATCCCACTTCGAGCATCTCGGCGAACACGTCGTGGGATCGCGCGATCTGCCCGCAACGACACAATGCGTCAATCACGATTGTGTAGGTGTATACCGTTGGCTGAATTCCGGCCATTTTCATCTCCCGGAACACCTTTTCGGCCTTGCCGATATCGCCGGCGCGGCACCAGCCATGGATCAAGCTTGTGTAGACGACAACATCGATCTCGAATTTGTGTTTCAGGTTATCGAAAAATGCTTGTGCTTCTGCTGCTCTTCGTTTTCTCGACAGCATTCCGATCACTATAGAGAATGATTTCATATCAGGTTCGCAACCGTAATCCTGCATTCTGTTAAAAGTGTGCACAGCTTCCGCAACCATTCCGGCGCGGATGTATCGACGGATTAGAATCGAAAATGTTTCCAAGGAAATTGGAATGTTCTGAGATTTCATCGAATCGATTAACTGCCAAGCTACGTTGAAGTGGCGTACCTTTCCGGAGAGATCGATCATCGAATTGAAGAGGTCTAGGGTTTCGGAAGGTTCCAGAGACGATTTCGCCCAATTGAAGAAGGCTAGGGTTTGGGGGAAGGGTATGCCGTGGCGAGGAGCTTCGCACTTCTTCACTACAAATTCAGCCATGGCGGGGGACGGAGGAGAGTGGACGGCGGCGATTTTGGAGAACTCGATTGAGAGCGGCGGGAAGGCGACGTCGAGGCTCGGCGAGGTTTTGTAGTTTAAGAGGAGGTTAGGGTTGCTGCGATGGTGGTGTATGATTGCGTAATAGAATCTATTGGCTACAGTCATTTCCTCCGGCGTAAGCGGAGGAGCGGCGGCGACCGGAGCTCTCCCATCGCCATCCTCGACGCCGACCAAGTCGATTTCCGGATCAACTACGGGAGAGGACGAGGATAATAGTCTGATGTTGTTTCTGCTCGGGAATTTTAGTCGGCCAGTCGTTCGGGCGGCGAGCGCCATTGCAGTCGGCGGTGGCGGCGGCGGCGAGAGAAGGAGTGAATGAATCAGGGAAATGAAATGCAAAGTAGCGGGTAAACTGGTAAGCCTATAGTCCAAATGTTATTAATTAAAGCCAAAGCCCAAACACAGGCCCAATCATATATTATATGATTATTAAAAAAAATTGAAAAACAAATACTTCCTTAGTCCGAGTGAAAATTATCTATTTTGACATTTCTTAGTTCGAGACGAGATGAAACTGTTTATTTTGTCATTTTTGTTTTTTCAAATAAAATACTCCATCCGTCTCGGAACAAGGTTGTCGTTTACTTTTTGCACGTACATTTTTTAATATTAGTATTATAATCGATTGTGGTGAAAAAGACGAAAATACCTCCATAAGTATTGTGTAATATAAAAGTAATGATATATGTATAATATAGTGTAAGTTAAAAGTAGATATATAGTACAATTACTAAATTAGAAAATAGTAAACTTGTTTTGGGACGGACGAAAATAAAAAATAGGAACCTTTCAATTGGGCGGAGGGAGTATACTCTTTTTAGCCAATGATAAAGTATATATATATATATATTTTAAGTATAATTTAAAAAGTAATAATATTTTAATTGTTGTGGTTAGTTAAAAATAGTTTAAAATAATATTTTTGTGTAAAAATAATAATGCTATAGTAAAATATGGATATTTGTGAAAAAAAAAAAGAGATATGTAATGAAATAATTATTTCATAATTGGATAAATTAAAATAAAAATATATATACCGGAGGGTGAGGACGGAATGAGTATTTGTAGTTATTCTTTCAATATCATTAATGTTTAAAGGGAAAAAAAAAAAAACCTTAATACCGACTTATTTATAAAATATTAATATACCTAAATTTGTTAGCAAAAGTCAAATGAATGTCATTGACTCAGACAACGAAATTATATTATATAGTTATTTGATTTGATATAAATAAGTATGAAAAGTTTAAGTTACAAATTTAAATTTTAAATGGTAAAATTTTGATTCGAAATATATATTTAATACGATATAAATAAATATTGAAGTAATATTTGAGCATAAAATTATATTTTTTTTGTTAGTATAAATATAAAAAAATAAATATTTATTTTGAAATTCTTTAAAGAAAAAAAGTTGAAAAATAATAGTACAATTGAGATTTTAAAACCGTCCATTTCTTTTGATCAAAACTCCTAATTTTTTAGTATTTGAATTTTATATTTTTTGAAAAAATATATATTTTTTTTTTACAAAATATTTTATTAAATATTATTTTAATATTAAATTTAAATTAATTTTTTTTTCAAATCAATAAAAAGAAACTCACTTTTGTAAAAAAAAATAATCATAAAAAATAAACATATATGAGACAGTGTTTCTTTGACAAAATTTTTTAAAATTTTATTATTTGAATTTTGTATTTTTTTAAAAAAATATTTTTTAAAAAAAAATTAACATTAAAATAAAATATTGTCTTTTATATTATTTTTATAATGTTTTATATTCCATATTAAAAAATAAATAAAATTTCAAATCAAAACGCTAAATAAGCAAACCCATAGTCTTATATGGTGCAATAAAAATCCTTACATTGCGATTGTCGCGCCGGATTAGGACTATGTTTCGACAACAACATTTGTACTTTTATTTTTTCTACTTTTTATATTTAAAAAAAATTAATTAAATGATATATAAATGTGTAGTATTTAGAATTACAAATTGATATTAACTATTATTTAATTTTATTTTTTAAAAAATAATTGTTGATTGATTAGTGAAAAGTAAAGAAATAAATTTATGGTTGTTCCAATTTTTCCTATTTTGGCAAAGGTTTCTCTTTCTATCTCTCTCTCATAATTATGATTTATAGTGAAATAAAATAAAGTTAGATTGGTAGTAATAGGTTTTACTTTTAAATTTTAAGTGTGTATTTGATTTGTGTTTAAAATATAAATACTATTCAATTCTTATACTTTTAATTTTTTTTAAAAAAATATATATTAAATTCAAATTCAAATATAAAATTGAAACTCAAATTAAAATAAAACCAAAAATTAGAAAAATAAATAAATAAATACTTGTAAAATAATTCTTGAATATGATGTTTTATACTGAAAACTATCACTAAAAAAAAGTAATATATCTGTAACGGAATTCCGTCTTTAAAGTTCACGTAATTAATATAATTTCATTCATAATTCCGTGAGACAAAAAAATTTTGTTACAAAAATGATTTATATAAATATTTTTAAAAAACAATTATAAGATTATATTGTTCTTTTTTTAAAAAAAAAAACTAATAATAAGCATATATAATCATAATTTTACGTGGGACGACTTGAATTTGTTTAAAATAAATTTTATATATATATATATATATATATGTAGCTATCCACACGAATGTAAATGTATGACTTTTTTTCCCACTAATCATCATTCTTCGTGCACCTAAATACCAATTTAAAATTAATTACTACAACAATCTATTTTAGCTGTCAAATGAGGTGAGGATTCAATTTAACATTGCTTGCTTTTATTGCATTCTTCACCCCAAATATATTTTTTTATTAAAAAAATACACAAAAGTCTTTCTTAATATGTAGAGCCCGCAATGGTCGATTAGTGTCGGGTTGAATACTTTAAATTGGCTAAATTATTCAATCATAATCACACCCGTTTATTATCGTGTCGGGTTCGTGTCAATCCGTATACATAATCGGGTTGAAATTTTTTATCCAAACCCAATTATTTTGTATCGGATTGTTATATTAGGTCAGTTTTTGTGAGCTCTATTAATATGTACATATGCATACGTGTATATATATATATACTTTTTAAATATAATACTTAAATTTACATACTATAAAAAGAAAAGGAGTGCTTGTTCATGTCTACATCGTACCATGCAATAAAATATTAATTACTATTTTTAAAAAAATATATATATACAACGTGTATATTTAAAACTTATTTCTATTACAAAAATAAAATTTAAGATGACCCAATACAAATCCAACAAGACCCAAATTTTTTAAGGGTATGTTTGTTTGGGGTTTGGATTTTGAGTTGGGATTTGAATAGTAAAAATTTTGAATTTGAATAGTTTTATGATGTGATATAAATAGGTGTTGATGTGATGTTTTGAATGTAAAATTGATTTTTAGTATAATATAAAAAATAAAAAATAGGTATTTGATTTGATGTTTTTGGGGGAAAAAATTGGATGAATAATGTAAATCCAATCAAATGTCCCAAACAAACACACCCTAAGTGTATGTTTAAGTTAAGGTCTTGTTCACGTCTCAAAAGTATTTATCATTTTTTAAATTCCTCTCGGAATTATAAGATGAAACTAATATTTATTTATTTATTTTATAATAAATCATTTTTTCATTCAAAATCTCAACTCAAATATCTATTTATATAACATCAAATACAATTTCAAATAAATTTTTTAAAATTCCAAATAAAAATCCAAATTACTTTCAACAACACACCCTAATAAAAAATTTTAAGTGCACAAATTTTCAACTCCTTTATTGCTTGTATAAGATCACTTTAAACAATAATTTCATTCAAAAAATCAAAATCACACACACACACACTACGTGTGTGTATATATATATATATACCAAAAACAAATATTCCCTCCGTCCCATTGAAAGGTTACCATTTTTTTTTCCGTTCGTCCCAAAACAAGGTTACCATTTTCTAATTTAGTAATTGTACTACCTACTTAGAAATAAATACCCTTTTAAACTTAAAATATATTACAGGTATTTGTCTTTTTACTACAATCTAATATAATACTAATATTAAAAAATCTACTAGTAAAAAACAAACGCCACCCTTCCAACGATACGGAGGGGATAACAGTAATAACACCTACATATTTACAGTCATTATTTACAATTTGTAGAATCTTTTTTGTAATTTTATAATTGAGTACATATTCATATATTCTGAAAGGAGCATTTTATGACTGCAAAATGATGTTACATCCACATCACTAATTATTATAAATAAATAAAATAAAATAAAAGGGATTCTTGAGCTATATATGAAATGATGATGCAAGTGAATAAATGAATTACAAAAGGCTCCCACCACATTTTTTCTTACCTGCAAAATATTAATTGATCAAGGCTCACAATCATCAATATTGATCTCCTAACATACATACATAATTTATAATCCTAGGACAAAAAAAAAAAACATTCCTCTTGATTCTAGTTCCTAATTTATTTCACAATAAATAAAAATAAAAATAAAAATAAAAGCATGCATACAAGGATTCATGAAATGATGTAATGGAAATGGAAATGGTTCTGAGCTACATATGTAACTGATTAATTGAAATTAATTAATTAATTAATTAAAGAGATTAGTTCATGAAATGATGACGATGATCAATCACCTGATGAGCTGAGAGCTAGGGCTGCTGCAAAAATGGCGGATTTAAGTACTTTCCATGATCAATTGTTCCTGCGGGGGAGGAGGAGTTTTCTTCGAAGACGATGATGTCTTGTTGTTGTGCATCCACACTTTAAAGACCTGTCTTTTTACGCCTACCTCCGAGCAAAACCTCTGCACCTCCGAATCGTCTTCCCGAGGAATCCGCCATCCCAATTTCTCTGCAAATTCAAGCATTTTTTCCTTCTGCTCCGCCGTGAATTTTGTCCGGAACCGTTTTCGGCCGCCGAATTGGGGCGGCGGAGGGGCGAGACCGCCGCCGCCGCCGGTGTTGAAATTGAGTTCGTCGCTGGAGGAGTCGGTGCCGGCGGAGGGGGCGCCGCCGCCGCCGCTGCCGAAGGCAATTTTGAGGGGTTGGACGACGGAGCCCCAGTGGGCGGCGGCGGCGGCGCGGTGTTGGCTCATGGAGGGAGACGGCAGCGGCGGGGGCAGCTGGAGGGGGTGGACCATGGCGGCGGCGGTGGCGGTAGCGCCGGAGGGATCGCCGGGGTGCTCCTTCCGGTGGAAGTTCCGGTGGCAGTTGCAGGCGGCGCATTTTAGAGCTTCTAGGGTTCCGTCGTCGCCGCTGGGCATGAACTCGCCGCAGCCGTCGGTGACGTGGCCGCCGATGGTGGCGGCGTGGTTTTTGAGGCATTCGCGGTAGCTGATTCTGGGCCGGGAAGATTTGGATCCGCCGGGGTTGTTCGGGTCGGGTCCCCGGGTCGGGCTCATCATTGACGGAGCCGCCGCTGAATTGCTGTAAGCTTGCATTCTCATCATTTCTTTATCTTCCCCAGGTAACGACATTTTTTTTTCAAACTCCCAATTCAGATCTCCACAAACCCTAAAACCCCAAACCCAAATTAAAATAAAACAAAATTAAATTAAATTCACGACTGCACTGTACTAATCAAAGGGATTCCTTCTGCTTGACGATCATCATAACCATCATCATCATCTTCTTCTTCTTCTTCTTCTTCCTAATCCGCAGCAAACCCTAATTCCCAAATTGATCGACGACAAAACCCTAATCAAGAAAACCAAAATTAGAGGCTCTAATCCAGGAATCGAGAGCGTGGGAAAGAGGGGATTAGGTTAGATTTGATTAGAAATCTTTTAACAGTGGAAGGGAGTGTGGAAATGAGTGTGTTTCAGTGGTTCCAACAGCCAACTGAGTATCCAACAAGAGACAGGTTGGTTTCTTGAGAAGAAGCTAAGGAGAGAGAGAGAAACAAAAATGGTTTTGGGGATGAGATAGAGAGAGAAAGGATGAATTGAGTGGGAAACAACTGATGAGATTAACAATCGATCTGAACACAAAAAACAACCGACAATGTCATGTTCGTCCTCTCCCACGCCCTGCCACTTGGTCCCATCCCACCCCTTCATTATTGCCCATTTTCAGGCCAATTCTCAGAAGCTCCCGGGACCTCCATCATCCCACCGTTGATCTACACAATCGACGGCCACAATTCAATCTGGTGCGCCATGCAGTTCCTCCTAAGCTTCCCTCCCTCTTCCTTTTTGCAGTTACTTTGTAAAGAATGACGCCAATAATGTGGCTGGCTGGATGGCTCGAATTATTTCTGATTTTAAATTCATATTTGGCCCTGGATTTGACCCCTGCTCAGCTTTTTTCTTTTTTTTGGACTTAATAATTAGTACTGTTAAATTAAAATTAATTGGAGTATATGGATAATAGGTTGATTGATTAAATAGGTTTAGGGAAATGCAAAATTGCAAAATACAATGCACGTTTCCAGCCATTAATGCAGTATCAGAAGAAATTAATTAAATAAAAAGAGTGACGATGATGACCAGAGAAATGAATTACCCGTTTTGGGATAGGTACGGATGGGAAAGAAATGGCAAAAAAAGAACACTTGCACATTTCCATGAATTTTCTTTTCTTTTCTTTTAATTTAATAAAATCATTATTAATAAATAGGTGGTGTCGAATACTTGAATTTGAATTGAGGTCTGAGCAGAGAAAGAAAAGATGGGCCAATAGTATTTGAGTGATCAGTGAAAATAAATAAATATATATACACATATACATATTGAGAGGGTAGTTTGTATGGCACTGTACTGTATGTATGTATATCTGCAAATTGTGGCAGGGCTCCCATGCTTTTCCCCAAGCATTCTACAATAATAATAACAATAATAATAATAAGAATAATAGTGTCTTCTCTCTCTCTCTCTCTCTCTATGAGACTGATGAGAGAGAGAGAGAGAGGGGTCTGTAAAAATTGCAGTATAGTATAGCATAGCATAGCATGGCAGCAAAACACTGCCATATTTTCTGTGTCATCTGCATTATATGTGTATGTGTTTTTGCTTCGGGACTTGAGGATATATGAAGTATGCAAGTACAGCAGCAAATTACTAAAAAACACCCAACTCAAATTCAGCACTGCCCACCTCTCACCTATATGCCTATGCCTATGGCTATGGCTATATATATATATATTTTTTTAATTTTTTTTTATTTGAAATTGAGATTTAAAGAGTGAAGATTTTAAATTAAAATAATTGTATAATACGATATATATATATATATATATATATATAGATTTTGATAAGATATTTTGAATATAAAAATTAAAGGTTTGACAATAATTTCATTTGTCTAAATAAAAACGTCAAAAAAGTTATCTACAAGTTGGCCCCTATAGCTCAGTGGTAGAGCGTCAGTCTTGTAAACTGAAGGTCTGTAGTTCGATCCTGCATGGGGGCATTATTGTCAATTAATTTTTATTTATTTATTCAGTTTTGGCGCGAAGAACAGCTTGTTCTTACATCACACGACGTCATCCTTACAGAGAAGACAACAAATCGGAAGGACTACTATATCTGGACGACGACTTTAACGTTGCAAGAAAAGTACCGTTACGAAACTCTGTTCTAAACACCACATTCATTTCTCCTCTTTCCAATTTAATCTTAGCAGCCCATCTTCGAATCTTACCCGACGTCGTTTTGGGAATGCTCCCGCTCTGCACAACCACCACCGTTCCTACTTCGATTCCCGCCAAGGAATCTTTTATCCTTTCGCATATTCCCGCCAAAATTATCTTCTCCGCCACCGGTCTCCGCAGCTCAGCCACGACCGTTACACATCCTAACGATTCGAACGCCGCCACGCAGCCGGCTCTGAGCAGCCCTGGGCAGCTGTCGTAAGCCGATGTCTCGATGCGATGAGGATGTATCTCCTGCCCGTCGGCTGCCCTAATTATGTCCGAGCATCGCCCCGTTACGTATAAATATCGTTCGCATGTCGCTATGATGATTCCCCTATCCCCTGTTCGGACAAACGATCGGGTTAAATAGTTTTTAAGCCTCGCATGGAACGTTTCGCGCGATAATGTCGGGTGTCCTAAATAACCGTCGCAATTGCTCGGTGACGAAATCCAAATTTCACCCTCAACTCCATCCTCAACCGGATCGAACGTATCTTCGTTCACGATCACCATCTTGATCTCTTCTTCTATTTCATCCATCTTCGCGCTTGGCAATAGCCCGTCGTGTATCGGGAGATTTTCGCCATTTCCGCTCCGCCAAGCCGTCGACACGAACGTGCAATTCTCGGCGAGGCCGTAAGACGGCGATATGCTCCCGGGACTCAACCCGAACGGCGCGAAAGCTTTGACGAATTCCTCCGTCGGAGCCCCGTAAAGAGGCTCGTTGATGATGATCAAATTCTTCAAACTATCAAGCTTTAACGAACAAGTCCCAGCTTTATTAGTATCCCCGCGCCTTACGACGAGCGGCAAAGCGAACGACGGGACCGGCGTGCACGTCGCTTTATACTCAGTGATCATCTCGAGCCAAATCCTCGGCCGGGTTACGAACGCGCTTGCAGACGTTAACACGCACGTCGCGCCAGATACGACAGTCAGAAGCAAGAACATTAAACCGCAATCGTGGTATTGCGGTAGCCACGAAACGATCACGCTATTCGGGTTAAGATCGTACGCCTTTCTCGCGACCCGAACATTATGAGCCGCCGCGCCGGCCGTTACTAAAACCGGCTTCGGATTTCCCGTCGTCCCCGACGTGTATTGAATCAAATACACTTCTTTCGCTCGACACCCTCGATACGGCGCCGGTAACCCGTCGCCGATTTTCGCCCCCTTAAGCCCCTCCGCGCCGATCCATACAAGTTTCCGTAGAAGTCGAGATACGCGGTTATCATTTTCCGCCTCGTACGACCAAACACAGTCTATATATCCGTTCGTCGCAATCGCGGCCTTCGGCCGCGTTTGCAACACGGCTCTAATAAGGTGACGGTGATCTCCGTCCGGGAACGACGGAGGGGTCACCGGCACCGCGACGAGCCCGGCCCGCATGCATGCAAATACGATCTCGACGAGCTCGAGCCCCGGCGGGCATAAGATCAAAACGGTGTCGCCCCGCCGGAGCGAAAGCGAGAGCCGCGACGAAATCGATTGCACGGACGCGTCGAGGTCCTCGAACGTCATCGACGCGGCCTCGGCGCCGTCGTTGCACCATACGAAGGCCGGCTTGCGCCGGAAGGCCGGGAGCTTGGCCCATATCGGGAGGTAGAGATCGGCGGTGGGTTGGTCGGGGAAGGTGAGGTCGTAATTCTCGAACATCATCGGAATTTGAATTTTTTTTTTATATATATATATATAAAATTAAAATCTGCAGCAACTGCTCTTCGAATAAGAAAAGTTATTAGTATAATTATATATAGGGGCAATGTGGATAGGATTTGAAGTAGCCGTTGGAGCCGCCGGAGTGAAGACAAAATTGGTGGGGTGTGACGTGGCAAATATTCGGTGAATATCCATACGTGGGTTTTGTGAAAAACGTCGTAGGTTTTGGATAGCATTGGTGTCGTGTGTGGGGTTTCATTTGTTTTCTGGAATATTAAGCACTAATTCTCGCATATTCTTTATTTAAAAAATTATTGGGAATAAATAATTAATGGGTAAGCCACGCCTATAGGCTATTACTACTTAACAAATAGTAGGATCATGGAGTCTATATTAGTATAATCCTATTAATTAGGTGTGCTGCTCCTCCAATTTTATTTTATTTTTTTTAATTACTCCCCCTACTGTGTCCACGTTATCGTTTTTGTCATTACACACTTTAATCTGATTTTAAACTTTTTAATTTATTTTTTTTTTAATTTTAATTAACGTAATTAGTTATTTTAATCTTAATTTATAATTATTTATATTATAGAATAATTATTTTTATTAATACATTCTTAATTATCTATTAATTATATTTATTTTAAATTTTCGTGTCTACAGTGACCCAGACATCCAATGTGGGAGTATTATTTTGATTGTCTACTATCAAAATATAATATTCATTGTCCAAATATATGCTCAAATAGCTCTAAAAATCACATTTATCTTTTGTTTTGTTCGTTAATATTTTAATATTAATTATTATATTAATTATTTGTTAAAGATGTTTTAGTTAGTACATAGACAAATTATGAGTTCTATATAAAATATTACCCTCTTTTTTATTTGTCAAATTTATTATTATTATTATTTTAATTTATCCATTAAATTTTGGTCATTATTACTTGTAAGATTTTACGTATGATTTTATTATTTATTTTTTTCTCAAAAAATCAAATTAAATATCTAATTTTTATTTATTTTATTATAATAAAATTTAATTTTACATTTAAAACATCGCATCAATACATATTTATAATCAAAACTCAAAACAAAAACATCACAAGTAAATATAGAGAATTTTTATTTATGTAAAATATTGATAATATGTAAGTAATATAAAAATAATAAGTATGTGTAATATATCTATTTTTTTTAAAAAAAAATGTTGGTATTTTTTTACAAAAAAAAAAACATACCATTTAATTTCTAATTAAATTTTTAAAAATACACTCAATTATCTTTTAATATTTTTAATAAAATATTTATTTTATTTTATTTTATTTTATAAGGCTCAAATATTCTAATCATACCATAGGGAAGTAGTAATATTTAGTAATTTACATATAAAAAAGAAAATAAAAATATACATTTCGAGTTAAGAAAGTACTATTTTAAATATGTTTATGTCAATTATTATGGAATTTTTTTATTTTTAATTTAAATAATAGATAAACATTTATTTTAAAAAATCAGATAATAGTACTATGTTTCTATGAAAATAAGTAAAAATTGCAAGAAATGACAAAATGAATAAAAAATATAACATGTGTTAGTCAGGTTGGTTGGCCTATGCGGGATAAAACCTAAAGTTTTATGTATCAATAGAGTTACCTAGATATAAATGATTTTTGTATGTCCTAAAGCCTAAAGGTATCTATTTTTGAAATATATATATATATACTTCTTCCGTCCCATAACAAAGTATTCAATTTTTTCATTTTAGTCTGTTCCATAACAAAGTATCTATTTTCTTTTGTAGTAACTGTACTTTCTACGTAACATTATAAATACCCTTACAACTTACAATATATTACACAAATGTCGTTACCTTTATATCACACATACTAATAAGATTATTTTAGTCATTTATACCTTACTCTTACTATATCTCAATATAATATTAATATTTCTAAAACTACGTGTAAAAAGCAAATGGATACTTAATTTCGGAACGGAAGGAGTATATTATATTCTTTAGTAAATGAATATTCGACTGTACATTATATTAAAATAATTTATAAAGGTAAAATAGTTCTAGCAAATGAAAATACTACAAATTACTATAAAGGTACGATATTCATTAAAGTAACTACAAAAGGAACGAATATTTCTCGAGTAGATTGGAGAAATAAAATTATTTATTTAGTTATAATTTGAAATTGATATAAAATATAATGTTTAATTCTTTTAATTTTGTTTAGGTATTTTCAACCAGGACCATTAATGACACTGCATTAGTGAATTGCCTTTGCTCAAATTCCACGCCATTTTTTTTTTTAAATTTTGTTATTTTCATTTTGGGTTTTTATTTTATTGTAAATTATAAATATAAAAAATTATTTAAAATAAATATTTGAATAATATTAGTGAAAATAGAGTTATGATTGGAATAAAAATAATATAAATTATTCTTTAGAGTTAAAATTATATACATAGAATTTATGAGTGGAAGATGACTTTAAATAGTATTTTGATATAATATTTTATTATAAAAAAATACTCCCTCCGTCCCGGTGAAAGAGTGGCGTTTGCTTTTTACAAGTAGATTTTTTAATATTAATATTATATTGAATTGTAGTAAAAAGACAAAAATACTCCTATTAGTACAGTGTAATATAAAATCAATGGCACGACGGATGAAAATAAAAAATGACAACCTTGGACAGAGGGAATATATATTTTTACTAAATATTGTACAAATTAAATAATATAAGTTTGTATTTGAAATCATAAAAAAACAAACCATAAGATCCATGTGTTGATTTGGAATTTTGTTTTGATTTTTTTCTTTTTTTAAATAATGATTTGAAAACAATAGTTATGAGATTGAATAATTTCCTCTTATAGAAATCATGATAACTGTATAATAAAAAAGAAATTAAACTTAAACTTTAAAAAAATAGAGACATTATTTTTCACTTGTCAAGTGAATTTAACTTGGCCAGTGTTTGGTTACTAATTGTAGTTGAAGGTATATTCTATCTATTTCAAACAAATAAATATATTAATATATATAAATATATACATATTTTATCTATATTATAATTTTTTTATATACTATATACAATAAAATTTATATTGAAATTAAAATATTATTTTAAATTTATTTTAATTAAATATATACTCCCTCCGTCCCACTTCTCATGTCCACGTTTGTTTCTATTTATGTCCGTCTCACTTCTCTTGTCCACATTTCTATTTCTGTCCGTCCCACTTATTTTGTCACTTTTTTTTTGAAAAAAATTATACACTTTAATTTTATTTTAAAAAATAAATTTATAAGTTTTTTAATTTTAATTATACTAATAAGATATCTTAATCTTAATTTATAATTATTTTTATTATACGATAATTATTTAATAATTATACTCCCTCATAAATTCTCGTGTCTACAATAAAGCGGACAAAATATCCGAAACAAAAGGAGCATTAAATTATAAATGAACTTGAAATACTAAAATGTAAAAATAAATATTCAACTATGCTTGCAATCAAATATTTTTGCTATGTTCTTTTAACAAAAAATTTCAATATATTTTTTCAAAAAATTAATATATTACATATATTTTATATGTTTATATCATCTATACAATTTGAGATATTTCACGTGAAAAATATCAAAACATAAAATAAACATACTTATTTTAATTAAATACGAATGTGTTATTATTGAGTTATTATTATTATTATTATTATTATTATTATTATTATTATTTAAAAAATAATAATTAAATAGTGCATTCCTCTCGCTAGGGGTAGGGTGGGCTTGGGTAGGCTGCCCACCCCCTCCTTAGACATATCACATATCTATAAACACATTTAGGTGCAAATATTTACATCAATGGATCAATAGTAATAATTCAATGTATGTTTTATTTATTTTGATTATTTTTACTTCCCATCTTTAATTAAAAAACTATGGAGTATATTTAAAATATGTTTCATGCGTCTCAATTCAAACGAGTCTTTTGGGATTTGTAATAAATTTAAAAATATACTCCATCCGTCTCAAATATCCTGCAACATTTTATTTTTGGTATGTCCCAAACATCCTGCAGCATTTCCAAAATATGAAATAATTAATCATACTTAATCCATACTCCACACTTTATCTCCTCACATCATCTAAATAAAAAAAATAAAATATATATTTCTTTCTTCATCACATCACTTAATTTCTAAATTATCCTACTTAAATACTACCCACCTAAAAACTCGTGCCAAAAGTAAATGTTGCACCTTATTTGGGACGGAGGGAGTATAATATTTTATTAGTTAATGAAAGTGTGTAAGATATTTTTGATATTTTTGCTATTTGATTTAATGTGTAAAATAAATGTATGTGTAATGATATATTTGTAATTTAAGTAAATATCAAGAATATTTTGGTATTAATGTAAGGTTATTTTTTTAAAATAAAAAATAGATATTTTTAACTGGCACAGACAAAAATGGAAAAAAAATATTCTCCCGTCCCATTTATATTGTCCACTCTTTCTATTTTTATATGTCTCATATAATTTGTCATTTTTTTATTTTAATTAAAATATTTAGTCATCTTAATTTTAATTTATAATTATTTTTATTAAATCATAATTATTTTCATCAATACATTTTTTAATTACTTACTAATTACATAATATCTAAACTTCGTATCTAAACTAAATGAGACAAAATAGGTGGGACAAAGTGAGTAATATTTTGAGTTGAGACGGAAGGAGTATAAAATTGTTATGTAAATATCACAGGTTTCTTTTTATAAAAAACAATATACATATTTTCTTAAAAAAAAACTTAATATACTACCTATATTTATTATTTTTATATTATTTATATAATTTTTTATACCTCACATAAAAAAATATCACTTCAACCATTTCACTTAAAAATTGAAATATAAATATAGAAATAAATATAAACACAAAGGTTGCCCTTTTTTCATTAAATTTCAATTTTTGATATATATTTTAGATTTTTAATAAAATACATATATATATATTTATAAATATCATATTCAAAATTGTGTAAACTAAAATTTCAACCTAATATTACAAAAAATAAAATAAAACAATACAAAAAGAACTGACTTTTGATTATATATATATTTTTAATATATTATACTTAAAAATTCAAAACCTATGAAAATATATTAAAGGAATAAATAAAGGGTTTGCTCATTTTTTAAAATACTACATAACTATTTTCAATAACTATTTTTGAAATTGATTCCAAGTTGAATATTGATTTAAATATTTGTTAAAATATTATTTTGATATAATATTTTATGTAAAAAAATAATATTTTTATTGAGAAGCATGAAGTTTAAATAATACTCCCTCCGTCCAGTTAGAAAGTATACATGTTTCCATTTTGAGACGTCCAATTACAAAGTAAATATTTCATTAAATACCTTACTTTTTTCCACAAATACCCTTAATTTATATCACATCATTACTTTTACACCAAAAAATAAGGGCAAAAATGTCATTACACTACATTTAACTACCTACTATAATTAAAATACTATTATTTCTTAAACACCGCGCCAAAAGTAATTGTATACTTTTTTTGTGGACGGAGGGAATAGTAAATGTGATATTTTAACATAATTTTATAAAAGTATATTATTATTCTTTACTACAAAAAATTATATTTAAATATTATTTAAATAAAAAATATAATTATAAATACAACTACAAAGTCAAATAAATAAGGATAACTAAAAAATAACACAAATACTATATGTTTAGTTTGTATCTGTGTTATATTTTAAATAATTATTGAATATTATAGGTTATAATCTCAAAGTAGTACTTTTTAATAAAAATTATCTGTATTGTATTCTTCAAAAATATAAAAATATTAGAGAAAACGTGACCAAGATAACTCAACTTGAATGTGGGAAATGTTTACTTATTTTTCAATTTTTAATGTAATTTTATTTTTTCTAATAAACAATATATTAAAATTTTAGTATTTTATTAAAAATATTATATTTAATTTCATATTTAATTTCACTTATACTACACGTATGTCATTTAAAAACATATTCATTTTTTTTACACTTATTTTAGGTTTTGTTTGAAATTGTTTTGAAATAAAGTGTTATTTGATATTTTTAAATAATATTTTGATACGATATTTAAAAATAATAATAATATATTTTTATTGAAAACTTTATAGAATGAATACATTTGAAATTATTAAAGAAGAAACATAAATAGATCATAATAGATATACTTTTATAAATATATAAATGTAAAAATAAAATTGTATTTTTTTTATCAATTTAAATTCAAATTAATATTATTTATCTCCAAAATTTTTAATAAAAATATATTATTTTCTTTAAAAAATAAAAACTATAAAAATATTATTTAAATAAAAATTTAAATCAATATTAATCAAATTAAACCACAACCAAACCAAAGAATAAATATAATTTTGTACTATTAAAAACAAACTTCTTTCTAGACATGGGACCAAAAAAATTTGCATATTATCATGAAAGAAGTTTACTTTTAATATCAAATTGAATATTTTTAGTGTATTTTCTTATCTTTTAATTTATAATATTTTAAAAATAAAATAATACTATTAAATTTTGTATGAAAAATAAATATCAAATATTAAATATAACATTGAAAAATAAAATAGATATAAAACACACACCCACACCCTTTATTTTAACATTTATATAAAAAAAATGAATTTGTTTATTTAATATTTTGTTTTTTAAGTATATTTTCATAAAAAAAAAAAACAAATCCTTAGTATTTTTAATTTAAATATTTTTTATATCATATAGGGAAAATATAATTATAGTATAAATTTTATCTTTTATATTAAATTATTAAAACTTTGTAAATATATAAAATATATATTGAATATATAAGCATATATTAATATTAATAGGATGATTTAGTGAACACGCCCTAAATTTTTAATGAACTTCCCATTATTGTCTAACAATGATTATATTTGTTTATATGATTGAAAGAAAGATCTAGACGCTACCAATGGCAGCTAGCTACGTACGCTGTAACTCTACAGCAAGTCCGGGACCAAAGAACCAGGTAGATCTCCCAACCATCAGGAATATCTTTCTGATTCTGGCAGTACAGGGAGCTCCAGAGGATTACTCCGAGTTTTGTCTTCTTCCCTCTCAATTTCTGAGATAAGAACAGTCGTCTTATCGAATCACGACACCACATTGCCAAATCATTTCCATGGAAGCCCCAAAACGAATCTCTGCCCCTTCAAACACTGAGTAGCTGCTGCATATTTATTTCTGAACAGAAAAAAAAAAAAAAAACATAGCCCCGTGTTTATCTCCCAAAACCGCCTTGAATTGAAACTGCATTGACCAATTTAGCAGTTTCTGATCGATAATTGCACGGATTTTAGTTGCGTGGAAGTTTAATTTCTTGTGAATTTTCGATTTGGATTTTGGTTGGGAGGAAGGCGGCAGAGATGAGTTTCAGGGAGGAATCGGACGATGGAAGAGGGGATTTGAGGAAACCCTTTCTGCACACGGGGAGTTGGTACCGAATGGGATCGAGGCAGTCGAGCTTGATGGGGTCTTCTCAAGCAATTAGGGATAGCTCAATTTCAGTGCTGGCTTGTGTCCTGATTGTGGCCTTGGGGCCTATCCAGTTTGGTTTCACCGTACTCAATTTTCTTCTGCTCAGTTATCTTCCAAATCGAAGTTAATTTTTCGAACATGTTTGGGGATTTGGTGTTGCTATATGCCGATTATGAATTAAATTTGAAATTACGTCCTGTTGGAATAGTTTAGTTAATCTATTTGATGCTTTCATCGAAATTGAGTTGGATTAAGCTGTGTTGTTGATTCGTGTTTGAAATCCTGGCAATGCTCATTTAGTTGAACAACAATGGCTGAATTATGATCATTTTCTTGGTCATGTAGTGTGGATATTCTTCGCCGACACAATCGGCTATTACAAAGGATCTTAAGCTTACTGTCTCACAGGTTAAGGATTTTGTATGCTCTTGGTTTCGATTGTGTCGAATTTATTGTGTATTATGTGATAACTCAAATGGTTATTGCAGTTCTCTTTGTTTGGTTCGTTGTCGAATGTGGGAGCTATGGTGGGAGCAATATCTAGTGGTCAGATTGCAGAGTACATTGGTCGAAAGGGGGTTGGAATTTAATTCATTCTTTATCTTCTTACATGTCTTTTATTTCGAAAACTTTGGTTGTAAACTCATAGTTGGGATCGAATGTGTCGATATGCAGTCTTTAATGATAGCTGCTATTCCCAATATCATTGGCTGGCTTGCAATATCGTTCGCCAAAGTGAGATTTCCCTTTCCAAATCACATGGTTTTTAGTTATTAGTACATTGTTTCCTTCGATGTGGGATCTTGATTCTTATCATTCTCGACGAATGCTTGTTTAGGACATTTCATTTCTTTACATGGGAAGACTGTTGGAAGGGTTTGGTGTTGGCATAATCTCTTACACTGTAAGAATGGTGCTTTGTGTAAATACATTAGCAGCGATAAGATCCTAATAAACTTATTCGACTGCTGTCTCCATTTCCATTTTGTTGTTATAGGTGCCTGTGTATATAGCTGAGATAGCACCTCAAAATCTTCGAGGGGCTCTGGGCTCAGTAAACCAGGTTTGTTGAGTGTTAAAAGTAGCTTATTTTTGTTTGATTCTTTCGTGAAACACATTACTTAATTGTGCATCCTTATATATATATATATATATATATATATTTGTAGCTCTCTGTGACAATCGGGATCCTGCTAGCATATCTCCTCGGGCTGTTTACTAGTTGGAGAATTCTTGCTGTTCTAGGTAAAAAAAGTCTTAGCTAAATTTCTGCTCCAAGAATTCTTCGCATCCCTGTGACGATTTGCTGTTGAACTAAATTGGAAAAGTGTATGTTTTTTACTTATGTATGTCTGCATTACATTCTTAGGAATATTGCCGTGTCTGATATTGATACCTGGCCTCTTTTTCATCCCGGAATCTCCCCGGTGGTTGGTGAGTCGATGAAGAAATATATATAATTCTTTTTCTTTTACAGTTTTAGTTAAATAGCAACGGTATACGAGCAATGGCATATGTTTCCATCTGTAATTTAGGCTAAAGTGGGAATGACCGATGACTTCGAAGCTTCATTACAAGTTCTTCGTGGATTCGACACTGATATTACTGTCGAAGTAAATGAAATCAAGGTTAGTTTAATCCCATAGTTGTTGTTGTTGTTCATAAGTCCTCCCAATTCATTCAAACAATGTGCCTTTGATTTCGAATATCTATTTTCTGCAGAGATCTGTAGCTTCAACGAGCAGAAGGACGACAATTAATTTTTCAGAGCTCAAGCTAAGAAGATACTGGCTACCTCTAATGGTTTGTAATCTTTCGAAAACCAGATATCACTGCTCAAAGTATTCAATCTCGATTTTAAATAGCGTCCTACATGTGACCTCTCCTCTGTTTCTAATCTTCGGGTGCAGATAGGAATCGGATTACTTGTTCTACAACAGCTAGCCGGAACAAATGGCGTTATATTCTACTCCACAACCATATTCGAATCTGCCGGTGCGCGAAGCAGCTCCATTGCCATCCATTTTATGTTGTGATTTTCAATCGACGTGTTATAATTTAGTTACTTTCTGAAAACAGGTATTTCGTCAAGCAATGCTGCAACTGTTGGCGTCGGAGTTATTCAGGTCATTGCAACGGGAATTTCGACGTGGTTAGTTGACAAAACAGGGCGACGGATTCTTCTAATCGTAAGTGACACAAAAAACACATCGATTGCATTTTTTCTCATCTGGTTTTTGTCATGATCGCCATTTTTCGTGATGTATGTATTTCTTCTCCAGGTTTCCTCCTCCGGGATGGCTTTCAGTCTCCTCATTGTTGCGATATCATTCTTTGTAAAGGTAAATGATGGGATCATACACCCCCCCCACCACCTCTTTGTTCATCGTAAATTTTTTGATGATCTTGCAATTTGAAACTGTTCAAGGGCATGGTAGCGCACGATTCTTCGCTCTACGACATATCGGGAATCTGCTCGGTAGTTGGAGTCGTGGTATGTCTTCTTCTTACACACACTCGATGATCTTCGATTGCAAAGGTTTGTTATTTTGTTCGACTAAGTTGTCCCCGTTGCAGTGCATGATCATTTCTTTCTCCCTCGGAATGGGACCGATCCCCTGGCTCATAATGTCCGAGGTACATCTTCCTTTAAAAGATTCTGCCTTCCGATATTCGAGGTTCAGACAACAATGACAAACCCAAGAATGTAATGATGGATGATTCATTTCTTACATCTCAGATTCTTCCCCCAAAAATCAAAGGCCTAGCCGGCAGTGTCGCGACGCTCGCCAACTGGTTCTCGTCGTGGATTATCACTATGACTGCGCCATTGCTGCTTGATTGGAGCAGCGGAGGTTCGTTTGTTCGTTCCAATTCTTTATCAAGAAAATTGCAAACTGAATTCTGTACATATAACCAATTATCACTCGTCTTATTTATTTTCTCCGTGTGTTTTGATCATATGCCTTAAAAAAAAATCGTTTTTCTTGTCCCCGGTCCAAATTCACATGAAATATGGTACGGGACAATAAAAACAATTTTTTCTTACGAGGCATAAGATCAAAACACAATCGAAGAAACTATACAGCACGAAAAAATGATAATTCGCCATACAATTGACCCGTAAATTTTGAAGAACAAAAACACTATATAACCGGATGCGAGCTATATTGTCTGGTACAAAAACACAAACAGATCTTCGGGGTATTCGGACAAGTTTGATGTTTTGTTTGTTTGTTTTTGAACAGGAACTTTTACACTCTACACTGTGATAAGCACAATGACAGTAGCATTTGTGACCATTTGGGTTCCAGAAACCAGAGGAAGAACTTTAGAAGAAATTCAACAATCCTTTAGGTGAAACAAAGGTACATTATATCGATTGATCAATCGATCATCTTCTATGGTTTTTTTCCTTTTTGCACAATCCTAAGTTCCCCATGATGTCTTAGATCCATTCTTTTCTTTTCGACAAATCCATGAATTGAATTCATACCTACTGCTGGAGTTGCAGGCTTTGTTTTCTTACTTGTACTAAGAGGATCGAACTTCTCGGGGCGTAGCATATATATATATATATATATGTGTGAAAATGTTCGAATTTTAGCTCGTTGTATGAAATTCATTATATTCTATTCGATGATATACAATAATGCAGTTTAATAGAGTACCGTAAAATACTCTCTGTAAATTTTATTGCATCGTTAATTTTTATTTAAGTGAAAAAGTATTGGGTGTCGAAAGAGATTCGTTATGACATACTATCTCCTTGAAAAGATAATGAGAAAATATTTCGATGACCGAAGTAGAATTAGTTATTCAAGTAGAATTAGTTATTCGATATAAATAATTATTGATATGATATTTTGAAGGTAATTTTTTTTCTTTATATGAAAATTTTGAGTTTGATTTAATGTTTTTTTAGAAAAAAAAATAAAAATGGAGAATAGTGTAAAATCAATTGGCATGCATGCATAATAGCCCATGGCGGCCATGACTGTATAATATATATTATTTGAAGAAGTCACCTACATTAAACACTGTATAATATATATATATATATATATACATAACTATTAGTTCAATAATTTAGATTGTATACTTATTTTGAATAAATGTTGCTCACATAATTAATAAAAAACTCTTATTATTATTACTCTCTCCGTCCTACGTACTATATTCACGTTATCGTTTCTATCCGTCTCACATTTCATATCAATTTTTTTTAAAAAAAAATGATTACACTTTAATATCATTTTAAACTTTTTAATTTTAATTAAATTAATTAGTTATCTTAATCTTAATTTATAATTATTTATATTATATGATAATTATTTTCAGTAATACATTTTACATTCTTCCTAAAATACCACCGTAGCAAACACGGTACGAGGGAGGGAGTATTATTATTACAAAACATTAAATTGGTCTTTTAGAAATGTTTTGACCTAAGAATTGTAAAATAATATTGTATTTGGATATGTTTTGAAATTTTTATTTTTTTTTCTGGAGTGTATTATTCATGATGGGCTTGTTCCTTTGTAATTTTTTTTTTTTATTTTTTTTCCCTAATTATTTAAACTGAAATTATTTCATTTGTGGTCATAATACGGCATAATAGATATTTGTTTGACTAATTATAAATTACTACAATTTACAAGGGAAAGGAAGAAGCCCATAATGAAGTTTTCACATACTATTAATTGATAATATATATTTTTAAAATATTAAATCAAAGTATTTAATCTTTAGCTACAATATTAAGTTAAATATATTTTTTATTTACAAAATATGACAAATATCATATTTTAATTTGTAGTTATTTACATCTACCAAATCAAAATAAAATGACCAAACTACCCTCCCTCATTTTCCTGGCGTAAGTGTGACCGAAGGCTTTCGAATACACAGCAAAGTTCAAACATATATGGCTCATTGATGTTTGACTTTTGACATCATCAATAATTAATTAATTTATTTATTTTAATATAATAAAAATAATATATATATATATAATGAAATTTATAAAGGCTGTGTTTGTTTTGGGATTTGGATTTTGAATTGGGATTTAAATAGTAAAAATTTTGAATTTGAATACTTGTATGATGTGATATAAATAGGTGTTGATGTGATGTTTTGAATGTAAAATTGATTTTTAGTATAATATAAAAAACGAAAAATAGGTATTTGATTTGATATTTTTTTGAGGAAAATTTTGGATGAATAGTAAAAATTTGGATAAAAACCTTCAACCGAACACACCCAAAATATATTAAAGCATATTAAACATGATCACGTTGTTAAAATATTTGAATAAATGTGTAAATATACTGAATTATATTACTCCTTTCGTCCCATAAGTAAATATCTATTTGCTTTTTGCACGTAATTTTAGAAATATTAATAATATATTGGGATATAGTAGGAATAAAGTAAAAATAACTAAAATAACCTTATTAGTATGTGTGATATAAAGGTAATGATATTTGTGTAATATATTGTAAGTTATAAGGATATATGTAATGTTAGGTAGACAGTACAGTTACTAAAAAAAATGAATACTTTGTTATGACACAGACTAAAATGAAAAAATAGATGCTTTGTTATGGGACGGAGGGAGTATAATTTTTTTGTACACATTTTGAACTATTGAAATATAGTTGTTATGGGTTGAATTTCGCCTTCTACGGTAAATTGGATTTGACCGGTTGGAAGATCCTCGTGGTGCGTATTCATCAATATACTATTATTTTTTAATTTACCATTAAATCTCAAATCACTCCTTTTAATGATACAGAGTTTTAAATATTATGTAATATGTAAGTAATTATAAAATATATTATTAAAAATAATTATAATTTAATAAAAATATTTATAAATAAAATTAAAATAATTAAATAATTTACTTAAAATAATATATATTATGAATTTTAAAATATTGATTAAAATGTATAATTATATTTTTTTTAGAATATAATTTATTTTTAGAATAACATTAATTTTTTATTTTAACTATAAAAATATTGTAAATAATTATATATATATATATATATATTGTAGTGTCTTATTATCGCGTAGATTTACAAATGGAAGTCAACATTCGGGATTCAACGCAAGCCGCAGTCCATTTTCGGCAACAAATCAAAAAGTCAACTTCACTAAATCCGACTCTATAAATATTCGACGCTGCATCATTTTAATTCTGCAAATTATTAATCCAATTCTCATACAACCTTAAACATTGCATCAATGGCCGCTATCCTGTTCTTCATCTTGGCATTCATTTTTCTTCTTCTTCTTATCAAGCATTATTTCCAGGCCCGACAGCGCCTTCCTCCAGGCCCGAACCAATTCTGGGCCCTGGCATACATTCCTCAGCTGATCTACAACCCCCACATCGCCCTCCAGGCCCTGTCCAAAATCTACGGGCCTGTAATATCATTACAGCTCGGCCGGCAGCTCCTGGTGGTGGCGTCGTCGCCGGAGACGGCGAAGGCCTTCTGCAGAACCCACGACAGGGCATTTTCCGGCAGGCATTTGCCGGCAGCGTACCGGAATCTTCCAGGGTCCCTGGACTCGTCCATCCTGTTGTCGGACTGCGGTCCAGCCTGGAAGCTCCTGAGGTCCCTGGCACAGAGCGCCCTGTTTTCACCCAGGGCCATGGAAGCCGGCGCTGTAGTGAGGAGGGAGCGGGTCCGGGACCTGGTGGAGAACCTGAAGTCCAGGGAAGGCGCCGCCGTGAATTTGGAGGACATGATGTTTGCCACGCTGGCGAACATTATTTCCAGCGGCCTGGTGTCAGCGGACCTGTTCGATCTCCGGAGGCAGGCCGACAGCGACTACGAGAAGGTGATGGCTCTGGTGCATGAGTTGATTGAGAAGATGATCACTTTTGGTTTTGTCGATTATTTTCCGGCGCTGAAATGGATCGACTTTTGGAGTAAGAGTAGGGCTGAGGAATTGTACACCGAAATTAAGGATATATGGGGAGCCATCATCGCTGAAAGAAGATCGGGCAGCCGCCGCTCCGGCGGTGGCGATAGTGGTGGAGATTTCCTCGACATTGTCTTTTCGGACACAGCATTTTCCGACGATCAGATCGCCAATTCTTTAGTGGTAGTCAATAAATAAAATATTTTTATGTTTGATCATTTCAATTAATTTTATATTGCAATAGCCATTAATCTTGATTATCCTTGCTCTAGTTGTTTTGATTTTTGCATTTGACATTTAGGCATTACTAATAAGACAATACGAATCTTACTAAGGTCACCAGCAAATATCCTACGAACAAATCCAAGAGACGTCATTTTTTTATATATTTATAATTTTGTATCGCATGTTTGATCTTGTACGGAATGTTATTCCAGGAGATGCTAATAGCGGCTACAGATTCAACGACAACAACAACCGTGTGGCTAATGGTGGAGCTGATCCGAAACCCGGACAAGCTGACCCGAGTCCGCGCCGAGCTGGCCGTCGCAGCCGACGGAGACGGCGGCCTGAGCGAGTCGGGCGTGTCGGCTTGCAGCTACTTCCAAGCGTGCATAAAAGAAACTCTGCGGCTGCACGTGCCGGCGCCGCTGCTGGTGCCCCACCGGGCCTTGGAGTCCCGGGAGCTGGAGGGGTACGTGATCCCGAAAGACAGCATGGTGGTGGTGAACTCGTGGGCAATTGCGAGGGATCCGGACATCTGGGAGGATGCCACGTCATTCAGGCCGGAGAGATTCCTGGGAAGCGGATTCGGAGTCGGAGTCGGGTATAGAGGGACGCATTGGGAGTATATGCCATTCGGGTCGGGTCTGAGGATGTGCCCCGGAATGAGCGTGGCGGTGAAGAACGTGGAGATGGTGGTGGGATCGCTGCTGCATCATTTCGAGTGGGGGATGCCGGGCGGGTCGGACCCCGCGGGTATGGATATCCGGGAGAAGTATTATACCACTCTCAAGAAGGAGACGCCGTTGCTGCTCGTGCCCACGCTCAGATACCATAACATTAATTTAATTAATTAATTAATTAATCCCTGAGATTCACATCTAATTTTATGTTGAACTGTGGCGAATTATCTTTACATCTTTGTTTTCTTTATCCAATCTTTTCACCATGTAATCTTCAGTAAATATATATATATATATAATACTAATTTAGTCCATCAAATTTATTTTTCATTTTATTTTTTAATTAGTTTGTTAAATTTATAATTATTAATTTAGCAAAGTTAAAAATATTATGTTCAAGTTAATATTTATTTATAATAAATATTATTATTTTTATTACATTTTTCTTTTACTCTTTTTTATTTTAACTAAATTTTTAAAATTACTTTCAACTATTTCTTTATTTATATTAATATTTTTTTTAGTCACCGTATCAAATTTAAATGTACTAATTTTACTGAATAGATAGAGTATCATTTTTTTTATAAAATATTATACTCACAATAGGTATTTAGAATAATTGTATTTAAAATAAATGCATATAATATTATTTTATTATATTTTACATGAGTGACGTTGTTTATAGTTTTAAAATATAATTTCATATATATAACTAAAAAATTAGAATATGTATTTAAATATTTTAAAATTTATATTTAATTAAAATATATACAATAAATAAAATATATATTAATAATAATATAACTTAATTTTATAAAAAAATGAATTGTTTTAAATATATATATATAAATATTTATTAATTAAAAAATAGATAGTAATAGAAAATTTTGAATGAATCTTATAAATTATTTATTATATACTTAACTAATTAATTTATATTTGTTTAATACTTTATATTTTATATGAATATATTTTATTTAAAATCGAAATGTATTCGTTACTTTTTAACATATTAAAATAAAAAATATATTAATTATTATAAGATGAAAAAAATCAGTTATTATTTAAATAAAAAATAAATTAAAAATTAAGACCTATTCACATTGTTGTGTTAGTGTTATCTAGTGTGCATTTAAAAAATAGCAATCGATATTGACATTTTACACTTAAAAAACTAAACGAAAACTAAAAAATCTTTTATTTTTGTATATATAAATATATGTAAATTTAATTATGATAACTATTGATTTAATACTCCATTTGTCCTAATATATAAACATTTCTGTTCCGTTCCAAAACAATAGTCTCATTTCCATAAATTAATTATATCACCATAAAATTATTCCTATTTTTTCATTATTATTATACAATTGTCACTACTTTTTACGCTAATATACTCACAAAGATAAAAAAGTAATTTATGTTTACTTTCTACCGACTACCAATATAATACCAATATTTTTAAAACTCCTATCCAACTCAATAAGACTATACTTTTGAGACGGAGGGAATATAATATTATTATTTTTGCCTTAACTTATTTGCTAGCTTGGGGTCCGGCACTGTTTTTATGTGATATGATTTTGAAATTTGTCTATTTTATTTTTACTCTTTATTTGTAATTATTTTATTAATTGTATTGGCAAGAGTAAAGAAAATCGTAAATATTTTGAAATATTTCAATATAAATATAATAATAGTAAACAAAAAAATTTCTTATAGTGAGGATAAATCCAAAAAATATTAAGTGAGATGATTATACATATAGCATGTTTTTTATTTTTATTTTTTTTCTAAATTCATTAATAGATTTGAGTTGACATTGTATAAGATTTAGGTTTTGGTTACATAAATATTTCCAAAATATTTAGTACTATTTATAATAATAGTTTTTTAAAAGATATTATACCAAATTAATTTTTAAATCTCACAAAATATAATTTCACATACCTAATTTTTAATATTTTTTAAAATTTCAAAACTTGCAAAATTTTTATCTAAACGAAACCTTAATTCCGATTATGACACAAATTATTATCACACCAATAGAAGCTGACCATGGGTAAAGCCAATATTTAATCTAATATATATATATATATATATATAATAAAATAAACTGTTTTTTCAGTCTCGTAAGTAGAGTCTGTAGCAAACTGATCTCATAACTAAAAAAAATTCGTTGTTTTAGTCATTCGGCGCCGGAGACGCCTGCGTGGCTCACCGGAGGCTACGTGTCCCCAGGTGTCCCGCCCGGTCAGCGACACCTGGCGGACACTTAGATATTATTTTATTTTTCATTTTTTTAATTGGACCAAATAAAAAAATTAAAAAAGACAAATAAATTTTTTTAAAAAAAATCCACGTGTTCGCTAAGTGTCGCTGACCTGGCGGACACATGGTCTCCAGCGAGCCACACGGGCGTCTTCGGCGCCGGAGGACTAAAACAACGAAAATTTTTCACTTATGGGACTAATTTGCGATATACTCCACTTACAAGACTAAAATAATAAGGAGGTTCGGAACTAAAAAACAGTTTACCAAAAAAAAAAAAGCAAAATATTACAACTAATTCATGCCGGTTTCAACAATATCACGTTATCGCATATAACAATATTTTTATATTAAATGATATTTTAGCTACTATAGTTACATATATAATTATTTTAATAAATGACTAAAATAATAATGAATATAACTCTAGAAGACTAAAAAGACGTTTATTTCTATTTTCTAAAACATAAATAATTACCTTAACGTTTTATCTTCCATTTGTAACTCACATTGCTATTTGCATTGTTAATAATACTTATGTTTTTCTAAATTATTACTTTTATTATAAGTTGAAATTTTGAACAAAATTTTCAATAATTGCATGAATAATATGAGAGAAATACGATGACTACTAAAGTCTAAACGAAATAAAAGATCGATAAATGTCAATAGAATGAAAAGAATTCAAGAAATTGAAGCCCAAATATTCAATTTCAATTAAGATTTTTTCTTTGCATTTTAAGTATTAAATTAATCTTCTTTAATTTTTTTAATTCCACACATTTAGTTATAAATTCATTTTTATTAACTTCCAACTATGACAAAAAAAAAAAAAGAAAGTAAACTTCACAAAAATCAAATAAAGACATACATATGAAAAGAAACAATAATAACGACATTAATTTGATTAAAGCAATTAATTAATCATCTTCTTCATCAACCATTATATGTTTTTTCTTTTTTTCCCTTTGGAAGCTTCACAAGCTTCATGATCATGGTCATGGAGTGACACTTCTCCTCTCACTATCTTGAATTCGGTCTCGGCTTCTGTCTCGACATTTTCATTTTCTTCGATGAATTGCTTGTAATAGCGTTTCATGTCTTCGGGAGTTTTGTCTCCGCCAACCACATTCGCCAAATTTTTCCACCTGTCCGGCGTGTCCTTATCGAACACCAACAATGCAACCTCGAACACTTTCTTTTCAAACACACTCCAAGTTGTGTTCGACGATCCCATTTCAATTAGTGATGTTATTCTTTTATTTTTTTGTTAGATTCAAGATGGAATGCATTGTGACACGTTTCGATGATTTATAGTCGAGAAAGTTGCTATTATTAAACAAAATATTGTTAACGGTTGAGACTTCTTACATTTATTCTTCTGCAGTAAGAGATAAAACGAGATATGTATAGATAAAATTAAACGGCCGGGGCGAGAGAATTGATGTATATATGGATTAGAACAAAGCTGCGATTGCTTATCTGGAATTAATTCAAGAATTTATTAGAAGTATAACTTTATATTTCGATGTAGCTGGAATCAATAGTAATATTTAAAGAAAAAAAAAATATCACAATTGATTTGATTTTTTAATTTCTTCAAATAAATTTAATTTACTATGCCGTGTAAAAAATTTAAAATTTTTTTATCCCAATATATTTTGAGAGTGCTTGTTTAAATTTAGGGTGTGCTTGTTTGGGGGTTTGGATTTTGAGTTGTGATTTGAATAGTAAAAATTTTGAATTTGAATAGTTCTGTGATGTGATATAAATAGGTGTTGATGTGATGTTTTAAATATAAAATTGACTTTTAGTATAATATAAAAAATGAAAAATAGGTGTTTGATTTGATGTTTTTGGAAGAAAAAATTGGATGAATAGTATAAATCCAATCCAATCCCCCAAACAAACACACCCGTGCATTATTGTATTATTTGGTACTTTTGAAGATGATAAGTGGTTAGTTTTTGTTTAATGCATATAAAAAGATTTAATTATTTGTTTTAAATACTCCATCAGTCAATTTTGAAAGTATACATTTATTTATAGCGTGAAATTTAAAAAATAATAATATTTAATTATAATGAGTAGTTAAAGATGGTGTACACATAATTTTGCATTTTTTTTTTTGTTAAAAATAGTGATCCGACGGTAAAATATGATATTCGTAAAACAAGTGAGATCATATAGTTACTAAAAAAAAATAATTATTATTTTATAATTGGACAACCAAAAATAAAAATACGTATATTTTTTAGTCATGTGAAGGCATGTTAACTATTAAGTTTGGGATTAAAATAAGTCAGATTGTTTCTATAAAATTAAATTAGTAAATGTAACTATTATTTTGATCTAAAATATCTTTAACTTATATGATATATAAAGTTAATATTAAATTAATTCTTGACGAATAATAAAATAAATTTTAACTATAATATTATTATATCATTTTTTTTTACCTATTCAAGACTTTAATAATTGAAAGTAAATAACAATATTCTCCAATCTAATCACATTAATTAAAATGCAGCATAGTTCCTTCAATAATAATAGTTCAAATAAAAATTTTAACCAAAAATTTTACTAAATACTTAGATTTGGGTAAACTGTTTTTTAGTCTCGTAACTGGACCTCCTCATCATTTTAGTCTCGTAAGTGGAGCTTGTCGCAAACTAGTCCCATAAGTGAAAAAATTTCATTATTTTAGTCCTCCGGCGCCGGAGATGCCCGCGTGGCTCGCCGGAGGTGACATGTCCGCTAGGTGTCGCTAACCTGGCGGACACGTGGATTATTTATTTATTTTTATTTATTATTATTTTTAAAAACTTATTTTTAATTTATTTTAAATTTTATTTGTATTTTTTTATTTGGTCCAATTAAAAAAATTAAAAAAATGAAAAAAAAAAATCCACGTGTCCGCCAGATGTAGCTGACCTGGCGGACACGTCACCTCCGGTGAGCCACGCGGACGTCTCCGGCATCGGATGACTAAAACAGCGAAAACTTTTCACTTATAGGATTAGTTTGCGACAGGCTTCAAGATTAAAATGATAAAGAAGTCCAGTTACATAATTAAAAAAAAATAGTTTACCCTAAAAACATTGGGCTACAACTCTTGCCAAAAAATTACTCCACCGGTTTTCAAACAGAAGTAAATAATTTTTTTTACTAAAAATGATGAAATCCAAAGATATCATCGATAAGAACGAAAACAGTGTGTCTCTAATCGGTCTTTCTTCTCTCCAGATGTTTAATCTTATCTTCACACTGCCCGGCAATCTTTTTACCTGAATTAACTCGAAGATAAGACAATGTCATAAATTTAAATAAATGCGGCAAGAGCGAAGCCCTCGCCCGCCGCTATAAATAACGGCCACAACCCCGACGATTTCCATCGCAACCTAAGTGAGTTCCAAACATCGTCGCTAATATCATTAATTAAAATCATTATGGCGTCGAACACTCCATGGACTCGCCACGAGAACAAGTTGTTCGAGAATGCATTGGCCGATTATCGACATGACTATCCGAATTGGTGGGAAAAAATTGCCAAGGCTGTCGGGGGAACCAAGACCATCGAAGACATCAAGATTCATTACCAAAAGTTGGTCGACGATATCGCGGATATCGAAGCGGGGAGGGTGGAATTGCCCGATTACGAGGGGTATGAGGCGAAGCAGCACGAGAAAATAGAGAATGAGAAAAAATAAATCGGTATTATTAATTTTTTATTTTTATTTTTTTGCTCGTACTATAATATTTTCCGATAAAATGTGTCTATGTCTTAAAATTTGTTTTTTTTTTTTGGGCTAGTAGGAACCTCAAATGATTGAAGGCATGGAGCAAGATGAGAAGCATGGAATGCTAATCCTTGGAAATTTTCACTTCTTGATTTCAAGGGAAATTATTAAATTTAAAAATTAAAATTAAAGAAAAGGAATTAAAAAAAAAAAAAAAAAATCCTATTTGCATGTTTTTATTTATGTTATTATTGCAGTTGATGTTGTAAGAAGCTCCATGCTCTATTTTAATGAATGACTATATGAGTATTTTATATTACTTATTGCAGTGTTTTGGTTTGCTAACTTTCTTTTTTTTTTTTTTTTAAATAAAAAATATTCTATATTTTATTTTCATAATTATATATAAAAATATATATATTATTGTTTAAGAAAATATTCCGCCCAAATTATTATTATTATTTACAACACCAAAATTACATCACCACCCAAACAAAAAGGCATCTAATAAATAAAATAACTATACTATTACCTCATGGATTATTCAAATTATAAAATTAAACTTATTTTTTAAAAAAATCAATACAACGGTCACATATTTCAAATATTTATGCATTGTGTTTAGATATATTGAGGCCTAATGTAATACTCCCTCCGTCCCATGTAATATGAGTGTATTATTATAGACACGGAAATTTAAGTAAAGTATAATTAGTAAGTAATTAAGAAGTGTATTAGTAAAAATAATTATAGATTAAGATTAAGATAAGTAAATAGTTTAATTAAAATTAAGAAAATTATACAATTTAAAATTTAAAATGCGATTAAAGTGCATAGTTATATTTCCAAAAATAGAAATGACAAGTTACGTGGGATGGATGAAAATAGAAAATATGGACAAATTATGTGGAACAGAGGGAATATATAGCTAAGTCCTTCAATAACTTCACAAGATCAAATCCTGTCCGTCTAATTGAGGGTTTTAATCATGACCGTTCATTCTGTTCTTTAATATTCGCGAGAGAGTTGTGGATTTTCGATTAGATTTTCTTTCCAACGGATTAGCAAATAATAAGAGTGTTTTAAAAAAAAAAGAAAAAAAAACACTTTAATTCAAAAATATTAATATATCACACATATTCATTATTTTTATATTTTTTACAGAGTTTTTTTATATATTACATCAAAAAGTATTTATTCAAATTATCTCACAATAGCGAAAACATTCCAATACCCTCCCAGTCTAGTAAGTAAAATATCAGTTTCTTTTTTGCACGTAAATTTTTTAATATTAGTTTTATATTAGTTTGTAGTTTAAAAGATAAAATATTTTTATGAGTATTACGTAATATAAAAATAATATCATTTGTGTAATTTATTGTAAGTTTTAAGAGTATTTATTACGTTAAGTTTCCTAATTGGAAAACACCTACAAATCTCCAATTTTTGATCAAATCAAAAAAGATTTCAAAAGGGAGTAATAAAATTTTGATATAATATTTTAAATAAAAAATAATTTAATAACATGATGTTTGGATAGTGTCTAAAATATTTAAAAATATATATAGATTTACAATTGATAATATATTTGAAATTATATGTACTATAGTACTTCTTTCATCCGCCTCTAACGTTACATTTACCTTCTGCGTCATTTTACTTAATATTAAAAATATTTTTATATTTGCGTAATTTTTTTGTACAAATGTCATTATATTAGTATACAAGACACTAATTAAATGATTTTTTCAATTTTTTTTTTTTAAATTTATACTATGTTTTGATATAATACTTAATATTCAAAGATCAACGTGCAAAAAGTAAATGCGATCTTTCGAGCCGGACAAACAAAAAGGTAGAACGTTAGTTTGTGGATGGAGGGAAATAAAAAATTTATTGACTTAATTCCGAATTTAAGAAAAAAAAAATTGAATTACCATACGGCAAAACAATTTCATCGCTAAATATATTATATAAAATACGATGAGTCTGAAACTTATTTTAAGGCTTGAGTTCGGGTCTAAGCCCGAATTTTTTAATTTTAAAATTAAGTAAAATATTTGATGTAATATTTTATGAAAAAAAATTAATAAATATAAGATATTTTTCGAAATAAAAGTTACATCTAAGGAAAATATTGATTAATAATAATTTCCTAAAAAATGAACAATGCAATAACTATTTATTTAATTCACTCTTCAACATTACCTAACAACATTTCATTCATATCATAGTCTACATTTCTGCATATACTTATGTCTCAATATTATTTTCAGATTCCCTTTCAAGAGTAGCAACAGCTTCATATGCAGCCAGCCCATAAACAGGGACAACCTTGTTCCCTATCAAAATGACCTCATCCTTAATCTCCGCCGCCGCATCGCGGCAATCGTCGACGTTGTCCGTGCTCGCGATCAGTAGATCGTAAGTCGCGGTCTCGTACTCCTTGGAATCCTTAACTTCCGATAGAGCGCTCGAAAACGATCTCAGGATCAAATCGTAGGATGTTTTGCACCGTTGGATCGCATCCATCGAACCCGACGCCGCGTCCCGTTTCGCGAACATCATGTTTAAATGCACGTGCGTATTTGTCACGTTTGAAATTCCCGCCTTCATGATCGCGATCGATAGATTGAACAAATCTTGCGCGGATGACACGATTTGATTGTCCGATTCGAGGATTTCGACGCAGAGTTTTGGGCTGAAGTTATGACGGCGTTGATCGCAGAGCCGTCTGATCAGCGGAGGAGACGACGCCGAGATTTTCGACGAAAATAATGTTGTAAGAATAGAGAGTAAGAGGAGAATTTTAGAGATGGAAGTGAGTGAAGAAGACATTGGGGATTTGGTATAGTGAGAGTTTATGTAATAAAATGGTTTTGGATATGTTTGGGAAAATTTTGTTTTGATTTGATTTATATAGAAGGGTGTCTAATTTAATTGAAATTATTTCAAATTTGTGACAGATAAGAAAAAGAAATGTGGAAAAATTTTGAAATTTAATATGGGAAAGCCTAATTTATTGCAAGGCTGTCATGGATTTTATTTCAATAATTTTTTTTGGGGTGTAGTAATTTAGGAAAGTAAGAATTGAGATAGGGCTGTGGATTTGAAACAGTAAATTAATTTTATTATTATTAGAAAAAAGTGGTAGATATTACTTTAATATTTAGGAGATATTTACAAGATATACCATAAATATTTTTACAAAATAATATTTTACAGATATTTGCTCAAAAAGTATTTTGGGTTATACTTTTGTATTGTATATTTTAATCTTTTTCTAAAAAATTAATTTACATTGCATACTTATTTTTACTTAATTTATGATTTAATATTATTTTTACTTCAAAATCTTGAAATTTGATATTTATACCTATCTCACTACATTTATAAGAAAAATGTTATATTATAATTCAACATATATTATATTATGACTCAGTAAATATTATATTATGTAAAAATATAATACTGTATTTGACTGTTATTATTTTATTTTATTTTGCTACTTTTAACAACGAAATTATAAGAACTTGTGGTGTGCTTTGTTTGGAATTTGATTTTGAATATATTTCTTTATAGAAAATAACATAGAAAAAAAAATCTGAACTTCTTAACAGACAAACATACGAAACAAAGGTTAATAAACTAAATTTGGATATGAGATATTGATTCAATCCAATCAGTTTATACCTCTTCTAACCATCAGCGAGATTCCAGAAAGTATCCTACCGACGAATCGAATCGAACTCGAATCGTCATCCTAGCAATGTACAATTGCAAGGAACCATGATAGTATACGGCCATGGCAGCAGCAGCATCAGCATCCATGATTTTCATATGGAAAGAATGTCGAATTCGTGGGGCATGAAATCTTCACTTGGCCGGTAGTATTTGTCGGGTGAGTATAGGCTCAAATTCGTCACTTGGCTGGTGTAAAGACAAGCAAATCTCTCAACCTGACAACATATTTTCCACAAAAAGAATACGATGATTCAAGATTGAAACGAAGATAGAGACCAGCTCGAGACAGACAAACACGACTGACCTGATGTGCAAACCGAGAGTTCTGATAGCCCGTCTTCATCAGCTGTCCCCATACCTTGTGGAACTGAAAAAACGTTCGATGATATACGCAAAATACTTTAGTCGTTATTCACAGCAGCTTCATAATTTCTTTAAAATAAGCTAACTAATATTTACGAGCATATCTTCCAAACTCCTTGTATTCGTAATTTCAACCTTTAGTTGATTTCATTGCAACATTTTCATAAAAGTTGGATTTTTTAACTCGGTTCGAAAGAAGTTTCATTAAATTCATAATCTCGTGCTAGTTGATGGTATATTTGTACCATTTGATGCCATTCTCGCTGCGCTTGCTGATGGCTTAATCGTACGTCTTCCTGCTGTGCCTGGTATGAAAAACAAAAACAAAAATCATGAGTCGGTAAACATGTTCTTGCAATTTAGGGATTTTGAGGGTCGGTAAATAGTAGTAGTATTTCAACTAAACAATGCATTGAAGATGCCAAAAATGAGAGAGAAGATTATGGATCTCAGTTAATAATAATAATACTGACCTTTAATTTGTCAAGCTTCATATCGAGCCCATCCCGGTTCCCATTATCCATTTCATCAAACCTAATTATCCATTAGGCGAGAAAATGTATCATATGTAAATTTTAGATGCTTCACTTTTGTCTAAAATGCCTGAATTGATGAGGTTTACTTAAAAGACAAGAAATCGGGAGATAATTACCTGAGCGACCACTTAATATGATGTATCTGGTCTTCAATCTCATCGCGATCACGCCTTAATTGCTGAAGTTGCTGCAGTATATATATTATATGCGAACTTTATGAATAGAAATGAAGTAAATCAAGAATCTGGATGAATCGATGTAAGCAGAAACAAAAACAAACACCAACCACACATCCCAACATCAAATTGAAGAAAAGGACTTTTTTCTGAGGCGTGCCATTAAAAACATGTAAATGTTCTATAAAAGCAATTTCTTTCAAAATGTAAATGTTCTCTAAAGCTTAATCGACAGTAGTCAGAGAAACGGAACTGATTATGATAGTCTACCACTCTTAATCTGTAATTTCTTAAGATTCCGTTGGACATTAAAACAGTTAAGTTAGTCCCCTGCTATTTAATTGCTAAGCCATGTAAAGATATTGTCTGGCGAATCAAAATCAGTCTCAAACATGTACCTTCCGTGCATCCCTCAAGGTGCAGAGAATTTCAACTTCCTTCTCAAGCTCCGGAACAACAAGCATTGTTCTCCAACCTACAACAAGATGAAATTGAGTCAGACTTGCGTGACATAAACACACTTGTAACAGAACTTGAATACTAATTTCATGGAAAAATGACCTTATGTTTTAGAATAACTCATTTCAGAAAACCCTTTATTATATTCACAAACATCCTACATTGTATACAGAAAACCGACACAACCTTTCTATAGGAAACCCCCAAAACCAACAAGTGATGCCAAATAAACCACAAAGACATACCGAGAACCTTTTTGCTGCGCAATATGTCTCCATATATGTGATCACCAACATAGAGTACCTGAAAATCAAAAAAATCCCAAGGCCAAAAATTATGCCAAAGGGACAAAGGGTAGAGACTAGAAGTTGACCAGTAAATCCATCTCATATCATTCACATGCTATGGACAAGTGTCCCCCGTAATACTATGGTTGTGTTTAGATATGTTTTGGAAATGCTTTTGAGATTTTTTGGTTGAAAAGTTGGAATATAAAATGTGTTTGATGTGTATGGATGTGATGTTTTGAATAGATAATAGGTTATTTCACGTAATACTTTGAATAAAAAACACGTTTTGGATGAGATGTTTTTAAGATGGAGAAAATTTGATAAATAGAGCAAAAAAACAGAGCCTATATTAAACTAGTGACTTTAAGTAAAACTACACATCAAAAAGCCTTATGTGGCAACTCTCTTTCACTTTAAGAAATCGTACTTGTATGGCATGAAGCTATTCACTATAACATTTTTTAAAAAAATACTTTGATCCGGAGCAGAAAGAATACCTGGGAGCTTGACTCTATAGAAAGTAATTTGTGTAGATGACCAACGTTTCCTCCCTGTGAATGTGTTCTCAGAAAGATTATGAACTAGTAAAAATGTCGGAAAAGATTGCAAAAGATATAAACACCACCATGTATTATTATAATTGCATGTTAAATGGAGACTATAAAGTATATACAGACCTGGAAAACTTGTAATCTGTTGTCCTGGTTATTCAGAGGCAACCTTAGAGAAGTATCTACCTGGTTAATTATAAAGCCAATTAGACTTGCATGAGGCGAATCTTACGACATATAAGTTTTGGAAACAAGGTGAATAATAGATCAAACCTGAGGCATAGGAGTTCCATTATCTGTATTAAGAAGCATCCCTGTCTCGGTGTCAACTTGGAAAAGATTAGCACGGTTTACATCATTGAAAAAACCTGGTTTTGCACTGTTCAAATGGGGAACAAATGTATCATCAGAAGAACCGTTCACTGAGTGGCCTAGCAAATTATGAGCCACCTAGCAACACTAAACAGTATCAAGAAATTCGACAAGATATAACTGCGCAACTCGATCATCCAATTCATCCCACCAAGAAAAAATTTTAATTTATGGCAACACAAAACAATGAAACCAATTTAAATACAGTTAAAACAAAAATAAACAAATATATACTAATACGAATTATTTTAAAGTTTGGTGCAATTCAGCCAGAAGCGGGAAGATTACTAAATAGTGTCTGCTCTTACTTATCAAATTGTCACGTAATAGTTACAAAGGGCAAGATATAACTAGACAATGAAGACTCGAGAATCAAGAATGATTGTGACCTGCCAGTAATAACGACGTCAAAATACTGAAGCCAGTCAAAGTTCAAGGTGCCACAATCATCCTCAGTTTTTTCCCCACAGAGGAAGTTCATGACAACATTTGTATAATCCCATAGGCTGCACCACAGCAAAAATCAGATCAGCCATTAACATTTAACCATGTCACTCAAGTTAATAACCACAAAGGCCTAATAGCATCTTTATTATTTTAAAACATATAATGGATTTAATCCAATTGATTGATTATTATAAGCTGAATGGGCTTCTAAACAAATGATTTTCGTAGATAAAATCTTATCCAATATAATTACTTGAAAAGTGAATGTAACCTCTTAAACACATTCTCAATGACTTTCCATATGCCTTCTGATACATGCAACATATTAAATGTATGGAAATTCTTTACCTGTTTGTCACCAGAAATGTATGGCGGCCAGAATCTCTGAGCATCTTTAGCATGGGAATAATTGCAGGGTCCTCGTTAATGTATCTAATAAGCAAGTAGGAACCAAGATATACAGTCAAATATATCTAAGCTTCTTCAAAATCTACATTTTAGTTGGACGAATAACAACCAGAATCACTCAGCATTCTGAAAGCAAGTGCATGATTTCTTATAAACAGTACCTTCCAGGATCTTTGGCAACCATTTTCTTTAATGTTCCATCACGATGGCACAAATCAACTGCAGCTCGAACATCTTTATATATATGGGAGTAACTGCAACATTATTCCATGAAGGGATGAGGTTAAACTAAAAAAGAATCGCCGATACTACAAAAGTGAAAATATAGCCAACAGCTTATCATTAGTAGCTTATTCACTTCAATATGATTTGCCTCTTCTTACTCTGCAGTAATTTTCTCGGGACTGCTATCTTTCAGATCAACAAGTTGTGCGAATAAATAAGCCTCGGCAAGGGAGAAAAGGGTATCAATCAGAGCATATTCAGGCTCATCAAATGCATCACGGATCAATGTACTTCCATATGTGGCCGTTTTCTCTTCCTTTGACAGCTCTCTAAATCCATGATAAGCAACCTTTACATACTTGTGACGATCCATCTATAATTTGTTCAAATACATAACACCGGATTCAACTTGGAAATGGAAAAGATGCAGCATCTGAAACAATATTGAAAACTAGTATTTCAAATAAGAACGCAGCCCAAACCTTCAATATATTCCCCCTCTTTTTATCTAGAACCAGTCCTCGAACCATGTAAGTCCAATCAAAAGTCCAGCTTAACAACTGCATAAAACCAGTTGTATCAAACTTCCATATAATACTCGAAAAGAAAAAGCAATTACCATGGAATACAAGTTGGCTGCAAAGAAAAATCAATAAACAACAAAAAGGATAACCACACACAATACACTTCACTTCCCGAGCTAAGATAAAGGTATTGAACAAATCAAATTAAGACAAACCTCGGTAGGGTATCCCAAATCATTGACAAGCTTTTGGACAGTGCCTTCATAGGCTAGTGATTCAAATGTCTCTGGTTTGTATTGTGCCAACGTATAATCCATATCAAACCCCACAGCAACAATGTTCCTCATATTCAGAGATCTATTGCAAAAGATCTGTTTTCCTATATCAATTTTCTGTCCTCCTTGGGGAGACGACCACACAAGAGGATGTTTGTCACCCTCACTGCTGCTAGCCCTCTCCAACTCCACTTTTTCTCCGTCCATAGTATCAACAGTATGTAGTAGATAATTTATTGACTCTGTTGCATAAACGGAAAGCAAACTGCAGTCACAATTAGTACACACTTAATCAAACCCATTCGTCAACGAAAACAAATCGCCCAATAAAAATTTAAAGTTCTTCGTGATGTAGAAAACAAGAAATGAACATCCATTTTCACGTTCCAATGGAAGTGTAAGATCAGCTAGCACCAAACACCACCTATCTAATAAAATTTTTTATCCTAAGAAGACAGCTAAATATGTTCCACAATGACACGAATAAAAGGCAAACGACCATTGCCAAGGCAAACAAGACAAGCATATACAAAGATAAGAATAAAAATTAAAATTCAAGCAGCCAAAATGAAGAGCACATGACTTGGACTTCAGAATTCAGATCCACAGGCTAAATATGATCATATATCTTCATCCTCGTGACCATATTTCTCGAGAAAAATTTACATGATACCAGTTGAATTCAATCCCTACAAAAGTATGGACAATGGAAGCAATCTTAAACACCATTCTCCCTATTTATGTGAATTCTTTGTTCCTGGATTTAATCCATGAGTACAGAAACGTCGATATCAGTACATTATAATTCAAAACAAATATTTGGATTCCCTAATCCCTATTGGCCAAAATCGACACTATGGAGTCCTATCAACACAAGAAAGTCCCCTTTCCTTTTCGTTTGGTAGATACAATTCAGCTACGCCACCTATAACTTATCCATTATGGTATATAAAGAAACAGAACGATCCAAGAAAGAGGAAAATGAACAAAAGAAAAACTACACGTCACAAATCAAGCACGTTGAATTAGAGGAATCGCTTCAAACTGATTCTTAATTATCAATTTCAATGACGAAAGTATCTAAGAAAGAAAGGCACAATTTATTTGGATCAAGAACAAATCATACACGTTGAAATCTAATGAAACAGTTCATAGTCCAATAGACAGAGAAATCATCTCAACCCCTTCACGATCAATTACAATTACAAACCCTAAGAATATTCCCAAAAAAAAGCAGTAGTGCAGAAAATGCATCCAAGAAACCAAACCTGTGCAACGATTCGCCTTCCGACCCCTCTGAAACCGATCGGAAATCGAAGAACAACAATCCCGGGAATGAAACTGCAGAATCCTCGAAGAACACGGACGGGAAGAAACGTTGGGGAAGCAAAACACGGATACGCAAACTGTAACTGTTCGACTTCTTACAATGCGCATCTTCGCATTAAATACCCATTTCCATAATCTCTTTTTGAATTTGTTTTTCTTTTTCTTTTTCAAATATGAGTGATCAACCACGAACCGAATCAATCACTGAATCAATCCCAGAAAAAGTATGGAGCAATTCCCGTGCCCCATTGCGCCCCGGAAAGGAATCGAATTCGAATAGTCCCGCAACTGGGCTGGCGCCACGTGGCTGTCGGAACTGTAGATACCCAATGTGAGTTTAGGGCTTCTCGAATTTCATGAAGGAACGGCCTTTAATTTTGCGAGGGAGTGATTGATAGATTAATGGTGAAGATTTGCAGCGTGGGGAGCGATAGGGAGGAAGATGAAAGGGTGACCGAATATTCCCCGGCGCATTTTAGCGCGAGCGGGGGCGTTGAAGGTGACCTGACCGCACGCCAATTTCCTGCCACGAAATTTTACTATATTTTTATATATTTATTCATTTAAATTATTTTTATCAAAAAAATAAATATATTTTCCAAAATTAAAAAGTTAGGCATGCTTTATAGTAAATTAAAAAATTCTTGAGGGGTTTTATTGTTTTAGCCGTACATTAAAAAAATAATATTACCTCGTATTAAAAATACAGGATAAAAAGAAAATTAATAAATATCTCGTAATACTAATAGAATAAAATTTGTAAAAAAATATATACAAATATAATTATAATCTTTAATGTTAAGTGCAAAAGATAAATTAGATTTTTAGAGGGGACGAATAATACTCCAATCACGCAAACATGTGCTAATTTGATCGGACACGAGTTTTAATAAAAGTAAGTAATAATTGTTACCTTTTTCTTTTATACTAAAAAAAAGTATAAAAATGTAATAATTTTTTACTGTTTATTTTTCAATGACAACCCAACAAGGAAAGTGAGCATAGATTTGAATGACTGGGGAAATATTTTATTAATTATTAGAAATGTGTAAGAATTTTTCGATATTTTTTGCCTGTATAAATTAATTGTATGTGTATGATATATTTATAATTTAGATAAATGAATACTTGAAATAAAACAATGATAAAGGTGTACTTGGAATTTGAACTGATTGAGTAATATTTTATTATTCAGTGAAAGAATGCAATAGTTTTTTATATTTTTGTTTTTTTATTTTATATATAAAGTAAATATGTGTGTACTGATATATTTATAATTTAAATAAAAATAAATTATAAACTATTAATATATAATTATTATCAACAAAAATAAAAAAATAAAAGAATATTTTAAATTTGAATGAAGAATATTATTTTTTATATTTTTATCATAAATAGTACTTCCTCCGTCCATTTACAAGGTTTACATTTCCTTTTGACGCGGTGTTTAAAAAATAATAGTATTTTAATTATAGTGAATAGTTAAAAGTAATGCAATGACATTTTTGCCCTTACTTTTTTGTGTAAAAATAATGATGTGATGTAAAGTAATGCAATGACATTTTTGCCCTTAATGAAATGTTAACTTTGTAATTGGACGTTCCAAAATAAAAATATGTAAAAATTGTAAGTTCACGGATGAAGTATTATACAACTATTATAATTTCTGTTTAAAAATTTGAATATATATTTGAATAACGGATAAACTATTAAATTTTTGTGGTAATTAAAATTATTAGCTTTATTAGGTCGATATATACCGAGTTTGATTCTTGAATCAATTCTCTGCGTTGTGGTGACGTGGCGGTATCTAATTGGGTATCAACTAATATGCCATACACAACTGATCGATTAATTTAGGAATATAATATTTGTAAGGAAGGAATTTGTTTTATATGGAGGGAGAAAAATACTCCCTAAAGTATACATATGATTCGAACAAAAAGAATATATTGAAATCAATAATAGGTAAGCTTTTTTTTTTTTTTTTTCCTCGTAATTGGACACTATTATTTTAATATTATTTTAATTTTATAATCGAAGCATATCACAAGTTAATTTTGTAAGTAAAATTTTTTTGTAGTTTAAGCCCTTTATCGATGGAGATGCCTACGTGACACCTGTCTCGCCGGATGTCACCTGTCCGCTAAATCAACGACGACGATAACGGAAAAGCTCCTAAGATGTCGGCTGTTCAATTGGATGACGGACAAGTGGTTTTTTTTTTAAAAAAAAATTATATATTTTATATTTTTTGTATTTGATCCAATAAAAAAAAAATTATGTATCCGTAAGATGTACTGGTCTGGTGGACATGTGGCATCCGGCGAGCCACGCAGGCATCTTCGGCGCCGTAAAACTAAAACTGCAAATAAAATTCCGTACACATAACTAATTTACGACAAATTCCAGTTACATAATTAAAATGATAAAGAGTTCAGTTAGAAAACTTAAAAAATAGATTATGCTAATATATATTACTCTCTGTCTCGTATCTATCTATTCGTTTGTTTTTTGCACAGAGTTTTAGAAATATTAGTATTATATTGGAATGTAGTATGAATAAATGTAAAGATTAAACAAGACTTATTAGTATGATATGACATAAATGTAATGACATTTGTGTAATATATTCTAAATTGAAATGATATTTGTAATATTAGGTAGATAGTAAGTAATGTTATAAAAAAAAAATGAATACTTTACTGTGAGATAAATTAAAATGAAAAAATAAATAGTTTATTAAGGGACAGAAGAAATATGTAAAATATTTATGTATTATCAATGTACTTGTAATATATAAATATATGTATTATATTAATATTTGCTATTTTCTTTATAAATTATTTGTTAATTATGTCAAATTACTATTGAACTAAAATCAAAATATATTTTGTTAAAAGCAGAATATATTTTCAATATATAATTATATAATATATTGTTCAAATATGTATTACATATTACATTAATATTTATTATTTTTTATACATATATATTTGTTAATTGAGTCAAATCATGCAATTAACACCGAGTATGGTAAAGAGAAAAACTTAACGCCTCAAGGTCACACATAGTTCGCCTAATATGACTTAGTTTATCGTTTTTGTTGTATCTTTTTTTGTACTTTTGGCTTAGTTTATTGATTTTTTCAAATTTTTAAAAGAAATTTATTTCTTTTTATCCACATATAATATTTTCTTTTAGCTTAGTTTATTGATTTTTTTCATTTTTCTTTTAAATATGTATCTTTTTATCCACATATAATATTTTATTTTTTAATTTAAGTTCATCTCAAATACTATATTACATTCCTTTAGAAAAAAAGTTATCATATTCTTATAATTTTATTTACTAATTATATCTCTCCTAAATTCTTCTGTCTACATACTAAAACAGATAAAATATCATATTGTTTTAAAAAAAATATCAATAAAATAAACCTCTTTGTATTTTAAATTTGAAATGAAAATTCAATTTTCTTTTTTTTTTTTGATTGAATTATTAATATGATAATTATTTTTACTAATATATTATTAATTATTTATTAATTATATACTCTTTCTAAATCGATAAATCTAGGACAAAATATCCAAAGAAGTATTTATCATATTGTTTTAAAAAAATTATCAATAAAATAAACTTTTGTATTTTAATTTTGAAATGAAAATTAAATTTTCTTTTGTTTGATTGAATTATCAAAATATGTATTGGTCTCAAACTCTTTAAACAATTAGCAAGACATAAATAACAAATTCTTTCTTACAAACTTGAATTCACCCAGACCAGAAAGTCGAACAACACATGCCCATGGTTAACGCATAAATAAGACACACAACTTGTTCCTCCAAATTGACTTGCATCCCAATCTAAATAGAATCAAACAACACAACATTATTTCGGTAACTGATAAATACATATAATTTGGGAATAAAAAAATATACAAAAACAAATAAATATTGTTAATAAATATGTACGGACCCAACTTTATTTCTAGCAAACACTAGTAAATATCATTAAAAAATACACAAGTAATTAAATGTTTAATGTTACATAGTAGGGATTTTAATTTAAATATTTTGAGTCAAAATATTTACAACTTCTAAAAAAAATAAACATTGAACATAATAAAGTAGTACTGTCGATAAATATTTGTAGTAACACATAAACACAAAGGTTTAGAATGTACATGTATATAGAATTCACCATGGCTATCCTCAAATTACATGAAAACATATCAGAGGAGCTTACTTTTTTATCATGTCAAGTGAATAAAATAGTTACCAACTTCAATTTATTGCCTACTTAGGCGGAACCAGGTGGAGTCGAACCACCAACCTCTCAACGCAGCAAATAGCATTGAGCGCTCTCCCAACTTTGAGCTTATGGATCCATTGAAAACGACTCAGCCCTCTCTTTTTAATTATTTGCACTTGGGAACGAGCACTCGAGTTGAGTCATTAAGAGAGAGCATTAAAAACAAAACTCAATATTTTTTTAATCTTGAGAAAACAATTATTTACCATTTTCTGGTGATCTTTTATGGATATAAGCGGAACATGAGCCCCCCAGCTTTAAGTTATAGGCGAGTATATAGGAATGAACACATTATGTTTTCTATACTAGAAAAACGAAATAATTAAGGTAAATTTCAAACACAAGAAAAATTAACACGCAAGCACTAACTAGGCTACAAAATCGTAGCAAGAAAACGCATTAATCAGAGGGCTCGAAATGAAAATTATTTATTATTCAGTTCTGAATTAAGAGTACTTCCCATCCGCAACGTGGATAGCAGGAACAAGAACACCATCTGCACCTCCTTCGCGGGTGTCAATCAAACATTGCAGAATCACATCACAGAAGAGAGTGCAAAATTTCCTGTCCAAAACGTTGATCCAAATCTCCAGCTATATATCTGAGCAATCATTTTGCAGATACACACATCAGAAACAATCGTTGAATGACCATAGGCATGAGAAAACAAACAAATCAAAACCTTGAAAGAGAAACATATTAACAGCTTTCTACCGAAGGGGAATGAAAGGAATCACTTCAACACAGCTGAAAAGCAGCAGCAGCAGCAGCACCGGCAGCATGTGGTTCTTTCACCAAATCAAGTCAGCTGCACAACAATGAACTCAAGGGTCGAAGATCTTCGGAGGACACAAAACTTGAACTGCAACACCAGCATCTTGAGTCTGCAGGCTTCCTCTCACCCATTAGCCACAACAGCAAAGCAACGAAACTTGAGAAGCAGCATCTATCTTCAAACCAGATCCCTCTTTCAAGCCATGGAAGTGTAGTGTAATCCAGCTCTTACAAATGAGACCCACAACCAAACTGCTTTATCTATTACAAGAAACCATGCCTTCAAACTAACATTCTTAGGAAGAAGGCTTGCCCTTAACACACTATCACCTACCTTGACAATGGTAGATAACTCTCCACAGCCAATATGGTAAAGTGAATATAATCACATAATTATTAGAGTTCAATTGAGAAAAATTTAACAGTTAACAAAAACAAAATCAAGAAATAACAAGCCTGTGTTGCAATTTTGTCTGACATATGAACTTTAATTGCGGTGTGGTTAATATGCGTGACTATCAAGAAATTATTGTAGTTCATATGTTGTGTACAAGAAATTAATACCAGAATAGAGCCTCCAGCGTTAACAGCTTTGATTGCTTTTAGAGTGCAGGACTGCATTTATTTTAGGTGATTCAAAGATGGGAGAATGAAATAAGTTGAAGCTAGTCATAATTTTTGCTTGAGCTCGCCAAGAGAATAATGAATTGCAATGTTCAATTTTAGGGTCTGGTTAACATACTATTAAAGATGAATCATGCTCTTTGAGGAGAAGATTTTGTTAATAATAAGAAACTGCGGCAAAAATATGTACTATACTATTTTTCAATTTAAACAATTAACCAAAAACTTCCGTTGCTTGAGCTCAACGAGAAAATAATGAATTGTAACGTTGAATTTTTTGGGTCTTGTTAACATACTCTTAACGATGGATGAATTTCTTACTAATCAGGGATTATGTGGCAAAAATATCTATGATGCTATTTTTCAATTTAAATAATTAACCAAAAACTTAAAAGTTGCTGTAATTAAAATGAACAATAAATTGTATGTACCTCAAACTGATATTGTTGATTCAGATGACGATCCCGATATTGCATATGCTTGCTGACGAACTTTTATCGCAAACAATTTGTACATGCTTTGGAGATGAATGGGTGCTAGCGTTTGTTAGATGATGTCATAACAAACCACGCAACCCATTCATCACCAAACACCATTGATGTATTGCCGAGTATTGAACTTAAGCGAGCACGATCAAGGAGAATAATAGAAGGGGGAGGGGGCAAGAGACGAGACAACACAGAGGGGAGAGCCGGGCAAATCCCCGTACCATCTCCCCTCGAAACAAAAAACCTCAACTTTTATTATGCGGTGACCTGCCATGCGAGCGCACCCAACATGGCAAAGGTCATTCCAAACACACGCAGTGTCCTCACCTCTCACGATTTTTTTCACAAATTTCATCCCTCGCTCTCTTTTTTTACATAAAACTCCCTCAAAGTAACTATAAGCATAAATTTAGCAGAATAACAAAAAGAAATAGCACAAACCATTTTGCCGTAACCGTACGAAGGCGCTGCTAGCGCAAATCCGGCCGACAACTGTAACGAACACGGTAGTCCGTGAAAGGAACATCGGAAGGTTCGAAGAGCAAGCCAATTCACAACTTCGGGCGAAAAGACTCGGATCCGCTTCAGGCACCACTCTTGAACCTGCTAGATTGATATTCCAGGAAGCAAAAATTAAAAGAACAGTCGACGAATATGCTGATAAACCTCAGAACATGAAAATACAAAATAAACGGAAAAAACAACTACAAATCCGTCCAAACAACTAGCAAATTCAAACGATCTGGTACGCGTAGGCAGGGAAACCACGCATCCATAGATTATAGAATCAAAACATAAAATACCTCAACCGATCTTCCAGATGCTGATACATACCCATCGATCTCCTCGATCGAACATCTACGCGACGGATCAAACCTCAAGAAATCATACAACCGACAGGACGAAACCTCCGACGGCCAAACTCAGATCGTAAAACCAAAAACCTAAAAGCCATAGCCAAAAGGTAGATCGGCTCTCGATCTACAAGAATATGCGAGTATTACGCCCGTCGGAGAAGCTCCGTCGCCTAGATCTACGAAACGAAGAGCGTCGTCTACCTGCGGCGGCGAAGGAAGAGAATGAGTTACGATTAGGGTAACGAGGGTAAGGGGATATTTATGGATGAGGTGGGAAGATCCAACGGCTGGAAATTGTGATGGTAAAATATTTCAACGGCTGGATGAGGATCTATGATGTAGGGTTTGAAAGGTTCAATAATTGCGTAAATAGTAAGGCGGTTTAATCGGACGGCTGTGATTGAATCGTTGAAAGGGAAGGATCTAGAATATCGGGTTACGTATCACATAGGGACAGCTAATGCAGCGTGTTTCATCTCTATACGCACGTTTCTCGAATTACCGTAATTACCTTTTTAGCCTCGTAGAATTTGCGTGAATTAAAAGCGAATACTTTTCTGGACGATTTTACCCTTATAAGTAGACGCACGTACTTTTGTGACTTTTTTAGCCTTGGACATTCACGTTAATCAGGCGCAGTACTTTTGTGACCATTTTATCCTTATAAGGTTTTGCGTTAATTAGACGCACGTAACTTTTGTGGACGAATATGAACTCCATTCCCACTCACGCGGTTGATAAGCAAACTCGAATCTTCATACACGAAATCCTAAACCCTTTGCCAAGAACACTGATCTGAATCATTCGTTGTGAATTCATGCTCCATTTCGCTAAATTCCGTTCCAATTCCTACCGTCGCTTATTATTCCACCGACTTAAAATTCCCATTTTTGTGATTGCCCTTTTTTCTCATGGATTATTCAATTGTTCCCATTTGCAGAGATTCGGGCACTTTTTTCCCGGACTATATGTAGGTGAATGCGAGAACGTGTATGGTTGGTGCTGCGATCAGGTTTATTCAGAAACCGGGTAATTCTCGCTGCATTCAATTTTGCGCGTGTTCGATTTTAGTTGCTAGATTTTGTGGTGATCTGGAAATGCTTTGTTTATTGGTATTGCAAAGTTGATGCTAGCTTTGGTCTTTGCTTTTTAACAAATCAGTCTTGCTCCGCGGAGTGGAATTGGGCACTTGAGTTGAAATTTTGCTCTTTGATCTATATCAGACTTCATATCTCGATATGTGTATTGTGTTAATTCGTTGGACTTGACCTTCATGTTTTGGTGGACGTAGGAACTTTGTTTGATCAGTTTCAATTTTTTGGAGATAAATCATGGGCCACTCGAGAAATGTAAGTTGCACACGCATGATCATATGATCCATTATGTAAGTATGACTTGTCGTTAGATAAGACAGTCTTTTCATAGCATTTGTTCTTCAAATGCAGGAATTCCATCAAAATAATCAGCAGAGTGATCCTGGTATGCCTTCTCAACTAATCCGAAATTCTGCAATAACAGATGTTTTTTGCTGTTTATTAGAAAAACACATTTCTCATGTGAGCCATATCTTTGTGCAGCTGCAGCAATACGCAATGGGAAAGAAGTTATATTGCAGGTGAGTAGATAGCACCACAATCATCTTTATTCAATTGATAGGATAATAGATATGGGCATACTGTAAAATTATTCTCTGCTTTGCCAAAATGATTGCTTTAGAGTGCTAATATATTTGAATATTAAATTTATTATGAAGTATTTGAGTACTTTAGAAAAATCTAAAAACTAACTGTTCAAATCCATACATAAGATATCTGAATGCACCAACACTAAAATTTACTTAAAATTTAATGTCTTAGATTTCATAGATTGAGTTTTAATGGTATTTAGTAAGCAAGCTGATATGTTTAAAGAATATTATGATATTCTGTTAAAGTATATGTTGATCTTTTGCTTTCCAGGCCTTCAATTGGGAATCTCATAAACATGATTGGTGGAGGAACTTGGAGAAAAAGGTTCCCGATATTGCCAAGTCTGGTTTTACATCAGCTTGGTTGCCCCCGCCCACAAACTCTTTTGCACCAGAAGGTAGAGAAAAACTAACTTGATGGTCATCCTCTATTAACCTCACATTCTTATTTTTGTCGTTTTAGTACTGATTCTCTTAATTGGCAGGATATTTGCCACAGAACCTTTACTCCCTTAATTCTTCATATGGTTCTGAGCATCTGTTGAAAGCTTTACTGAACAAGATGAAAACATACAAAGTCAGAGCAATGGCGGATATAGTCATAAACCATCGAGTTGGAACCACCAAAGGGCATGGTGGAATGTACAATCGTTATGATGGAATTCCATTGCCATGGGATGAGCATGCAGTTACGTCTGATACTGGGGGATGGGTAAGGACATTGCAGCTAATTAGGACTTTTCGATAGGAGAGATGCAGTAGTGATGTGATGTAGATCATGCTTGACTTTTGGTGTACAGGATTGCTTAAATGCCTAAAAAGTAACTAATTGAATATGGGCCTTGATTGCATTTTGATGAAATAATCGAGGCACTATTCTTTGATCTTATATTAAATCCATTATAAAGGTGTTTATTTTGCTGTTATTTTTGCCATTGTGGCATGCTTACTTCATTTTTTTTCTGTTGATTAAACCACAGGGGAATAAAAGTACTGGTGACAACTTCAATGGAGTCCCAAATATTGATCATACACAACAGTTTGTCCGAAAAGACATAACCAACTGGCTTCGATGGTTGCGCAATGATGTTGGTTTCCAGGATTTCCGCTTTGACTTTGCTCGAGGGTCAGCATTATATTCATATATTTTAAGTTTGTGTTGTAAGAACTTGTTTAATTCAGTAACTCCCTTTATGACTAATCCACTATTGTTGCAGTTATTCTCCAAAATATGTGAAAGAATACATTGAGAATGCAAAACCAATATTTTCTGTTGGGGAATATTGGGATTCTTGCAACTACAAAGGGAGCTACTTGGAGTACAACCAAGGTACAAATTTTCTGCTAGAATGCTTGTAGCCCGATACATTTTGAATTCCACAACTTAATTCTTGTCATTTAATTAATCTGTCTAGGCATCTTATTAATTTCCCTGGAATAATTCATTTTATTGATGTATTGTGGTGTTGAGCCTTTGTCACATATTGGGCTCTTTTTGTTCAAGTACTATTCATCCCCCGATGTTTATTTCGTATATCCCGTGCAATTTTATGGATTAATGGGGTGAACAACATTTCTTTTCATGGCATGGCTTTATTTTGATCATGTCTTGTGGTGTTTTATTCTCTTCAAAACATATGCAGACAGTCACAGGCAAAGAATTATTGACTGGATCGATGGCACAGGACAACTATCAGCTGCATTTGATTTCACAACAAAGGGAATTCTGCAGGTAATTAATATATTCCATGAACGTTGCGTGTTTATACTTCATGGAATTAAAACATTTCATTCTCGATAGAAATACAAAACCGTAAAAGAGCAATGGCCGCGTATATAAATTCTTAGAATACACATTGAAGATGTTGGAATAAATGGGCTAACACAAACCTACCCTCCACCTATGAAAGCAATTCTCTCACGGTTCAATACACGTCCATATTCTGTATTCAGGAAGCTGTTAAAGGACAACTCTGGCGACTGCGTGATGCTCACGGGAAGCCACCGGGTGTTATGGGGTGGTGGCCTTCAAGGGCTGTTACATTTCTTGATAACCACGACACCGGATCAACTCAGGTTCTTATTTCCTTACACTTGTAAAATTTCAGATGATAATAACAATGCCGGCGAAAAAAAATTTCTCCAATCAATGTCGAATTGCAGAAGCTACTCGAATAATTTTGGCGACTATTTGATCCCGCACAAATAACATTCTCTTGATTGACACGAAACTTTTAACGCATTAAAGTTTTAACTACCATAAGTGTTTCTTTCTGTAGGCACATTGGCCATTTCCATCACACCATGTTATGGAGGTACCCATCCATTACAAACTTTGCTTGATTAATAATGCATCTACCTGTGTCATCTTATTTTGAACGTGGGTGACGATGCTTGACAGGGATATGCCTACATACTCACACATCCAGGAGTACCTTCCGTATTCTACGACCATCTCTACGACTGGGGCAATTCATTTCATGACGAAATTGTTAAGCTGGTAAGCCTTTCTGAGTATTCATTGTCATCGACTCGACTAAGTTTACATACAGCATGATCGAGCTCATGCATTGATCTCGAATTTGCAGATCGATGTTAGGAGACAACAAGGACTTCACAGCCGGTCATCGATCACCATCCTGGAAGCACAACCGAATCTGTACGCTGCAAACATTGGAGACAAAGTATCGATGAAGATTGGCGATGGTTCGTGGTGCCCCTCCGGGAAGGAGTGGGCATTGGTGACGAGCGGACATCAGTATGCCGTCTGGAAGAAATAGGTTACAACAAAATAGACTGCTTATAAAGGTACTGCGTTTGCAAACCATATAAATAAATGGCTTCGTCTCTACTTGAGATATATATATATATATGTATGTATATGTATTGCTCTTATGTTATTGTTAGTTGGAATTAGTGTATTGTGATAAGGTCCCTATTGACCATTCCAGATATCAATATATTGGGGTGTGTTTGGTTGAGTGATTTGCTAGTGAAAGTTATATTATTTAATTTATAATATAGTATATACATTTAAAATAGATCTAAGATGTATTATGGGGTTTGTTCTTCCAATAAATTTTATACTAACCTGATTTTTAATATTTTATATTATTGAATCATGCGATTATATATTACTAAGAAAACAGCAATCACTTCTAACACCTCCTCAAACATATTCAAAAAGATTACTCATAGTTCCGATCAAAAAAAAATAAAAAAGATTACTCATAGTTACATAAATTACACAATACTAAAAATCATTTATTAACAAAATATTTTGAAACAATACATTTTGTCGACAATTATGGGCTGATCCGATGATGATGATGATTGTGTCAACAACATCGAGGGTTTGTATCGACGAAGATACAAATTGAAGACCCAAACTTGTCTTCAGCCCAATCAAATAAGAAATTTGTTAGAGTGAATATTCTTATGTTTATAAATTTACCTTTATAATAGAATATAAGGTGAAGGAAAAAAGATTTGAGAAGTATAGAAAAATCTGAATATAATTCAAGAATGTGATCGTTTGTAGACTCTTGGGTAGAAAGGGAGATAGACACTAGTTCGTTGAGTTGATGGCGATGAGAATGATAGATTAAGGGTGAGGTATCTTCAAGAAAGAGTGAGATAGATTTCTAGACAGATCTAACTTTAATTGTATCCATGGAATTTCATGTTTCGATTGCTTTGATAGTGAAATTCGCCTGAGTTGAAACCCAGATGTAAATAGTTGATGACCAAACTGAGTTATCAATTGTTTTGCATTTTATGTTTTAGTCGTCATCAGTTTGTTGATTTGGACGAACAACCTTAGAGCCTGATTCTGTGAGTGGTCTTAGCGTTGAGATATTTGCTGCCGTATGATTTGGAGCGAATTTGAGGTCAACAAAATTCTTACTTTATTTACTTATAATTAATATAAATTAATTTTTATATAAAAATATATATATAAATATAAATATTAATTAAATCCCACATATGATATTATATAATTAATTAAATTAATTTATATTTTTTTTAAATATATTTTATTAAAAGATATATTAATTAATTAAATTTATCTACACTATTTAATATAAAATATTTATATTATTAATATAATTTGTAAACAACAATAAAATAAAATAACAAACCCTAACACGGCGGCAGAAAGCGGCAACAATCCCAAACCCTAGCCTTAGCTTCTGAAATTTCTATTTAAGCCTCCAGTGGCCGCCGCATCCTACATACCGCAATCACTCTTTCATGATTTTGATCCCAATCTCTATTGCTTACTTCTGTTTTGTTCGTCTTCTGCAAAACGGAAGCAATTTACGGTTGTTTCTTGATTGATATTTTTTTTTATTGCATCCGGTTTACCCTCTCCTTGCAAGAATTTGTTGTTTTCATGGAGATATAGCTGATGCAGATACTGAATTGGATGGCTTACCAGCGCACTGCACTGTATTGCATTGATGTCAAATGGACCTTCCTATATTCTTTATTTCTTGTTCAGTTTTCAATAATCTGGTTGATTTTTTTTTCCAGTTTTTGTTTGGTTTTAGTAAATTGTTGGAATTTCTGAAGGTCTGAATTTGGCGTGGCAGATGATGTGATATTAAATCTTATCCTACACACTGAATACTCGTGTTGATTTCTTACTCCGCTTATTATCTGATGCCATTCTCTGTTTAGGCATTCAAATTATTGTCTTCCTGGAGCACTTTATGCAAGATCTTTTTGTTTTTCCGAAAAAATCATTTAATGCGGCAATTAGGCTTATGAGATTGCTTCCTTGTTACAAGATCGGTTTTAATTTTTATTTTCACGTGAGTTTGAATGGTCACTCTGTTGAATGATTCGAAGTGAATACGAATGTTTAGAAATTTGGAAGCAATGAAGGCAATTGATGCAATTTTCTTATTATACACACTGAATATCTGTGTGGACTAAACTCCGCTTATTATCTGATGCCTTGGGTTTTCACATTATATTTGGGTTTTCACATTTTGAGGCATTTCTTGAAAATGCGGCTGATGAGTAGAAATTTTTTATGTGAATATTTTAGGTCTTGACCTTCAATTCCGCTTCATGGTTTCATGGCCCTTTGAACTGTTTCTTTTAATCTGTTTACTTTTTGAGAATTTTCTGTTTTATAGTTTAATTTGGCCATTCTATGATGAGAAAAAGCAGACGGGCGGGCAGAAACTGATGCCGTGTTGAATGTCTGCAAAATTCCTGTTGGGAATGCATCTGAGATTAGGTTTTGCTACATGACATAGTTTTGATTTGTTAACTTTTTTATGCTGTGATGAACTCTTTGAAACAAATGAAGCTTTCTTATGATTATTGATTATGAGTTATGAGCAAATGAATCTGTGTTTATTGTATTTATCTATAATTTGTTATCTATCTTTGCTACTAATCTTCTAGAATCTGTCATAATTCTGTCTACCTTGTTAGGGATTTCATTATTTGACATCCCAAAATTGTGATGTTGCAATGATGCTGAAAACTACCTATTTCCTGATGGGAGTTTAATCTCCATCTGATTATCGAAACCAATGGATCCTGCTGAGCCTCTTTTATTGTTAATTTGTAAACTATATTTTTGTGGCCTTTTCAGTTGGATTTCTTGAATATGGTGTGGTTTGCTGAATTCTGTGGATTTAAAATTTGTTGAGCCATCGAAGGGATGAGTGCGTACCCAGATATGTTAGATGATGATCAAAAAATCCTTCCAGACTACAATTATCTGATCGATGGTTCTTGACAAAATGTGGTTTTATTTATCATTTTCTTCAATTCAAACCTTGTGTTTATATATATACCCCCATATTCATAACAAGTTAATTTATTTGGAGCCCCCTATGATGTGAAGATATTCAAAATGTTTCAGCCTTGTCTGAATATTCATTGTTGAAAATTTCTTTCTGAGGGATCACTGTCCTTTCATTGGGTATATATGGTTTTTGTTATTCCCTTACATTTTTCTAAAATTTAATATTTGTGATTTTTTTTCAATATTTGATTAAAAATATAAAATACATTGTACAACTTTTCACATGCCTTGTGCTACAAAAATAAATTATCTTAAGTTTTGTGAAGACTTGAGCTATGCATTGTCTTTGTTTTGCAGACCTCGCTGCCATTGCTAAAGACTGTTAGTAGCACAAGATCAGTATTGATGGAGCTTTGTTGGTACTGCTTGTGGTTGCCAATTTTAATCAATTTTCATGTATGAAGGTAGTGCTGCAACTAAATTGTTGTTTGAGAATGGAACTCAATTTGTGATCATTAGGAGGATAATTTCCCAATTTAATGAGAAATATGCCCTTAGCTCTAAGTTATTTTCTTTTTCCAATGTTTTTGAATATTTACATATGTTGAGATGATTTTATATTTGCATATTACCATTGTGAAGTTTCATGTGTATGTTCTAGTGTAAGTTTATTACTCTTTTTGTCTCATTTTATTTTTGTCCCGTTTCATCTTATTTGTCTTTTTAAAAGAAAATTTTAATTTATAATTATTTACTAATCATATTTTTTTTGAATTGTTGAAGAGGAAATGGTGGTAAAAGAATAAATTCAATTAATATGTATGATTGATTATTGATATATAGATAAAGTACAACAATGTGTTACTCGATGATCGACGATACAAGATAGCAAAACATTATTGACGCGATACTAGTAATCAAAGAGTCTATAATTTTATAAGTATTGTATGTTATTCGGATAGAAGATTACTTGGCGTCGGTGCTTGTGCAGGAGATGATGGCAAAAGTGGGGTAAACGCCGGAGGAAGACTAGGCGTCGGTGTAGGCGACTCTATCGGAGATGGTGGGAAAATTGGTGTAGGCGACTCTATCGGAGATGGTGGGAAAATTGGTGTAGGAGCCTCAATTGGAGGTGGTGGTGGTGGTGCAATCGGAGGTTGGGATGGTGGTAGAGTAGTTTCCGGCGGTGGGGGCGGGGGTGAGCAAAAGATTTGAGGCGGACGACCGATTATGATTCTAATACATAATTTTGGGATATGGCGCGCATTTGTGGCGCCAAATTCCGCACAAATGATGATAGCTACAAATACAACACACAATTTGGATTCCATTTTTGCCTATATTTTTTAGAACAAATATTGATTTTTCTCAATGTTGAAATGGGAATTGTGATTCATGTATTTATAGGAAAAGAATTTGTCACATTTAGGGTTGTAGTCAATTAATTCATTGTTGACTAAAAGCATCTCTTAATTCACAACTTTTATTCCATTTACATTAAATAGTTTTTTTTTTTATAATATATATTTATTTTAAATTACTCCTCCTTTATGCAAATGTGTGCTCATTTGACGGGCACATGTTTTAATAAAAATGAATAATAATTGTTACTTTTTCAAAAATATAATAATTTTTTATTTAAAAAAAATGAGAATATTTTTCAATGATAATTCAAAAAAGAAAGTGAGCATAGATTTTATTTAACACTTTCTATATATTCAAAGTACAAATACAAATAAATACACCCTAAATGTTTATTTGAAGTATTTTAATTTGATATTTTGTGAACAACAAAAAAAAAATTATTTTATTGAGAACATATTTTGATTTCAATCAAAACCAGACACATCTTTAATATCGAATGTTTTGATAATATTTTATCATTTTAAAATTTAACATTTAATTTTATGGGATTATTCGAATGACAAAAACATTCACCAATTGCGGTGGAGTGTTGGGCTAGCTAATTAAAATATGTTATAAAGTCACTAACATTAATATATATATATATATATGTTATTTATGTCAAAGGTATACAAAAAAATCTCAAAAATATTATTCAATATGTAATCTAATATTTCAATATTCGGGTGAGTTTTTTTAGTCACTTTGTTTACATACATAGTAGAACTATCATTGTGATATTTTATATAAAAATGAATCTTAGATATAATATATATTTTTTTTTATAAAATTAAATTAAATAGTTTTTTGGGGCATGTTTGATTTATATCTATTTTAATATTTTAAATTCAAATAAAATTCGATGTTTAATATATATATATTAATAGAAAATTCTAAAAATTGCATAGTAAAAATATAGAAATAAATAAAACACTTTCACAATTTTGCAAAACGTCAAGGCTATTTTAGGGTGTGTTTTCGAAATTTTAGCGTATTTTGGATTTAAAATTTCTTGAATAAAAAATATGTATTCGATGTAATATTATTTGTTAATATACAATATATTTTTCTATAGATTGTATAGTATAAAAATATGATGGAAAACACAATTAAATATATTCCAAATATTTCAATATTCAAAACAAAATTATGTTGACTACTCATGCAATACTTTATTGTAAACATGGTTCGTTCTTTAAACATTTTAACTCAAAATCAACATTATCATAATTTTTTAATGACAATATACTAATTTTTTTCTCCAAAATATCACATCAAAATACTGTTTAAACAAAAATTCAAATCAATAGTATTTTATTTCAAATCAATTTTAAACCACAACCAAACAAAATAATAATCTTTTAATTTCAATATATGTTTAAAAAATAACCCATTAAGCATTCCCATGTCATATATGTATAGTAATTAGTTTAGGTATAAATCCAAGATCATTTTGAGGGAAGTTTATAGTGATTAGTGATGTCATTAGACACTTTTTCCAAGTTTGGGAAGCTACAACTTTTAATATATTTCATACCTTCTTATTAACATGTTTCGTTCGCCCTTTAATAATCTATCTATTTTTCCATTTTGGTCCGTCCCATAACAAAGTATCTATTTTCTTTTTTTAGTAATGGTACTATTTACTTAACATTACAAATATCCTTTTAATTTACAATATATTACACAAATGTCATTACCTTTGTATCATACAATACTAATAGGGTTAATTTAATATTTTTACCTTTATTTCTACTTTATCTCAATATAATACTAATATTTCTAAACCTATGTTTAAAAAGCAAATTGAAATATAAATATAGGACGGAAGGAGTATTTAATATTTCTTCTAGGGTAAATTATTGAGAATAATTATAAATTACGATGGCCAAGTACCATGAGTTTAATATATATATATATATATATGAGTTTTAACCCAATGTTATAAGTATGATAGATGTATTTTTATAAAATGTTAATTAAATATAAATTATATGTTGTTTATTTTTATATACAATATTTGTCTCACATATATTTGAATGGTTAAACTAATGTTATAATTATATATATTTTCATAAATTGTTAATTAAAATTGAATTATACATTGTTTATATTTATATTCATATTGTTCTCTAAATATTAGGAGTTATTTCATAAAAAGTGTGAGGATATTTATAAATATTGTTGAATAATCGGTTATTTTGCAATCGATTATTTTGTGAGTGAAAATGCGACAGGCCGATGTACCAAATTAATAATTAATTTAGAAGAAATAAATAAATATTATTTATTTATTGTGTACGAGATTTGGTTGATATTTTGGCTATTTTGCCTGTTTCGACACAAACCAAATTGTGCAACCCCAAATTAAACCCGGCTATATGGCCTAAGTCGCAATATTATTTGGATAAAATATTATCCGTTGGACAAATTTATTATAATCTCAAACGGAAGGTTTGAAATTAGAATAAATTACAATCGTTTCAAATAAATTACGATCGTCACAAACGGAAGGTTTGTAATTAGAATCAATTACGACTGCTTCAAACGGAAGGTTTGAATTATAATTAATTATATCGATAATTATGATAGTAATTAATCCCCTGCCATTTTGGCGGAGTAGAGGCGCCTATATAAAGGTCTATCCCTCATTCGAATCACCAACAACAAATAATCCTCTCGTCCTACTCTCCTCTCTTTTAGCTTTTCGGCAGCCTTTCCAACTCAGTTTTTCTCTCGTTTTTTTACGTCGGAACTCCAATGATTAGAGGTGTCACTCTCATTGAAGATGGAAACCGTTTTATCTTTGGGTTAGAATGTCATCCACCAGAGGCACTATCGAGGCGTATTTCATTCTCGACTCGGTTTCACGTTTATTCTCGCTATACCCACACTTTCCAACAAATATTACTCGATAAATAATAATAGTATTTTGTTTGTATCCATATGTCTAAGACTATTAAATATTCTAGATTATTTACCAAACATTGATGAATAGATGTATTATTTGTCTTTGTATGCAATTAAAAGATGTTGAATGAATGTTAAATTTTATTAATATCTATATATATTATGATTTACTAGGGTGTGTTTGTTTTGTGAAAACTATAAGAAGCAAAAATGTTAAAATATATATTAACAAATCTAAAAAATAAATAAAGTAAAATTATAATGTATTTTTATACTGAATTATAATGTTTATATAATAAGAATAAAAATTGAAATCAAATTCTACATAAAGAAAAGTATTTAAATAGCTTTCTTTCCTTTTTTTCTTTCCTTTTGTTTTTCTTTTTTTCCTCCATTTTTTTTATATGATTGAATATAAAACCTCTGCAAAAGTTGATTTATATTCTAACTTTTGAGTTATTATTGAATTTAAATTTTAAAACTATTGGTCTAGCAGTTCTATTTTTCAAATATTTGTTTTACTTAAAATATTACCTTCTATTATCCAACACCAACTTACATCATCCATCAAATATTATTTCCAAATCTATTCTCATTTGAGTTAAATGTGAATTTTAACAAATATATTATTATTATATAAAATAAAAATATACAAAAAATAAATAAAGAGAAAAAAAAATAAAAAATTGATAGATTAAACGTGTACATACCCCTCCCACCCACCCCAACCAACCCAAAATTTCAAAATACTTTTCCATTCAGATTACAGTGTCAACAAAAAAACTCATCAAACAACAAAATACCCCCAAAAACACAATCCTAAATTACAGTTCATAATCTTAACAATCCTATTATATCAAATTCCCAAATTGCTTGACAACTTGTAATAATTCCAAATATCACAAGAATACTCAGCAATTTCCACTGACTTCAACTCTAAGAAAACATTGAATCCTGATTTGAGGAAAAAAAAACCCATCGAGGATCCAAAGGGCCAAGAAAACAAAACAAAACAAACCTCAACTCTAGACTAGTACTAGTAACTACACTACAATAAATTATGAACAACATAACAAAATTGGTAGAGCAAGCATGTACCATTACCTACTGCAATCAAAACTCATTTACAGACATACCTGGGTCGGATCATGTGTGTATTTACAATGTCCTATTACTCGTCGACTGTGTGGATCTCTCCCATCATGATCCTATTGCTGACCACATTAAATCCCAAGACAGATGGGCTCACTTTCTTCCCTTTCTTTCCCTTCTTTTTTCCTCCTTTTGTTGCACCATCGATTGCACCCAATGTACCCTGCTCATTTGCATTGTTATCTCCTGCTGCCGAAACAGTGGGCTTTCGGTCACTGGGATTCTTGAAGGCTATTTCAAGGATGTCAGCAGGTAGAAAGTCTCGATAGTTCAGGAACTTGTCTATGAACTCACGGTTGGCGTCGAGGGAACCAAGATTCTCTACTAGAAGAGTTTCAGCCTCTGATTTTGGTATCTTTAAACAATACTCTAAGATGCTTGTATCTACAAAGAAGATTGTGTGTATGATGATCAGTGCAAACTCTGAGCATGGGCATATACAAGATTTACACACTTTAATGATAAGGCTCGACTGAATCCAGATACCAAACACAAGAATTTAATTGCAGCAAATAATTCTGTGAAAGCTCATTGTGAATCGTGATCTTGACAATAGTGTTACTTTCAGGAAAAAATAAAAAAATAAAACGCAGATTCAGTTTGTACCTTTTGAACCAAGTAGCCTTATGGATTCGCTCTCACACCATTCCCTGAAGTCCATAGCCTCTGCAATATCAACACCGAAAAGGATGTTAATGTTCATCAGCTCTTGGTTTTTAACTTGTGCACAAACGATCATTGACTCCAAAACAGTTACCTGAATTTTTGGTTGAATCAACTTTTTTCCCTTTCACAGATGAATGAGCTTGGGAAGACGGATTGGAAGGTAAGTAATTACTGGATTTGCCACCAGTAGACTTCTGTCGGTTCAACGACCCTCCAAGAGTTCCTTTGACTGGGGTACTTTTGCTTCCCCAGCTGCCCTGGTTACCAAGCTGAGGAAATTCAGACCTGCAGGCACACAGAAGCATCTTATACACAACACAAGATTTCCTTCTGAAAATAACCTTGCACTATACCCCTACACAATATAAGAATTGAATAAAATACAAAACATAACAATTATCAGTTCCCATAGCATCCAGAAAAAGTAATTGAATCCAGAGGGCCATAGTAGTAGCAACTGGAAGTCTGGATGCAGAAACTACGGTATATTATTCACCCACAAACGCTAAGTTGTCTAGTTACCCAAATCTACAGAAAAGGAAAAACTACTAATTCAAAGAGCAACTTCCAAGCCTACCCAGAATCTTATTTCTTACGCTAACAAACTAAAGCTTAGTAATAACTGGCAATAACAGTAGAAATATGGAAGCCTATCCCATATTACTGAATAGTAGTAAGTAGATTTGAAATTTTCAATCGAATGTAAAATACAAAACCAAATGCACGGAGGATAGATAAGAAACAGTAGATTGTAAATGAAAATGGATTCATACAGATTCTCTTCTGCCCTTGATTGCTCTAATGGGCCCCAGAAAAGGTCGTCGTCAACTTTTTGCTTTGTGTACGAAGCAGCTTGTGAGTTGATTGGCACGGGAGTAGCAGCCTTTGCAGGAGATGAGGACCATGAAGGAGCGTTTACTCTAGCAGGTTGAGTTGTAGCAGGTTTTTGAATAGGAGGGTTTGGGATTTCTCTCTTTTCTTGTTCTTTGAGGATCTCCCTCAATGACATTGGCTTTTGAGGTTTTCCAGAATCTGTGGACCATGCAGGGGCAGGAGGACTTGCAGGCTGCTCCCCCTTCCAAAGAACAAAATCTCCCAATGAAGGACCAGACGGAACCGCAGGTAACAAATCCTTTTGTTGCTGCGTCTGGCGAGTACTTTTACCCTTATCAACGGGACTAGATCCAATTGACACATCAACTGGAGCTACAGTAGCAACCTTAGCCCCTGCATTTTTAGCTTTAGACTTTTTATAGCTCTTCCGGATTTCTTTAGCATCAATAAAGTCACCATCATTAAAAGAATCAGTTTGGGAACTCATATTTGAGGTTAAGGGTACCCCATATGCACTTTCAAATATTTCCTTCTCTTTTTCATGTAAATGAGAAACACTACTATCCCAAAATGAATCTTCTTGGCTCTTCTTGATCTGCGCAGTTGAGGAACTGTCTGACTTGGCAACATTTTGTTCTTTGCTGGAGGCATCCTGTGGAATTTCAGTGAGCGTCTTGGGATCTGCTTTCGAGACTACACCAGCCCAAGGAGTGGATGTACTTGTGTGACTCAATGTAGTTGGTATCTCAGAAACTGCAGTCACCTTTTGTACTCTTCTCTGTTCTTCCTGTTGTATCTCCAGTAATGACTTTGGCTTGAATCCAGGAGCAGCTTTCCATGCCCGCTGTCCAGTTTGTGCTTCTATGTTCAACGGAGAAGCATGCGCATCTGGTCCAGTCTGCAGCTTGGTCTCAGCTGCCATGACACCATCTGAATGATCAACAGCAGGCAATGTGATTTGATTAGTTAGAAGATCACCATTATCAGAAACTTTGTTGCCCTTCTTTTTCTCTTTTTTTGTTCCAGATGCCACAGACGAGTTTTCTTGGGCAAGATTTGTCTCAGATTTTGCACTACTGGATGTTGTTTCATCAACTTCTGTGAGCTTTAACTGTTGTGCCTTAGAGATACCCTTGCCTGCATCAGTAGAGGCCTTTGTAGATTTCTGCTTCTTTGACTTCTTCTCAGGTGCCTTTTTTATTTCCCCAGTTTCACGAATTTTTGCTATGTTTCCAGGAGAGGAATCACAAATTTGATGTTTTTGGGCATCTTGTTCTTCAACTGCTCCAACAGGAGTCTCCATCAATTCATTTCCACCCCGATGGGATCCCTCCTCGGCATGACTGAATTCTATATGCTGCTGAGAAATTGATTCTGCCAAATGCTCAATGTCAGAGTTCAAAACTCTAGCAGAATCATTGATGTTTGGTATAGGCTCTGATGTGTGTTCAATTTTCTTCTCTGGCATCTGAAACAAATCTGTAACATCCATCGAACTGGAACCCTTGTGCTGCTCAACATGTCCCAAAAGTGATGCATCCCAGTTATTCTCCTTCACATTATTTACAAAATTTTGCTGTGGCAGATGCATCGAAGTGTCCGAGCCAATCCTGAGGCTAATATCTTGAGCAACACCCGAAGCTAAAGCAAAATCTGGAGTGTTTACACTTACATTGGAAGCTAATGACTGCGAAGCAATCTGAAATAACTCTTGTGGTTGTTGTATATGGATGTGATCAGCATTAGCATTTCCAGCCATAAAACCACCTGCCTGCAATTGTGCAAAGGGTGCCTCACCCAGTCGTTGGATCTGTTCACGCTCAGAGAGCACTTGAGAAAGTAACTGCTGCTGCTGGCGCATTAACTGCTGCTGCTCTTCCTGCTTCTGTTGTTGCTTAAGCAACAGCATTTGATCCAAAATTGGCAAATGCTGCGATGCCACAGAGGTATGTGATTGCTGTTGCAACTGCAGCAAATACTGCTGTTGCAACAAACTAAGTAGTCGAGGATCATCAGACATACCAGAACCAAGAAGATTTTCTTGTGTCAGCATCTTGGAAGGATCAAGAGGTGGATTTAATAAATTAGCTGAGGGTGTAGTATGTGGAGGTAGTCTCTCCTGTTGTATCCCATATGCAGACTGTGGAGGAAAATTCTGATGGTAATGAATGTCCAGCTTATCCTGAAGCGGATTCAAACCACCGGCAGGAAAATTCAACCAACTAGCTGCATTGTTGGCAGTCAAGGGGCGATCAGATGAGCCTGGAAACATGTGCATGGATTCAATATTCTGAGAGTGATGCAGTGTGGAAGAATTGTCTGTGACACACTGTAGTAGCTTCGAGTGAGCAACTGGTGTATCCTTCATATCTGCCGTTGCAACATCTCTTCCAGGCCAGAGTGTGTATGGATTTGGCAGTGATCTCTGCCTTTCCAGCGCCAACATTTTGGCCAATGCATACCGCTCATCTCCACTGTTGCATACCAGAGGAGGTTGCTGTGCAAAGGTGTTATTTCCACACTGACTTTGCATAGCTGCAAATCAACAGTATACTCAGATTAAATAGACCAATACTATCACAAATGCACAAAGCAGACCCGGAAAAAGCAAATAACAAGCTAGCTAATATTTTCCACGATACATTTAAAAGGAAGAGGCATACCCTCTGAAAGAGCAAACTTCTCGAGGGAGCCACCACTCATTTTTCCTGTCATCAGTGACTCCAAAAACCTGTTTTCTGCCTCTGTTGCGGAACCCTGTGTGTACCTTTGATCATTTTTTGTAACATCAGCATCACCTAAAAATGTATTGAGCCCCCCCAAACCACTGTAGTTTAATCTATTAGAGATATCTTGGGGTTCATTTATCTTGGTCATACTAAATCCAGGTGGAGGCCTAGCCTTGGCTCGCAAATGAGGCATCACATCTCCAAGTAAAGAAAAAGGTGAGCTGGGTGGTGCACCACCCAAACGAACTTGCAATTCCAGGCCAAAATATCCAGACTCGAACCATGAAATGATATCACTCCCACTAAAAGGGCCTTGAATTTCACCTTGCGGATCTTTATAGTAAAGAACTAGGTCTTCAGGAGATGGTTGGGAAATCTTATGTGGTTCTGGCTCCCTGTCAAACATCAGAGGAGGTTGTCTTCTTATTACTGGATCATCACCCACCTGCCACTTAGGTCCTCCATTTTTGGTGTTGGGTGAAGCCATCATGCTGGAATCCCAAACATTGTTAAAATCTTTCTGAATATCAGCAGGTACCTCCCTCCGATCAGAAGTTGGACGAGGGCGTTCCACAAAAGACGAAGATCTCCATGAACCCCCATGAAGAATTGAGGAGCTTCCTGGTGATCTTAATTCCTTAGCAGTGGAAATATCACTTTCTTTCTGATGAATACCATAATCCTCCATTAAACCTGAACATAGGGAGCACATTGTTTAAGCATAAAAAAAAAAATACAAAGCAAACAAGTTAACTAAGAATGGAAGACAGCAGAGCTCCTAAATTCTCCATATGAATCACAATTTTTCTGAATGTTATACAAACTTACCATGTTATTCTATGTCAAAGCAAACATTTTCTAACAATGACTCATAAACGATATGTTAGTTTAAGATGTTGGCTCAATTTCCATAGTGAACCTAGTTATCATGTGTCACCAAAAATTGAAACCAAGTAATGAAATTCACCTTCAGAATTCAACTTTTGATCAGAAAAGGCCCTCTTTTCATGGGACAGACCTTCTGAATAATTCAGCAAACCTTCAGCGCTGTCTAGACCATGTTTAGATTCATCAAGAGTTACAGGAAAATCATCCTTAGTACCTGCTCAGATAATTAAAACATCAAGAACACATCGACTGAATGTGCAACCATATAAACAGTTCGGGAAGTTGTGCAATATGGAAATGCCGTACTTAGAAGTTTAATATTACCAATCCTGTTTCGTCTCGTCTGCAAATGGTCGGTTGTGATTCGGCCAGCAGATCCACCATCCTTACTGATCTGTGGAGCACCACTGCTAATGATTTCTCCTTCATCAATGCCCTTCAGGATAACCTACAAAGATACTTAAATAATCAATTCAAGAACAATCAGACAATCAAAAGCTCTAAGATTGTCAACTATGAGATTACCACTTCTTCAGCAGTTGGCTCACAAAAGGCCAGAGGTTCTATAGACTCTTCTTGTGTAAGTGAGGGAACTTGAACATAGCTGCCTTCCAAATATCTTGCATAGCTCACCATGTCAGTTACCCTGTATATGTCGATTAATTTTGTTCGGCTATAGTTTACAGGGTAGAGTTCTCCATGGCCACTTTCACCCTTTTCCACAGCAGATCCCAGAGATTGTAAATTAGATGCCATGTGGGTAACTGAACTCACCCCAGAAGTAACCTTTCCCCTGCCAAGGGAAAAGACGTGAGCAGGGTTTTCCCCGCGTCCACGGCCATGTAAAAATGCGGGGACCTGCTTGTTTGGGGTCAAAGTTTGGTTACCAGGATCCATTCTACCTCTAGCATAGGAAGAGTTCAGTCTCCATGGGCGATAATGATCTCCATCCCTCTCATCCTTGGGAAGATGCGAAGACCCCTTATCTAGGACCCGATCTTTTTTGTTGTAGTCTCCCCACTTGTCGCGTGCAACATCTGTATCTTTGTCATCAGGTCCCCATCGCGTGTTCCATTTGCTCTCCCGATGTAGGTCATGTGTATCTCGGTTACCTGAATCATTCCATCGCTCTCCTGGCACACGGCGTGCTTCTCCAGATTGCCTCCCTGACAAATCAACCTTGCGATCTACCCTGCGGTTATCGCTGTGCTCTCTCTCTCCTTCCCTCCATCGATCTTTGCGGATGGAGGAAATAGTGTCCCTTTCCTCATCTCGCCAGCGGTCTCGGCGACCAGATTCCATATCCAGCACAGAAGGACGAAAAACATCTTTCTTCTTGGGGTGGTCACTGAAATCATCTCCAGTTTCAGTTGGTTTTGCACCAGCAAATTGAGCAGCATGAACTGACAGAGGATTGGAATAGTTCTCCTGCACAAAAAAATGGAATCACTATAACAAGGAGATGGATAGGAACATGATTATTAGCTAATAAAAGCAGAAGCTCAAGTCTACAAGTTGCAAACTACAATAGAAATGGGAAAACCAATATAAACCATAAAGCAAGCACAACACAGAAATTCATTATACAAACCCCAGTAACAGCTCCAGTCTTGCTCTCCCCATGTTTGGGTAAAAGCCACTGTGGTGAAAGTGGAATGGAATTGTCAAGAACTTGAACATCTACATAAATTAGACAGAATGACAGGATTAATTACATAAAACTGAAACAGAAATAAACTGAAGTTGCTAAATATATGTCCTGCTGGTTTGAAAGGTGTAACAGTGATTTCATCATTCATACTATACTGAACAAATTTCACTATCCAACACAAAATGAAATGGTATTAAAAGGTGTTGTTGGTAAAGAAAACTTGAAAAAAAAATAAAAAATGGGAATCTCTGTAAATTACAAAAACTGATTTCAATGAACCCAATTATTTAAAAACCCAGAAAAAACATTGTTTCTAGTCTCTACAGACTAAAATATTACTATTTTAAAATACATATAGAATAGTAAGACAACATATTGACATCAAATAGAACCGTGAATAATTCACACACACCATACAAACATTGACAAAAGAAAAATGCTAATATATGGTGGCTTCAAAAAAACGAGCCTCTCACCCATTCCAGTAAATATCTACGTATAAATATTTTCATTACTTTCGATTTTTTAACTAAAGAAAGTTCCCCAGCATACAATCAAGTCATCGTTGACAATCCCCAAATATAAGCAACTTCAACACCAAATTAAGGCACTGAAACCGTTAACACGGTTCTCGTTCACCGCAGCGCTCCCCACCGTTTAAAAAAATAAAAAAATAAAAAATCATTGACGTACAAGAATCGTAGAACAAGAAGAATACGGCACTCAAATTTACAAACAAAAGCCTTAACCCATAGGCTGCAAATGCAACTCACCCGATTCTAGGGTTTTATCTAAGAACTGAAAATTAACTTAGAAAGACAAAAACCGTCATTGAGTACAGATAACCGACGGCGGAGAGAAGATAAACCTTTCGAGATCTGGTTGGGGCGGGAATCGAGTACGGCGTTGTCAGCCATTAGTGATGGAAGTGTGAGCGAGCGACGGCAAATTTTGAGAACGAGCTATAGTAAGAGAAAACCCTTCTTGATTGACTGCCAAATTGCGCAGAGAGCAGCCCAACTGCAAATGCCAATATAAAACAACACTAATGGAAGTAGTAATAATAATAATAATAATAATAATAATAATAATAATAATAATTTAGATGAAATATGTTTTTGTAATATTAAAGAAATATACAGTTAATATAGAAAAATAATGGGTTTGTTTGCTAGATATATATTTTATCTTATAACAATAATAATATTATTATTATTGTTTAATTTAAAATATTTTTTTATATTATTAATATATTTCATACTTTTTATGATATAAAATAATAGTTTTATTTTATTATTTTCGTCTCTCAAAACAATAGTCTTATTTTTATTTTTAGCAAAAACTCTTTAATATTTTACAAAAATATCCTCAAGTTTTCACAATAACTATATGAAATAGAGGTCTTTTAATCTTTTAAAAATATTTTTAAATCCACAAAAATATTATTATTTCTTAATTCTTGTGCCCATCCAAAATGGGGCAGAGGGGTATATTACATATCAAAAGAATTTCGTCTAAATTAAAACATTGAATAAACAAATCTCAATATTCTCACATTCCATATCTATTTTGTCATTTAACATATTTATTCATTACGGATGTGTTTTATTTCGATATTTTGATTTTGGGTTTTAGTTTTGGATAGTAAAATTTTGAATTAAAATAATTGTTTGATGTTATATAAATATATATTGATACGATGTTTTAAATATAAAATTTAATTTTAATGTAATATATAAAAAAATAAGTGTTTAATTTGATATTTTCATAAATAATAGAAGTTTGGAATAAGAATACCTAAAATCAAATTGCACAAGTAAACACACCAGCTGTTTGCTTGAAAAATAATTTTCGACCTAAAACTTCTCACCGGTAGATTTCCGGGCAACTCGATACGAATCCCCGGTGGTATGCAATAAATTTAAAAACAAATCAAACAAAAATAATCAAATAAAAGACGGTGCAAACGAATTGTATTGATTCAAGATCGATTCAACGTAACTATAACTTTGTGGATTGAGATGTGTTTCTTCCTCGCTGGATTTGTTCTCTTTTTGTCCAAAATCATCTCATTAATTTTTGCATTAAAAATTTCACTCCACTACTCTTTCATAATTGCATGTAACATCTCATTAGAAACCCCAAAATGTCTTTTTTAACCTCATTGTATTATGTATAATCATCAAACCTCCTTAGTGCACTCATCAAAACTTTGTTAATGACAATTAACTCCAAGGATATCCACTCCACTCGTCAACCCTCTCATATCATCGATTGAGCCGGTTTTTCATTGATCTTACATTCTTTTGGGCCGCCACTAACATTATCCACCATCAATTTGAATACTTGAATTTGACGCTAACAAAATTATATTACGTCGGCCTAAGTTATTTTGATCAAATCGATAAAAAATTCTCTAAAAACGGACCGCCATTATTGATGAAATTTTCATGTGGCAACACCAGCCGAATGTTTAATTTTTTTAGTATTTTTTTTTTTACTTTAATAAATACTCTTATATATTTATAATTTCCTCAATATTACAAACAATATTATTAAAAGATAAATGAATTTAACAGTAGGTATTTTTAATCTTTTACCATACTACTATTACATAAAAAAAAAAATTACCAATATTTAACTTTCATATGCAAAACAATTATATTCATGGTAGGTGATATAATATAATTAAAATTTCATTCAATTTATACTTTTAAATGTTGTGTAAAAAGGCAAAATTAGCATAATTAATTTCAAGTATATAATTATACATATTTATAATTTTATTATCATCACTTTAATAGATAATAATTCAATGTATTTTAATAAAAGTAATAAGGTGAGTATAAAATTGCTCACAATATTCGCTTCATAAAATAATTATATATTCGCCTTATTATTTTTAATAATTATTTAATAAATTACTCACAATATTTTTAAGGTGGATTTGTTCTAGGTTTGAATTTTGAATTAAATAATAAATTTTTTGAATTGAAATAGTTTTTAAACTTCTGATTTCAACAATTTAAATGGATATTATTTAATAAAAAATAAAAAATTAAATAATATTATTAGAGAAAATATATATTTATTTTTAATTTAAATAATATGATGGATAACAATATTATATATATTACAAATTAAATATAGTTAATTGTTTTATATTTTAAAAATATTACACAATATTTGAAATATACTTATAAAAAAAAGACAAATATTATATAATATTTAAAATGCAAAGAGTATTATTTTTTATTATTCGTGGAAATATTACCTTTTTATTAAAAATATTTTATATTTTTTAGAATATGTTTGTTTTGCATTTGTTTTTAATGAATATTATATATATAGTATACAAAATCATATCAACTAAAAATTATTGAGTAAATATATGTTTGTTTATATAAAATGACAAATTTTTTTAGTTCGGCCATGATTTATTTATTTTATTTTTGATAAAATTATTCATAATTCTCTTGTGGTTTCGAAATTCGGCGTAAATCCTCAATTTACTCCCTTTATACTTTAAACAATGTAGCATGAAGATCTACCATGATTTTAAAACTTAGCGTAACTCCTCGCTTTATTTTAAAAAATTGCATGACGCTCTCTTGTACTTTAAAAAATATTGTATGAAACTCCTAGAAAATCATATTCTCATCACCCAAGAAAGTTTTCACGGTGATAAAAATTTATGCAACATTTTTTAAAGTATACAGGTGTCTTGCAACTTTTAAAGTACATTAATATTTTATGCTAAATTTTCAAATAATAAGGGAATTATGGACAATTTTATATTTATTTTTTAAAAATAATTATATATTATAATACAATTTTAAATTTATAATCAATAAATTTATAATTTTAATTTATATTTATTGATATTATATAATAATTATTTATATTAATATATTTTTTAATTATTTACTAATTTATTACTTTTAAAATTTTAAGAATTTAAACTCTTTCAAAAACCTTTGTAGGTGTCCTAAATAAAAAAATGAAAACAAAATAAAACGAAAAAGATAAAACTGTGGGTGAGAAATGGCGGGAGCCATTGGCGCCATTATTTTTATTTTATTTTTGAAGTAACAACTTCCCCCAATTTAATGGCCTCATTGAGTTCACCCCCCAAAAACTCTAGACCATCGATAACACTCAATTCGATTCCATCGGCGGCAAGATCACCTCGCTTGATCCGTTTTCTACCGCAGATAATGGCGCAATCGGTCGACCAAATCGCTGAATGCAACGACATTTCCGACCAAGTTTCGAAGCTCCAACAAAACGGCGTTTCGAAAGACAAGCCGAATGAAATCGCTCCATTTTTTAGGGTTAAGAAGCTCTCAGAGAAAGCTACACTGCCTTCCAGGGGGTCTCCACTTTCCGCTGGCTACGATCTCTCCAGGTTTGATTTGTTGGCACTCTTTTGGATTTGTTCTTATTCATTTTTCATTTCAGCGTCGTTTATCTGTTGCTTTCCATTTCTGTAGCGCAGCAGATGCTAAAGTGCCAGCTAGAGGCAAAGCTCTAATCCCCACCGATCTTAGCATCGCCATCCCCGAAGGAACTTACGCACGCGGTGGTAATCTTCTTATAATTGAAACATTACTTACTTTTGATTTCGTGTTCCAATTTCTGCTCAATCTTCGTAAGTAGAAAATTGCAAAAAACACAAGCAATATCATATACTCTAAAAACGATTGTAAAACTACAACACTAAATGTTAATCATTTGATGATTCTTTGTTTGTACTTTTGGTGTTGATTTTGGCAGCTCCAAGATCAGGTTTAGCTTTGAAACATTGTGTGGATGTGGGGGCAGGGGTGATTGATGCTGATTACAGAGGTCCGGTGAAGGTGATTCTGTTCAACCATTCGGATGTGGATTTTGAAGTGAAGATTGGGGACAGGATTGCCCAATTGATCATTCAGAAAATTGTGACTCCTGAGGTAATGGAGGTGGATGATCTTGATGCCACGGTTAGAGGAGACGGAGGGTTTGGATCTACCGGCAATTGAATGAACATATACGATGATGATCGATTGCTCGTGTTAGGGATGGCTTGTTCTACTTCTATGCAGCCTGCACTATATCATTTCGAATATTAGTTGATCTAATACAATATTGGGTGACATTTTGGATATATATGTTCCCCGGTCCTTTCGACGACATGTAAACTCTATGATTTGGTCGACCTCTATTCATTGGTCACTAGACGAACTAATATATGGTAGACAAGATCTAGGTGTATGAACGAGTTCATTTAACATAATAAATAATTTTTTAATTTATAATATATTATATAAATATTACTATTTTTATATTATATAATACTAATAAAAGTATTTTAAAATTTGTATATAAAAAATAAATGACAGTCTTTCAATAGGACAGACGAATTAGTTTTTTGTGTTTCCATACTGCTTGCTTTTTATGTTAAAGAATAATATATCAAAAGCACAAATAGAAATTTTATTAGATAGAGCTCGAAATAACCTTTATAAACAGTTGGCAATTGAATAAATTAGCAGCAGTGTATTGTGCATCTCATGAACCTCCTTCCCCAGGATAACTGCACTTATCATAACCTACACATTTGCAAACACTTATAAATATATATATATATATATAGATATGTAAAAATTATGGATATAATTTTATCTACTTAGTTAAGATTGACATGGAATATTTCTACTACTTACTGGGATTTGTGGAGGTGATGGTGGCGGACTGCGAGAAATCGCAGTTCCAGGGCTTCTTCTCAGATTTTTGGTAGAGCTGATTCATGGCGTACGTCGCATGAGACCTCACTGTGACCGGCTCGAAGCACGAGCCGCCTGGTTGGATTGCGGTGCAATCCACGCCGGGCTGCCCGCACGCGTAGTCGAGATTGGCTTGTAGCTGAGAATCGGAGACGCCGGTGGTTTTGGGGACACACCACCTGGCTAAGCCGTTGGTTGGATTTGGAGCAGCAGCTCGAGTGTTGTTTGAGGGAGGACCCTAATTTCATCACCACCAAACGGGATTTTTATTTTGAATAAAAATTATAGTACGATTTTTAATATAAATATAAATATATATACTTCCTCCAATTTTAACTCATAGTATCATTTTTATAATTTGTCTATCAGACTCCAAAATATTATTTTTTATTTTAGTAAAAGTAATTATACATCAATATCAAAGTACCTTAACTTTTACTTAATTTACAAATATATCATATATATATATATATATACAAAATATGAAATTTCTTACAAACTTCTATTAGTTAATAAAATATTTTATCCGTAAAAGTATCTATTTTTTCATTTTGATCTGTTCCATAACAAAGTATTCATTTCTTTTTAGTAAATGTACTATTTAACTAATATTACAAATACCCTTACAACTTCAAATATATTATACAAATACTATTACTTTTATATTACACAATACTAATAAAGTCATTTTAGTCTTTTCTACTTTATTTCTACTATATTCTAATATAATACTAATATTTCTAAAACTTGAAAAAAAAACAAATGAATACATAGTTACGGGATGAAGAGAGTACTATTATTTTTTAATTTACTACAAAACTTAAAAAAACTCATTTGGATGGAGACCGAGGGAGTACCATATTATAATATTATTTAAATTAAAATTAAAATTCTATTTTAAATTAATTTTAAACAAAAACTAATAGACCTTTATTATATTAGATGAAATACATTGAATTTGTTTGTTTTTTGGAAAAACTTCTCACATATCTCTCAAAAAATTAGTACTCCCATACATCTTAATAAAATATTTATTTATTTTGTACAATATTATATTTAACATTAAAAATATTATTATATTTTCTTCAAATGATACTGCATTTATACTCCATTATACAACATTAATATTTATGTTATCCATAATTAATTATCAATTTACTTTCATTCATATTTATATCATCTAGGGATCACAATAGAATATAGATGGACCCGAGACTTTACCCATTTGTATATTACTGTACCCAAGGCCCTATTCAAACCCGTATGTACTCGGATTATACCCATGTTGTACTCTCCGTACCCGCTAAATCCATAAAATTTTAAAAATCTCAACATAAATTTGACTCGATCAGACCTACCTAAGATATAGAAAATTATATAAAAATAATAAATACGTGTGATATATTAATTTTTTTTAAAAAACATGTAAAAAATTACAAAAGAACACACCATTAGTAACTATAAAGCAAATTACAATACTCTTATTTTTATATTTATATACAATTATATCATTAGCTTTTAGCAAAAATATTTTTCCACAATTAACTACTAATCAATTACTAGTAAAATATTGTCAAAAACAAATATTCATATCAGAATTAGACAAAAAAAAAAAAAAAGTAATAAAAAAAATAATAAAAACATTATCAACCAAACCCATAAATAGAACTTTTTAAAAAAGAATAAATAATAAGCCAATATACTCCTCCGTCTAGAAAATTTCTAAAACTTTATTAATTTTGAATATATTTAATAAATAAAATTTAATTAAATTAAATTTCTAATGTATTATTTGTAATCATTCAAATCTTTTTATTTTTATTTCTCCTAAATAAATATATATTTTATCTATACTTAATTTTCAATTTTTATAATACTAATTTATATTAATAATAATAAATATATAGTTTTATTTATTTATAATTTTTTTTATCTACAAATAAATTTATATTATATATATTTTATTAAAATACAATACATAAAATATTTAAAGACATTTTAAATTAATTATATATTAATTTTTATTTTATTATCAACAATATTATTTATATAAAAAAATAATTTATTATCATTGATTTATTAAGCTTTATCTGTTAAGTGAAATAGTTGAAAAATATTTTATATAGATACAAAATAATTGTGTAAATAATATAAAAAATAAATCTATATACTCTCCCTCCGATGTAAGGTGCATTTGCTTTTTGCAGTAAATTTTTAATATTAATATTATATTGAATTACAATAAAAAAGATAAAAATACCTTATTAGTATGGTGTAATGTAAAAATAATGATATTTGTATAATATATTATAAATTGAAAGGGTATTTATTATGTTAGTTAGATAGTAAAATTAGAAAATGATAATCTTATTTTGAGACATACGAAAATAAAAAAAATGAAAAAATTTCGAAAAAGAAGTAATATATATATTTAAAAAAAATATGTTTAGGAATACATGATTTCCATAAAAAAACACACCCTTATATTTTCATTATTATGTTCAATTTAGTTAAAATAAATAACATTTTAATTATAATTAAAAATAGCATAAAAATAATTTATTTTATTTTATTTTCTAGTATAAAAATTAAAAAAAATTAAATAATTATTTTGTATTATATGTATTCGTGAGTAAACCGCGAGAGTAATACTTAAACACAAATACATCCTTCAAACGGATAAATATTTTTTAAGAGAAAATTATATTTTATACTTAATTTTTATATTAAAAAATGATGATTGCGTTGAAAAATTAGCTGGAATCTAACTAACCTGGGAGGCTGTCGTCTTGGACAATCCAGCGTCATAAATCATGGTCAAATCGGGCTTGAATAGCCCAAACGATCTCTCCGAACTCGGGCCGGGCTTCTGATCCTCGTCGTACAGCGCAAACAAATACGTATCCACAGATTTCCCAGGCATCAATGGCGTCCCCGCCATCGACCTCAGATGGGCAACCAGGTTCCCGTTGTAAGCCCGTGCATTCTCCAGGCCCGGCCCGACTTCATTCCCGTCCCCCTTGTACGGCCACCCTGTCTCCGCCACCACGATCTCCACGCCTTTGAACCCCATCGAATCCAGCGCAGATCTAACCGCATCCACCTCCAGAAATCAATAATTTACCAGAATTTAACGAAAAGTTCTCTATCGATTTCGATCTCTGAAACAAAATTGCAAAAAAAAAAAATCGTGAAAAATTGAAGATATCGAATCGAACAGGACTGACCTGAGCGTCAAACATGTTGGTGTATTTGATTCCGGATCCCGAATCGACCCGACCCGGATTCGGCTGGAACAGGCAGAAGGATAGGGTCTCCGGTCTCGGGTCGCTCCGGTAGGCGAAATACGGGTACGGGTTGATTGCGAAGGGCGAGTCGGTGGCGTTGTTGAATTCTAGAAGGTTCTTCAGCAAGTCCTTGACGTCGGGATCGAAGCTGCCGGACGAAGGCGGATCCGACTGCCGGAGAACCGCCATGGAATGGACGGTGGAGACCTTGATTTTCCCCAAATTGGCGGAGTCAAGGGCGTTCTGGAGATTTCGCATCGCCGGGAGCAGCTGTTGCATCAGGCCGCGGTCGTTGTACGACATCACCTCGTTTCCGACGTTGATGAGGCCGATTTTGCTCGCCGGATGGAAGGGGACGACGTTTCCGGCGATCCAGTTGCTGGCGGCGTTCGGATCCGCCGCCATGGCAGGGATGTCGGAGTTGGAGACTCCGACTGTGATCTCGATTCCGGTGTTCGCTAGGGCTTTGATTACTCCAGGATCCGTACCGTAGAGACGAACCTTCTCGATTGAAGTGGATTGGAGGAGCTTCGCGGTGGTTTCCGGCGGCGGGAGGTTGTCGGCGACCTGGCCGTAGTTCACTCCGATGAACGGCTGCGATTCTGGACAGCCAAACAAATTAAAAAATGAAAAAAGTGAAAAAATTCAAATTCCAGTTAGGGCTAATAATTGAGAACTTACTGGAGAGTGTAGAGAAAGTGAAGAGTGCAGCACAGAGAACCGCCATTGATGAATAGCTTAAGGTCGCCATGGATTGGAGGAAGCAACTGAAAATCTTCTTAATTCAGGTGGATTCAATTGAGGAAAAGGAATGGAATCGAAGGGATGAGAGAAGGAAGGAAAGCATGAGGCTGGAGAAATAGGAGTGAGCATAATAACTAACGTGGGGAGAGTATCTGTAATTCGCTCACTGGAGACGACGAAGGGTATAATAGGAACTTCACGTGTACTTGGGAGTTGAGACCGTCGGTGAGTGAACACAATTAAAATTGATATGCATGTAGCCGTTGAAATATATTTTGTAGTATTATAGTTATGAATGAAATTGACGTTTTAAATGTTGGTTATTGAACGGCGTGTTTGTTGGGATCTTGAATCATATTTTTGATTATATTGAATTATTAAATATATATTGTAAAAATTCATCCGCCTCTAAAAGTTTGCGTTATTTTATTTATATTAAAAAAAAAAAAATTAATATTCAAATATCAACATTAAAAAAATAAATAAGACCCTTAAAGTTACTATATTAATTTATGTCAGCATATTTTATTAGTTTATGTCAGCATATTTTATTGGATAATTGCTAAATTTATGCCCATTATATTTTTAATAAACAGTTTTTTTTTTTTTTAATAAAATAATTAAACTTTTAATCAATTCTTACGTTATAATTAAACAGTTTTAATAATCTTTGTGTTCAATTAAAATTACGTTATTTTTTCTGGGCAAAAAGAGTAAAATTTACACACATGGAACTACAACGTAGAAATTTTTAAAAAGCTGCTGTGTAATGCGTATCGTTGAGAAATTCCCCGCCTTAGCTACTAAGAAATAACTTATTTAAAAGAAATTATAATAATAATAAATGAAGAGAAAAGATGTAACATATTCCCTCCCTCTCATCTCTTTTGGCCGGCTACGAGATACAAATAATTATATATTATACTACCTCCGTTCCACATTCCTTATTTACGGTATTTTAGTAGATAATTAAGAATATATTAGTAAAAATAATCATCTTATAATATAAATAATTATAAATTAAAATTAAGATAACTAGTTACTTTAATTATTTTTTTAAAAAAAATTTAAAAAAATTTAAAATGAGATTAAAATGTATAATTTCAAAAAAGAAAAGTGATATGTGGTATGTGGGACGGACAGAAACGACATCGTGGACATAGTATGTGGGACGGATGGAGCAATATTTAAAATATAATAAAAATATATAATTTTTAAAAATATATATATAACAAAAAATATGGACTGAATTAAAATAGTAGTTGAAAAAACAAAAAAAAATGGAACAGAAGCAGTAAAAAGGAATAGCTTTCCCACAAATATTCATTAATAGCTGAAAGTAATGAAAATGAAGATCCAAAACATGGGGAGCTGGGGGACGACGAAATGAAGTACTCAAAAACAAACATCTCTCCAACCACAACTCACAGAACTTAGGGATGCCAATGGATAGGGTACAGTCGGGAATAGAAATTAAAATAGAAAAAAATAATAAAATTTATTATTTTAATTAATAGGGTCCAGGTCTGGGTTGGATAGGATCTGCTATTAAACCCCGGACCTCACCCGACTCTCAAAAATTTATTAAAGATCCGAACCATACCTGACCCAATACTCAAATAATTAGACCCGATCCTAAATAAATGGAGAGGGTCCAGGTCGGATCTACCCCTACCATTGCCATCCCTAACAAAACCAGAGACACCCAAATTTCAGCTGGGTGACCAAAGGAAGAGGGGTTGGGGGCCAAGGATCCCCTGCCCTCAACAACAAATTCATAATGCCGAACCCAGGAGCAGTTTCATATTTCAATCATCAATATAAAAATTCAGAATAATTAATTAATTACTAATATCCCAAATACCATTTAAAATTTTACATCTATCACCTATTTTCAATTAAATTTTTTTCTTCCTAGTATGAACAAACAAAACCTAAAGATTTCATCAAAAGGATTCCCATATTTCTGGTTCTATACGGTAAAAGATTTCACTGCTTCTAACAGATACAAAGGGCTGTGTCTTACGTTAGACAAATAGACATAACAAACCTCAAAAAGCAGACCTAAATTTCAGGGGAAGAGGAGAATCAAGCGAATGTAAAGTTCAGGTTTAGAGGTACCTGCGGAAAGATGAACTACTGCTTGCCAGAAATGGATACCCCATTTCTCAGGCGGCATCTTGCTGATCATCAAATGAGGCTGCGAGGTATTCGGCGAGGCTAGGCTGTGGAATTGAAATCTTTGAAGATTCAGGAGAAACTTTGGCTCTCTTCATGCTGATGGATTCCGGAAGCCATGATTGTTTGTTAGTCTGATCATCGACACCCTTCCAAATACAGGGAGTCAACATCTTCCATGGATCTTCCACCATCTGCTTACTGTAGTACAAATCAGGCCGTAGCTCAGCTGAAATTGGCTCATGTGAACTAGCTCCTCTCCTCCCACTTGGTCCCGTGCCTCGACCCCTGCCTCTTCCTGAATCATGAGGCTGGCTGCGCCCCCGTTCTGACCAATAATGGGGATTACTGTTGTTCCACTGACCTCTACCCCTGCCTCTGCTGTAAATAGGGCCGGCGAAGTTATTGCCTCCTCCGGACAAATTGGGGGGAGGGCGATAGTTGAATGTACCACCGGATCCTCCCCAAGCATGTGGCGGATTCCCTGGGGGTCTACCAAATCGTCCCATCAGACTTGTGGGAGGGGGAGGGCCCTGATTGAAATGTGTTGCTGGTGCTTGGTACATCCCTGGGGGTCTACCAAATCCTTCCATCGGACTTCTAGGAGGGGGAGGGCCCTGATTGAAATGTGTTGCTGGGGCTTGGTACATTCTCTGACTTGGAGAGTTCTGAGGTGGATATCGATGAACCAGGGGACTAGGACTAGGACTAGGAGTCATACTTTGATATGCAGCTCCTGTAAAACCCGTACAATTCGTTATCTATAGAAAAAGTTTGGCACATAAATAATCTGGTCGAGCGTTTATGAATTTGAACTGATCACAGATAGAAATAGTTCAATGACCTAAATAAACCAGAGCCAAGAAAATTGCTGCATTTTAGACAATAATTTGAAAGAATAGCTATCTATAATTAGCTTCAATAATTACAAAGAATATTATTCAGCTAAAGGAGCATTTCCTATACCAATAATATTTTACAGAATAAGAGACAGTATTAGACCAGTAATAACACAAGATACAGTACTTACTTGGAGGTAAGTTGTGATTACTCCTACTTCCAGAGAATGCAGACATTGGGTCTGTGTAATAATCAAATCTTGGATAATTGTGGGTAGAAATGGTTTCGCTGCTTTCGATTAAGGGATTTGAAAGGCCAGAGAATGGTAATCCAGAACCACCTAGGGCCTCATCAACTCCTGCTTGGGCAGCTTCCATCCGCATTGCCTTCAGCCTTTCCCTTCTTTTCTCGGACTCCTCCATTCCCGCAACTAAATTTTTTAACAGAAATCAGATCCAAGAGATAAACAATTCCATCAAATTCCATCAGAACACTCGTCTGGAAAGTTCGAACCGGAACGGCAAATCACGATACAATTTCAATAACAGAGTTAATGTTATAACTATGAATTGCTGCAACTCGGCTCACTCATATTAAACAATTTATACAAAATGTTTTCTGAAACGGATTAAAAAAAAAAAAAACGAAGAAGAAGCCGCGATCACTATCGAATCATGAGTTCGAGTTCAAAACAACAAAACATTGACCACGTCAAAATTGCTGCAAATGCTCGTAATGAGGAAAGGGGTGAACTTACAATTATCACCGACAATAGATCGCACTGTAGGAGACGAACCCAGGTGAAGATGAAGATTAGGGTTTGATATTTACGTTGAAGACGTTCGATCCACTCCGAATACTATACCACCGTGGAGACCAATGAACCGCCGCTAGACTAGCCCAACCGGTTTCGAACCGCCGGTTTTCAGTTAAACCGGTTGTACAGAATATATTTTGTTTTGAAAAAAATAAAATACAGGAACCTCACCTGCTCCGCTGCTGGTCTGCTCACGTGGTTCGGTGAAGTCGCGAAGAAGAAGATGGAAGAAAGGAAACGGTGAAGAAGAAGAAGGAAATCAAAATACCTACAGTTGGAACCGTTGTCGTCGCGTGCTCCGGTTGGAATTTTCAGAAATTAGAAATGTTGGGGTGCAAGCGCTCGATTCATTTCGACCTTTAGATCTTACTAGATCCAACGGTTAATAAACGAACTCAATAGTCTAGTAACTGGGCCGGGTTCGGGTCAAACTTTATCTATGTATTTATTATACTACTAGTATTTTATTTATCATCATTTTACTCTAAATTCATATGTTGCAATAACTTTTATATTTGAATTGATAATTTTAGTTTATTACAAGGTAAAATTTTTTGCATTAAAACAATTATCTTGTAGGTAATAGTTATTTTTGTATTGGTTCAACTTATATACTTCAAGGATTGTGTTACAATAAGGAATTATTTTACTAAGAAATACATAGATTATTGACAAAAAACATTATAATAAAATGATTCAGCCTACATAGTTCAATATATAATCTATCCTTCAAACAACAAATATAATTCTATCACTATGATAGATCTGTTTATAGATGTTTTCAAAAGCCATATAAAACTAAAGAAACACAACAGCCAAATGCTACAAAGCAAAATCAAGCCCAGCAACAAAACAAGAATAGCCTTAAGCAAAATTAGTATGTATGTATTATGCTTGCAAGACAAAATTTACCAGAACAACCGGCATAAATTCTTCTAAGCAACAGGTGTTACCGTGCAGTTTTATGACGGCGCTCTTTTCTGAAACGTGATTGTTCAGGATCAAATCCACCTTCCTTTGCACCATAGACTGCCCACTGGGGAGTTGGGGCCATGTAATCTTGACTGGTGAAGCTCTCCCCGGCTGAAACCTATCGTAGAAAAAAAAAAGAGTTCATAATTCAGAGAGAGAATTCAATGTGTTGATTGGTAAGACATGGGCAGGTTGCTTACCAGGTCGTGGAACTTTTCGTAGTCTATCCAAGTGTGCCATTGGCCATTGATTTTAAATCTATCGACTTTAGCCAGAAGAACACAGCACGAGTGTTCGTGTTCGCAGGCGACCTCATATGCTCCATTGCTCTTTCGAGCCAGGGCTTCTGAGAACTCTTTCACATCTGAATGCCAGGGAACATTCTCCATTGTTAATTTTGAAGTTGCTGACCTGCAAGAGAGATATAGATGTTGTTTAGGCACTGGATTAGTATATGGCACACCCAGTGAAAACAGGTTGAAGGACCATCTTACGATCCACAATATGTCACTCCCTTGATTTCGATAAAATCAGGATTCCCAACTTCGAACAAGGTAGAATAGGCATCTAACTCTTCTACATTCCATCCTTTAACAAGCGTCAACCTATAAACAGTTCGCTGTTGCTTATCCCTTAGGGCTTTCAAGGACTCCTGTTATTAAATTGGCATTAATCAATTTAGAATACGCGAGGACAAAGAATTACGTTAGAATTGAATGCATAAAGCCAGATAAACAAGATCAAGAATAAGTTTAATGTAAGTCACAAATCCTTGTGCTCACGAATATGATTGTACTACCTAAATAAGATCATATTTTTTCATGGTATATTGAGATTATACATATCCTGAAGAACTTCCTTCACTATCGCTGCAATGAAAGGTCAGACGAGACCAGAATAAAAGGGCGAGATGAAGGGAGCATGGACTTTGTGCTTGATCATGCATATATATGATGTATAATCTCAAATTATATTGTCTAAAAGATCAGTAAATCATCAAGGAAACTCCTAATCATTGATAAACATCAAGATAGAAGTCTTCATACCAAATGAATCAAAATAATACCCACAGGAAGAAGCAGCATAAAATTACTTCATGTTTCAGGCTAAGTTTGGTCACATCGATCTTTTTCCTATTATTACGTTTAATTTTAGGAGAGATCCCTTTGTGCATATTTTTATTTATATTCCTAGAGAATAGACAAAGAGAAATCAGAAATAATAAGAGATCTGATCAAAATCTTGCTTCTAAGGTCCATCTCAAAATAGGTTTGACAGTCCAAGAAACACATTATAGAAGTCTTCAACTAGTATAGTTCAAATTTAATGAAAGAAGCTTACAAGAAATCTCTCCCAGAAGTCACCAAACAGTGGTCTATCAATGGCCTTCAAGCTATCCTTCGTTGCAGCATCTACGCTCACATACAACTGTGTGTTCAAATACAATGTTAAACTTCATTTAGCATATTCAATATTTTTCAGAGTACGTCATTTATAAGAGGCAACGAAAAAAATAAATAAATAAATTAATTAAAATAAAGTAAATCTACCTGTGTGATTGGTTTTAGCATCTTAATTTTTTCAGGGAACTGTGCATTTGTCACAAGAAAAGTTGAGATTCGCCTCCGGTGTAGCTCATCCACAAGAGAGTTGATTTCCGGATACATGATAGGTTCACCAACAAGTGACAATGCACAATGTCTAGGAGAGAGACCCTCTGATAAACGCTCTGCCTTTACCCCTGGGGTCATTTAAGATTCAAAAGTCCAGTCAATGTAGAATCACAAAAGAAAGTAAACAATACAACGAATTAGTAGCAGTCCATGGAACCAGAGTGAAGGTTGGATATGATTTCTTGTAAGAACAGAGTAGGGTTACATGGACAATATATAGAGTGAACGTTTTTAGAACTACTACTATTCACAACTGAAAGGCACAAATCATATAGCAAAAACAAAGTTATGCACAGAAAATAAATAAATAAATAAATAAAATAATAAAAGCACTTGCTATGATGAGTCAATAAGTTCCACCAATTTAACTATGAAAAGCATCTTTAATATTTTTCTTTTCCTGAAATTCTATTAATCCCACTCGGTTATTCTCAAAACAAATCTAATGGATCATGCGGCCATCCTTATCCTAAAAAGTGGATCCAACAAGATTCTTTTGTGGGTAAAAGACATTATTTCTACCTAAAGTGTTCTTCTATAAACCAAGTAATACTTCCATTCATTTTATCCTACGCTAGCTTGAGAGCAGTGGATGCAAGTAGCCTACTCTAACTATCCTTTGCCAATGTGATTAGCAGCTCGAGATGCATAAACAACTAAGGGTGATAGAACTTATCAAACATACCTGGAACTCCTTTCATCTGTCGTATCATCTTCGTGTGCAGATTGATGGCAGTTTCAACAATTTCCAATGGATCGTCCATCTTCCATCGCCAACTTTTCCCAACAGGGTTTGTATGGTGTCTCCAACAAAACACACATTTGTTTGCACATGCTAAACTGGGGGTAGCCTCCATGCACCTAGATAAATGTTGCAAATGCAGAAGCATCATGAGAATCAGTCATTCAAAATGGATACAAAATGCACTAAAGCAGCTGTTATCTTATACACACAGCTTCGCTATAATCAATTAAAACAAGAACCATAATTCATAAAGCTTTGGTTATCCGGAGCTCTAGCAAGTAATGGATCTTTGACATAGCTTTAAGTTTACAGATGATAAATAGGTATAAATATGTCCAATAATATATACAAATACTCCCCAGCATAAATCCCCCAAATTTAAAGACCACAAGTTCACAACTACATCATCCATATAACATAAAGAAGAACAATACCTGTGACTTTCGATACCATAAAATGAGTGCTTATAACAACCTCCACGACCTCTAAGCTGAGACTTGGTCCATCTACAGATTTTAACGCCACTGTGAGAGCCAATAATTTTATACCCCTGCAAGAACACCAGCATGTTCAGGAAAACAGCCTAGAAAAATATAATTAAGAATTATGCTGCCAAGGGCTAAGCAGAAAGTCAGGATAGCAAAACACAAGATTTCTCTCGCAATGGAAAGAAAAATGATTAAGTTGAAAGGAAAATTACAGGCACAGGTTGAGACTGGCAATCTATATGAATCAAGATAGCACAAGCTCCGAAGAAAAAATTCAATGTATCAGATTCAGATATAATACAAGCAGAACTTAAACTCAGCTAGCTGCTCATACCTCAGAAACTTTTAAAAATGATGTAATATCATCAATGTCAAAGGAAAAATCAGATTTCCAACATAGATTATCCCTTAGATGTTAAAACCCTACATAATCTATATGTGCAACTAAGCAAAACAGAAACATTAGCATGAAAAACTGAAGAAACTTGGAAAATAACTGCAATACAAACATCCAATATTCTTGTTTAGTTATCTAACCTGCTTCTCTAAATTAGCTCGAATCACTGGGTTCACCATTTCCTTCTCCCCATTCACAACCTCTCCATTCGACCTACCACTAGCCTTAGATGCCACTGTTGATCTTCTTGATGGCCCATTTCCAGCAATGTCTTCCAGATCAACAATTTCAGATTCACCCCCATTCACATCATCATCATCTTCATCATCATCACTTTCTTCTTCACTAAACTCACTCCCATCTTCACATTCATTCTCAAACCCATTGGAATGTCCATTCTGGCCTGAATTTTCCATCAAAACCTGCACAAGTCTGTTACTCCACCGATCAAAAATCTCATCAACTTTCCCCTCATCCACATCCCCTTCCCCCAACTCCATCAGTGCCTCCCCTCCAAGCTTCCGCAATCTCGCCGCCACATCTCTGGCCACGGCATTATACGTCTCACCATAACTTCCGCTCCCCACACCAAAAACTGCATACCTACATCCCTTCAGAGCAAGCGCTCCAACCCTGAAGTCATCGACGCTCTCCGCTAACCAATTCACCAAAAAACTCCCGTTCTCAGGAGGTCCTCCGTTTTCCCAAGTGGAAGCAACGATCAAAACAAGACTCTCCTTACACAGATCCTCAGGCTCGTAGTCCTTGGGATCGACGAGATCAATAGGTAGATAGTTCCGGATTAGGAGCGCGTGGAGACGCCGCGCTAGGTCTTTGGAAGTGTTTGTCTGCGATAAGAAGAAGATTTTGCCTCTTTCAATTGAACCATCCTTGCGGCTGTCGACGCCGCCAATTCCTAGGTTTTCGTGGAGGAGCGAGAGGAGGCGGCGGTAGCGGTGGCGAGACTTGTAAAAGAAGTACAGCGTAGCTGTGGCGGTGAGGAGGGTAACGAGAGCGGGGCGAGAAGGACGCGTTGACAACGACATGATCGGAAATAGGTCGGCAGTCCAGCCGGCGGCGTTTCAAGAATTAACAGAAAATCGCCGGCGGCATGGCTGAGACAGATCAGAGGTTTTTGAACCTTCGAAACAACGGCGGCGAAGGGTTGGTGTTTTTATTTCATGTTACTGTTGATTTTGTTGAAAATACTTCTAAATAAAAATAATAATTATGAAAAAGAAAAATCTTTATAAAGTTTGAGAATTTTTAAAATAATATTTAATGTAATTATAAAATATAAAAAATATAAAATTTGTAAAAAAGAATACTATGAACATTATAATTTATAAGTTTAAGCTGAATCCTCGTCTAATTTGTATCATCCGAATTTGTGTTTTTTTTTTTTACCTTATACTTATTTTTATTTTTTATTTTATTATAAAAAGTAAAAAAAAAAAAAAAAAAACATCCTTATTAATATTGGTGGCTAAATATTTGAGTACATTTTTAAGTAATAGGGTGAATATATTTTTTAAATTGAATGTTAAAAATAATTAAATATATAAAAATTGTTTGAAGGTATATTACAAAATAATAATTAATATACAATGCTGACTCATTAAGTTAATATTGTACTAATTTGTCTGGCACATCGTATAATTTCACACAATATATGATATAGAGTCAATCAATCATGTTTTATATTAACATAATTAATATTTTCTTTATCCACCTCTAAATTTATAGTATAATTTTTGTATAAATGTCATTATGTTAATATTATAAGATATTAATAGAAGTATTTTTGTTATTTTCTTTTAATTTGTATTATGTTTTGATATAATAATTAATATTAAATCAACGCACAAAAAAAAATAAATGTAATCGTTGGAACTGGACGCATGTAGTATATTGATTGTCTTTCTATTTATATGTCTATATTTTTGTTGTGCGATATTATTACTACTTTGAATTTAACAATAATCCATTATATGTTTAAATATATACTTCCTCCGGTCCATTTCAAATGGGTCATTTAGAATTTTGTAATAAATTAAGAAATAATAGTATTTTATTAGTCAGTGAAAGTGGGTAAAAAATTTTGACATTTTTGTCATTTTAACTTTAATATATAAAATAATTGTATATATAATGGTATATTTGTAATTTAAATAAAAATTATAAATATTTTAGTATTAGTGTATAATTACTTCCTCTAAAATAGAAAATAAATACTTTAAAGTAGGATGAACAAAAATAATAAAAAATATACTTTGAATTAGAGCGGAGAAAATATAATAAATAGTTGATTATACAAATATATTTCAGAAAATAATAAAACAAGACTATCCTTATAATGAAATGTACAATGCCATGAATTTCAAAACATAGATAAGCATATCTAAGTAACAACTAGGCAAAATACAACAACATATTTTGCACAACAACAAAAAAACCAAAATCCAACCAATCTTTTCAAATCCCATTATCATCATTTCGACTATCTAATCCGCTTTTCTTCCGACAATCTACTGGCGGCATGAAATAATCATCAGATAGGCCGACGACATTAAAGCCCACCTCTTCAATTCTCCACGTCTCCTCTAATGTCCACTTTCTCTTGAAATTATTACCGTACCTAAACAGTGTCCCATTAGTCCTTCCTCGATGCGCAATGTTGATACCGTCGACGTACCGGTAGTCTTCGAGCACGGATTCCATGCTCGTCTCGTAGTACACAAAATCGTCCCCTCCGACTACGGGTGTCTTCATCCGAATCAACTTAGAGTCCTCGAATTGGATAAGAAGGCCCGTTCGCTGGCTAAAGTAGCCCCATATGGTGTGGTGAACGATGTCTGTGTTGGCTGTGCTGTGTGCCTTTAGAATGTCGGGGCTCGTCTCTAGCTTTAGGATGAAACAGGCCTCGTTCCCGATCATTTTTTCTCCGATGCATACTGTGTTGAGAAAAAGATTGGCGGTTGATCGAGGATCTAGACCCTGAAGAATGACATTGGTTGTAAATCTTAGGCATGTTCGTCTAATAAAAAAGTTTCGATGTAACTTTTATTAAAAAGATAAACAGATAAATATATAGCAAAACAAATAGATTGAGTGGCGTAGCCAATAGGAACTCAGGGGTATTGGACCCCTAATCATTTTAGTTGTCTATTTTCATCATGTAATATTTGTAAAAATTTTAAATTTTAAGTAACGAGCCTATGAATAAATACAAGTTTTATTATTATTATTATAAATATTCAATTCAAATATTCTAAAAAAAATAGTTTAAACACTCTAAATATTTAAATATATCTGAAAAACAAACTGAAATATTAGCTATTTGTAATTTTATTTTTATTTTATTATATAAATTTAAAATCATTAAATATATTATGGTTGTTCGATAATTTATGTATAATTTATTTATAAAAAAAGTAATTTTATTCTTCTATTTTAATAAATAATACTTCATTCGTTCACACACAAAGTAAACATTTACTTTTGGCGCGGTATTTAAAAAATAATAATATTTTAATTATATAGGGTAGTTAAAAATAGTAAAATAACATTTTTGCCCTTGCTTTTTAGTGTAAAAGTAATGTTATGATGTAAAATAAGGGTATTTATGAAAAAAAAAGTGAGTAATTTAATAAAATGTTTACTTTGTAATTTGACGTTCCACTATAGAAATATGTATAATTTCTAACTAGATGGAGTAATAAATTTGTTATTATTTTTGTTAAATATCATATCACTTTTTTGATTTTTTTTAATAAATTTTCTACTATACTTTTATTTTACTTTTTATATATTCTAAAATATTATTATTTTTAAATTTTCGTATTTAAACAAAATGAAATAAAAATCGCATTAAAAATATATATATTTAGAAGAAAAGAAAAACATTTCAATTATGAAAAAAAAAATTCTAGCATCACCACTGAATGGGGAAGAAGGAAATCTATTTATGTGTTTATTAATTTTTTTATATGTAAAATATAGGAAATTAATAAGTTAATATATAAAAATAATAAATATATATAATATATTAATTTTTTCAAGAAAAAGAACAAAAACAGTTACCTGAAAGAATCGTCGGAGGGGTCGCGGAGGGCCTTTGGAAGCATTGGAGTTGAGAGAGGACTGACTCCAGGAGATGTTGCCATCGCTGCCGGCGCTGATTTTGCTGGCGGCGACCACCAGCTCCAGGTACCACAGGTCCGGGTTCTTCTGCCACACCACAAACCCCCCGCCTTCCCTGCAGCACTTCATCTCATCCTTCTTGCTCCCGGCCTCCGGCGACGTAACCTCCAATTTCACCTCCCCCACCCCGTACATGCTCTTCACGCCGTTCAGCGCCGCCACGCCTCCCGTCGCCGCCATATACTGCTGCACTATGTACTTCGCCGTCGACGCTTGCTGCTCATACCCAATACATCAAACAATTAATTAATTATTTATATTTAATTAAAATTACTCCCTCGTGTGCTCATTTGATCGGGTACGAATTTTAATAAAAGTAAGTAATTATTGTTATTTTATAGTAAAAAATTGTACAAAAATAAAATGATTTTTTAGTTAAAAAGGAAATGAGAATATTTTTCGATGACACCTGAAAAGAAAAGTGAGCATATATTTGAATGACGGAGGAAATATTATTTATATATAGAGAGATGATGGATCGAGAAATACTCCCCCTCGTCTAATCCAATTTTGTGTTAATTTGATCGGACACGAATTTTTTTAAAAAAAATATACTACTTTCGTCCCCGGCTCTAATGATATATTTACTTTTTCTGCATTGATTTTTAAATATTAATTATTATATTAAAATATAGTACAAATCAACAAAAAATGACAAAAATATTTTTATACAAAAAAATTATACAAATAAAATGATAACTTTAATATTACGAATACAATGACAGAAAAGATAAATGTAACCTTAGAGGCGTACGAAATGAGTACTATTTTCGTCTCATTATTTGCCTTTTATGTTATTGTATTAAATATTAAAAATATTTTTATATTTGTATAATTTATTCTATTAATATCATTATATTTATATTATAAAAGATTAATACAAATATTTTTGTAGTTTTCTCTTTATTTATAAAATATACTCCGTCCGTCCTTTATCTATATATCTATTTATTTTTTGCACGGAATTTTAAAAATATTAGTATTATATTGGGATAAAATAAAAATAATGGTAAAAAAATTAAATTAACCCTATTAGTATTGTATAATATAAAGGTAATGAAATTTGTGTAATATATTGTAAATTAGAAAGGTATTTGTAATGTTAGGTATACAGTACAATTACTAAAATGAGTACTTTGTTATAGGACGAACCAAAATAAAAAAATAGATAAATTATTAAGGGAGGGATGAAGTGTTAAAATAGTAATTAATATTTAAAAATCTAATATGCAAATTTACTCTTCTTAATTGACGAAAAGAGTACAAAAATATAAATTTTATCTTTTAAGATAAAAAATAGAATAAAACAGTATTTTTTTTACTGTAGAAAAATAAGAATATATTTTAATGATAATTAAAATAAAAATAAAAATAAATTTGAATGGCATAGGGTTGTTTAGATAGGAATTTTTGAAGATTTTTTAGCATTCGCAAGTTTGAAAAAAAAAAAAAAATAGTATTTGATTTAATATTCTGTAAAAAAAAAATGTATTTGATGCAATATTTATTTAAAAATAAATTCTGTAAAATGAATGAAAGTGTATTGTATAAACAATACGATATATAATATTTATTACGATGGAGCCGTTTTTGACGGGCATGGTGAGGGCGTGGTCGAGCTGGGCGCGGCAAGGGATGAAGGGCGAGCAGACCAGTTTAAGGAGCAGCATGAACTGCTGCTGGCTGCTGCACGCCGATGACGTCACCGCCGCCCACCGGTCGGTGGCGCGTGCCAGGTTCTGCCACCGGTGGGCGGCGCCGCCGCCGCCGCCTGACATGTCTGCGTCGGCGAACATCTCCTCCGGCAGGGGGACCTCAAGGACCGTCTCCAGACCATCCTCCTTGTCCAGATTCGGACACAGCTTCCTCATCGTCGCCATGGCGTCTGATCCCCACGCGCCGCCGCCCCCGCCGCCGCCGACGCCGTGAGGAGAATTGATTGTTATTTAGCTATATATATATATATGCCTATCTATTTTGTTTTTTTTATTTTTTTTTGGGTCTTCAGTGATTTGATGGCAATGGACAAACAAATTATGGAGAGGGAAGAGTCTGATCCACTTTGGGAATTGGAAAGGAAAGAGATGGAGGTCAATGGCCGTTGACCGTTGACCGCTGACCATGCACTGATGGTGTACCAAAGTCGTAGGTTGCGTTGAATCAATGCTCCGAAATTATTTACTTATATTAGTTTGTGGCCTATTTTTTTGTTTCATTTTTTTTATAAGGTGAGAACGGTCGCTATTCCTCAACTACGCTTTGAGGGTGTGTTCGTTTGCATAATTTTACCAAAATTTTATCATTCATTAATTATTTTTTTTCAAAAATATCAAAATTAAATACTTATATTTTATTTTTTATATTATATTAAAAATTAATTTTAATTAAAAACATCACGTCAATACCTATTTATACCACATTATACATTATTAAAATTCAAAATTTTTACTATTCAAATCTTAATTTTGAAATCCAAACTCCCAAACAACCACACTTTGAATAAAGATCAAATGTATTAGCCTGTAAGTCAGTCCCGGCAAGACAAGTTACACCTAGCTACGCTTTTTTTTGCGAACAGAATTTGTTTTTGTTCTGCAAGAGTGAAATAGATCATCCCAGGCTTCAAAAGTCTTATTTATCTTTTGCATTATGATATTTAATATTAAAATATTTTTATATTTGTATAATATTTTTTTATACATATGTCATTAATAGTATTATAAGACAATATTTTTATCATTTTTCATTCATTTGTACTATATTTTTATATAATAATTAATATTAAAAAATTAATACTAACAAATTAAATGAGATCTTTAGAGCATGATAAGATAGTATTTGATACTGCAAAAATAAGTATGCTTTTATTATTATTATTATTATTATTATTATTGAAAACAAGAATTATATAAAAAGAATAAAAAAAATAGAGTATATTTTCTAGGATTTTTCCCAAAAAAAAAAAAAAAAAAAAAAAAGAGGAAAAAAGGATGTGTTTATGCTGGTTTTTAAGCTAATATTTAAGCAATATAAATTTTAACAAAAGCTAAGTTTATTCCGGTCTCGCATTGAAAAAATCGATCCTAATTTTGCGGTCATAATTTTGCCCACAGAAGCTGTCTACAAAATCCACGTAGAGATATATATATATATATATGTATATGGATGATCCTCTATAGTTCCTCTTCAATCTCCAACAATGGTGAAGGCTTCCTTCAAAGCTAGATATGAGCCGGACAAAGTCGCCGCAGCGGCTACTGTGACCGTCAACACTGGAGACGTCAAGCTCCGTGCTTCCATTACCGACGCCACTATCGTCAATGGCCCTACCTTGAACGGACTGGCTTTAGGAGTCGAGAAACCTGGTTTCTTCATCGTTGACTACAACGTCCCCAAAAAGGTGCTCGTATCAATTAAGATCACTCGATTTTGGTTTACGCTGAGGTTTTTTTACTACTGAATTGATAAACCTGTTGCCGCATCGATCGATTTTTTATTTTTATTTTTATTTTTCATGTACTGATTCGAAAATTGCTGCCCTCGCCATGTCCCTCAGCTCATTAATCGAGCTATAATTTCGTGAAATCGGATTAATCTCTGTGAATCGAGCTTGAAAATTGATGTAGGTTTCGGTGATCTTATGCCTGTTTGCAGGATTTTAGGTTTCAGTTTATGAACACCATCAAATTGGCTGAGAAGCCATTGAATTTGACTTACACTCACAGTAAAGGCGATGAGCGGACGGTGTTGGATGGTTCATTGGTGATTGATCCAGATAATAAGGTCTCCGCGAATCATGTGCTTGGCACAGGGGATACAAAATTCAAGTATACCTATATCCATGGAGGATTGACAACATTCGAGCCCTGCTATTGTCTGGTGGGAAATACTTGGAATCTTTCCGTTTCACGCAAGTTTTACGGGAACGATGTGTTCAGGGCTACCTATCAGGCGTCAAGCAAGAACTTGGGGCTGGAGTGGCTAAGGAGTTCCAAGGTGAATGGATCGTTTAAGGTAAATGAATTTAATTTTTTGGAAAATCAATTATGAAGTACTTCTAAGCTTAGTGATTTGCATTGAGGTGCCACTTAATTGTTCTTTTTGATCCATAATCACTGATTGTGAGTTTTGGTGATCATGATTACTGAAAAAGTGTAGCATTTGTGTTTCAATAAGCTTAGAAGAGAAGAATTTTGGCTAAATGGCTAAGTAGATGCAGTTTAATCAAATGGAACAGATGTTCTGCTTTTGATATAGATTGCTAACTTTCCCCAAGTATGATCATATTTCGTATGCTGAGATGAATGGTCGTTTTTGATGAATGGACAATTTTATGATATATTGATTCTTGTTGTCATATGTGTTGTCAGCACAGAGCTAGCTGCTACCATATATATATATATATCTATCGGTTTAAGGTATGTGAGAAAATACTTTGTCCATAATTTGGTCTGTTAGGTAGCTATTGTATTAGCAATTAATTAGCACATAGGCTAGAGCAAGAGCAAGAGCAAGAGCAAGAAGATGGTTAGAGATGTTAGAAACTCGAAGGGTTGCAGATTAAAATGAAAAACTAAATTATATAGATTCTCTAGTCGAATCCAAACTTCTGCCTTCCTTCATATAAGCAAGTTAGTAATTCATCAGCCATTTGACAATTTCAAGATCTACTCATTGGTTTATAAGCTCTGTGGTTCTCTATTTTCTGGTGGTATTCCAAAATTAATCATAGTCAAGATAGTTGATCCTGCTGGTAAAAATGTGCCTGTTCCAAACCCTTTTGTTGTTATCAATGTATGGCTAGTTTGTTTGTGGGAATTATCGCGGAGGGTGTTACTTTCTGAGGTATGTTTAACTAGAAAATAATCTTTGTGTGCAGATCATTGCATCCATGAATTTGGCAGATGAAAAGAAAGTGCCTAAAGTGGCTGTTGAGACAACCTGGGACTTGGAAATATAGTTCCAAAAACTATTTTGTAAAGCTGTAATGAAAGTAAGTTTTCACTTCTACAATTTGTTTTATATGTTTTAATTGGCTTAGTAGTGTCAAACTTCGACTTATTGAACTCATTTGGCCGTATGCCATTAAAAAGTTTGCATTATACTTGCAATTTTAGGGGTGAAAAGTACCTGTAAATTTTATTTTATTTTATTTTATTTTCTGGCAATTGTGTAATAATCAATTAATAATAATGAAAAAGTAAATATAGTTTTAGAGTGATACGATTATTTATGGAAATAAGATTATTATTTTGGGACGGACAAAAATAGCAAACAGGACTATTGTATTGAAACAGAGAGAGTAATATTTTATACATGTTGCTGTTTTTGTTTTTGTCTGTCCACATCTCATGCCACTATGCATCTTAATTTCATTTGAAATTTTTTAATTTTTTTTTATTTTAATTAAATTAATTAGTTATCTTAATTTTAATTTATAATAATTTATATTCCCTCCGTCTAGGATATAAAGTAGAAGGTAAAAGACTAAAATACCCTTGTTTTTTTGAATGATTTTAAAAAATAGATTATAATAATAATTATGGGTAGTTTGGAAAAGTAGGAATAATTTTGTTACAAAGTGATGACCACAATTACTAGATAAGGAAATAAGACAATTATTTTGGGACTGACGAAAATAGAAAAACAAAGACAACTCTATTGGGACGGATGGAGTATTATGAATTAATTATTTTTACTAATATATTTTTAATTATCTATTACTTATATTTATCCTAAATTCTCTTGTGACTTCGAATTTAGGACCGAGAGAGTAATATATTTATATACTTCTTCAATTATCAATTGTGTGTTCATTTGAACTAACGCTAAATATATAAATAGATAAATATATAAATATTTATTTTTTTATAAAAAAAATTAAAAATAATAATATTCCCTCCGTCTCATTGAAAAGTTGTCATTTTCGTCCGTAAATGTTAGAAAATAAACATATAATCAAATATGTTAGCGGAAACGAAATTTAAACAAACCTCCAGCCATTGCTAAAAATTAGATTTCCAAGCAAATCGTGGATTGGAATCGTGGGAAGATGGTGTTGTCAGACTTTAGAAACCTCCGAAGATAGTGTCAGATCGTGGGTTTCAATTTCCTAATTTTGTAATTGTACTACTTATATAACATCATAAATACTCTTCTAACTTATATTATATTATACAAATGTCATTATTTTTATATTATATAATAATACTAATAGGGTGTTTTCATTTTTTTCTTATTATAATCTATTATAATACTAATATTAAAAAATTTAACATTGCAGAGAGATGTAGAAAATATTTTTTTATTAAAAAAATAATAAATTAGATGAAAGAAATAATAAAGATGAGAATATATTTGGATGAAATAATAATTATGGAGCAAAAAAAAATTATCTATTTTTTTGTTATTATTATTATTTTTAACTTTAATTTCTTTTATTGTCATTTTAATTTTTTTTTTAAAAAAAAATCATTTTTATATTTTTTATCCTATAAGAAATTTCTATTTTAAACTTTTTTTCTTTTTTCTTTTTAATTCCTGTCCGATAGAACATAATTATTTATTTATTTATTTATTATTATTATATGGCAGAGGAGTGTAGTATTTTTAAATTTTAGTACTTATCTTGTCCTAACAGACGGAGTAGTATGTAAGGTGGACACCTCACACACCACGCAAGTGCAAGTGCATCCTTTCGCCGCTACTTCATTTATATATATATATATAAAATAATACTCTCATCGTCACATATTGGATGCAGACACAAAAATTTTAAAAAAATATATAATTAATAATATAATAATAAAAATAATTATTTTATAATATAATTAATTATAAATTAAAATTAAGATAATTCATTAATTATAAAATTTAAAATAAAATTAAAGTATGTAATTATTTTTTTTAAAAAATAATAATATAAAAGATGGGACGAACATAAACGATAATGTAAACATAATATGTAAAATATTAAAAATTATACCATAAGAGATGATTTAATAGTATAGGGAATTAATTTGTGACCGTGATATCATCATAAGTTTGATTCTATCACCTTTATAGGAGCAAATATATATATATATAAAAAATAATATTTAAAGTTGTCTATAAATGATGGTCTCAGTGAGATTGAATATTAATATAATATTTAAAATTAAAGACATTTTAATTTGTTGAGAAATATAAATTTTAAATATTTTTTGAAAAGAAAATATATTTTATTACAGTATGCATACTACCAATATTACTTGGAAAAATTCCTAGGCCCCCACGCACTCCACCGGCCACCACACACAATCTAATAATAATAATAATAATAATAATAATAATAATAATAATACTCCCTCCATATCAGATACCATGTTCACGTTGCCGTTTATGTCCGTCCTACGTACCATATCACTTTTCTTTTTTCGAAAATGATTATACACTTTAATCTCATTTTAAATTTTTAAATTTTATTTTTTTTAATTTTAATTAAATTAATTAGTTATCTTAATCTTAATTTATAATTATTTATATTATAAAATAATTATTTTCACTAATACATTTTTAATTATTTACTAATTATACTCCTACTAAAATACCGTCTCTGCAGTGAGTGTAGCAGACAGGGACGGAGGGAGCAATAACCAAACAAGACCGTTCTTAATTTTTGCTAGGCGTATGGGAAAACTGTTAAAAAAGGATATGCAATAATATACATATTTATTTATTTCTATGAATTAAATACGATGCTTTTTTTATTAGACCTTTGTCGCTTTGATTTATTCATATTTTATGTTTGTATTTGTATTTGTATAATAGTTTTATATGATATTTTACAAAATAAATAATACTTTTGTCTCACTTACTGTATCTATTTTCCTATTTTCGTTTGTTCTACTTATTTTGTCATTTTTTAAAAGGAATTATACACTTTAATTTTATATTAATTTTTTTATTTATAATTTTTTAATTTTAATTAGATTAATGGATTATTTTAATCTTAATCTAAAATAATTTTTATGATACGATAATTATTTTAACTAATACATCCTTAATTATTTACTAATTACATTCATTTTAAATTCTCGTGTCTACCGTAAATGTGTGTATTGATATACACACGTGTATATGTATAAAGTGTTACTTTATATATATATATATATATTTTTTTTTTAATTAAACATCAATTTTAGACAAAAAAATATATATATATGCTTTGTGCAAATTTTATTAATATAAGATAATGTCACACAATAAATAAAATACAAATATTTTGTGCATTTTTACGATATTGTTATATGATTTATCTTATACAAAATAACATATTTGAATATGACTAAAAATATTGTCATATTATATTAGAATAAAAAAAAATTATTCGCTAATAAAAAATTAACAATTAAATATAAAGTATTATTATTTTTTTATATTAGTAATACAGTTATGATACTCTATTCGTTTTTTAATAATATATCTATTTTTTTTTATAACAGAGTATTTCTTTATTTATTTATTTTTAGTAATTGTACTGTCTACGTTACAAATACCCTTCTAATTTACGATATATTATTCAAATATTATTACATTTATATCATATAATAACTAATAAGGTTAATTTAATCTTTTTACTTTTATTTTTATTTTATTATAATATTTTTAAAATTATATATAAATAATAAATGGATATATAAATATGGAACGAAGACATTAAATATCATTTAACATAGAAGAAACATATTTAATTAGAAACACATGGTAAATACACCATTTGTTTGATAGTTATTTGCAGAAATAGATACATCATGTATCACGCACAGATGCAATGGTCCCCCTCTCCACAAATCTCATCAGAGAGCCTGGGATCTCGGGTCCATGGACCCCGTCAGCAACGTGTGGTTGTGGGTGTGGCTGTGGCTGTGCATCCATTTTTGACCGTTTGCCAATACTAATTCCATTTCCCTGTTAGCTTACCGGTAGGTAATCATGCCTTTAAGTCTTTATTTATTTATAATTTTTTTTAAAATAAAAATACAGTAGTACTATATAAAATACTCCATCCGTCTTCATATAGTATATCTGACAGGAGGAGTGTAATTAGTAGATAATTAAAAATGTATTAGTAAAAATAATTATTTTATAATATAAATAATTATAAATTAAGATTATTATAACTAATTAGTTTAATTAAAATTTTTAAAAAATAAAATTTAAAAATTTAAAATGAGATTAAAATGTATAATTATTTTTCAAAAAAAGAAAATGACATAGTATGTGGGACGGACAGAAATGACAACATCGATATGATATCTGGGAGGAAGTATTAAATTCGATCGCTATTAAAAAAAGATAAAAATAAAATCCACAAGTCCTATCTTCCTGTTTGTTTGTTTTTCATATTTAGTAATATAGTTTATCTAAAAAAGCATGTATAAATATAATACTCCATCCGATTTAAATAATCTACAATATTTTTAAAATAGAAAATGATTAATTGTACTTTATCCCCTCACATCGTCCAAATAAAAAAAAAATATATATATATTTCTCTCTCTATCAAATCACCTAATTTTAAAATTATCCTACTTAATATTACCCATCTAAAAATCGGTACCAAAATCAAATATTGCACCTCGATTGAGAGCATTATTTTTGTTTAAGATATTAAATTATTATTAATTAACTATACTTTTAAAAAAAGAACATAACTTTCCGTGTTAGCTCCACCAAACCATAATTTGATTTCAAAAATTTCAGCCTTCCCATCATTCATTTCAATTATTCATTTAATGGCTTAAACAAACTTTCAATTATAATAAAAGCAATACCCCTTTTTATTTTGTTTAAAAATAGATATTTTAATAAAAACATAAAAAATATTAAAAATATTTGTTTCCTTTTTAAAGAAATAAATCAGTTATTATTAATTAATTAATTTATTATTATTATTATTTTAATAGGTGTGGTAATCCGTGCAGTAATCTGTAATGTAATCCTCGTGATATGTATAAATGAGCTGTTGGGAGTTTTGAACTGTAAAACCAAACTCCGTCTGGCCATTCGCGCAGCCAAAACGACAAATGAATCTTCAAAACCACTTTTCGCGCACTGCAGGTTATTTGAATCACCTATCTACTGTTCATCTTCCTCGCCGGACTCACGATTCTTCGTTTCCTGCCATCGAATCGCCGCCTTCTCTTGCCTAGTTTCAGGAATGGGGGACCCGATTCGAAACGGCGGCGCCGGCGCTTCGGCCGACTGCATATCGGAGAGCGAAATTCCGAGCGGTTTGAACCGGATTAAGACTAGGAGAGTCAACGCCAATCTCGGAGGAGCTGAGGATTCCGATCAGTTTAACGACTCTCCGTCGCCGAGTGGTGGATTTTTGATACCTGGGGTTCATATGAAGCATAGACACAAGACTTTTAATGGAGGAAATTCGAAAATCGGCAGTTCGAAAGGTTTTGATGATGTTTAGTTATAGAAGATCGTATTTATTTTGATTCCTTTTATCGTTTGGTTTTAGTAATTTGTATCGGACCGTTTATGTGAATTTTGGATTATTGGAAATATCTTCTTGTTTTCGAAATCTCATTTATTGGCCGTAGGAAATTTCAATCGGCTGTTTATAGCTTCAGTGGCAGCTGAAGAGCGTTAAATTTATGAACCAACCAAAGTGACATATCTAGTTTCCCTTTCAGTCAGATGATGTGTATTTCATGGTTTATGTGATAGTTCTGGGCTACGACAAGGGGTGAATAACCTAGAAAACGAATGATTTTATCACATAGAAGCATTAGGTAGAAGCAGTAGGTAAATTGGGGTTTCCGATTGCATTCATCATGTATTGTAACTATCATCAGGTAATTGATTATTTGAAGTAACTTTCTTCTCTCTTGAGTTTTAATCCCTTGTTTGAATGTGCTTATTGTTTTTTGAGAAGGGGTTTATGGTTACACACAAACCACCCGTTGCTTGTTTCTAGAACATTGGTGATAAGATGCTTCTTATCCTTGAGGATCCTGTCGATTTCAATAGAGGTTTAACTAATCTAAGTTTGGGTTTTATATATGTATCTAGTTCAATATAAGCATGACGGGATAGCAGAAGTAATATGGTGCCCTAGATCAATCAATAACAAAAGCATATGAACAAGAATTATGCATTAGTAATCGAAGTGATATCTTGGAATTAATGAACTTCACCTTACATCACTAATCTAGTTGAGCATTTTCTGAGTCATTTCTTAGAAAAACAAAAAAAAGTAGTACAGTGTACAAGATGCGTTCAAGGTTCTCTTGCACTAAAACCGTTGTACCCATCCAATACTTTTTTCACACTTTTTGGTAAATTTCAAGTTGCCTATACAGCTTATTTTTGGGTTCACAATAATGAGATTTGAACTCTTACCATATTTAGTTTTAGTGCATTGAAGTTTAGGTTCGCATTTAATGAGATTCCATCTCTTAGCAAATTTGATTTGAGTGCATTGAAGTTTGGAATCCCATTCTAGAGTGTATACTTCTGAAAACAATGAGAATTGAAGTTGTGTGAAATAACAAGATAATACCAAGAGGATTGGTTGATACAGAAATGAACCTGACATCTACTTCTCTTCTTCTCTATGTGTCTCCACCACCAGAGGCACGTATGTAGGTCTGTTTCGACAGTTTTTTATCTTGAAAATGGAAGGAATCTGTTATAATTATTTCCTCCTTTTGATTTATTTAGCTGATATGATCAAAATTGTACAATTTAATTCATTATGCTTTCATGTGAGACAGGATTTCAGAAAGGAAGGAAGATAGCTCAGTGGTTTACATCATCCCTTTTTAAGAATTCAAATCAATCTTTAGGTGATTGCCTAAGCACTGAGGTAGAACATTTAACGGCACATTGTAAATTTTATTGTTCACATGTTTTCATTCATTACTTTTTCGAGCTGGTATTTAAGTCATGCAACCCAATTTGACAGTCTAGTACATGCGAGCTCACTAGGATTGAGAAGGGCTCTAGAAGAAAATTACGCAAGATGAGAAATAATTTATCGGAGGATTCCCAAAACGTCACATCTACACATAAAGTGCCAAAATGCATTAAAAGTTTCTCACATGAGCTGGGTCCAAAAGGGGGCCTTCAGTCATCTTATCCAAGGGCTCACAGCTATAATGATTTGAAGGTATTCTGTAGATGGCACATGATTTATGGTTTGATTATACGATACATCAAGGATGATATGAATCATTGCAATGTTGTTAAATAAGATATTGATTATGATGTTTCAACTATGGGTATCTAAAGATGTGTATGCTATTTCAAATTCTCAAAATCAAAATTCTCTCAGAATTAGTGTGATATCTTTTACTTGCATTATTATTGTTATTATTATTGTAATTATTTTCTTGGGAATATAGTTGAATTAACTTCTTTAATATTATTGCATTAGGAGCTATTGGGATCACTTCGTGCAAGATTTGACGCAGCAAAAGAAGTTGTGAACATAGAGTTAGGTTCTTTCTCAAAGGAGGTGCTGGAAATATTGCAGGAAGCTGATTCCTTAGCACCCGATGAATATAAGATGGCAGATGAACTTTTTGAGCTCTCTCATCAATGTATTGACATGACCTCATTAGACTTCCGCTCAAATTGTGAAACAATTGTCAGAGACTTGACTTTGAAGAGACAAACATGTCAAGTTGAATTGCTGAAATTGTTATGCACACGCTTCCTTTTTATATTGACTCGGTGCACAAGACTGCTTCATTTTGAGAAGGATTTTGGACATGTGAATGAACAATCACTTGACAAGTTCAGAGAATGTTTAGAAAGGATCCCATCTGTTGATATGAATTGGGTTGTTAATAGAGGTTTTGCGGATTCAGATGCAGGTGATGTTTTGAAACATAAAGGTGATGGAAAGGTAGACTTGCAGAAAAAAGATGGTACAAATATTCTTTCTTGGTCAATTCAGACTAGGTCCAAGGAGCCTGCTGACGAGAAGAGCAAAGAGTTTAATAAGAATGACTCGTCTAGAAATCAAAGGAGATCTGAACTGTTGTTTACTGAAGCTTCAGATGGTGAACAATATAATAGATTTGATGAAATGTTTCAGATGGAACCTATAAACAGGGAGAAATGGTATTCAGATGATTCTAATCTGGTTATTTGCCGGATATGTGAAGAACTTGTTCCCGCTACACACTTGGAGCCACATTCGTATATATGTGCTTTCGCTGATAAATGTGATTCAAAACATGTAGATGTCAATGAACGACTATTGAAAATTGCTGAGTTACTTGAATACCTGTTAGAGTTGCGAAATCCAAGAAATCCTGAAACAAGTATAAATCCAGAAAGTTTGAGGGCAAGTACTGCAAATTCTGCTCTAAATACAGAAAGTCATTCACCAAAGTGCAGTGAGTGGCGAACTAAAGGAATGGATGGACTGCTGGAGGACCTCCATGAGATGGATACCGCCTGCATTGAAGATTCTCATCTTGCCAATTTGGTGAACCTGAAAAGCCACTTGCTAACTAAGGTGAACCACTATGGCTCACCATCCTCTAATGGAAGCATGACATCAGCATCATCTACAAATAGTCCTCGGGCAGGAAATTATGACATATTTTGGTTGGATCAAAATAACTTGTCAGAGCAAGAGGACATGCATCAGGTTTGTCTTTGTTGATTTGTTGATAAAATTGCAAGAGTAGAGGCTCATGTAGTGATATGCATCACATTAGATTCTACCTTACATGATAAATCAAATGAAAAGAAGGATTAAGATATTATTTTGAACCCATGACTTCACGGCAACGAGTCACCCCTCACACCACTTGGCCACCCCTTACCGAGTGAAACACTTTTAAGAGTTTCCTATTGAACCTTACGTTCTGGTGGATGCCCATGTTTGACTTCATGACAATTATTTTTTGTGGTCCATTTAAATGTTTTATCATTAGATGTACTAATTTTTGTTGAAGCAAGCTTATTATGATCATTTCTGCACTTTATGTCATAAAAATCACCATGTTAACTACTTTATGTGTCAAATACCATTTGCAGATAAATGACCTTGCTGATATTGCCCGCTATGTAGCAGGGACTGATCTTTCACAAGAAGGATCCTACGAGTTCTTACTATCTTGTATGCATGACCTGCTTGAGATTTTGCAGCATACCAAGTACAAAGCTTTGCTAGTGGATACCTTTGGTGGCCGAATAGAAAGCCTAATTAGGTAAATAAAGGACATAAAGGGTTAAAATTTCGTTTCATGTTGCTTTTGTGAAAGCAACTGACGTTTCTTTTTTGGCATGCAGAGAGAAATATATACTTGCTTGCGATCAAGTGGATAGTATAGGACATCCAGAAAGCACAAGGTCTTTGCTAGATACAGCATCTCAGAGTAGTGCAGCATCAACTCCTTCCCATCCGACGCATAAAGAGCGAACAAGTATTGATGATTTTGAAATCATCAAGCCAATCAGCAGAGGAGCATATGGCAAAGTTTTTCTGGCTAGAAAGAGAGCTACAGGAGATCTATTTGCAATTAAGGTGTGTGTTACGCTTGTCCAGCCTCCTATCATTATATATAGGGATATGACATCATAGTATCGATATGCATTTCAGTTAAGATGATTATCAAAAATCCAAAGTTTCTGAAAGGATTTTGAATATTTCATGTCCATCTATTGATTCAAATAATTAATGCAAGCTGCCTAGTGGTGTTTTATTTTGAGCATTAATTTACCGGCTGCATTTGGAGATTATACAAGAGGATGCTACTGCAGGCTCTCAAGAAACTGGATATGTTGCGGAAGAATGACATTGATCGAATATTGGCTGAGCGCAATATATTAATAACCGTGCGGAACCCTTTTGTGGTAATACTCATTCTTGACCTCTATTATCTAGATCATCACTCAGCATTATTTCAGGACGTTGCGAACTTTGTGCATGCTTATCTGCAACACAATCACATGTTATTTCATTTGCTAAAATTTTCACGGAAGTAGTACTGTGGCCTGTGTGAGCAGATCTATATAAGCAGTTATATGCTGACATATTATATTTAAAACATTTTTCTATTGCCATTGTAAAATCATTGATATTTTTATTTCCAGACCTTTTTAACATATAAACAATTTGGTCATTGTTACACAGGTTAGGTTTTTTTACTCATTTACCAGTACAGACAACCTCTATTTGGTCATGGAATATCTTAATGGTGGAGATCTATTCTCTCTGCTAAAGAAAGTTGGTTGTCTTGACGAGGCCATTGCTCGTACCTATGTTGCAGAATTGGTAAACTAGGGCACCATCAAATGTAAGATTTTGATTCTACCATTTGCAGTTCATAATATTTATCCTTTTTCAGGTTCTTGCTCTGGAATACCTTCATTCTCTTGGAATAGTACACCGTGATCTGAAACCAGACAACATATTAATTGCTCATGATGGGCATATCAAGGTATAGTCTACAGTATATATTAAAAAGTGTGAACTTTTTGTGGATTAAGGAAATCTCCTCTTAATGTAAGGTAGACTCAATTATGTTGAGGATGTTCTAAACTTCTGTATCTGACATTTTGTGCGAGTTATTATTTAAGTTAGAATGCTAAAGTTTCTGGAATTTTTGAATATGGGAAAAAAAGAGTGTTGGAAATCAATTATATTCAGTTTCTTTTATTTGTAAGATTGAGAATATGCTACATGATTGACACATGATGTTCTTGGAAATTAGCAATGTTATTGCCATGCCATGCTTAGTTAATTTTGTGCATCTCCTCTTATATCTCTTATAACTTATTATTGTTATTTTGTGTCTCTTATAACTTGCTCTATGGTGATTGAACCCAATTTAATCAGCTCCCCCACTTCCCCTTGATCCATATGATTAAGCAATGTGAAGTATTTTATTCATAAACTAGGATATATGTGTATATATATATACATATAAGGTGATATTCTTGAATGATCTTCATTTATCGAAGTTTGACATTTCACAATTTGTCAGCTAACAGACTTTGGATTGTCAAAAATTGGCCTGATGAATTGCCCCACTCAGCGATCCAATAAAGAGACTGGAAAAAGTGATCTCATAGATACACATGGTCAGCTCAATATAGACACTGAGGATAGTCATCAGTCTGCTGTTGGCACCCCAGACTACTTGGCACCTGAAATTCTTCTTGGAACAGAGCATGGTTGGGCAGCTGTCTCTCGATTTTATATTCTTCATTTGATACATGATTTACTTTCTTCTACAGTCTGCTACTTGTTACTCACAAAAATACTAGGAATTTTGTTTGGTGGATTGCTTACAGAATCTTTTGGATGCAACTGTAGGTTATGCTGCGGATTGGTGGTCGGTAGGAATTATCTTATATGAATTCATTAATGGAATTCCTCCTTTCAATGCTGAGCATCCAGAGGTATTTTTGTTTGACATTAATATGCTATTTCATGCATCTTCTATCACCAGTTGTAGATCATAATTTTAATAGACAATTATCAATTCTTTTGACATGTACCCTCTATTGATTTGACAGGTCATTTTTGACAACATTCTGAACAGAAAAATCCCCTGGACTTCAGTTCCTAGTGAGATGTCTTATGAGGCACAAGATCTGATCAATAGGTTGGTTAAGATTTAAGAATAAGCAACAAGAACGAGAAAGTGCATATAAGCATAAAACCAATGCATATGATTTTTGCTATGTGCTATTAATCAGCTAATTCATTCTTTGATATAAATTTAGCTCCGATATGCTTTGTAGATCTTCAATTTAAGCTGAGAAAGTGCATATAAGCTATTTGTGTTTCCATCTTTGACCTTTCCGTGCATGTCAGCATAATGATGTCATCAATATTTATTTTACACAGGCTTCTTGTTCACGACCCAAATCAACGCCTTGGAGCCAACGGGGCATCGGAGGTCAATTACACTTTGCTACACATAATTGTTGGAAAAAATCTTTGTACATTCTGCACAATCATTTATTTTGTTTATTTCCACGCAGGTAAAAGCACATCCCTTTTTCTCCGGAGTCGACTGGGATAACCTTACCATACAGAAGGTAGGTTTTCAAAGATTTGATACATATAACAAATATTTTTTGCTGCATATACTTGCTCTCAGTCAATGCATAATTCTTGCCGTCTTCATAGACGAAGCTATAAATCTCTAGGTACCTAAGTTTCTTATTATTTATCGATTTAGTATAATGCAATTCTAAAGTTAAAACAATAATGGGAGAAATTTGTCTTCAATGTTTCTAAAATTTATTTTTCTATCTTCAATGTCTTTTTTCAATGTGAGAAAAATGTTAAAGACTGTTTTTCTAATGGCTTGTTCGATGGTAAATGCTTCTGTAGGCTGCATTTGTGCCCCAGCCAGAGTGTATTGACGACACAAGCTATTTTGTGTCAAGATACAATTCTTCCGGAATGGAAGTTGATGAGATTTCCGTGGATTCAGACTCTGATAGCTCTGAATTGCATACGACTTCTAAAGTTGAGGTAAATCTCCTGCTCTCGGTTTGCTTCTTGCATAGCATCACAACGTGATGGTTTCTTTTCGTTCTTTTATTTTGTACCAGAAGATGGATGAATGTGGCGACCTTGCCAATTTTGATCCCTCACCCCTCGATCTTTCGCTGATAAATTTCTCCTTCAAGGTACATACATGTATCACATTTAAGCTTCAAAATTCAATCGACATTTTCATCTTGTCTAGTGACAAATGCACGGTGTGGAAATCGCAGAATTTGTCACAGCTGGCATCGATCAACCAGGACGTCCTGTTGCAGAGTGAAAAAGAGGCGTCAAAATCCAAAGGTGGGTCGTCGTAATTAAGCATGCTTTTCTTTTTGTTGATTTTAGCATTGAACGTAGTTATGCATGCCTCTTTGGTTTTTACATGGTAAGAGGGATCTTCTAGTCTTCTTCTGTATATAATCTAAGTCTAGTTGAGCTAGTCGGATTAGTCCCGAGGATCATTCTCGAGCGACGACGCAACTGTATTTATTTGTCCAGAGCGTCTTCGACTTCATTCTTAAGTTCCTTTGTAGAGACTAAAATGAAAGACAGAGTTAGAGGTGGTAGAAAGGTTTATGATGGGTGGGGTGGGTAACGTAGCATTTTTGGTCTCATAAAACGGCTCCCTTATAACGACTATTTGAAATTCTCGTTTTTATGCAGCTTACTTACATTGATGCATGTCTTAGAATATAACTTAGCCTTGTGATAAATTGTTCACTGTAAAGATGTGTATTAGTTAAGGGTTTGTTTTGTTTTTATTTGAAATTGTATTTTTTTATTTGAATTTTAATTTAAATAATTTTTTCCCTAAGCGTTTTTAATAAATTGATTTTTTTATATGCGGTAGAAGAACTCTGTTGATAATATAATAAATAATATTTTTGGTTGAATAGTTAATTTTTTATGAATGAATAATTTATATTATATTAATGTGTATATTTGTATTTTTTTTAAAATAATATTTATGAGAATTGTTTTATTTAAAAATGTTGACTAGACTGAAATTTTTAATGTATTTTTATGAATGAAAAGTTATATATATTATTGAAAATTGTTCGACCTAGTTTTAATATGAATTTAGGGAGTTTGGACGAAAATGGTGAGTGATCAATTGGATGTTTAGTGTCTGTTCATCGAAATAAATTTTTTATTGATATAATTTTTAATATACTTTTATTTTTTATTTAAAAACAATCTTAATATACAATATTATTTATTATATTATCGATATATGTATATATATCTTTTTACAAACTCGGATTTGGTATAATTTTTAACCTAGTCAGTTCCAGAATTTTTTTGAAAGCCTAATTTTGTAGTTAGTCGGGCCGGATTCTTGGGCCATATTCATATTTGCCGGCTCTAACTATTATTACTTCCCTCCGTTTTAAAATTATAGTTTTATTTGGATCGGACACGAGATTTAAGAAATATTGATAATTGGTAAAAAGTACGAGTAAAAGACTTTATTGCCTGAGTGCATTTGTATAAAAGTAGTGCTATTTGTGTAATAATTATTAAAAAAATAGGGACAATTTTACGGTGATATGAGTATATATAAAAATGAGACTATTATGATAAATAAAAATAATAAACAAGACTACAGTATTGAAACGAAACTATTAATATTTTAACAAAATCATTCACGAGTAATTAATGAAATAAAAGTGGAATCTGCACTGTTTGCTCTACAGCAAAAATTATTGAATTTTGTCGAAATTAAAATATAATACTAATATTTTAATATGAAAATAAATAGATTAAAAAAAAAATTAAGAATATAATAAGGAAAAAAAGAAAAAAGAAAGAAAGAGACGCAACTTTGGGGAATACCCAAAGACTTTCTATATGGGGTGTAACTGAAGTGACGAAGCCAATATATTTGATGGCATGCCTTTTAAATAATTTTTTTAAAATTATTTTTTCATTCACTTTAAGGGTGTGTTTGTTTGAGGGTTTGGATTTTGAATTGGGATTTAAATAGTAAAAATTTTGAATTTGAATAGTTGTATGATGTGATATAAATATGTGATGATGTGATGTTTTGAATATAAAATTAATTTTTAGTATAATATAAAAAATAAAAAATAGATGTTTTATTTGATGTTTTTAGGGGAAAAATTTTGGATGAAAACACCCTAAATGTTTACATTTATTTTTTATATATTAATATTTAAATAATAATTATTATATTAAAACATATTATAAATTAAAGAAAAATAATAAAAATACTTTTATTATTATTTTATAATAATAATTATAAAATGATGTTTATATAAAAAAATTATACAAATATAAAGATATTTTTAATATTAACTATAATAACGTAAAAGGTAAATGTAAACTTATTAAGTGGACGGAAGGTGTATAACACAGTAGTATAATTTTATTTTATTTTGGAAAAAATCAATTTTGATTTTAATATAACCAAAATTTATCGATGTCTCAATAAAAAATTCATCAATTTTAGTCGCATTATAAAATTTTTAATTAATTTTAGTCTCACCGTTAAAAAACTAACGGAAATAGCTGACGTAAACGTAACGAGGTTGATGTGGCAGCGGACCTGAAAACTACACGGCTATGTACAATTATACACGGTCATGTATATTTCAGCATACAATTATACACGATCATATTTTTACATGGCCATGTATAATTTTACACGGCCTTATACCTATCTATTTTTGTTATAATTCTATTTTTTTTTCAAAAAAAAATATTTTAAATTTAGAATAGTTGATATAGTTAAAATGAAAAAAATTAATAATAATTCTAATATAATTAAAATGAATTAATTTTAGTTCAAATACTCCATCCGTCCCATTGAAAGGTTGCCACTTTCCATTTTCGTCCGTCCAAAAACAAGGTTACTGTTTCATAATTTAGTAATTGTACTACCTACCATAATAAATACCCTTCCAACTTACACTATATTACACAAATGTCATTACCTTTTATATTACACAATACTAATAGGGGTATTTTCATCTTTTTCACTACAACCCATTATAATACTAATATTAAAAAATCTATGTGAAAAAATAAACGACAACCTTGCACCGAGACGGAGGAAGTATAAAAATTTATATAGTATGTTCTTTCGAAAGATCTTTTCACCAAAGAGTCATCTCGTTTTTTTTTCCGGTGGGTGGAGAGTCAACTGCTAATTTTATTTAGGGGCAAAATAGCAAAAAAACCCCTATGATTTTACGAATTCGAATTCGCTGAAAACCCCTCGTGGTTCTAAAATTACAAAAAATCTATTTGTGGTTTCTTTTTTTTTTCTTTTTTTCTTCTTTCTTATCCCTTATTTTTTTCTTCCATATTCTTTTTCTTCCTCCAAATTCTTCACACCCGCAGCTCTTTCTTTTATTCTTTTTCCTCAATTTTTCTTTTTTTTCCCCAATTATTTTTTACGCCGTAGCAGTCCCGGTTCTTTCTTTTCTTTTTTTTTTTCGTAATTTTTTTCCCTTCTTCTTCATCTCAAATTCTTCTTTGAAGAACGAAGGATTAGAGAATAAGAAGAGAAAGAAGACAACCGGTAAAAGCAGCTGGAGCAGGAAAGAAGAAAAGAAGAAAAAAAACAAAAGGGGAATAAAAAGATGAAGAAGGGCGGGACAACAGGTTTTTTTTTTTTTTCCCAATTTTCTTTGTTATTTTTCTTTTTTTTTTCCCCAATTTTTTTTTTTCTCCCAAATTCTTCATTCTTCCCCAATTTTTCCTATTCTTCATTATTTACGCGGCTGCAACCAACAGACACCATGTTCTTTTTTTCTTTTTAAATTGATTTCTTAAATTTTTGGGTTTGGTAAAACAAAAGAAGAAATCGATAACTTACGCATTCTTGTATCCATCTCTATGTCCGGTCGATTAATTGTATTATAAATTTAAGATCGATTTCAAATTTGGTTATGTTTAACAAATTTAAAATGAAAAAAAAATAAAAATTGAATTGAGATTAAATTCTAAAAGTGAAGGAATATGAAGAATGAAGAAGAATAAGTTAGGGTATTTTAGTAATTTTATACAGAAGTAGATCAGTTTATGGACCAAAAATTGCATTTCAAGCACGTGATATACAACTGTCATTAAATCTTATCGGAGAGGGGATTTTTTGCAACATTTTGGAAACCACAAGTAGGTATTTTGGAGTTTTAGAACCACGATGGGTATTCAGCAAATTCGGAAAACCACAGGGGATTTTTTTGCTATTTTGCCTTTTTTTTATATTTTCAATAATATAGAATTTATTTAAAAATTTAGTATTCTAGAATCAAAACCTTTTATCAATTGCCTTTTTATTTATTTATTTTTTAAATAAAATATTTCTTTAATATAATATTCTAAAAATAATAATAATTTGATAAAGAAATATCAAAAGTAACAAACCATAATCATTATTAGCATAACAATATTCAATTTATTGAACTTGACTTAAACTAAAAATTGCATATAAGAGATTAAAACAAACATATTAGTCACTACTAATTAACATATTGATTGAATTTGACCTAATTTTAGAATTACATTTACTAATATGTCTAATATTTTATTCTAAATATTAGTAGCATTTATTAAAAATAGTTAATATCTAACTTATGTACTATTATACAAAAATAAAACAACTCAACTAATAGCATCTATTAAATACACATGCAATGAATTCCCTAACAATAGTTGACAGAATTGGATTTTAATATTTAAATCGACAATAATGATTAAAAATTATGCCAGCTTTACAACTTGAGCAGCTTTTCGTTGTTTGGCTTCCTTTCGCAGCTTTCGTTCAATCTTCTCGATCTCAAGATTAAATATCAGTTCACATGTACAAGAAGAACGGGGCATAAACAGGAGGATAAATAAAAATAACACAAAAGAGTAAAACAAAGTGTCAATCCCCGACAACGGCGCCAAAAATTGACCTGTCGCGCGGTCAATCAAATATTTCACCTATTCCGTGATCACAATTTAATGTAATAAGGGGAAGAGATCATCTCCACAGGGATTGTGTGATTCACTCTTTCGTGTTCTAATGCAATAAATAATTGGGGAAAATTTTCTTTTATTATCTAATGAAAATAAAATAAGAAAGCAATTAAATTAAGAGAGAACTAGCTATTAAGAGGATGTATGACTCAAAGGATGATGCAGTTATGACACTTGTGTTTTATCATTGATTCAATAAAGTTAATTCTTATTAAAGTATCAATAAATTGGTTATAGTTGTCAACAAGCTCTGACAACCAATTTTTCCTTACAGTGTAGGTAATTAAGGTACGACCGTTAACTACCCCTAATTAAGCAAATAAACTTAGGTGCGCCCATAAGAAATATTGTCTAATCGCATTCTAATATAGAAAAACCCAATTTAAAACAATAACTACCTAAGAGGAGCAATTAGATTTGATTGTCTAACCCACGGGAATGAACTATTCAACTCGGTCGTCACCTATTGAAGTGCGAATACAATTACGGATATCCTACCTGAATTAACTTTAGATTATCAGACTAATTCAAATATTGGTACCAAAATATTCAATCAATCTAACAATCACAAACGTTATTATCAGAATTAGACAAATATTGATAATTAAAAAGAACTTTTATAAAGAAAATTAACAATCTTCAAAACAAAATAACCAAAACATTATCACTCTTCAAACTAGAAAAATATCTACTCCATAATCAAAGAACAAAGAACAAAATAGAAAGATAAAGTCATAGTGGGAGGAGAAATCTTCTCTGTCAATTTGCTCCTGTCCGATCTATGAGTCTGTCAATTTTCTACTCTTGTGCGTATCTATTCTGGCCGTTCCCCTCCTCATGTGTGTATTTGCTTTGGCTGTTCTCTCATCTTCCACGTGTGATCCTCCATTTTTATTTTATTTATGCCCTAATTATTTTGTAGTTGTGTTTTTGGGCCTTTAATTAAATTCTCATGTAAGGAGGATATAGTTTGATTGTCCAATGCTGATTTTTTTTTCTTTTATTTTTCTCCAAATTCACCAAAAATGTCTTTTATTTCTTGTATGTCGGAAATAAACAATATGCACCGAAATTAGATATAATCTAATCAAAATCAATCAAATATCTCATATGATATGAAAATAAAACGCATGCGATTTCTAACTATCAATTCTAAAATTATAATCAATATCAATATAGTATTTTTATATTGCACACATCAACTTTAAATATAATAATACTGCATATACACTAAATTGTAATTTTGCCCTTCAAATAAATTATAGGAACCTCATAATTTATTGGTAATTTAATAAGGAATCATGTGGTATTTTTTCATTGGTAATTTTTCTATATTTCGAATTTATTTATTTATTTTGATCAAATATTTAGATCAGTGTTACAAAATTGTAAATATTGAATAATAGAAATAACACCCCATAATTACTGTAATACATTTGCAACATATATGTTATGTAACACAAAATAGGTAACTGTTTACGGCACAATTTTATTTATATATGGTTTGTCTTAAATGATTATTTGAATGAGAATGAAATTCGATGAGTAAACAATTATATAGAGTACTTTATAATACACTATAAATAATTTATAAATTATACTCAACCAACTATCTCATCATACCCTATTAGTAACACATCAATGTGTATTTTGTTAGTGTGAGTTCTTAAATAATTCTCAATAATTTTTATTTTTTTTTTGGCAAAATAGCAAGAAACTCCCATGTGGTTTTACGAATTCGCTGAAAACCCCTCGTAGTTCTAAAATTACAAAAAAACCTACTTGTGATTTTCAAAATGTTGCGAACTCTCCCCCTCTCTAAATTTGACTACCGGACGTTAATTTTTTTATTAAATTTGACAGTTATTCCTTTATTTATATATTTTTAATTTGTTTATCTCTCTTCTTTTTTATTTTTTTTCTTCTTTCTTATCCCTAACTTTTTTTCTTCCATCTTCTTCGTCTTCCCCCAAATTCTTCACCTGGGCAATTCTTTCTTTTATTCTTTTTTCTCAATTTTTCTTTTTCTTCCCCAATTATTTTTCACGCGCGTAGCTGTTCTGATTCTTTCTTTTCTTCTTTTTCCGTAATTTTTTTTCCCTTATTCTTCATCTCCAATTCTTCTTTGAAGAATGAATGATTAGAGAATAAGAAGAGAAAAAAAACGACCGGTAGAAGCGGCTGGAGCAGGAAAGAAGGAAAGAAGAGAAAAATAAGAAAAGGAGAAGGAGAAGAAGAAGACGATGAAGAAGGGCTGGACAACAGGTTTTTTTTTTTGTTTTTTTTTTTCCAATTTTCTTTGTTATTTCTCTTTCTCTTTCTCCTTTTCTTCTTAGATTGATTTCTTAAATTTTTGGATTTGGTAAAACAGAAGAAATCGATAACTTACGCATTCTTGTCTACATCTCTATGTCCGGTAGATTAGTTGTATTATAAATTTGATATTGATTTCAAATTTAGTTCTGTTTAACGGATTTAAAATGAAAAAAAATATTGAATTGAGATTAAATTCTAAAAGTGTGTAGAAGAAGAATGAAGATGAAGAATGAGGAAGAAAAAGCTAGGGTATTTTAGTAATTTTACACAGAAATATATCAGTTTATGGACCAAAAATCGCATTTCAGACGCGTGGTATACAACCGTCGTTAAATCTTAACGGATGGGGTTTTGCAACATTTTGGAAACCACAAGTAGATTTTTTTGAGTTGTAGAACTACGAGAGGTTTTCAACAAATTTGGGAAACCACAGGGGGTTTTTGCTATTTTGCGTTATTTATGTTTTCTTTTTTCGTTTATATTAAAATTTTTTATCAAACTCAAGTTAGTTTCTGTTGTACCACTTGAGTTTGAGGGGATGTTAGAGATATTTTAAATATTTAATTTTAGATTAAGTAGAATTATATTTAGATTTGATCTTATTAATAGTTATATTACTTAAATTTGAGTCTATCAAGTATGTTTTATATTGTCTATACATATATATATATATATGCTCCTTTATTTTGACGATGCATAAGACAACTACTGTTATCTACTAAAATTTTACTATCTAACAATTTTTTTTAAAAAAATATATATTCAATTATACTAGTGTTATCTACTACCCTCAGTCTCAAACAATGTTTTTAAAATAGAAAATAATTAATTATATTTAATCTCTACTCCACACTTTATCCCCTTACATCATCCAAATAAAAAAATAAAATATATATTTCTCTCTCCATCGCATCACCTAATTTTTAGATTATCTTACTTAATACTACCACCTAAAAACTCGTATCAAAAGTAAATGTTCACCTTGTTTGGGACGGATGGAGTATTTTTTATTTTTGTATACTATAATATTAAAATTATTTTTATATTTCAATACAATTTATATGTTTATGGTTGAAATTGATTGAAATTGTATTTAAATGTAAAATAAAATTTTAATATAATATAAAAAATAAAAAATAGTTGTGTAATTGGATGTTTGTATTATTTTTTATATTTTAATTGTATAACTATTCTAAATTCAAAATATATAGTATATATTTTTTTAAAATAGTATAAAAAAAAAACCTACACGGCAGCCTAGAATTAAATATGGTTGTGTAAAAGTTCCAACAATGCATTTCTTGGACCGAGCAAACGGAACTGCCTGCCGTTGCATATTCGAACTCATTAAAGCATCAAGCAGCGCAACCCGGTTCTACTTGACTAAGCCGTGCTCCTCCAAGGAGGGAGTTTGCTTTACCCAACGTACTTTTTGATAACAAGGCAGAAAGCCCCGCCGTATACTTTTCAGTCAGTTGCCACTTCAACTCCACTACGTCTGTATCAACAATTTTCGTTAATTTTTTTTAACGATGAAAACAAAACTGATTAAATTACAGTCAGATAGGAAATGATGAATTTTTTTATATTGAAATCATAAATTTTAATTATATTAAAATAAAAATAAACAGACTTTTCAATCAAACCCAAACGTCCGTACTGAGTGAATGGTAGACGTGGGAGAGTGAGTAATGATGAGCATTGGGAGGAGTGGAAACAGCAATTTTATCTCTCTGTCAGTACAAACCTCTTCTACGTCCATCACCATCTCCATCTCACCCGTTCCTCATCTCACCCCCTTCCCTCTGCAAACTGCAATCGATCCACCACATCCCGGTTTCTTTCTCCACGCTGCTCTCGTTTATCCAAGTCGCATCCAAATTTCGAAATTAGACACTAATTTGGTGGGACTTGTCGCCGGAAAGTGCGTCAATGGAGGCCTCAGGTTGTGGATGATTTCGGCTTTTGTTACTGTGGCTAGTTTTGTTTCGTGATTTACAAAATTAATTATTTAATTCACTGTAGTTTTTGTTGGATAGTTTCTCATCAATTTGATTCTTCAGTCTGGTACTTGATGGTATCGTTTTCGGCTCCTTTTCTGTTCGGGATTATTGTGACGAGTGATTTCTTCTGTTGGGTGATGGTTCTTGTTTGATTAAGATGCTTAATTGAGATTGATTATCCGCACAATCGAATTGAATGTGGAAATATTGAAAATTAGTTAGGGTTATGATTTACCATGGAATCTTCAATGCATTAATTTGTTTGTCCTCGTCTCACTGAAAAATTCATATGCATAATTAGTTTAAGAAAGATTGGTTTGACTAATAATTCTATCTCATTAGTTATTCAGTAGATATGTATATATATATATATATATTTAATCAAGGGAATGGGATTGATTAATAAGATTACCTTATATGTGACATTTTCACTGATCTTATGCTTATTCAAACTTAAAAATTGGATTTGTTGTCTATGCGGAAGCAGGAAACCATCAGGAGGTGGAGGTGCCGCCTGTGGAGGGTGTTGCAGGAGGTGGTACAGCTTATGGATGGAGTGAAACCGACGTTGACGATGCTCATCTGCCCAGGGGTTTGATTGATCCCATGAAAGTTCATTCTTCAGCGTTAGTGCATGCCTGGTGCATGCCGAGCACGGCAAATGTTGGGCCACAGGACATTCCTCGTAAATTGGAGCCTGTAAGCTCGGACAAACTTTGTTTTCCAGTGCCAAGGATGTGGTAGTTATTATTACCTCGATCTTTTGGTTATAGTTTTTGATATCATATTATTTTGGCTCATTTGTAATCTTGTGCTACATATAACTCAATTCAAGATTAGTCTTACTTAGAAGTATTTAGTAGAGCCTATCTGATGTTATTTCCATTGAAGATCTCTCTTTTATCAGCAAGGAACGAAAGGGAAAGTGTTCAGATAGCTATACGTCCAAAAGTAAGTTGGGCTGCCGGATCTGGTATTGCTGGAATGGTGCAGGTGCAATGTACTGATCTGTGTTCTACTTCTGGTGATAGGTTTGTTCTTCAAAATGTTAATTGCAATCATCTCACGCCAAGTAGCTAATCGTATTGTTAAACTTCTTGGACAAATGCAGATTAGTTATCGGTGATTCAGTGAAGGTGAGACGAGTTGTTCCAGTTTTGGGTGTTCCAGATGCTCTTGTGCCCCTTGAACTGCCAGTTTCTCAGTTGACCCTTTATCCTGGGTATGGAAACCATTCTTATACAATCTCTTCTCAGTTTTTAAAGGTCAAAGATTACTCATTATGTATAAGACAATTTGATGGCTATAATGATGTTGCAGAGAAACAGTGGCAATATGGGTTTCGATTGATGTCCCAGAATCACAATCACCTGGTCAATATGTAGGAGAATTCATTATTACAGCTACAAGATCTGACACAAAGTGATTGTCTACACCCTTATCTCAGATAAATTCTAATTTTGTAGCAGTTTAATGTGACGTTATAAATCAAATATGATTGGTGTTGTTTGCTCAAGATGAGCACATTTGGTTTATTTGATGTATGGTCTACAAAATTTCCATTTTCACTTATCACAGATCTTCAGCACACTGCCTGAGTAAAGGAGAGAGGTACCAACTTTGTCAAGAGTTAAAGAGCTGTCTCGATATCATTGAACCAGTTGATGGCAAACCACTTGATGAAGTGGTAGGTTATATGTTATTTTGACAGGATTTCTAGATTCTCATTTAAATTTTTACGGTATGCCTTAAGGAAACACCTTATTCATTTTCTTTGATTTTTCATTTTTGATATTTAGGTTGAAAGAGTAAAATCTGCTTCTTCATCTTTGAGAAGGGTGCTGCTTTCCCCATCATTTTCAGATTTAGATAATGGATCTGTAGACATGATGGATGAGGATGTTGTCTCAGACCTTTCAATCAAGGTGAAGCTAACTCTAACAGTTTGGGATTTCACTCTTCCAGCCACACCTTCTCTTCCAGCTGTTATTGGTGTATCCTGGAATTAATATCTCACCCAAGTTTATTTCATCTTTTATGGTGGTGGTTCTGTCTCGGTGCCATTTTGAGTTTCTGTCAAACTCCCTCCTGTTATTTTCTTTGGTTTGATATTTTTTATGCCTTTGTCAAATGCTGAAAATATGCTGTAACGTGCACCTGAGATGATGGAACATTTCAACATAAGTCAGTTCGCAATTGCTCCAACATTCTGGTAAATGGAAGCAGGTGTAGTTGAATGTGAACTTAACTATACAATAGATATCTGATACAGTTATTGAGGACCGATTTGGTGTTGAACATGGAAGTAGCAAGTGGTATGAAACACTGGATCAGCATTTTAAGTGGCTGCTGCAGTATAAGATCAGCCCATATTTTTGCAGGTGGCGGGAAGGTATGCAAGTACTGGCATACACCTGTCCATGGCCAGGTAATATAGTATGACATACTGATCTCATGTGCTTCGCTTCACTCAATTGACTAGTTAATTTTTAGTATATGAAACAAGTAATCTGTCGGGTGAATTTCTCTTTGAATTGTACTCATTGTAGCATTTATGTTTTCCATGTTTGAGCTTTATTGTGTATATTCAGGATTGTGTTAAAATCCTTCAACTGTTTATTATGTCCGGTAACAATCTTAGACAAAGCTACATTCTGCATTTCACATTACTAGCTATTGCTTTTTTGATATTGTTGAACTGCATTGTTTGCCTCTGTATCACTGCAGCTGATCATCCAAAATCGGATGAGTATTTTTCTGATCCCAAGCTGGCAGCATATGCTGTGCCATATAGTCCAGTCGTCTCCTGGTTTGTGGCTGTTGCCTTTCTCTATCTTACTCTTATGCTTTATAAATTCTTAATCTGAGTGTTTTTATCTTTTCATCTTAATGTACAGTAGTGGTGATTCATCTAAGGACTTTCTGCAAAGCGAAGTTGAGATATTAAGAACAAAGAATCATTGGAGAAAAGCTTATTTCTATTTGTGGGATGAGGTGAGAGCTGACAAATTTTCTGCCTAATTGATCCCTTCCAAATTCTGTTGGAGCTTTCATTTCTCATTCTGCTCAAACATTCATTTTCTGTACATACGTTACTGAGATGATTCACTGGCATGATGTATCTGTATTCTGTAAAAGAAACACTGATCGGGTAATACAAAAAGATAACAAAGAAAAATAAAACAGAACCATCAAAATATAATTGGAGAGCCATTCGGATGACTTTATGGTTTATGCTAATCTATGCTCTCAATTATGATATATAACCTTACCAAGAAGCTAATCCGTTTGCATGTCTAAAACAAAGCTATTGAGTATGTTTCCTTTTCTCTCTTCACTTTGTATTTCTGTTTCTATACAGAACATTAGTTGTAAGACAAAGCCCTTCTATCTTCCTTTTATGAATTGTAACACTGCATTGAATTACATATTTATATTAGTCAAGGTTTTTAACTCACCCGTATGATCTTATTTTTATTATGGCTCCTTGCTTTTCTTATGCTCATATTCTTCTGTGACTATAATTTGCCATTTCAGCCACTGAACATTGAACAATATGAAGCTCTTCGCAACATGGCAAGTGAGATTCATGCTTATGCGCCTGATGCTCGTATAATGACAACTTATTACTGTGGTGAGCAATTTTACCACAATTAATCCAGTGCATTGCTTTCCTTGTTTGCTTTTTCTGTGTCCTTTATCAGAACTAGAAGTTAGTAGAGCTTTTGTGAATGGAAAGCCCTCAAGGGAACCAGTGTTAATTGTGATGTGTGCATCCGAGCTTGATATAGTATGCTAGCCAACTTAGCTGTAGTTGCTGTAATATCTGGTTAGTCTAAACTTCAATTATACTTATTCTACCACCTGAAAGAATCTAACTAGTGTTGCATCATATTAAATGAAGCACTGCATAAATAATGTACTAAATCTCTTCCTTAAAACAGGACCTAGTGATGCACCCTTGGCTTCTAACAATTTTGAGGCTTTTCTTAAAGTTCCGGAGTTTCTTCGACCTCAAACCCAAATCTTTTGTACAAGGTATTGACTTTCTAAAGTTTAATTCAAGGTTTTGAGCAATACTGCCCCCCACCAGCTGCTGATATATATATATATATGTTCTGAGAACCATTGGTATTATTCTCTCCTTTCAGCGAATGGGTGATTGGCAACCGAGAAGATCTGGCGAAGGATATAATTGCAGAGATACAGCCTGAAAATGGTGAGGTAGTGTGCTTTTAAACCTTTTACGATTACCCAATTCTTTTTCTTCTTGGAAGTACATATACATACATTTTTGTGTGGACTTTATATCTTCTTTTGATGTCTAAACGTTGGTACCACTGTTCTACATGAGTTTCAATGCTTCTTTTACCTCAAGAGCAAACTTCCTGTAGGGATAGAAACATTTTAAAGGGGAACTGCTACATTATAATTAGTCCATTGCTTTCTCCAGACAGGCGAGTGTGTTCTACCAGGTCAGTTGAATAGGGTTTGATATGCCAAAACTTATTATGCCTTGTTCATGGCAGAACGCTGCTATTTTGGAGAATTAGAATGTGGAGTTCAGTCATTTTTCCTTGGCACAAAATGAAATTGATTGAAAACATTAAATACTTGTGCGTACTGCAATTGCACATTTGACACTCTGTAAAAGAGACTAATTTATACTGATTATAATCAATCAAGTACACAGTAGCTTTAACAGACATCCGAAGGCACTTCCCTTCAGCTGAATCTCTGGGAAATGTTGAGTTGTTCCATAACAATTCTTGGGGTGTTTAGCGAAACTTCATTTATTCTTTTATGCATTATCTGATCGCACTCCTTATGTCTTCGTTTCATAAATTTCGATTTGTATTTCTCCCTTTTTTTTCTGAGTTATGTCTTCATCCAGGAGTGGTGGACATATGTCTGCATGGGACCATCCGATCCTCATCCTAACTGGCACTTGGGGATGCGAGGCACACAACACCGCGCAGTTATGTGGCGGGTATGGAAAGAAGGCGGAACTGGCTTTCTCTATTGGGGTGCCAATTGCTACGAGAAGGCGACTGTTCCCAGCGCTGAGGTAGTTCGATATTCTAGTAAGGGAATGATGTCTTCATATTTAACTTCACGATAATTTCTCTTACACTTGGAGCCAAATTATTTTACAGATTAGGTTTAGGCGTGGCCTCCCTCCCGGCGATGGAGTCTTGTATTACCCTGGTCAAGTGTTTTCATCTTCGGAGGAACCTGTTGCCTCCCTACGACTAGAACGACTTTTAAGTGGTTTACAGGTACATGTTTAATCTTCGAAGATTAATTTGTACCATTTCTTGAACTGTAATTTTGTAATTAAAAACGAGTACGCACATTCAGGATGTCGAGTATCTCAAACTATACTCTTCAAGATTTGGTAGAGAAGAAGGGCTTCTTCTTCTCGAAAAAACAGGAATGTATCTTGGCCCCGAGAGGTACACTCACGACCATGTCCCGATTGATGTTATGCGTGGTGAAGTTTTCCGGACATGCCATTCTGAAAGTAGCAAGCAACTGATTTGTTGAAGGTTCGTTAGTTCCCACCCGCTACTTGTCTTAAAAATCCGTATAATATATTATGTATTTCGACGCATGTTTATTATTATGATTCACTCTTTAATCTTCCATCTATACTACTACTACTACCTTCGATTATCGGGTTTGCATTGGTTACCAATTCGCTTAATTTCGCGTCAATCTTGAGTAATGTGCGAGCCGGCTAGTTTCGGGGTGCATAATAATTGTTGCCCTTGCCGGTGGTTTGAAAAGGTATGTTTCTTTTGATGCGTTTTGGAAAATTTTGATTTGAGTTTGATATTAAAAGTCGAATGTGTATTTTGAATGTAAGATTTAGAATAGTGCTAGGCAATTGTATAATGTAAGAGTGACATATAAAGTAGCAAGCATGGCCTTTATTGTAGCAATACTACATAATTTACAATTCATCCAATATTTGCAATTCGACTTTGGAGAATATCTTTATCTTATCTTGCATTTAAATCTCATGATCAACAACAGTAACATAAATTGTCTTCCAATAATGCCCGAGTGTTTTCGTTTCCAAAATACTCCATAAGTTAAGTTGGGTGGGATGGCATATCGTACCTACCGAAAAATATCGGTCGTTACCGATATAGATACCGTATCGAATTGTTTGGAATGACTAAAATACATATCGGTATCGTACCGAAAGTTTTAATATACTGAATTTTGATACACCGAAATTTTTGGTACGGTATCGGTATATCGTTTATACCGAAAATTTTAATTTTGATACGATATAGGTATATACTGGTTATACCGAAAATTTTGATTTCGGTAGATACCGGTATATATCGATTATACCGAAAATATAATTTTAAATTTTAAAATAATTAAAAAAAATTAATAAAATACCACTATTTTTCATCACAAAAATATTATGAAAAGATCAATAAATTTTCAATAGTTTACATATTCTTTTGTTACAATTTTAAAAGATATTAATAATTATTATTTATATTAATAATTAAATTATTTAATAAAAATAATATCGGTACGGTATCATACCAAAATACCAAACTTTTTGAAAATTTATACCGATACTGTACCGAAAACTTCAATACAATATTCATACCGTACCGAAATTTTTGGTATTTTCGGCATGATACGGTACGATAAGTCGGTATTTCGGTATGTTTGGTAAATTTATCCTTCCCTAGGTGAGACAGAGTTTGAAAGAATTACTCCCTCCGTTTCACATCTCATGTCCACCTTTCCATTTCCGTCTGTCCTATTTATTTTATCATTTTCTTTTTTTAAAAAAAAATTTACATTTTAATCTTATTTTAAATTTTTTTTTATAATTCTTTTAATTCTAATTATACTAATTAGTTATCTTAATGTATAATTATTTTTATTATATAATAATTATATTCACTAATATATTTTAAATTATTTATTAATTATATTTCTCTTTAATTTCGTGTCTACAGTGAAGCGGACAAAGTATCCGGAGGGACGGAGGGAAGTATTAATTAGGCAGGTCAGACTATAAATGAGTGGACCCATTGACTAACGTATCTCATACTTTGGCATGTGCTCCACAGCCAAATAATTCTCCAAATCCCTCATTTTTATTATTATTATTACTTATTTATTAAAAAATAAATATCATCATTCCCTTTCACTTCTCCACATATATCACCAAAAAGAAAAAATCATCTAACGAATCACCCATCTGGATTCTATTCCTACCTTCACAATTACATCATTATATATGTATATATATGGGTGTTTTTTTTTTTTTTTATGTATTAGAAATTGTGTAAAAAATATTAAAAATAATATTTTATTAAATTATTAACTTTTTATAAATAGATAAAACATATACCTATATATATTGTATTTTTTCATTAATATTTATAAAGAATTGTGTTACCAAAAAAATACAAAGTAAACAATAATTTTATATTTGAAATTTACTTAAACAACCATTGTATAATTTAAAGCTAAAAGCAGTTTTGTTGGTTGTTCATTGATTTTTCTTTTCTTTTTCTTTTTTTTTTTTTCAGATGTAAAAGATGAAGATTTTATTTCAAATAAGATTTAAGACAGTAGGAATCCTTTTTACAATTTTTGAATTCGGGTGTGTTTGTTTTGTGTTTGGATTTTGAGTTAAAATTTAAATAGTAAAATTAATTTTTAGTATAATACAAAAAATAAAAAATAGGTGGTTGATTTGATATTTTTTTGGAAGAAAAATAGGATGAATAGTAGAAGTCCACCAAAATCCTTCAAACAAACACAACTTAGGATTTCGGGTCTCTCCATTAAAGGCATTATCTAGCAAATTTTAGGTTTTTTTCTTAAAAAACTAAAATTAATATTATTAATTCTACATAATTTTTAATAAAAATATATTATATTAAATAACTATGTATAAAATAAAATAAAAAAACTATAATCAACATTACATTTCAGGTCAATTTGAATTACAATAAAACAAACTAAGTATTGAATGTCGAAATAAATATAAAATTGAATTTAAACATCCAAATATAAGTTAAAGTTAGGGCTGAACCAAATAGGATAAACAACATGGCATTCCTCTTTTACTATTTTTACCTTTATATACATAATTGAATTGACATGTATTATATCTAACCATTTAAACTCTTTTTTAAAGAAAATAAAATAAAATCTATTATTTAATTTTTCCTTTACAAGAAAACATTATGTTCAATTGTTATTTTTCCATTATAAAAACAGCAAATTTGAAAATATGAAAGAACACATCAAATGCACTATAATTGTCCACGTGCCATGCACGTGTGAACACCTTGCTACCAATGTCAATGTAAATATATGCATGTGTGTTTGATAATGATTACTCCCTCCGTCTGCGTGTAATATGGATTTATTAACGTAGACACGAAAATTTAGGTAAATTTAGGTAAAATATAATTAGTAAACAATTAAAAAATATATTAGTAAAAATAATTATTATTTAGTAAAATAATTATAAATTAAGATTAAAACAACTAAATAATTTAATTAAGATTTAAAAAAAATTAATTTTAAATTTTAAAATATGATTAAAGTGTATAATTAATTTTCAAAAAGAAAAAGAATAAATTATATGAGATAGACGAAAATAGGAAATATGAACAAATTATGTAGGACGGAGAGAGTAACTTTTTATTTTTTAGGTATCTTTTTTAGAGCTTTATCTTAGTTTTAATTTAAATAGCACCTATAACAATTTAATTGCGACGGATGGAGTATATTTTTTGAATTTCAACTGTAAGTACAGTTTTAAATGAAAGCAAAAAATACCAACACATATTTAAAAACACATGATATAATTTTATATAATTAATTTCAGCATAATATTTACAGTATATAAACTAAACGATATATATTTTTATATTCACTCCGTCCCACTTAATTTGTCTACTATTTCTATTTTAGTTATTCCCACGTAAAATTTCATTTTTTTTTGAAATATTACTATACACTTTAATCACATTTTAAAATTCATAATTTATAATTTTTTTTATTTTAATTAAACTATTTAGTCAACTTAATCTTAATTTATAATTATTTTTATTAAAACATATTTATTTTCACTGATAGATTTCTTAATTACTTACTAATTACACAGTATAACTTCGTGGTTAATATAAAGTGAAAGATTTAAGTCAGATGAATCAAGTATGATATAATATTAGTATATGGTAATATACAAAAGTATGTACAAAGTGTCTTGATTATATAATGATGATTTAATCCAATCAAAAACTATAGTTGCTGCTAAAGCTATTTATACTTTATTGATAAATGAAATACTACTGCTCTTTTCGTTTCATAACAAAAGTATTTATTTTTTTATTTTAGTCTATCTCATAACAAAGTATTCATTTTTTTTTTTTAGTAACTGTATTATCTACCTAACATTACAAATACCCTTACAACTTATAATATATTACACAAATATCATTACCTTTATATAATAATAATATTTATAAAATCATGTTATAAAAAATAAATGAATATCTAGTTATAGAAACGAATAAATTTTAAATATTTATTTATTTGAGAAAGGTAAAAATGAAGAGTATGAAAAGGTAGGGCGGGCAATCGAAAAGATAATCAAAGCGGTGATCATTGCATGCATTGCTTATCTCTCTCTCCCTAATTATACCTTTTTTGACAATTTTTCCATCTTTCTTTATGCACCACCACCTTTTACTTACTTTACAGCTATCCGATCCTAACCCTAATTTTAAAATTAAAATAATGTTACATAACTAATATTTTAAATATTTTTTTTGAAAAAAAAAAATTAATGAATAATACAGTAGGATAGTAAACTCAAATGTTAAAGAAAAAAGAACTGATTTCTCTCCTACCATTCTTTTTATTTAATTATTTATTTTATTGTATTGTTAGAACTTATCAGAAATTAAACCCTAAGTATAGAATTTGTCGTTTTGTAATAATTGAGATAAAAAATAAAGCAAATAAATCTAACCTTATTCTTCAGTATAGTCGGATTCGAATCTGCAAATAATAGAGAGTTTTGTGTTCTTCAAGCCTATGCCGCAACCTTCCTTAGAAAATCGTTAGGGTTTATGTCGTTACTCTCGCGACGAGATATGAAAAAGTAATCTAAAACCTGGGATCACAACCTCATTTATATTCCTTATTATTATTATTAATTGGTTTCATCACTCAATTAATAATTTACCAAGTTTGTGCGTATAGAAGGTTCTCACTTACTAAATACATCTCGGCCTAATAAATTAATAAATCAGATAATATAAAATTTAATTTGAGTGATAGATTAATTGGATTTTTAATCCAACATGATTTGTATCTTAAGTCTTAAGATAAAATCACTTAATAATTGCAACTACTTATCTTCTTATTTTAATGTGTTTCGATACTTTTATTTTTATTTATTTATTATTATTATTAAATATGTTTGCTACTTGTGTTGTGAATTTGGGGAATTTTGGAGTTGTCTCATTTATGCACTGTTTGAGTCGGGTACCCCTCTGACCACTCTACACTAAAATAGCCTCCCTTTTTGGATTAATTACGACCATGCCACTACGTGGTTTGTGCTACATTACCGGAATTGACTGTGTCACTTATTTGCAAAATTTGAAATTTAAAGGAATTTTTTTATATGATTTTATAAATATAATTATATTCAATAAAATTATATTCGTAGAGTTGGATGATTCCTCACCCATTATTCAAATTTATACAACCTTTTTTATTTGCATTGTTATAAAAATTGTCCTCATTTTGTCTTTTTTTAGTTTCTTTTTTTTTTCAATAAAAAGCAAAAAAAAAAAAATATTATTTCCTCCGTCCTAGATAAAATAGACGCATTACCGTAAATACAAGAATTTAGGTAAAATATAATTAGTAAGTAATTAAGAAGTATATTTAGTAAAAATAATTATAAATTAAGATTAAGATATCTAAATAATTTAACAAAGATTAAAAAATTTTAAATTTTAAATTTTAAAATATAATTAAAGTGTATAATCAATTTTCCAAAAAAAAAATAATAATTTATATGGCACAGACGAAAATAAAAAACAAAAAATAGAGACAAAGTTCAAACAAATATATAAGTTGTTATGGGAAAAATTGGGTATTAACTAATTATAGCATAAAACAGGGTGTTGCAGAGAAATAAAAACATTGGCTCTGTTTATGCAATACACTTTCACTTATTCGATATTATTTTTTTTTAAAAAAATATCACATTAAATATATTTTATTTTTTTATAAAATATAAACCAAATATTAACTTTTTATTTATTAATTTTTTTCAAACTTTCGAAATTCCAAAAACCTTCAAAAACTTCAATTTAATACATACTTTTTTAAAATAAATTGAATAAATAAATAATATAAGATAATTTTATGTTACTATAAAAGTGTAAAAAAAACACATGCATTTAATAAATAAAACATAGTTATTTAATTTAATATTTAAAAATAATAATAAAATCGAAACGAAAACCTTACTTTAAATAATACTCCACATTCAATGCATAAAATAGTCTTTTTTTTTTCTTTTTTTTTTTTCAATGTTACTAGTTTTTATTATTTAAAAAAATAATATTCATTCCGTCACTATATCCATATGGTTCATTTTATTTTTAAAAAATAGTTTCACATTTTAATTTCATTTTAATTTTTTTATTTTAAAATTTTTTAATTTTAATTAAAAATAATTAAGTATTTTAATTTTAATTTATTAATATATTTTAAATTATTTATTAATTATATTTATCGAAAATTCTTTTCTTAGGTGAGAGGGAGTAATAAATTCTCCTGTTCTTTTCTCAAAACAAAATTAAAGATGAACAAGGGAAAGAATACTAAAATGGCAACAATACTGTGAGGGCAGAAATGTCTTTTCAGATGAGATACTCAACTCCCGAAGAAGTCCGTCCACTAAACGACAAAGCACTGCAGGAGACGTAGTGAGTTACTCCGACAAGTGTCCCAGATACGCAGATTTAGCCACGTGGACGGTCGGATCACGCACAGGGCTGGTGGTGTCTTCACGCCGAAGCAGCAGCTGCAGCTCGAGGTCAAGTAGCTAGGCTCAGTTTCCGGCCTGACCATGGTTAAATAAACGGCTCAACCATGGTTAGTTACTTCTACTGCTCCTGCTCCTGCTGCGGCCTTCACAAAAACACCTTTCGTTTATTTTTCTTTCACATTTCACTTCAAAACTCTCTCTCTCTCTCTCAAACATTGATCAACAGTAGTACGTACGATCGAGCAAATCGAGTTTTGCAAATCGTTTGTTGCTGTGAATCTGCAGAGGAAGAGTGATTTGAAAGCGCGTCGCATCGTGTGTGTGAACGTACGCGAGTTGTTTAATCTGGTCGTGAATTTTGTTGCTGTTAATTGGTGCTGCGTTGATGAACCGGCGTTGGGGTTTTCGCTTCGATCGAGGAAGGAGTGTACTTTTGGTTTAGGATTTTCAAGGAGATGTTTAATTTTTGTTAGATTTTGAGACGAAATCATCGTTCTTTTTGAGAAAAGAGGAAAACAATTTTCGAGAGATTTTTATGAATTTGGTTTTCTATCTTCTTTAGCTTCTGAGCTCAAGCTTCTTTGCTTTTTGCTTCCTTTTCTTTCTGCAAAGGAGCTTTGATGCTTGCTGGTTTCATTTTCGTTTTCAGTTGAAGTTTTGGTGTTCGGCTCGGATTTGGTGAAAAGTTTTTCAGGTTTGTATGGCTGCAATGATTTCTTTATCAAAAGGATAAGTAATCGAAGTCTGCAGCATGCAATAATTGACCATGGTAGACATTGAGAAATCCTCTACACCTTCTGCTGAATCCAATCCTCGCTCCGTTGATAATCAGACGAATAAATCCAATGATCAGCCGACGGAAACCTCCGTGCCGGCGAAGAAGAAGCGAAATCTTCCCGGAATGCCAGGTAAGAGCAAACTCCGATCATTTTCCTTCCATTTTTCTCTCCGGAAAACCCTCGGATGCGAAAAAACCTGATTTAGGAGGTTAGTTTTCACGTTCTTCTGAGATTAATTCCAGTATGTTGTTTATAGATCCAGATGCGGAAGTTATTGCCTTATCTCCCAAAACACTACTGGCGACCAACAGATTCGTGTGCGAAATCTGCAACAAAGGATTCCAACGCGACCAGAATCTGCAACTCCACCGGCGTGGCCACAACTTGCCGTGGAAGCTCCGTCAGAGAACGAGCAAAGAAGTAAGGAAGCGCGTTTACATCTGTCCGGAACCGACTTGCATCCACCACGACCCTTCCAGAGCCCTCGGCGACCTCACCGGAATTAAGAAACACTTCTGCCGGAAGCACGGCGAGAAGAAGTACAAGTGCGAGCGGTGCTCGAAGAAGTACGCCGTTCAGTCCGACTGGAAAGCGCACATGAAGACCTGCGGCACTCGCGAGTACCGTTGCGATTGCGGAACCTTGTTTTCCAGGTGAGGCCTTAATTTCAGCTTCAGAAACTCCATTAATGGTCTGTCGTTGCACTTGCAGTTTCATTTAAACCTAATTCAATACCTTCCATAGGAGGAAATTAAACTCCACTTTCTGTAGATGAATTGATTCTCATGAATGTTCGTTTTGTTGGTGAATGAATTTGTAGGAGAGATAGTTTCATTACGCACAGAGCCTTTTGCGATGCCTTGGCGCAGGAGAGTGCTCGGTCTCAGCCCCCTCCGCCGCCTGAGCCTTCGCCGCCGACCGGAGGAGATTTGAAGGTCCAGATCGCCGCCGCATCTCCGCCTCCTGCAACTTCCAGTCCGCCGCCGCCGCCGCTCACTCCGTCTACCAGTGTTGTCTCTCCTGCTCTCTCCGTTCAAAGCCCTGGTAATTCAATCAATCCTTTCTTCTCAATTAATCAAAGAATGCTTCAAGGGAAGGGAGTGTATATAATTCTCATTTTTCATTGCAGCAGCTGAACTGCCTGAAAATCTACAGCCGCCGCCGCCGCCAGGACCTCCGGCTTCCGTCGCAGCTGCTGCTACAACCACCACCACCGCCACCGAGGCTTCTATAGCTACTTCGACAGTAGGTACGACAGTTTCCTCCCCGGCGTCGACCGCCACAGCATTTACATTCAATTCTCCAACCTCCGATCTTCCCCAGCCGCCGCCGTCGCCTTACTCCAGCTTACTGTCTGCGATGGCGGCGGGGCCCGACCACAGCCACCATCCCACCGCCGTTGATTCCATGTCCCTCTCCTTATCCTCCTCCCTATACACTCCATCCTCCCTATTCCCCGCCACCTCGCCACGCTACGTGTCGATACCTCCGCCGCCTCCGGCGGCATTATCCGCCACGGCGTTGCTCCAGAAAGCCGCTCAGATGGGTGCAACGACGTCGTCCAGCTCCTCCTTCCTCCGCGGCCTCGGCCTGGCTTTACCCTCCGCCTCCGACCACCACCCCAACACGACGTCGCCGCCGCCTCCCACCTTCTGGAACAACGGCGCCGCCAAGTTCGAGAACATTCCGGCGTCGTCCGGGCTGATGATGAGCCCGTCGGCGCTCTTCTCCGACAAGCCTACGACGCTTGATTTTCTGGGACTAGGAATGGGCGGCGGCGGGGAGCCCTCCTCCGTCGGATTCTCCGCCTTCCTGAGCTCATTCGACGGCGGCGAGTCGTGGGAGGATTCTCCGGACCGGAAGCCGTCGGTCGTCTGATGGAATCGGTAAGAAAATAGTTGCTTCCATAGTAAAAGTAAAAAAAAAAAACTATGGGTTAATTTGATAAACTACCTGGAGGGGCATTATTGTAATTATAATGCATGTTTGGATTTGTTTCTAATTTCTATCCTTATCCTTTAGAGAGTGTAATATTTCAACTTTCTGCTTCAAATGAATTATCCAATTTTCCAGTGATTGGTTACATTTTTTTATTATTAATATGTACTTTTTTTTAGTATATCATTTTCACTTAGCTTGTTCTAAAAATCTTAAATATACGTACATTAGGTATAAATTTATGTATTGATTGCACAAATATACTCAAGTTAAGTTATAATGCTAGCTCATAATCTAAAAGTAATGCATGTTGGGAGAAGTGTTTTATCATTTTTACGTGAAAGAGTATAATGGGTTTCATTCTTCTGTGTCTTTTTTAGACTTTGTTCATACAATTCTCTTTTTCTTTGTTTTTTGTTTTTACTGACATGGTCTCTAACATATATATATATATATATAATCAGTGTCCACCTAGGATTATATTAGAGGGGGGGTTTTAATTTTGAAATTTATAAAATAATATTCTCCTTCGTTCCAAAATTATAGTTTGGGTTGCGTCTGACACGAGATTTAAAGAATATTAATATTACATTTGTAGTGGGTAAAAAATATGGGTAAAATACTTTTTTGTCCTTGTGTGTATTAGGGTAAAAAGTAATGACAATTGTGTAATAATAATGAAAAAGTAAGGGTAGTTTTATAGTAACATGGTTATTTATGAAAATGAGACTATTATTTTGGGACGGATAAAAATGGTAAATAGCACTATTGTATTGAGACAGATGAAGTATATTTTATTTATAAATATTTATTTTTTATTCGAAAAAATTATCATTCTGATTATTATATTTTGAAAAAAATAAATACAAATAACGAATTACAACAATAATAATAGTTATACACTATATTATAAATATTTTTTTTATTCTTTTTATTCGGATAAGATATACAATTTTTTAGTATTTTTTAATTTATTCATTTTCTCAATATTACATATATTTAAATAAAAAAATAGATAAATTTAAGTAAGTAAATATATATATATATATACTGGGGTGGGGTGGGAGAGGGGGGCTGCAGCCCACCCTTGCCCCCACCTCTGTCCGCACCAGTATATAATATACTTTCTCATTTTATTTATAAAACAAAGTATTTATCCCGCGTGTAGACTCGTGACACTGACATCATAGGTTTAAACTCTCAATGTTCGGGCTTAGTTTGCTGATGATTTTTATATCTTATTGAAAGATACTTCAAATTAGAAAAAATTAAAGATGTTTGCTTTTTGCATGTAAATTTTTTAATATTAAATTGTAGTAAAAATGATAAAAATATCTCTATTAGTATAGTGTAATATAAAAATAATGGTATTTGTGTAATATATTGTAAATTGAGACAATATTTATTATGTTATGTAAGTAGTACAATTATTAAATTAAAAAATAGTAACTTTTCAATGAAACTGAGGAAGTACATATTTTTTTTCAATATATATATAGTACATATTCATTATTGTTATATTAATACATAATTTTACATGCTTCACAAAAAAAATTATATATTTTCAAATAATTTCACAAAAACAATTAAGGGCAAATTTGTCAATTCATAACAAAAAGACAATCATTTAAAAAACTGTGCAAATATACTTTAAGACAATAGAAATTGGACGGAGGAAGTATATGTTTCACTCTCAATTTCACTTATTTATTAGTGAGTGTGAGTGTCAATTCAATGTTCGATCCCCATATTTAGCATATGTCTATGTATAGATTAATAATGTCGTGTTAAAATAAAAATATCTATGAAAAAAAAAGGTATTTAATACTCTCTCTGTCCCACATTGGGTGTCTTGGTTACTATAGACACGAGAATTTAAGATAAGTATAATTAGGAGATAACTATTTAAAATGAGATTAAATACTTAAATCATTTTTCAGAAAATGAAAGTGACATGAGATAGGAGACGGACAGATACAACAACATGGACATGGTATATGAGGGTAAAATAATTATTTTATGATTGAACCATCCAAAATAATATATATTATAAATAAAGAAATTATACAATATATATACTTATACTAATAAAGCTAAAAATATACATAAAATATTATTTTATTTTTATTTTTATTTTTATAATACTTTCTTGATCTTTATATATATATATATATATATATATAAACTATAAACAGTAAACAAATTAAACACAGAAAGTAGTGGCTTAATCTATTCTTGGCCACCATGGTCAACCCTTGATGATAAATGCCAATATAATGTCTACTTCCATATCATTAAATTGTTGACTATTTCTATAATTTTGAATTTTTTGCTACTTCTTCAGATATTATTATGGTGTATTTAATTGTGTTTTGAATTTTGAATTGAAATAAAAATTAATATTTGATAATCCAAATAAAATATTTTAAAAATATAAAAATTAAAAGTATTTTATTTAAAATAAATAGGTTAGTCGAGTTGTAAATTTCATTTACCGTTTTTATTATTCATTAATTTTTTTCTTAAAAAGTAACAAATTAAACACTGTATTTTTTTTTTATTACTATTATTATAAATAAGGTTGTTATATTTGAAAATCACACTAATATATATTTATTTCATATTAAAAATAAATAAATTTTTCGTACATTTAAACACGCACTAGATTTTGTTGATGTAGGTTTCTACATGGATTCTCACTATTACGCAATTATATATACATATATGTATATATATTATTTCAAAGTTAAATATAACAAATTAAATATTTAATTTTTTATATAACATCAAATATTAATTATATTCATTTTAAGAAATTTGATATTATTAATTAATAAATATTTTTCCAAAATATTATATTAAATATATATTTTATTTTACAAAAATATTAAACTAAATATTCAAATTTTCACTTATTTTTACATTTTTTTTTTTTTTTTTTGTCAAAATCCCAAACTATGTTTGTTTGGGGTTTTGGATTTTGAATTGAGATTTGAATAGTGAAAATTTTGAATTTGAATAATTATGATGTGATATAAATAACTATTGATGTGATGTTTTAAATGTAAAATTAATTTTTAGTATAATATTAAAAAAAATAAAAAAATATATTTAATTTGATGTTTTCGGAATGAATTTTAATGAACAGTAAAAATCTTACAAAATCCTCCAAACAAACACGTAAATCTCCACGTGAATCATGTGTTTATTGATATTTCAATCAAACAAAAAATGAGATCGAAGGAATACAAAGGTTTGTTAATTTGTTCACATGTGAATTATTAAATTTTATTTTTTATTATTCAATTTTATATTTTAAAAAATCACGTTAAACATCAAATATATATACCCTATAGAATTTATGGTAGTTATCGTAGGTTTCTTGCATTATTTACATGATTTATATATTATGTACGCATTCTTATTATTAAAACAGAGAATTTCATTTTTATATTCTAATAATATTTAAATCAAAATTTTCAATTTAACTGGAAAAACTATTCAATTTAATTTGATATTTTTTTTAAATCCCCGGCGATGCTTAGGACAACGACGGGGCAACTTTACGAACAAGGCATGTATTAATTAGAACAGCTAAATGTGGGGACATAATAAATAATTGAATGAATGTATGGTCAAAGCCAAAGCAATTTCATGCATATATATATATATATATATATCTTTCCTTTTCAATAATTGCATCATTAATTCGAACATATCATCGACTAGATCGATCGATACAAAATAATATCTACGACAAAATTAGAAAAGAATATGAGAGCGTAGAGTGAAGATCGATCATTGTCGTATGTCCAATAAATCGAGAAATAAAAAATATGCATTTGTCATTTATAACAAATTATTTTTACGCACTTTTAATCTATATTTTTCAATATTATACTTATTTATAAATACGTCGTTACTATCTACACACTCAATTTTCCTTGGTGTCTTGGATTATTAATTTTATTCATTTTGTGAATTTTCTCCTATGAAATCTCATGTTTTATATACAAATAATATAAATTTTTATATAAACGCATCTATTCAACAATTATTTTATTTAAAACACAAATCACAAAATTAAAATCAAACACAAATTACAAAACCAAACATACAAAGCATTTATTTAGTATTTATAGTTTTAGGTACTATTTTTGCTGTAAAATATGAGAAATTGTAAAAAATATAACTCCCTCCAAATATAGTCTTAGTGTGTTGGACACGAGATTTAAGGAATATTGATATTATATCGACAGTCGGTAAAAATTAAAAAGTAAGGATAAATGACTTTTTTGCCCTTGTGAGTATATTAAAAGTAGTGACAATTGTGTAATAATAACAAAAAAATAGGGATAATTCTATGGCGATATGATTATTCATAGAAACAAGACTATTATTTTGGAACGGACAAAAATGATAAACAAGACTATTGTATTAAAACCGATGGAGTATAAAAAACAAAGAATATTATAATGTAGTACAAATAAAAGTTAAAAGACTAAATTAACCTTATTAGTATTGTATAATATAAAAGTAATGACATTTATATAATATATTGTAAATTAAAAATGTATTTGTAACGTTAAATAGATAATACCGTTATAAAAAAATACTAATATTTTGTTATGAAATATATTAAAATAAATAAATAAATTAATAAGGGACGAAGAAGTATTAATTTAATGTAATATTTTATAAAATAAAATAATTTATTTTTATTTAGGATGGTACCGCACAAAAGCAATTATCAACATATGTTATCTATAATAAAAACTGTAAGCAAAAGTGGCATAAAAAGGTGAGGTTATTAATGAAGTGAAAAAAAAGGGTACAATTTCCCTAAATGGACTCACTTTATGTATATAATCAAAATTCCAAACATGTTTCTTTTTGCTATACATAACAAAAATGGGATTCCTTTATTATTACAAACTCCACGTTAAAATTTATACTCACTTTTCTTTTTAGGTTGTCATCGAAAAATATTTTTATTTCTTTTTTAAGTAAAAAGTCATTTTATTTTTATACTTTTTTACTATAAAAAAAAAATTAACAATTAGTACTAACTTTTATTAAAATTTATGTTCAGTCAAATGAGAGCATGTTTGCATGAGAGAGGGATAATTATTATTATTATTATTATTATTATTATTATTATTCCCATGGCATCATTACGACATATGCATGGAATCCAAAACCATTATTATTTACCCACACTTTTTAACCCACTTATTAAATTGATACCAACCTTCGCAATTCATGTAAATATAAAATTAGGGTTAAAAAGATCAATGTTCCTCTACCTACTTTAAGCAATTTATTATATTTTTTATGTAATTTTTTTTTAATTTAAATTAAAATATGTAGAAAATATATATTTTGTCCAAAAATTAAACATAATTCTAATTACGTAAATTTTATACAAATAAATGATGTCACTTTTATGTATTCAAAATATTAGTAATAAATAATTGACTAAGCATTTATTTTATATTTTTTTATATAAAAATTAGGTAACAATTTCTCTGAAAAAAACTATTATTTGAGATATTTTATACTCTTTTATTATTCAATTATATTTCAATTTTCTCTGTAAATTACAAAAAAAAAATGAGAATATAATTAAATAATGGAAAGAATATATTATTTATATATATAAAATTTGTATAACTAAATGCGAATTTACAACCAATTAATCAAATATCAATTTTAAACGAAGATATTTTGTATTTATTTTAATATAAAACAAAATAATTTCACATAATAAATAAAATACGAGTACGAATAACTACATATATATATATATCATTGTGATTGACAATCACAAATATCTCTAAAAGATCCAACGGCTCACATCAAATCTTAAAAAAATAATAATAAAAAAAAATAAGTAAAGAAAAAATAAATGATGGGCTAGTCCAACAATTTATGGCCATAAAAGATAAAACCCAATGCTATTGATGGAGAATGTCCAAACAAGTGTTTCTAAAAAAATTTTAATGAATAGACGTTGATACAATATTATAATTAGAGAATTAAATATTAATATAATATTTAAATGAAAAAAAAAATTGAATTTTTTTTGAAGAGATAAATTTAAATGAATAATAAAAAATAACTTTAAAAATATAAATAGAGTGCAAAGTTGTGTTCCTTTAGTATTTATGAATTATGAAAATTTTGCTTTTTGTAATTGTGAATATTTATTTATTTATTTTTTAAAATATAATTATTTAAATAATATTATTTTCTGTCTCAAAACTATTGATACCTTTGATTAGTGATACTGTATAATTTAGTAAATTAATTATAGTAAATATGAGGTTATAAGTCACTATGTTTCTACTTATCATGTTTTATTATGAATGAGCAATCAAGAATTACTAAATTCATCTAAAAGAGTTTGAACTTATGATTTCGCAATCAAGAATTGTAATGAAATTGTAATGATATTTTGCATTTTTTTTCCAAGATTTTTATTGTTATTTTTAATTTGTAATTTCTTAAAATTTATTTATACGAATTTTTTCCCTCATTTAAAAATAAGTATATGAAAATATGCTCATGTAAGAGGGGAAAAAAAAAAAAAAAAAAAAAGACAAACACTTCTAGTAAGTTACAGTCAGTTGCAGATTATATAAAAATAAAAAATAAAAAATCTATCATCATTTTTAGAATTTTAAAAACTGCATAAAAATATTTTTATTAATTAACTAAAATAAGCTATGATAATTTCGCAAGAGATGAACTAGTAGTGTAGAGACGAATTTATGATCATAAGGTATGTGTTCAAACTCCTTAAGCTTACAGATCATCTGTCACATATAGTTCGTCTAGCGTGATTTGTACTGTAATGGTTGTGGATTCTCAAATATTTTATTAAAATAAAAGTTATATCGCAATAAAAATATATATGTAATATGAATATTATATAGAAAATAAAATTTCATATAATCAAATAAATAAAAAATACATTTATTTATTTATAATTAATATAAATTAATTTAATAAAATAATAAAATTTTAAAGTAAATAAAAATATTTTTTCATAGAAGAGATATAAAAAAAAGAATTTTAAGTAAATTTGATATTTTTATATTTTAATTTAATAAATTTTATTCAAAATAAAAAAATATCAATTATAAAAAAAAATCATATCAATTAATATGGAACGGATAGAATACTGTGTGACATAGTCAAACTAAAAACAGAAAAAAAAGGCTAACATGGTGATAGTGATGGTGCGGCGTAAATTCCAGAAGACGTCCTCACTCTATACTGGCTGGATTCAAGGGGCACGATGGTCTTTTCCTTTCATCAAGTATTTATGGTCAGCCATGGCTGTCCATCGGCCAATGCCCATTCCTTCCTTGAAGAGTACCCTATTTCCGATTGTGATTTGTGAGTCCCTTGATAAGGTTGCAGACTGCAGGTGGTGGTTGGTCGTTCGTTGCCGAGGGAAGGACAAATTATACCATATCCCTCGATTCCTGGAAAGCCTCTAACTCTCCATTTCACCAACAACCGCGCTCCTCAGCCGTTCATCAATTTTATTAAACGAATTTTCGCGAGATTCAGGAATCCATTGTGGTGTCGTTGAAGAGCTATTGACATCTCCTTCCAGCACCTCTCCCGTCCATTGGCGATTGTGAAGGTGAGATTATTGTTTCATACTCTGTTGTTTTGTCGTCCGCGAGAGGCGATTTTGATGATTCTGGAGGCAATTTTTGTGGTTGCACCTCAATCTAGGATTAAGGTATCGTAGAGTTTTATGGTGAAGTGGCGAAGATTAAAATCAATAGGTATAAATTTGTATATATATGTTAAATTTAGATATCGAATCAATGAACCCTCGAAACGAAGTATAACTGAAATGGCATTGGAGTTTGATGCGATAGTTCGTTGGATGAATAACAAACTGTGTTCTTCCCTGTAATTTAGATAGAACTGAAATCATGGCAATTATTTAGTTGCTGTTTAAGAAATGTTTTTACAGACCAAATGGCATAAGTTTCACATGACTTTGAATTTCTCATGTTTGGCTTTACGTTGTCTGTGGCTACATTTGTCAGGTTTCTTTGCTTTCTCCAGAATTTCTGGAGTGAGAGAGACGCTTTGTTGCACGATTTTGAGGAGATGCATTCTGAGTGATGAACCTTTCTTTTCTTTGTGGTCATACCTTCTGCAACGAATACGCCGTTGATTTGTTTTATTCAAGCAAGGGAAATGGCATCTAGTTATTTTGCAAGGAATCTTAATGGAATCCGAAATGGTGTAGGAAGATTGTCATCTGGAATTGGTCATAGGATACGGCATCAGGAAGATAATTTAGCTGGCCAAGGCAATGTATTGTTTGGCCAGTTGAGGCTTATTAATTCTTTCCCATCCGGAAGATCTGTGTTGTGTTTTCCATTGGAGCCTTCATTTCAAGTTTTTGGACGTTTCTATAATACCCTACTATCAGAACGTTGCCATGATTTCAGTATCAGCTCAGGGAAGGCGTTTATGGCTGTTTATGGATCTGGATCAGCAGTTTGTGAGTGCATTATTACTTCCAGGCAGGCTCGATCGTTCATAGCAGGATGTTATTCTTGCAGAGAAAGGCGTCCTGGTAATTTTCTAAAACCTACCATGAGCTGGAGAAGTGAAGAACAAATTAATGGCTTCCGGCTCAATGGGCGTTCCATGAACTGTGTTTCCAAGACAAATCAAAATGGGAAGCAACTCTGTGGATATGGGTTTAAGGGACTGCATATCTTGTCATCTGCATCTTACTCTACTAGCGCTGCTGGCCATGTATCGGTTTATAACACTACAAGAGAGGAGCAACAATTGAGCTCTGCAAATTCACCTGAGCTGTATGTTCCTTTCGCTTTACCAAAACTTCTAATCTGATGAACTTTATCTTAGCAATGGTTTGTTGGAATTCTTTTATTTTTCGGGAAATGCTTCATAGTAATTACCCTTGCTTTCTTGAAATAATGGAGACGGTGGTGAATCTAGACTCTTATATAGAATCACAACTACTTTATATCTGCGCCGCCACACAATTCACTGCAGCAAATACCCATTATTTCATTCACCCCACTGTCTTGTATTTTTTTTCCAGGTCATGGTAGAGTTATTTTCTAATATAGCACGTGATATGAGTGAAATTGATTACTCTGTTTGGTAGATTATGCACGAGCAAGAATATGCATGTTTGAAAGCCATATTTTTTGTAAGACCAATCAACTGATGTTCCTTCACTTGCTGGAACTGATTGTGAAGATGTTTGACAAGATCATAAAGCATTGCTGTATTTCTGCCCGAATTTCTTTTATAGGTTATTTATGGAACATGCCGTTTTACAGGAAACTAAATTCAGGATCGTATTATCTGCCCCATCCCGACAAAGAAGAAACTGGTGGGGAGGATGCTCATTTCATTTGCTCGGATGAACATGCTATTGGTGTAGCTGATGGTGTGGGCGGATGGGCTGATCTTGGAATTGATGCTGGGAAGTATTCTCGGGAGCTTATGTTCAATTCGATCAATGCCTTAAAAGAAGAACCGAGGGGCTCTGTAAATCCAGCTAGGGTACTGGAGAAAGCCTACAGTAGCACACATGCAAATGGCTCGTCCACTGCTTGTATCATTGCTATCACCAATAAGGTTTAGTCAAAGCACACATTCATTTACATAAAATTTTCTCAACAATTAACTCGTCTGTTACACATTCGAAATTAATTCATAGCTTCGAATTTACTGGCTTTATTATCTCATTTTGTATAGGGTCTACATGCCATAAATTTAGGGGACAGTGGGTTTATGGTAGTTAGAGAGGGCTGTACAGTTTTCAGATCTCCGGTTCAGTTGCACGATTTCAATTTTACATATCAGCTGGAGAGTGGCAATGCAGGGGATTTACCGGGCTCTGGACAAGTATGACTCCAGTTTACCCTTTTATTTTCTCCCACTTTTATTTCTAGTATTTCGGTGATGAGCAATTACTAAAATTGCATGTGGTATTCATAGTTACATCGATCTCGGTTTATGCATTCTTCTCTATTCGAATTCGCTAAAACAAATTTAATTGTTCTTTTCCTCGCAACTATTTGTTTGTAGTTTGGTGGTTTAATAACAAAATGGCTCCCACATTATTTGTCCAGGTTTTTACCATCTCTGTTGCTCCGGGAGATGTTATTATTGCCGGAACTGATGGCCTCTTTGACAATTTGTATAACAATGAAATTACTGCACTAGTGGTTCAGGCAGCGAGAGCTGGCTTCGGGCCTCAGGTGACTGCCCAGAAGATAGCCGAGCTGGCGCAACTTCGCGCACGGGACAAGGACAGGCAAACTCCTTTCTCAAAAGCCGCACAAGAAGCCGGATTCCGGTATTATGGTGGAAAGCTTGATGACATCACTGTCATCGTATCCTATGTTACCGATCACCATACAGTAAAATCCCTCTCTCTTACCCACAAACACACAAATGCAGATATCATTTTACATCATATATGCATTGTTATCTATTGGTTGGGGAATCTTCGACGTATATGTAACCTTTTTCTTGTGCAGGGAAATGGGATGTAGTCGATGCGTAGTATTCCAACTTGCTGGGCGTCATTGTTTTCAGGTAATTCGCGATCTCTCTTGGCTGGATTATCGATCTTTTTTTTTTTTTGTCGGAGGAGGTTCTTTTGTGTACATATATGTTTCTGCTTGATCTGAATGTGTTATTGGCTACAAATAAGTATTAGAACATAGTGTTTAGATAAATGTTGGTAGGAAAAGAAATGAGATTGTGATTCGATGTTTTGTAAATAAAAGGAATATAGATGGATAGAGACGCGTATACACAACTCCACCCTATAGAAAATTTGATGACAATTACATGGAATATAATCACTGGTATGATAATTTGTAGCATTTTCTGAAAATTTGGACTTTGTTTATTTGATATTTTTTAGGTTGAATAATGGTTAGAGTTAATATTTGAATGCAGTATCCTTAGTTGGAAATGAAAATTTAAATAGGACAGATTATAATTTAAAAATAATACTAATTATTATTTTGATTTGTGTTATTTTCTTGAATTTTTTTTTTTAATTTTTTTTTATTTTCTTGATTCTTTTTAATTTTTTTTTATGATGTGGGACTCGCAGCGGCTAGCCGAAGACCAAATCATCTTATAGTTAATATATCTACTTTTTTAATTTAATTAATATAATTATATATATATTGTTTTTCGGTGACGCCAGAAAATATAATTATATTTTGATATAATGTTTTATGTGAAAATATAATTTTTTTATTTATTAAGAATTTTGTTGTTAAATTGTGGTGTTTTTTTTTATATTTGAAATTAATAAAACAAAAAACAAACACCACTCTAATTATATTTTTTTGTATTCTTCTGTATATATGAAATATTAATATATTTTAAATTTATATGATAAAAATAAATTAAATTAACATTTTGGACGGAAGGAACATTATCTAAAATGTGTATTTCAACACGTGGATGAACTTTAACCGTATGACTGATTGCTCAATTATATTACTCAAAATCTTTTGATTATAAAATATTTTATTTTATTAGCAATATTACTTATAACTCAACAAGTCTTGTATTATTATTATTTTTTTATTTTATGATTTAAAAGTGGCATGCAATCTTTTGTATTTTAAAAAATATTTAAGAATTTTGATACAATATTTTTTAAATATGAAAAAATGGTGTAAAACTTTTAAATCAGGAGAAAGTATGGTGTTAGACTTTTCAAATCAGATGAGAATTGTACACAATTTTGCCTATTTTATTAATTATTTTAAAAACATTTTAAATAGTGCCATATAGTACCGGTTTATAATAATAATATTTAATATTATTATTATTATACTTGAAAAATCGTGTTGGTTGGTAATAATCATAATATTTTTCATTTGTTTGTTTGCATTTTATGAGAGTTGACAATATACTCTCTCAATTCATTTAAAGCATATACATTTATTTTTTCTTTGTATTTATCAAATATTATATTTAAATATATAATTAGTAGATAGTTTATATATATTAATCATTATATCTTAATTTAATGTAAATATTTTGATATATATATATAATCCATTTGAAAGATATAAATTCAGTTCACACCATTAAACCTGTATTGAATATATATATATATTTGAATATTTAGATTGATGAGTAGTGGGCATAGGATTCGACACGTTGACATGTCAGTGAACCCATAATATATCTATACCCATATCTTCTACTCCCTCCGAATATTTTGTAAACGTGACACGAGAATTTAAGAGGGATATAATTAATAAATAATTAAAAATATATTAGTGAAAATAATTATCGTATAATAAAAATAATTATAGATTAATATTAAGGTAATTGATTAGTATAATTAAAATTTAAAAAATTATATATTGAATTTTTAAAAATAAGATTAAAATGTATAATTATTTTCTGAAAGAAAAGGTGCCAAAATAAGTGGGACGGACGAAAATGAAAAAGTGGACATGAGAAGTGGGACGGAGAGAGTATTATGTATCTATCTTTTGTACAATATTACTCTCTCTGTTCACAAACTAATGTTCTACTTTACTATTTGGGACTTCCAATAACTATTATCTTGTTTTATTTTTTAAACATAAATTTTACATTTTACCCTTCATTCATTTATTACTTTTAATTTTAATAATACAATTAAGGACAAATTTATTAATTTATAATAAAAAGACAATCATTTAAAAAATTATGCAAATATACTTTAGGAAAATAGAAATGATACGGACAGAGTACAATACGTTAATTATGTTATGTTATGTATGTCGGTTTTATATCGGTCACAATATGATAATGCGTTTTATTATTTATTATTATTTGTATGAGTTTCGTAAGATGATAGGTGATTTGGTTGTCGTTGTTGCACTTGCACATGTTTTTTTCAATATAACCCACGTCATGCCCTAGCTCTAGCTCTATCAATATCGAAATCAATTATATATATACACATATATTTATATACGACACTCCTAAAATATAAAAACAGCACAAATATTTATTAAAAATAACATATATTATTTGTAATAATGACATGTATTGTTTGTTTTTAATTATACATGTATTGTACAAGTGAATGTTATATGATTAAATGAATTGTACTTGTATTAGTTCCTCTGCTCCAATATAATAGTCTTGTTTACCATTTTTGTCCGTCTCAAAACAATAATCTTATTTCCATAAATAACCGTATCACTATAAAATTACATCTATTTTTTTATTTTTATTACATAATTGACACTATTTTTTACACTAATACACTCACAAGGACAAAAAAGTCTTTTATTTATGCTTTTTACCAACTACCAATGTAATATCAATATTCCTTAAATCTCGTGTCCAACCCAATTAAGACTATAATTCTGAAACGGAGGGAGTATATGAGACTATATTATGTGTTGTGTTTGTATTATATGAATATAAAATAATTTGTTGTCAATGTTAACTATCGGTGAGCTGTTGTTCAACACATATATATACATATTATATATGCATCGAAAATCAATTTCAATTTTCCTTTTAAGGTTTAATTGTGTTGAGTCCCTACTTAAAATGCTACAAATTTACCCCATTATTGGCATTTATATTTACAGTTATGGTAAGAAAATCGAATTATTCTCAAATACTACTATATCTTTGATATTTGCGATGCCTTCTTTTTACACGTTAGTTTTGTTTGTTTGTTTGTTTGTTTTTACACGTTGAATACCCATTTTATGTAAAAAGGGTGCATGTTAGACTTTTAAACACGTAGTAGAGGATAATAAATATATGAACTAGCCATTTATTTTTATTAATCTCAATAAATATTTGAATATATATAATTTTAATCCTATAAATTACTAATTATTTTGATCTCCAAAACAAAACTGAATCAATTTCTCTTGAGTATGCATGAAAAGATAAATACAATCCATCGAAATTCTGGTCAAAATCATTTGTGATTATAATAGAACTAAAGTTAATTTTTTTATAATAAAATTAAAATTAATTAATTAATTTTAATGATATCATTTGTGATATTTTTTTTCTGAACAAACATCAAGATATAATATTTTCCAAATACACCCTTTCAGAAGTTGACACGATTAAGTAAAGACCGCTGTGGTCCCGGGAGCTCCCATGAATCACCCTTTTGAATTCTAGTCCCTCCCGACACCTACTTGTCCTCACGTCCCCAACCACAACACGACACGTGTATCTGCGTCGCAACGACGCCGTTTCACTCTCCATCCATCTTCTTTAAAGTCTTCTTCCCCAGAATTAAATTCTCTACTCCTCACTCTCGCCGCTACCCCCAAATCTTCTCCGGCCGCCATGGACCGCCGCCACCACCACCACGACCGGAGGGACGACCGCCCGGAATACCCGCCGCCGCCGCCCTTCCAAGAGCCCCCTCCGCCGCCGTTTTACGGCAGGGACAATCACGGCCCGAGGCGCGAAGAGTACCCCGCTCCGCCGCCGGCGTACGGCCACCAGCCGGAAGTCTTCCACACCTCCCACCAAGGCCCGAGGCGCGAAGAGTACCCCGCTCCGCCGCCGCCGCCGGCGTACGGCCACCCGCCGGAAGTCGTCCACACCTCCCACCAAGGCCCGAGGCGTGAGGAGTACCCCGCTCCACCCCCGCCGTCCAACTTCTCCTCCTACCCCGGCGGACCGCCGCCGCCCCCCGCCGTCGACCACCGGCCTCACTTCCCCGGCCACCGCGAAGACCCCCACGGCGGCCTCTCCGAATTCGCAAACAAACCGACTTACAGGATGTACTGCAAGGCCGGCTCCAATTTCTCCCTCGCCATTAGAGACGGTCGCGTGATCCTCACGCGCCACAACCCCTCCGATCCCCACCAGGTCCGCCGCTCCGGTCGTCCCTACCGACCATCTTCTCAATTCCTTTTATATATATATATATATATATTTCTGTTAAATAAATAAATAAATAAATAAATAAATACAGCACTGGTACAAAGATGAGAAGTTCAGCACTAGGGTTAAGGATGAAGAAGGGTTTCCCAGCTTCGCTCTGGTGAACAAAGCCACCGGACAGGCAATCAAGCACGCCGCCGGTCCTTCCCACCCTGTCTGTACCTTCGTTACCTTCTTTTACTTTATCATCAGATCGATCGATTGCTGAATTGATGATTGAATTGAAATTGAATGCAGGTTCAGCTGATCCATCACAATTCGGACAGAATGGACGAATCGATTCTGTGGACGGAGAGCAAAGACACTGGGGAGAATTACAGGGCGATAAGGATGGTGAACAACATCAAGCTGAACGTCGACGCGTGGCACGGCGACAAGGATCACGGCGGCGTTCGTGAGGGCACCACCATCTCTCTCTGGGATTGGACCAAGGGAGACAACCAGCGCTGGAAGCTCGTCCCCTACTGTAAGAACTAACAACAATTCATTACTTCTTCTTCTTCTTAATGCTCTCTCTCTCTCTCTCATTCATTCATTCATTCATTCATTCCTTTTCTTCATAATCTACAGGATAGGATATATATATATATATGTATATGTCTGAAGTGCAATAAACAAACCTTGTGATTGCTGCTGCTGCTGCTGCTGCTGCTAGTATTGTTCGAATCATCCCTGGCTTTGTATTGTTGTTTTCTTACCTTTATGTATTATGGTGTGGTGGTTGACTTGTTTCTGCCATTGCTGGTGTTGGAAGAACCACCATGTACTGTGTATTGGTATTGTATTCCCGTGCCTGTCTGAGGATTGCTTGCTCTATTGTGATCTTTTTTTATGCATACCTGCAATGGATCCTCCTCGAATTTGATACATGAATAAATCCATGTCTAAGATGCTGATTAGTATAAATCTCAGACATGCATTGTCTCTCAGCAGTGATGATTTGCCATGGATAGTTTTGGGATTTTGTTCATCTTTGAAGAAAGCAAGGAATTAAAGAAACAAACTTCATCCCTGCTGCAATCAATCAAAAAATCCCCCAAAAGAACATACTCTATTGTGAAAGACAACAATGTGATGAAAAAAAAACTAAGGCACAGATCTGCAAAAAAAATGAATGAATCAACCAAGTTTGTAGAAGCTACAAAATCTACTATAGTCGGCAAAAAAACTAACCAATCTCATTTCTCTGTGATCTAAACCGGTCGGTAAAACCCCGCCTTTGTAACCACCACCGGAGACTAACAAACAATGCTATAGACAACAACAGTTACTTTTTTTTTTCATTCTTTTTCTCATTTTGGCTTTCGGGTTTTTCTTTTCTTTTTTTTTTTTTCGGAGATATATATATAGATAGATAGATATACACAAATGGGGTAGGACACAAGAGGCGAACCCGAACTATTGTTGGCATAACAAACCTGCAGGAACACCAAAGAGATGGTTCAGATTTAAAAACTCGGGTTTTTTACATGCTTCAATCCAAAATATCTCAAAGAATCCGAAAAACAATGAATGCCACAAACATAACATCAGTAACATTTACTGATGTGTATGGGCAATTACGTCGTATGTACACAAACTTAACGAAAAATCTCTCCTCCATATGGTATGATAAAATGTATGACCACCAACATTGGTTCCTACTTAAAAACTGTTAGTACAAAGGCTTCATTCATGGCAGGCCATGAAATTTATCAATCGTCTTTCTCGTGCAAAAGAGTAGGAGGAGGCATGCTAATATTACCATTCAGAGCCGCATGATAAATTCGTTTCTCTGCCAATCCAATGTCCGAAAGAATCAAATTGCCCTGCACCATAACAAGTGTAGCTAATAAGATCATATTATTCTGCATATGATGTAACTAAACAATCTCTATGCGTATTTCTTGTCTTTCTAAACTCAATTCTTTTTCGAGTACAAAACATAAACGGATCATCTAAACAGCAGCTTGCCAGATTTTAAAAGCTCATGGGATAGTCTTTTGGGGAAATATACATATATATATATATATATTATCTCATGCGCAATCCATGTATTTGTTCAAACAAATCTGGGGTGTTATAGAGTGATCTGGATTTGAAATATTTTTAATGAATTTCTATTTACATGAGTTTTCAAATTCGTTTATAACGCTGTTCGTTACAATTTCTCTCCATAATATAACACATCTAAACACCTATTTTTATTTTAAAAATTATACCAAAATTCTATTTCCACAACACAACCCCTATTTATTTCACATCAAACATCTATTTTTTATTTTTTATTATTTCCAAGAGGCTCCAAAACTCGAAGCCTATCTAGACCCATTCTTTTTGTACCATACAACGCTACAGTTCCTATAAAAAATACATTTTTTTTTGCTCACAAAACATCATATCCAATTATTATTTAAACACAAAACACAATCACAAGCCAAAGTAAAGAAAACCCAATGCTCTGTTTTCTTTAGAGTTTTCATTCATTTTCTTTAATATACATCACATCATAATTTCTATAAAAAAATAATAGTTTCTCTTACAAAACATTATATTCAATTATTATTTAAACACAAAAGCAATCACGATTCTCATACTATTTTTCTATACAAAACATTACACTTAGCAGCTATTTAACCTAAAAATTAAAATACAAACACAAAGCCAAAGTGATCAAACCTTGAAGCCCTGTTTTCTTTGTATTATTACTATTATTATTGTTATGATGATGTTTTGTTACTATGCAACCTATCAATTCTCTACAAAAGATAACATTTTTTTTATATATAAAACATCACATCAAATAACTATTTTATCCAAAATCAAAACACACAAAATCACAAAGGGAAAAAAACCCTAAGTTTTGGATACAGTGATTTTTAATAGAAAAAGATTCATAATAGATTGCATAGTGCGAAAATAAAAAATAGAAACTACGAAGCAAGAAGACACACCCTTTGTTTATACAGAGGAGTTTCCTCATGTCGCAAACTTCAACAGGTCTTGCAAATTGAATTTTAGTACAAGAACAAAATAATGTGAACCGTTGATTTTAGTCATTCAAGGCTCTTAATGGAATGCTCACTTTTGTGGATCGAACGTGTAAATATCTTTACTCCACTGAACCAAAAAATTTTATACTGCATTCTAATGTTATGAACATAAGCTAAGTTGAAAACCATTAGTTACTTCAATCTTTTGAAACGATCATCGTCTTAGTTGATATCTAAATTTGTTCGACTGCTAGAAAGATTTACAGGTAGTAGAAGCAATAGAATATGTACCTCGCGAGCCATAAGCTTTCTAACATTATCCGCATAAAGCTTTGGATCTTCCTTCTCTTGTTCTGAGGGGTAATATACAGGCAGGCGTATCACTTCCATGTAATTTACAAACTGACAGAGAAGTAGAATAACGTGGCGCACCTGCAGAAGTACAAAACTAGTAAATATCATTTCACCGAACATTGAGATACACATACATCCCTATGAATCAGATGAATGTAGTTCAGTGGGGGAGGTGCAAAGCAAGATCAGATTACAATAACAGTAAGCAAAAACAACAGCAACCAATCACAAAGGTACTCACACAATTTTATATGAATTTTAAAATAATTAAAACATTGAACTTGGAAGATAGGTTTGCGTAATTGAAAGGATGGAATAGTTGGTGATTGCCCGAAGAGGCCATCATTCATCAATTCATCATAACAATGGCATTCAAAGATAGTTGCAGAAAATAAAATCAAATTACAGGCAGAGGGTGCATAATAAGTCACACGAGAGCATATACAAATATGGGTCTATAATTTCAAATAAATAAATAAATAACTCACCCCCGAAATAGAGTCCCAAGCAGGACTAAATCTCTGGTAGGGATACCTCAAAATGAATGGAAGTACCGGAACCTTGGCCAAAAATGCACCAGTCTTGAATGGAAGGAGGTAGTCTCCGTTCGTGGTTGTGCCTTCTGTACGAATGCCAAAATAAGAATTAATAACTGCCAAAAATTAGGAACAAATACAAATTGAAAAACTGGATCTAATCGATTAAACCCAAACCTTCAAGGAATATTCAATCTTAACTTTATTCACAATATGAAGTCGAGAATACGACATAGTTTTCATGCAATGCGCCAATCACGACAGAAAGTTTTAAGTATTTGAAAGCATCAGCAACCTCAAAAGGAAATTCCAGAAAACATGCCCCTTTGTTTAGGGAACAATGGATATGAGAGTATGCACACATATTAACATAATCCATCCCACGACAACAAACGAAAATTAAGGATATAAGAGTATGGACACATATTAACATAATCCATTGCACAACAACAAACCAAAATCTTCTCCCAATTGATATTAATAGAGAACAAACAGAGAATTGAGAAATAAGACACCATAAGTGTGAAGGGAATAATAGAATCAAATGATAAAGCATTAAAATCCAGGAAAGAGAGTGGAAAAACAAAAGGTGACCTGGGAAAAGCAGCATTTTTGGAGCAAGCTTGTTTTGATGAGCTTCCCGGATTCTATCATTGACAACACCTAAAGTGAAAAAGGTCAAAATGAGCTCAATCCTGAAACGATTGGACTTTCGGTTTTCATAAATTTCACAAAGAAAACCAATTGGTCATTCCCATCCTTCATCAAAGCACAACTTTGTGTCCAAAGAATTTGTACAAAAATTACCTGACACGCCTTTAAAGTTTGGTGATTTTAACTCCCTCTGTACATAGACGCAACCGAGGCATTTGCTGTAATAAGAAAATTTATGACTGCTAAGGCACATTATGCGAAGATATATACCTTTAAGAATATACACAGCAAGAAAGAAAAAGAATCCAAAAAAATTGCATGTTCATGACCATAGCAAGAAAATAGGCAACGAGAGATGAATTACACAACAATACCATGGATGAATCAAACTCCAAACATGATGAGTGGGAGTGGAAACATAGAAACACTTAATTCTTAACACATTTAGGGTGTTTGTTTGGGGGTTTTCCCAAATTTCAACTATTTATCAAATTTTTCATTTTAAAAATATCAAATCAAACACTTATTTTTATTTTTTATATTATACTAAAAATTAATTTTACATTCGAAACATCACATCAACACCTATTTATATCATATCATACAACCATTCCAAATTCAAAATTTTTACTATTGAAATTCCAACTCAAAATTCAAACCCCCAAACAAACACACCCTTAATTAACTCACATCCAAACGACCAATATAAGGCGTATAATCATGAATTTTGGGCCAGGTTCATGGACAGTAAATTATTGTGGGATTTGGGACATTAATAGAAATTATTCAAAGCATTCCACAGCACGAAAACCATTTTAGAGTAGTTCAAGCCGGTCGTATTGTAGCCTGTAGATCTAGAAAATCTTAGCTCTATTTAAAGATTTTTCATACTTAACTACAGCATTTACAGATCTAAAAGCACCACCACAAAATTGGTTGACGATTTACCATAGCAGTAAATGAATATCGGAATGAGAAGCATATATAGGGATCTTGGTGATATTTAAGGGACTGAAACTGAACCAACCTTATGAGACCAATAAGGGGAAGTTTAGCCACAGATCTCTACAGCACGCGATAACCAAAAGAGAGAAAGGTGTCAGTTAAATCTAGTAGCACCGCAGAAGAATTTCAACAGTGTATGCAATGATATTATTTGAAAAAAATCAACTTACCTTAGCTACAAAGCTTGGAAAAGAAGCAGACATATGGTACAGAATGTCTAAATATGATACATGGTTTGAAATGACAACCCCCGGTCTCTCCTGCTCTTCAGATTGATCCCCGGATACCATCTGGAAATTTCGAAACACAATCCAACATTGATAGATCATCAAACAATGCAAATCTAACACTTCAGTAAATACGACTACCAAAATTATCAACTCCATTTCAATATCACTAATTTAAATACCAAAATACTGACGGCAAATTAGTTACCTCACATAGTAAAACAACAACTTAATTTTCAGGGACAGACAAACGTATCCATCAACAACAAACATTCTATTTCCATAGACCATTAAAACATGTCAAAAATCCATTCCCATTCTGGACCCGAATCGATAAACAAAAATTGACAGAAGAGATACATAATAAGAACTTATTCGTTCACACATCAAACAAAATAATGATTAGCAATAAATGCACAAATGCCATATATACATACATAATTGAATCGAAACAAAGAACAATAAAGCAGCTTGTAAGTTCAATAAAAGAGAGCAATAAAATCAACCTCATGATTCAACTCCCCGTCGGCTCTTCTGGATTCGCCAATCCAATAGAACCCGAAAATGAAGAGCATAACCCGCGACAAGAACCGGCCGGTCTGGACAATTACGGCCCTCCTCCAACCCACCATGTGCGCGTAATCCTCCTGCTCCTCCACCCTGCTCGGCGACAGAAACGCCGTGCAAACCCTACAAATCACGTAATAAATCAACAGCACCGTCGTCCCTGCCGCCACTCTTATTGGCAACAAAAACACCAATGCCACGCCGAGCAAGAATTTCTCGGCCCACGGCAATTCCCCCAGCCCCATGGTCCCGTACACGTCGTTCCGAACATACGCCGCGTATTTTTTCTCCATCTCTTCCAGACTCGGACTCGATGGCGAAGCCTCGCATTGAGGTTCTGGGTTTTTCGCCTCCGCCGTGAGCAGCGGACCGTCGTCCCGATCGGACGCCGGGTGACGATCGTTGCTTTGGGGATTTAGGGCTTTAAGCTCCGATTCCATCTCCGATTATATATATATATATATATGTATTACCAGTCAATAGAAATTCTTCAGCTTATCACTTGATAATAATAATTTCTATATATATATAATTTCTGGTAATATAGCCATTGTTGGTCTGGATTTCGTGCGGTGGTTTTGGATGAAGATGGAAGAAAGAACTGATTGGATCGGGAGGAGGTGATGTCCACGCGCTCCCGTGACGGGACTCGGCGCGTGATCATTCTCTTTTTGGGGTCTGCTCCGGTGTCTGCTGGCGCAGCGTAAGTAGAAAGGGAAGCGCAATTTATGACCGTCAGATTACAGATCTAGATCGTGTACGTGCGGCTGTGATTTAGGGCAAGTAATTAGAGTGGACCAAATATGTAGATTTATTTAAATATGTATATTAGCAATTTTTCATTTTTATTTTGTTCGTTAGACATTCTAGAAGGTGAATATTGCGGCTAGGTTTTATTTAATTTTTAAAATATTGAAGTTAATATTCTTTCTATAAAAAATTATTATTTTTATTTTAAAAATATCATAAATTTAATTAAAATATCATAAATTATTATTTTTTATACAAAAATTATCAGAAATAAAATATGCATATTTATTAGTTGTTAAAATTACTGTGATGGCAACGAAAAACGGTGGGAGACGACACCAAGGAAGTTGCCGTAGATATTTTCCTTTTTTCAGGTAAGTGAATAAATATTTGATATAATATTTTAAATAAATAAATTTTAAAATGATAAAAATTTAAAAATATGATATATAATGACATAATGGATTGAAAATACAATAGAATGTATATATTTTTTTTAAAATACGATTTTATTATTTTTTAATGTAACAAGACAAAATACACATTTTTATTTGTTGGTGCAATTAATCAGCAACGAAAACTCGAAAAGTGTTGTTGAGCACAACCCAAGAAAGAGCTGATTTAGAGGAAGTCGCTCTTGTTTGTTTAGTTTAGTATTTTGTTTTGGTTTTAAATTGGGTTGGATTGATGTTTTATAAAATAATAAGTTTGTTTGTTTAATATTTTAATTTTAAATATATATATATATATATTTATACTTTATATACAGTATAAAAAATTGTTTGATAATATAAATAATATTATATTGATTTTAGATTTTTATAAAAATAAATTATATATTAAAAATTAGAAAGTAAATAATTAAATAATTTAATTAAAATTTAAAAAATTATACTATTTTCATTTCATAAAAGATGTCTTATTGAAAGTTTCGCACAGAAAAAAAAAATATATATTTAATAGAAAATTGGTATAAAGTTAATTGAAAGTTGGTATAAAGTATAAGCTAAATATTAAAGTATCTTACTTTTTTTAAATGTTTAAGAAAGTAATTTAATAAAATAATTAGGAATAGTGGTAAAAAAGTAAAGATAATTTTATTGTAAAGTAAATATCACGATTACTAAATAAAGAAATTAGACAATAGTTTTGACACATACAAAAATGGAAAAACAATGTCATTCTTTTGAGACGAAAGAAGTAAAATATAAATTTTAAACTATGATTAAAATATATAATCATATTTTCAAAAAAAATAACAAAATAAATAAAATAAGACAAACAAAAATAAAAAATAAAAATAAATTATATAAAAACATAGAGTATTTAAATTTAAATTTCGTCAAATGATTGAGTCAGTTTAACTATAAATTTTTGAAAATTTTTTAAAATTTTAGAAATTAAAAATATATATATATATATATATTTGATTTGATATTATGTAAAAAGAAAATTATATTTAATTTAATATGTTTTGAAAAATAAAGTATAAAAAGAGTAAAAATTGATTATGTGCTGTACTCAAAACCTATATCAACTTATAATCACCAATTTTATTTTATTTTATTTTTTGACGGATTTATTTTTTAATTTTTGGTATACGAAATTTGAGGTTTTTTCTTTTTCAACACATACTCCCTCCATCCCAAAATCCCAAAACACTGGCATTTATATTTTGATATATCATATACACTTTGCAATATTTTTATAATATTAAAAATAATTAATCATACTTTATCCATTAGCATCATTCAAATAAAAAAATTGCATCATTTAATTTCTAAATTATCCTACTTAATACTATCCGTCTAAAGACTGGTGTCAAAAACAAATATTGCACCTGTATGAACTGAGGGAAAGAACATCAAAGGAGGAACAGCTAACAACATTTCAACATTGCATCATGTTTTACTTTCAATTCCAATTCCAATTCTTATTCCTCTTCTTCTTCATCATCATCATCATCATCTTCTTCTTCTTCTTCCATTATCAATTTACCTAAACCTCTCTCTCTCTCTCTCTCTCTCTCTCTCTGTTCATCCAATCAACCAACAACAATTCTCCAATTATTCATCTCTCTCTCTAACCCTAAATTCTAATCTTTAACTCAACAAATCATCAGCACAACACAGAAAATTAATTAATCAATCAATTGCGTACCTAGCTCAGCAAGAAACCCAATTCTTATGAGTGCTGATCACCGCCGACAGCAGCCCGGCGGAGGAAATCACCGCCGGCGGTGGCGCAATTCCTTCTCTAATATCCGCCAACGCCATCAACGCATCCGCAAAATCCTGAACCACAGACAGCCTCTTCATCTTCTTCTTCTCCCTCAACTTCTTCACATCCTCCTCCGATGACGACGACGACGACGACTCAATTTCACCGATCTTCCTCAATTCAAGCACCTTCAAGCTCACGCTACCGAAATACCCGACGAATTCGCACCAGGCGCTCATCAGCTGCAGCTTCGGCAAACGCCGCTTGTCGATCAGTCCGGCTTTTCCCAACCACACCAATTGCTCGACGAAATAGTATAAACCTTCACCGCCATAGGCGATCGCGCAGAGGAAGAGGTAGGAGGAGGAACGAGAGGCGAAATCGATTCCGCGCAAGGCGTTGATATCCTGGACAAACTTACCCAGGCGGAAGGCCTTGCGGCTGACGCCGACGCTGGCTTCGAAGGATTTGAGGCGGGGGAGGAGCGGGTGGTGGTCGGCGACGATGGAGGAGGCGAGGAGGACTTTGGTGGCGTAGCGCGAGATTTTGAGGAGCTTGTCGACGCCGTCGCGCTTGGCTAAGTAGATCTCGAGGTGTGTCAGGAAATCCTTGCCGTCCGCCTTCGCCACCGGCTTAATTGCAGGGGAAGGCGGAGGAGGATATTTACGATCATCGGTACTGGGATTGGGGTTAGGGTTTGGGGAATTGGCAGCCATGGATTTGGGGGAGAAGCTAATTTTTTCTCCCAATAAAAAAAAAATAAATAAATAAATTATATGTCAAAACATATTAACCACCTTCGATCTTGATCTGCGAGCCAATCGTCATCTTCACCCTGTTTAATGTGTTATTATTATTTTATATTTTCTCCAATACAAATGACCATTTTGATATCTGATGCATGCAATAAGACTTACCTAATAATAATAGATTATCGTATTATTTTATTGATTTTATTATTAGTAGTTTTCATTCTTATTAAAAAAAATTAAAATACATATTCTCTCTCGTGTCAATTTAATTTGTCCCCTTTTTTTTTTTTTTTTTTTTTTAATTTCCCTTCATCCTATTAAATTTATTTCTTTTTACTTTAATCATATTTTAAAATTTATAATTTATAATTCTTTTATTTTAATTAAATTATTTAGTTATAATAACTTATTATAATTTTCGCCGCTATAATACATTTCTTAATTACTTATTATAACCTGTGCCTAGCTGGGACGAAGGAGTACCATGTACTCCAATTCATTGTTATATTTTTCTATTTTGAATAAAATTTATTAAATCAGAACATATTTGATAAATATAAATATAACTTAATTAACTATATAATATATAACATCATCCAAGACTACTTTTTCTATCTATTTATTCTAAAAAAATAAATAAAATTTTATATATGTAAAGACTCCAAGTCTATAATAAAATTAATTTATATTAATTATAAATAATTTCTTTTTTTTTATATTATAAAAATTTTGATATAATTTTTAAAATATTTAAATATATATTTTAATCCATTGCACTTTCGAAAGTATTTTAATCAATACTCTTATAAACTGTCACTACCAGAGGAAGTGTAATATATATATATATATACATATCAAAGAACACACATGTATTAAGGATCATCAAATTAAAAAGCTTATAGACAGCGAAAATAAAACATCTAAACAATCATAACATACACACATATATATAATATAATCTATGGTCACAAATATTAACGTAGTAATAACAGATGAAGAAAACAAATAGTCCAATAATATCAAATACTACTTACTAGTTACACACACACATGAAAAAACAGTTAAATTTTAGCAATTAGTGAGAGAGAGAGAGAGAGGAGAAGTGCACCTGGTGTATCTTAGTATTGACTCTGCAGGGTTATATTATAATTCAGACATGACGACATTGGTGTGGTGGTCTTGTCTTGTGTCCGAAGATGTGTTGTCCTGATGATGATGAGGTTTGTTGCATAATTGGGTGTATCTGAAGCATGTGACCAGATGATCGTTAACCAAACCTGCTACCTGCATGAATGAATACACAACCGTGGCCCCCACGCACCCCAACCCTCTCTTCATCAGATCCTTGCTCATTTGTTCTGATTTTGGACTTTTCACCGGCACTTGCCGCCCGTTCCGGAACCCTCTTTTCGTCGCTTTATGGCTCCCAAACTGCCAGCAGTAGTTGCTGAATGATCCCAGCTCTTGCTGAATCTGCCCACAAAGAATTATGTTATGCTTGCATATATATATATATATATATCAATCGAACATAATAACTGTACAAGAAGCCTGGTTTTGATCTCATATCCTCATTCCAAATAAAATCCATTTAATCCGACAACAAATAATTTCAATTAACACAGCATATATGTGTTGTATTAATTGAAACCATCCCCTGACGGTTTATAGTCATGAGGTATGCTCTATGAATGTATATCATATGATGAAATTAATGATATAATATTAGGGGTGTTAATTTATATTTTTGGGTCGTGTTCGTATCAGGTCGAGCCATGAAAGTAACACAGAAACTGTCAACTCAAACCCTATTCGAACCCTAAATTTGACCCGAAACCCTAGACCCGAACCCAACATAAATTTTTTCAGGTCAGGTTCAGATTAACCTGATCTAGTTTCAAGTCACCCGAAACCCGAACAAATTTGACAAGAAACAAACCTGAAAGCTTTTAAAAAATTAAATTAACTAAAAAAAATTATTTTTATTTTAGTTTTTATTATTTTATATTTAAAATAATATAAAATTATAAAATAAAAATAATAATAATAAATAATTTCATGTCAACCCGAAATACAAATCCGAAATCCAACCTTATTTTCATATTTCGGGTTACCAGGTCAACCCGAAACCCCACCCGAACGTGACACGAATTTTTTTCATTTCGGGTTCGGATCGACCCGAGTTTTTAACCCGAAATACTCAAACCCCGTTTTTCGGGTCGGAATTAATTTTGACACCCCTATATAGTATATGCTATATATATAAATGTCATGTGATGTCAATAACATTACCAATGTGCTGTCAGCACAATAACAACCATCTATGTTTACCTTGAGCACTTGTTTTGCATTCTCGACAACTGCACGAACCTTAGGTTCAGACAGCAACATGCCGCCGGGGACTCGTGTTGACAGCAGTCTACCCACATCAAGATTTGCTACTGATGTTGGAATGAAGTCCTCAAAGAGCTTTCTGGAAAAACATTTGGTCGAAATGTTTTTAGAAAAGGAATGAATAATTAAACACATAAAAACATCAGAGATGTGGTGGTGTTCATTCAAGCTAAAGTAGCAAACAAGAACCTAAATACTGCTCTCTTGCTTAGGATCACCCGCCACGAGTGTTCTGCCAATGCCTGTGATAAAACCAGCAACTCGAAGAGTTTGGAGTCGTCATGAACAGGGACTCCCCATTCCTTATCATGGAAATAAGTATAAAGTGGTTCTGCAGATTAAAATGCAAAAGTTAAGTACAGGGCTTTTGGGCATTCAAAATAAAAGAATAGCTCTGTTTATAGTTGTCGTAAATTTGACAGTTCCTTCTTCAGCTGTAACACATGATCATCATTTCTAATGGCATCAAGTGTTTTCTCTATTTAGTTTTGCAAGTTATTGATCAACTGTCAACATACATACAGCTATCGACTTATTATTCATAAAAAGCATAGTAATCCTGCTTAACTTTTAAGTACTTCAAAGCATATTATGATATGTGCAATTGCATTCAGTACACTTCTGTGTTGAGGTAACCAGTTCAGGATGAGAAAAACCTTTTCACGGAAGTGTTTAATTACTATCACTTAGTTTGAATGTCTTTGTATTTTGAGTAGTCTATAGCTTGCTTTACTGAAAATCATGTGAACTTGAGCTACTAATTCTTTCTTTCAGGCAAGGAGGAGTCCATTAGCTCTGCGTTTTTCATCTAGACAATACAAGAAAGTTCTAGATCCGACACCTCCTTCACTGCAATAAATTGTTTCTAGTGGAAAATAGGAAGAAAAAAACCAAAAGTTTTATGCAACCAGCAATTTCCATAACAATGAATAGGATGATTGACACACGAAAAACGAGGATGGAGATTTTCAACTATAACAAGTTCTCTTTCTCCACAATTCATCAATTCAATTGAAAGTAGGAGACAATGCATGCGGAAGGAAGAACAACAACAACCACCATAATACAAAATTAAACTAATAAAAAGGATTAATACTCGCAAGTCGCAACATGAATAGCATAAATCAAGCTTTCAAAAGCCAGAAAAAGTTAAACGCAGAAAATAAAACAAAATTACCGGAATTTGGCGTGATCCAATCGCAACGCTTAAACGAAAGCGGAACCGCCGGAGAGATCGCCAGAGATTCATCTCGCATAACACTCTCAGCTTTAACAACGCCATTATTATTACTATATATTACACTCCTCGGACCAGATTTCACATTCAAGCCACCGGAAGACGAAGAAGAAGACTCTAAAGAGCTATTCGCCGAACCATTAGACCGAAGAACAGCTTCCGCCGCGGCGACTGGTTTCTCCTGTGACTGAGAAATTCCTTTCTTCGCCATCTCCTTCTTCCGCCTCCGCTCTTCCGTAACCCGAACACGGTTTCCTGCCGAACCGAGAACCAAACAGCGTCCGCCCGCTTCCTCCGCCGTCATCGCCGCCGGCATTTCGCGTTGTAAAATTAGAGAAGCTTTAGGGTAATAATATTAGAAGCAAAATTCTGCAGAGAAGAATTCAGGAGAGGGAAAATAGCAGAACGGAGTTGACAACCAACCGTTTAAATATTTGGGGGACTGTTTGGATACCGTTACCCCCAGTAGCCGGTTACTTTGCTGACGTGTCACAGCGCAACTGACTATATTATGAGTGATGTCCCGATTATGCCCTCGCTCATTTTTCATATTTTAACTATTATCTTTAGATTAAAATACAATTTTATATTATAAAAATAAAATAAAATAAAACAATACAAATATATAGTAGTACTAGTATCTTTTAGAAATAAATTAATGGGAAGGTAAGGGTTGGAATGAGAAAAGGGTTGGAAGGCTTTATTAGGCTAAGAGTCAGAGTCAGATTGGGTGATTAGGGTAAGGGCGTGTTTGGTAGCAAGTTTTTCTACCGTTACGAAAACACCACCACTACAGCTACAGCTGAATAAAGTAACAAACAACGGCTAACGGACGGATGGGCCCCAGCAAGTGGAGGGCAAAGGCTACGCGTGATTTTTTTTTATTATTTCAAAAATAGACACGATCCGAAAATTTGATAAAAAATTATACTCCCTCAATCTCATTGTAAGGATAGCGTTTGTTTTTTCACTTAAATTTTTTAATATTAGTATTATATTATATTACAGTAAAAATGACAAAAATACCTGATTAGTATAGTTTAATATAAAAGTAATAGCACTTATGTAATATATTGTAAGTTGAAATAGTATTTATTATGTTAGGTAGGTAGTACCATTACTAAATTAGAAAATTATAACCTTATTTTGGGACGAACGAAAATAAAAAATAACAACCTCTCAATTGGACGGAGGGAGTATTTAAGCCTGAGTCCAGAAAATTTTGTGTCGTATCTAGCCCAATATGAACCAGCCGTGTTACCTATCAAAGTCAGACCGTGCTTGACGCAGCCCATTTTATATACTCTTTTCGTCTGCGCCTTTACGGATCACATTTTTCTTTTACGTCATTATAATATTAAAAATATTCTTTTTATAATTTTTTTATACAAATATCTTTCTATTAGTATTATAAAATACTAATTGGAGTATTTTTGTAATTTTTTTAATTTGTACTAAATTTTGATATAATAATTAATATTTAAATATTAATACAAAAAGTAAATGAGACCATTAAAGCCGGACTGAGATAATATTAAATATAATTTTTAAAAATAATTCAATAAATATATTAACAAATTAATTTATATCAAAATAAATATATAGTTCGATTACTTAGTTCTTATTTATCAAATAATATGTCATAAGTTCAATTCTCAAACTTAATTCTAATTTTCTTCTCTCACCCTTCAACAATGTTCTCTTCATATATATATATATATATATATATATATAAAATTGGATACTTGGTATTTGTTAATGGTAATTTTTTAAACACTATATTAAATATATATATATATTTTTTATCTTACATCAAATATTTATATTTTATTATATTTTAAATTTTTAAATTTACATTTACACTAAGTTGAGTCTGTTTTTGTAATTTTATTTTTATTAAACATAGTATTTACTTTCTTATTTAAAAAGTTTGATTTTGATTTAAATATTATTTTAATATGATATTTTATAAGATAAAACTAATATATTTTAATTGAAAATTCTAGTTAAATAATGTTGAGATAAGTTTGAAATCATAACTAAACACAGCATATTTGTTTGGTTTGTATTTTGAGTTAAATTTTTTATTTGAATTTGAATTTAATATTTTGTGGAAAAAAAAAATGTTCTCTATTTGAATATGAATTTGTGTTTAAAAAAAAAAAGAAAAAAACACCAATAAAAGTACATTAAACCCATCAAATAATGAGTTAAGATGACTTTACAATCACATGGTATGCATTTTTGGATAGCTGCTGTTGATTCTCACGTTATTAATAATAATAATAATAATAATAATAATAATAATAATAACAACAACGAGTTGAGTTGACTGTATTTATATTATATTAACTTATATTTTATGTTATCTATTTATATTATTTAATTCTTATAGTTATTATAATAAAATCAATAATATTATTTCATATTACATAATATCATATCAAAATAAATTTTGATAAAAATATTCAAACTAAAATACAAACCAAACAAGCCAAAACATATTTATTTAAAAATATTTTAATATAATATTTTATGAAAAAAAATAATATTATATTTTTATTAAAAATGGTAAATAATAATAATAATAATAATAATAGGCGTTTCGTGTGGATTATTAGAGTTGGATTCGAAATTTAAAATTGTAAAAATTTAAATTAAATGTATATTTAATTCAATATTTTAAATAAAAAATCAATTCTTAATATAACATATAAAAAATAAAAAAGATAATCGTACAAAATAATGTTTTCGAGTATGAAAAAAAATATGAATAGTAAAGAGTCATGATCTTTCAAAATCGAAATCCTCTCCAATTTAGACCAAACTTAATATGAACCCAATTACACTTATGGACCCAAAAGATTTCACTACGAATTTACTTCAGGCCATTTTTTATTTTTACCAAATTTGATATCTAAATAATTAGATCCAATTCCAAAATAAACATCGAATCTACTTTCCCCTAAATTATGTTCACACTAATCATCAAAATAATCCACAGAACCATAAAAATTGAATTCAAAAAATGACAAAGATAGGAAAATGAACAAATAGAGTAACAATGTAAAAACACAACTCCATCAACAACATCTCTAATTCTGAAGAACAATGGGCAAGAGGTTCATATCTGAATCAGTCTTTAAATCATTAAATGGATTCGATAAGTCGTCGAAAAAAAATAAATAAAAGTACCCGAACGAAGAAGAAGAAGAAGAAGAAGAAGAAGTTTTACGACAAACCTGTTCGATCTCCAAAGGTAAAATCAACGGCCAAGGGTGAGCTCAAGATCATCCATCCCGACTTCATGGATCCTCTCCCCCTCCCATGGCTTCACAGCCGAGTCGATTTCCGGCGCCTTCCCCTTATCCAACAGCATAGCATTCTTAGGAGCCACCGGGTCGACAGATTTGATAAGATTAAACGTCGGAGAAGCAGGGAGGACACCAGCAGGATTAGCGTAGGCTTGGAAGTTCATCCACTGGCCGGAGTCGATAGTCGACGAGTCAGACTCGTCGCATTCGGGAATAGTAGTCGGGGTGAAGCGTCGGGTGCGGTTAGGGCTGGACGGGGCGGAGAAGAAAGGGATGTTTAAAGCGGACATGGATTGTTTGGCAAGTGTATCCAAGGTGAAAGTTTGTGTCGGGGGTCTAGTCGGGGATGACAAGTGGGGGGTGACGGGGGCGCTGTTAGATATACGCAGAGGGGGGAGAGATGACGGGATTGAGTTAATGAGGAACGCGAATGGATGGGGTGAGGCGTTGGGATCGTTGTTTGAAGGGCTGGGGATCGACGAGGATGATGGGCTAGGTTGGTAAGAAGGGATTGGACTTGCGAAATAGGATGATGGAGGGCTAGGATTTCGCGACGAGCTCGGGGTGATGTTGGCTGAAGTACCGCCTACTTCCATTGGAATTGGCTTGCAACCCTGCAAGAATCAGAAATCGGAAATGAATTTAGGTAAACAATCGAATCCAATATCAATTTAATGAAGTTAAAAGGTAACATTGTCTCGGGTTTAATTGATCCTGATGCAACCTACTTGTGAAACTCGAATGGTAAAAATCGAATCCAAAACCAAGATAATGGAATTTGAAGATAGCATTGTGATAATCGAGTTCTAAGATGATCTCGATTTTAACTGATTGTGATTCAACCTTCTTATGAAACTCGAGCTGTGAAATTGAATCTAATAACTGAATTAGAAGCTAACATTGTCGACGCAATCTGAAAAGGTAAAATCAGGAAAGCGAAACATTGTTCGTTTCTGTTAACTTTTTTTCGATCGAATTATAGTGTTATTTCAGTTTTTAACTGATCCTGATTCAACCTTCTTATGTAACTCTAGTGTAAAATCGAATCTAATACCCGAGATTATGGGATTAAAAGCTAACATTGTCGACACAATCCAAAAAACAAGGAATAGATTAGCAAGAAAGTAAACACATTGTTCCGTTTTGTTAACTTTTCGGTAGAATTCTAAGATTATCACAATTTTCCCTGCTTACGAAACAAGAACAGGGGGCTACACAAGGATTGAGAACACTACCAATTCATTGCTCAAATCAAATACAATTCTGGTTCAATTAAGCAAGCAATTGCTCAACTTCCATGGCGTTCATGCTAAATCGAGAGCACCAGCCCAAGGAACTTTATCAGAACAAAGCGAACAATTAAGCAATCAACAGATCTACAGTTCGGTAATGCTAATTAACATCTCAATCCAAATTAGGGGAAACGGAAATTCGTATTCCGATTCAACAGATCTGAACCACACCAAACCCTAGCAGAATCCATGGAGCAATTCTAAAGCAGAGATCCTCCCAGAAATAGCAACCAGATTTGTAAAATTGAATAAATCGGGATAGATAATTGGACCTTGCGATAAGTAGTTCCGTCAGGCTCGACGATCCAACCAGCCTCGGCACAGAGAGCTTTGAGGACCTCATTATTGTCGCAGTGTTTGGGTAAGTTGTAATTCCCCTGCGCCCTGAGGCCGGCGTATATCTTCGCAGCAATTGCCCGCCGCCTCCGCTCCCTCCGCCTGTTGTTCTCCCGCTCCGTCCACGACGGCTTCCGCCGCACCACTCCGCCGGCCGCCTCTCCCCCAGCCGCCGACGACGACTCCGTCGATCCTCCTCCTCCTCCTCCTCCTGCACCTTCCCACATCATTTTTCTCCCAATTTTTCGCCACACTCACTGCTCCCCCACAGAGTGTACCCTAAACACACACCTACACACACGCGTACATATATATATATATATAGAGAGAGAGAGAGAGAGAGAGAACGGCGTATATCTGGTGGCCTCCTTCCCCCCCTCCCTCACGAGGAAATGGCTGTTTCGGTTGCGTCGCGTCTTTCTTCTTCCTTGAGTTGCACTTGCTGACTTTGCACTGTCGAAGAATCTCTGTTCCTATTTATAGCTGCCCGCCCGCCCGTTACTTAATTACTTAAATAAGAAATAATCCCTTTTTTGTTGAGTATAGTAAGTGGAATTATAAGCACTTGTTTTTGGTAATTATAATCATTTCAATTTAAATAAATTCTTTATATTATATACTTTTTGAATCCATACATAGTAGTAGTATTTTATAATTATTTTTAATAATAATAATACTCTCTTTATTCCACATAATTTATTCTTTCTATTTTAAAAAATTTGATAGTAATTTATAATTTTTTTAATATTAATTAAATTATTAAATTATTTTAATTTTAATTTATTTTTATTGATATAATTTTTAATTACTTATTAATTTCTGTTTACTTGAAATGAAGGGAATATTTACTTTATCAGCTAAAATTATGTTGTTATTATTTTTTATTCAATTAAATTCATGTATATTCCATTCAGAGTAAATAATTTTATACCCCATAATTATATTATTTTTATTTTAACAAATAATAATTAAATTTTTACTATTTTTTACTCTTTGTCACATCATTTTGTTTTACAGATGTCTTCATAATTTTTTTCATAATACTTGTAATTTACTTTTTATATATTTCACTTTAATAATATTACTCCTGTCTCACGTAATTTGTCCTTATTTTCTATTTTCGTCCGTCCCACATAACTTGTTTTTTCTATTTTTGAAAATATAATTAGGCACTTTAGTCGCATTTTAAATTTTAAATTTTATAATTTTTTTTTAATTTTAATTAAACTATTTACTTATCTTAATCTTAATCTATAATTATTTTTACTAAATAATAATTATTTTTACTGATACATTTCTTAATTACTTACTAATTATAATTTACTTAAATTCCCTTGTTTACATTAATACACACATATTATATGGGACGGAAGGAGTATTACTTTAACATGCTCTTTAAAATCCTTCAAAAAGCAAAGGCATTTTAGTCATTTACATTCTACTTTATACTCACTTTCAATTAAATATTATTATTCCTTAATTCTCGTGCTACTCTCAATAAGACACTTATTTTGGAACGGAGAGAGTATATCTTTTAGAAATTTAATATTTAATATAAAATATTGTTTTTTATATTACTCATTCGTATAAAAAAAAAAATACTAAACAAACAAACGCCTAGTATTCTAGGCACAATCCTCGTACATTTAGAAAATTTGTAATATATCTCGTAAATTTAAGATATTTTTCCTCCGCCTCAATATAATTAACATATTATGTGGTACGCACAATATTTAAAAAATGGTGTTCAATCAGTAATATTAAATTGTTATATTATTTTTATTATTTTATTTTATATAATCAATAATATTAATAATTTTAAAATAAATTTTAATATATATAATTAAAAGATTTAGAATATATTTAAAATTTTTAAAATTATATAACAATAAAAAAATAAATATGCAAAAAATTTCATATAATATGAGTAAATAAAAAAATATGTTTATTTATTTATAATTAACATAATTAATTTTATAAACGAAGTAGAGTTTTTTAGAGGTATAGAAATAAAAATAAAAAAAATAAAATAGTGGGATCTTAATCCTATATGATATATAATATTATGTATATTATATAATTAATTAAGTTGATTTATATTTATTAAATATATTTTTGTTTAATAAATTATATTCAAAATAAAAAGAAATATCAATTAAAATAAAATAGACAAAAAATAATAATAATAATTAAAATGACACAGATGAAATATTTATACTTTATACTTTTAATAATAATTTTAAATAAAAATAAAAGAAAATTATTAGATAAAAGTATTATTCGAAATATATGGAAACACACCCATAATCATTACGCCATTAATATATCCATCCTGTAATTATGAATTAATCATTTCACTTGTAACTCGGCTGTGGTGGGTTCTAGATTTTGGATATAAAATTATATATTTTCAATTATATTATCGGTGGTCGGCTTTAAGGGTTATATTTTTATTTATTTTTTTTATATATTGATAATTGAATATTAATTATAATATCAAAATATAATATAAATTAAAAAAATTAATAAAAATATTAATAAAATAATATTTGTATAAAAAAATTATACAAATACTGTATAATTATATTTTTAATGTTAAGCATAATAACGCAAAAAGGTAAAAGTAACCCTTATAAACGGACGGAGGGAGTATAACTATCATAAATTTGTATTTTAATAAGAATATACTTAGGGGTGTGTTTGTTTGGGGGTTTGGATTTTGGATTGGGATTTGAATAGTAAAAATTTTGAATTTGAATAGTTGTATGATGTGATATAAATAGGATTTGATGTGATGTTTTGAATGTAAAATTGATTTTTAGTATAATATAAAAAATGAAAAATAGGTGTTTGATTTGATGTTTTTGGAGGAAAAAAATTGGATGAATAGTGGAAATCCTCCAAAATCCTTCAAACAAACACACCCTTTAGTGTAATTTCTTTACCTTAGGCACAAAATATTTAAAGTCAATATTTGATTGTTATGCAAGTTTTATATAAATAAAAAAAAAAAATACTATTAAATAATCTTTTTTAATAAAATAAATAAATAAATAATTGATCGATCTTTCTTATCAGTTTTTTTTAGACAAACTATTATATGATTTTTATAGTAAATTATAAAATCAAAAGTACTATATTCATCTTCGTCCCTTAACAAACTATCAATTTACTTTTTTTTTTTTTTTTTATAATAATTGTACTATCTATAGGTTATTTTAGTTATTTATCCTTTATTTGTAATACATCTCAATATAATATTAATATTTTTAATATTCCATGCAAAAAAATAAACGAATACATATACATGTGACGGATTGAGTATTTTATTTATCATTTTTGTTAGTCTCATTCAATAAATTTTTTTTTTTTATTTTAATAAAAATAACTATATATTAATATCAATATACTAACTTTTATTTAAATTACCAATATATCATTATACATACAATTATTTTATAAATAAAATTAAATGGCAAAAATTTTAATTCTTCATCCATTTATATTAATTAATAAAATAATATTATTTTCTAATCAATTATAAAATCCAATTGGTATATTCGAAGGATATTTTATCTTAAAAAAAAATGGGCCTAATCAAATCCAAAATGCCCGCCCAAATTCATTTGCATGCCCATAAGGGCATAAACCAACCCAACAATCAAAAAAGAGGGCCAAAATTATTAATTCAAAATGAAAAATAAAGTGAAGTAGGTAAAAAATAAATTGAAAAAAAAAATCGGATAAATAAAAAAATAATAATAAATTTTATTTATTATTTACTAAACCAATAATAATAAAATTATTTACTATAAATAACATATAATTAAAAAAAAAATTAAAAAAATAATGATATAATTTTAATAGAAGATAATAATATTTATTCAAACCATATTCACATTTTCAGTCCAGACTCTAAGAAGAAATTAAAAAAAATTGCAAAAATATTTCAAAGCTAACACAAAGAAATATATAAATATAAAAGAACATTTATACATAAAATTACATAAATATAAAAATATTTTTAAATATTAAATACAATAACCAAAAATAAATATAACTTTAGAAGCTAACAAAAAAATAGTACTATTCATTGACAGTACCTTATTAAATACATATTACGTCTTTTTTACAAAATATCAAATAAGTCAACTTTTTATACTAAGGATGTGTTTGTTAGAGGGATTTTGTGGGACTCCTATTTTCACAAAATTTTTTCTCCAAAGACATTAAATCAAATATTTATTTTTCATTTTTTATATTATAATAAAAATTAATTTTACATTCAAAACATCGCATTAATTCTTATTTATATCACATCAAACAACTATTCAAATTCAAAATTTTTACTATTCAAATCTCAACCCAAAATCCAAACGCTCCAACAAACACACCCTAAAAAGAAATGTTGAAGAGCTTCGAAACATTTCTATCTTGGCAAAGCATTTATATTCTAAATCAAAATACCAAAAAATGGTTTGTTCATCATGTTGTCACAATTACAGGTGAATATTAATACAAAAATACAATAAATTAATACATACAATAGAAATAATATATAATTTATTATCTTATTTTTATATTATCTACGTAATTTCTTATCGCTCCAAAAAAATCGGCATCAAACTAAACACTAAAGAAACAAAACCAGAGTAAAAACACACACAAACCCCCTTATTAAACAGCAGATGGAACAAAAAGAAAAACGAGACATTAATCAAAAACACAAACCATTCGATGCTACTCATAGAATCTGAATCAAAGGAACAATTAATAAGGCAACATAATACCATAAAAAGGATACGGTAGCCTTACAGTTTTGCAGCAGATAGAAAATATCGACAAGCCCGACCCAATGTACAACATCATAACCTGAAAGCATTCGCCACTTTTGTGCGCGCGACCATTTCTATGTACAGCGGGGAAAGAAAGTTTGTCCGACATAGCCACCAGCCATGGCCCTCCGAACATTAGATTCAAACATTCTCGGGTTATCTCTCAACACCGCAGCAGCATCATGATTCAGGGGATCTTCATGGTTCGGTTCCTGGGAGGAGAATGATCGATATTTATACATAAATACTTTATACAGCAGCTAAACTAAAGAAGTTTCATAAATCAATGAGAGACGTACGCACACATACCGTGAAGAGATGATAAAGTCCATATATTATAGTGTTTATGTTGAGGACAGGTTTCCAATCTTCACGGAGAATGTTTAGGCACACGTTGCCGTCCAAGTCGATATTGGGATGGTAGACCTGCATATGCATTTCAAATTATTGATCACATGATACAAACTAATTGGGATTAATGTGATCCTCTATAGTTGTCAATCGAAGTGAGATTTAGATGTTTTTTGATTAAGTGAATGACGTTGAGAAGTTAGTTTGTTGCTCAAATTTGCACTTATTAATTCCAAATTGAGCTTGAGTTTGAGCAAAAACTATAAAACATGCAAAATTATAGTTAAAAAATGATCAATCAAACTTATTTACTTTCATTTGATCAAATCAAGGTGAGTAGACTTGACTGATAATCCAATATTCTTGATCTTAAACTCGACCCATTGCAAATAATTAACCAATTTAAGTTCACTACTGAAAATCGTGAGATGTATCTATCGAGCTTTTAAGTAATTCAAATCAAAACAACACCAGCTAAAATACCACTCAGTGCATTGAAATTAAAATTTTGGTTACCTTAGTCTTGCACTTAACCTTTGGTGCTTCATGAGGATACATCGGAGATATTTGGAATGTAAAAATAAATGTTCCACCCCTGCAGTGTCGACAGGTATTGCATCAATTGTGTAGAAAATAAGCAAGCCAGATGAGTCCTATTATAAACACTAGAACTTACAGATAGTATCCGTCATCAGGACGAATAGAAACCTCAAAGTTCATGAGTTCATCCTTTCCATTGGGGAACGATATGCTACATGTTTTTGGCAGATTTAATTCACTAATATCTATACATAAAGAGTGGAAATAATATGAGGTGAAGAAATTCAAAAGATTAGAGAAACCAAGGAAAAGTCCATACAAAATTAATACCATTTCAGGAAAATTAATTCCTCTTATGTTTCTGTAACCAGAAGAATTTCTCCTTGGCAAAGTTCAAATGCTATTTTAGTTTACATACAACAGAATCAGAGATTCCTAAGAATTCCTAGCACACCCAATTATTTGTCGAAATAAATGCAGGATATGCATCCTTGAAATTAGCAGATAAAGCATATAACATGAAAGCGCCAGAGATTTTAATTCTTTTTGTGCTGATCTGGAAGTGTAGGAATCATTTTAGAGGAAAAAGTTGTGTGTGGATGGAAAAAACATATAGATGTTGAGAACATATAAGATTTGTTAGCATATAGACAATGATTAAAACAAAAAAACTCGAATGACTGGTTTATGTTAGAATTTGAAAGGGTATCTACTGCACATACTCACACACTCCTTCCACTTGACATTTGCGTTCTAGTAATTATAATCGAGAAGTTAAAAAGAATTTCAAGAGACAAGAGCAACTGAGAATATAATACACAATAATCACAGGCACCTTTACAATCATTACGTTAATCATTGATATGCAAGGCTACAACAGACCTTTGTGGAGACGTAATTCTCCAGCACTCTGCTTCTTCCCAACAGGCTTGGCATTTGCAGCATGATCTCTCAGCTTTTCCTTTTGTTTAAACAAGTTAATCATGGTGCCTGAAATTAGATTCAAACGACAAAAAAAAAAAAATTAAACACTTAAAGGAGGCCAATGAGAGGAGTGTGGGATAACACAGTTATCTTCTGGCAGATTCGAACACTGAACAAAGAAAGGCCGTCATCATATGAAGCAGTAGTGTTAATTGTATTCATGAAAGTATACACATAGAAGCAGAAGAACATCTATTGTACAGTAGGTGGTTGATAAATCAACAATAGAGATGTAGAATTGGGTAAGGTGAAAAAACAGTCAGACTTTGAAGAATTCAATCCAGCACTGAGACGAACACAACAATTTGACATCTAATTTGTTGCTTGAAAATAAGCCAAAGCAAATGAAAAAAATGTGAATAAATCGGATGCAGATATTCAGGTCTTTTATATGTATAGCAACATGAGGGCACGGGTGAGATATCCACGTACATCACACATATTGAAGCTAACAACATATGAAATATGTGAGTAACATTTCTACCATTGATGGAATAAATTTTTATTTTTTGCTCAAAGATTTTGGAAAAAAAAAATGTCTTAAATTCGATTTCATGACATTCAGCTGCACAAATTTTGTAAGAAGCCATTTTTTCAACTAAGAAAAAAAAAAAAAACAAAAACGTATATCCAACTTTTGGAGAATCAGAACTTCAAAGTAAAAGCAAGTCAGGGCAATCATGATTCATGAGCCGCCTATAACAAATTAGATATTAAAATTGCAACTTATAATCGTAGTCAATTTGAATGATTTGGTCAATTCACAATGCATCAACAGAAAGGATTTGGAAATTCAAAGCATTTGATGCCAATCAAAGAAATGCAATTGCTCATACACAGCTCAAACAAAAGGCTACAAACAATCAGAAATGCCTCAATCAAAGCTACCAAAAGCATATAACTGAACATTGAATTTTCTAACAATGAAAACTTACAAGCACAGTAAGAAAATATTTCATAAATGCTTAAACAGATACAGAACTTTCAAGTTATGCTAAATCCCTAACATCAATATGCTCTGCAAGAGCCTTACAAAATAATGACCTAAAAGAAACCATAACATCAACTCCATGAAATTCACACCTAAAAATACGCCCACATAAACCCCCAAACACATCCACCATCCCCACACATAGCACCCACCCTAACCACCACCGAAAACTTCACCGCAGTCAATCAAAATTCACGACTAAATCGTACACAAAAACAAATACCAAAAATAAATAAAAGCCAAAATCCCCAAATAAAACAACAAGAAATAGCTCAAAATCGAAGCTGCATACAACAGAAAAAAAATAAATTATTATATGCATCAACTGCACAATTTGCCCAAAACCACAAACGACCCGACATAAGGAACTGCATAGCCCTGCTGCAAACCCTAAAAAAGAGAGATGAAATACCTGATGGATGAGGAAACAAGCAGAGAGAAAGGCCGCGTATGGATCTTAGAGAGGGAGGAGAGGAGAAAGCAGAGAGAGTCTGAGATGAAACGCTGAAAAGTGTGTTGTACTTTGAGAATAAAAAGTTCCCCACTTTTTTAATACCATTATTATTACCACTCGATTGGATAATAAGCAAATGTTGTTTATTAGGATCGAATTAAAATCAAAATCAATAATGTATACTCCCTCCCTCCCTCCCATAAAGGATCTTTTTTTTTTTTTTTTCTTTTTTTTTTCTTTTTTTTTTAAAAATAATTGTACTATTTACTTAATATTACAAATACTATTACAATTTACAATATATTACACCGTTACCTTTATATCACACGTACCAATAAGATTATTATAGTCATTTCTACTTTATTCTTACTATATCCCAATATAATACTAATATACATGTAACTAAAACTACGCTTAAAAAGTAATTGGATACTTATTAATAGGATAGAAAGAATAGAAAATTTTCAAATTCAAATTAAATCGAGGCATCTTCACTTTATGAGTTTTTAAAAATTAATATCTTATATATATATATATTATATTTTTATTAATATTTATTGAAAATATCACTAGAGACCTCATATTTTTGTGATGGGTTTTTTAAAAAAAAAAAATAATAATAATATACATATGCTCAAAAAAATTAATATATTGTACGTATTTATTATTTAAATTTATTTTACAAAATAAATATACTTGAAAGTTTATTGATATTGTATATTGAAGTTGCATTGGATTATATTTATTTAATAAATGAGTTTTTTTTATTTAGTTTGTAAATATTTGATTTAAAATTGATATTAAAATAATATTTGATAAAATAATTTATAGGAGACAAAAAAATAATAATCTAATAATAAATTTTGAAAAAAATTGAATAAAGAAATACATTCAAATTTATAATATGATTAAAATAAATTAAAACAATATATTTAAGTGTTTTAAAAATTTATATAATTTATAAAATATTAATATTATTTTTAAAAAAATAAAGATGATTTTTCTTTAGTTATTCTAAAATGATTTATTTTTATTTTTAATAAATTTATTCATATTAAATATATTTCGTAAATACTAAATCAATTTAATTAAAAATTTTAACATACCGTCCGTATAACAATTCAAATCTTTTTTTATTTTTATATGTCCTCAATTAATAAATAATTTTATATATATTTAAAACTTTCGATTTTCTAATTTATATTACATTGTTCATCATAGACATGGTAACTTATCGACTACAATGAAGAGTCATTGGTACATTCAAAGAAATGGTTGAATCCGCAAGTTTATTATCACTTTGTTTATCTAACAGTTTTATCTGACATGATATAAATAATACTCCCTCCGTTCATTTACAATGTTTACATTTATTTTTGGCGCGGTGTTTAAGAAATAATAGTATTTTAATTATAGTGAGTAGTTAAAAGTAGTCTAATGACATTTTTGCCATTGCCATTACTTTTTTTTGTGTAAAAGTAATGATGTGATATAAAGTAAGGATATTTGTGGAAAAAAGTAGAGTATTTAATGAAATGTTAACTTTGTAATTGGACGTCCTAAAATAGAAATTTGTAAACATTGTAAGTGGACGAAAGGAGTATATATTTTATCATCTTATAAAAGAAATATTTAATATAAAATATTATTTTCTATATTAACGATACAATTCTTCGTACTTCATATAAAAGAACTTCTCAAACCAAAATACTAAACAAAAAAATCTATATATATATATATATATATTTAAGTTTGAGAAATTATGAAAAATAATAAAATAACTAAATATTTGATGTGAAATTTGTAATATACAAGTATATATTTGACAAACTAGTTTTGATTATATTGTAAAGATTTGGGTTTAGGATTATAGTAGTATTTTTCATAGGTCAAAGTCATTATTATTATTATTATTATTTATTTTTTATTATTAAATTTATGCATAATATATATATATATATATCTATTGATATACAGTGAAAAATGAAAATGAAGGATTTTATGAAGTTCTTCTTAATAAAATATTGTGGTTCTATTTATTAGTATTAAAAAATTAATTAGATTGGATTGAACTAAATTTAGGTTTGAGGTCTAACTTAGAATTGCATTGAATTCACATATACTTCCACCGTCCCATAACTATAAATTCATTTATTTTTTACACCGAGTTTTAAAAATATTAGTATTATATTGGGATGTAGTAGAAATAAAATCGAAATGACTAAAATAACCTTATTAATATTATGTGATATAAAAGTAATTATATTTGTGTAATATATTTTAAATTGTAAGAGTATTTGTAATGTTAGCTAGACAGTATAGTTACTAAAAAAAGAAATAGATATTTTGTCATGGGACGGAATAAAATGAAAAAATGGATATTTTGTTATGAGACGGAGAGAGTATTTACTTTCTTTTTTATAGTTTTCATGCAGAAAAACCATTTTGTTCTAAAAATACATCAATTTTCTAATTTTTCCTAATTTGAACCCCAATAGTAAAATTAGATTTTATCAGTTCTCACACACACAAAAAAACTATTTTGTTCTAAAAACATCTCTGAAAATTTTGGCAAATTCTTAGTTTAGTTCTGTGGTGAAATCGTTGATCTCAAGCAACGGGTCAAATTTTAATTTGATGCTCATTAGTTAATTAAGGAAAGTTTGTTGTGGGACTATTAGTTTATTTTTTCCTTACAGCGACGGGCATTCAGTAAAAATTATTCAAATTTATCGGTACATTTATATTTTGTACTAACATTAAAAATATACTTATATTTATATAATTTTTTATATAAATATCATCAATTTTTTTTGATTACGATATTTTTACATAATAATTAATATTTAAAAATAAACATCTAAAAAATAAATATAATTTTTATTTAAAGACGGAGATAGTATATAGTATAGTTTTTGCACACTAATTTATTTTAAATGTGAAATGGGCGGAATTTGTTTGCACAATTAAATTTTTACCAACGTGATTCTATATATATAGTTTCTCGCAAAAAATTAAAAAAAAAAAAAAAATCAATATTCAACAAATAAATATACTGAAAAAATTATTTTTGGTCTCAATATAATCAAAATTTATCAATTTTGATTCTAATATAAAAATTTTATCAATTTTGGTCTCAATGTAACCAAAATTCATCATTTTTGTCCCAATATAACCAAAACTCTATCATTTTTTATTCCAATATAAACTTTTTATCAATTTTAGTCTTAATATAATCAAAATTCATTATTTTTTATTTCAATATAATCAAACCTTATCTTTTTTTTGTCCCACCGTCAATAAACCAACAAAAAATGTTGACGTGAAAAGAAATCAAACCTTATATTAGCATTTTTCGTCGGTTTGTTGACGGTGGGACAAAAAAAGAAAAAATTTGATTATATTATCACAAAAAAATGATGAATTTTGATTATATTGAGATTAAAATTAATAAAAATTTTATATTAGAATAAAAATAATAAATTTTGATTATATTGAAACCAAAATTAATTTTTTTTCTTATTTATATTACAACATAATTCTTCGTATCTCACTTTAAAAAATACTTCAAATAAAAACATCAAACAAACACACCTGCAATTTGACGTGAGATTACTAAATCTTAATATTATATTTTAAATGTAAATTTAAAATTCAATATACCATAGAAAATTATAAAAAATACTTAATTTGATATTTTTAAAAAAAAAAAAAAAAAAAAACCTTTTGATAAATAGTACTCCCTCCGTCCCAATATAATAATCTTGTTTATCATTTTTATCCATCCCAAAACAATAATTTTATTTCTATAAATAACAATATCACCGTAAAACTATCAATACTTTTTTTATTATTATTATACAATTGTCACTAATTTTTACACTACTTCTTAACTCACATGACAAAAAAATATCATTTATCTTTACTTTTACCAACTATTAATATAATATTAATATTGTTTAAATTCCATGCCCAACAGAATAAGACTCATATTTTTTGGGACGGAGGAAGTAATACATCTCCGAACAAAAAAAAAAGTTGCCAGACAAATTCTATTCCATCCTACCAAACATTACAATCATATTCCTGTTCAGACCAAAATAGAAAATCAAACCCTGTATATATATATATATATATTCCATGTATTTTACAATAACGATTCTTTCAAACACACACAAAAAAAATTACCTAATATTTATTGAGCACAAACACAATTTCTTTACATCATTTCAACTTATACAAACACAACTTACACATACACAAGCAATAGAATTTAGCCATTATATATTTAAAATAAACATGGATAATACAAATACAATTCGGCCCCCCAAAAAAATCAAATTCTCAAATTAAATCTAATCTTCTTATATAAATAAAAATAGACAGAAATGGCAAAATTTTCGAGCAAATATAAATCAAGGGAACCTAAAATGGCCATATTAATTAGCAATATATTTGATCCAAAGTTACTGTCAACATGTCTTCTTAGGAGTGTCTAGTCAGTGATCAATCAAACAATCGATCGATCTGAGCTACACATATATCTACATTACCTATTTCTACATTACCTAACGATGCCATCTAACTCGGCAGACACTGCCGGTGGTGGTCGCAAATGCACGGTACTCATATACACAATTTCATATAAGAGAGTCAGCGAGAGGAGTTACCCGTCGTCACTTGCAGATAGTCTTCAATCTCTTGGCAGCCTGGACGAATCCTGTTATCACTTGCGACTCATCCAGTTGCTGCTACACGATGAAAATATTCGATAAGTGGCAAAGGGAGAAAAGATGCAAATAAAAAGTGCAGACATTAAGGTTGTGTTCTTTTGTGCGTTTTACCAAAGGTTTTTACTATTTAAATCATATTTTCCCTCCAAAATTATCACAACAAACAACTATTCAAAAAACCAAACCCAAAAACTAAAACTCACAAACAAACACACCCTAAATTCCCCGACTGGCTCGTATACCTGTGACATAAAATGCCTATGGACAGCGTCGACGAGTTGTTCTTTGGATGGGTTATGGATCGCATCGACCTATGCAAAAAAATGATCAGTAATCGAGCAAACAAGAAAAAAGATCAGAAAATTTATATAACGTCACTCACGAGGTTGAAGTGCTGCAAATATCTCCATAAAGCAGCCCTCTCAAGCTTCCCGAGGTCAACTTTCTGTGCAAGAAGTTGATTCAGAAACTTTCAATCCGAAAGATTGGTTAAATAAGAACAAAGATCAATTGCCTAATTAATAAAAATGTTGTCACCATGGAAGCCCTTGGAGTAGTTGAAGTCGAATCTTTAGACTGCGAGTCACACGAGAGGGACCGACTCAGAGTCCTGTGGGACGACCCGCAAAGCCTGTGGGTACGATGCCTTGATCTATGCGACTTTTGAGTATCATCGGATGCTGAGAAACAGAACAGCCAAAGCAGTCGGATTAAATGGTGGGCCAAAAGTTAAAAAAGAATAAATGAATGAGTGGCTGTTGAAATAGGGAGAAAGTGAGGAAACAAAAGGATATGAAGGAAGAGAATCCTATGCAACAAATAAACTTTCCCGAATAGAAGCCGCAGATTATCAAGATTTCCATGGTTACTTTATTTCAAGACATAATTTCACCAAAGGGTACAATAAAGTCGGAAGAATTTACTTTTTTCATATATAAAAGCTTTTAAATCAGCAGGTCTGTGGTCATCCCAGTTTTGAATCAGAATAGAAACATGAAAAAATATCGACTGATACTTAAATCATCTGATCCACTAGGTAATGTGTTCGGTTTGATAAAAATTATCAATATTACTGCTGTTACTTTATTCAAGACATAATTTCACCAAAGGACATGATAAAGTCGAAAGAATTTACTTTTTATTTTCATATATAAAGCTTAAAATTCAGCAGGTCTATGTTCATACCAGTTTTGAATCAGTATAGAAACAAGACATAATATCAACTGATCGAATAAGTAATGTGTTTGGTTTGATAAAAAATGGCTTGTTAAGCAATAGCAATCCGAATTCCAAAAATACACGACCGAATCAAACTCACCCATGTCCGAGCCATTACAGTGCACATGCTCGAATTCAAGGTCATCGTCTTCCTCATTTCCAGTTGGAGCTTCAATAACACTCAAAGCATTTCTTTGAAGTTTCACTTCAATTCCATTCGTGAGAACCTGTATGTGGTTAAATATGGATCAAATTAAACCCTGTTCCCCCAAAACCATATCAAATCAACACCAATAGATCTGCACCTTACTGGTGCTTGCCTGGGCACTAAAATTGAGGGGAAAATTTTAGGTTTCTTCCCGAGTATGATCTAATCAAGTAACTAGAACTCAATTGCGCCCAACGAGAAGAAATTGCTTAAAAATTGCAGAAATTTAATCCATATTTGACAGTTTACATATGTTAATCATGAAGTGACAATATTATCCAACCTTGCAAATATGATTTTAGCATCAAATTCAAAGACTATAACGACACTGAAAGAAATGGCAAATGAAGAACAGTATTTCCATAAAACAGACAAAAACTCCATTCAATCCACCTGTCAATTAACGTAGAAGAACTAGTAATTACCTGACGCATACGAACTCAGTAATTGACCCGATCCACAAGCATAGATGAATGAATAAGTAAATAGATAGAGCTAATCTTCATGTAATGATATGAAAGAAAAACTGCAATTCAAGCAAATTCGAAAAGAAATAATCACACAGTCAATTTATCCGCAATCAATTACCAGCCAGTGCCATCCGCCGAGGCCAACAGCCTTTTTGACGACGCCTTGAAGCCCTACCAACACAGATTTCGTACGGTTATTCCCAGTGACAACAACCTTGGTGTGACGCGGAAGCACCGAAAGCTCCTCTTCGCTGCTCTCCCCGCAGCTCTGTAGCTGCGACGAGTGCGGGGAAAATCCCCCATTGCTCTCCACTGCAGCAACTTCCATCATCATTTTCAATAATACGTCTTCAATCCCGAACAATCGAGCGCAATCATGGAGATTTAGGGTTCCAATCCGCGCACCACTGAAAGATCACGCATTGATGTATCCAGAAATGCTATCCCTGGGCTCAGAGGTGTTGGAATTTGGGGGGAAAGTCGGGGCGTTCTTCTTAGAGAGAGAGAGAGAAAACACAGCTGTGGAGAGAGAGAGAGAGAGAGAGAGAGGAGGGAGAGGGAGACAGAGAGGATGACAGTGACTGGGAGAGTGTGTGTATGTATATGTGTATGTATATGTGCGTGTGTTTTTCTTCATTGCTTCGTTTTGCCGTAAACAATTAATTATTGAGTGCGAATGGGGCTGTGAATCCCGAAGGCTCGAATGCATCCAATCGTGAGCCGCCACGTGTTCAGAGGCTCGAAAATCCTGTGGTCGAGGCTTCGGTGCAATACCACTAGCTTGACCTTTCGAATTCTTACTGGCTCATTAAATTACCGAAACACCCCTCTCACGATTTTGCATTATACTATGATTTATTTTGATGCGGTTTGAAATCGAATTTTTTTTTAGTTTTTATTTAAATATTTTTGTTTAATTGGAAGTACTGTTTTTATTAATTTATCTTGTTATAGTTAAAAATATTTTTTTATTATAAAAAATTTATATATTAATATCAAAATATCATTAAATTTTATATACATTATAAATATATCACTATATATATTACTCACTCCGTCCACTTATCATGTTCTCTTCGTTCTATATTTTATGTGATTTTTTTTTTGAAAAATGATTACACACATTAATCCTATTTTAATTTTTTAATTTTAATTAAATAAATTAATTATCTTAATTTTAATATGTGATAATTAATATTATAATATAATTATTTTTACTGATACATTTTTAATTATATACTGATTATACTTATTATAAATTTTCGTGTCTACAATAACAAAGACATCCAATATGAGACGAAAATAGTATAAAACATAAAAGATAAAATAATCAAAACTATTTTACAGTAATACTATTTTAATTTATTATAAAATTTCAAAAAGATACATTTGTTCCCAACGGAGAGATCATTTGATGTAATTTTTATAAAATAAAATAATACTTCCTCCGTCCCAATACAATAGTCTTATTTATCAATTTTGTTCGTCACAAAAACAATAGTCTTATTTTCATAAATAACCATATTACCTATACTTTTTTATTTTTATTACACAATTACCACTACTTTTTACACTAATACACTCACAATAGCAAAAAAATCTTTTATCCATTCTTTTTACCAACTACTAATATAATATCAATATTTCTTAAATCTCGTATCCAATCCATATTAAGACTATATTTATGAGACGGAGGAAGTACTACATTTTAATTAAAAATTGTACTCTCTCTGTCTCATCTAATATGGGCGTGTTAATGTAGAAGCGAGAATTTAGGTAAAATGTAATTATTAAGTAATTCAAAGTGTATTAGAGCATCTCTTATGGTTATTATTTTTACTCCATTATCTCTTTTATCTATTTCATCCGCATCATATTTACCTCAATATTCAAATTATTTTATTTCTCACCTATAGTAAATGACTTCTAACACATTACTTTTACTATTTTATAAATCCATAATAATTTATTTATTTCTATATATTTTTATTATGTAATACTATACATTTATAAATAATTTATTTATTTATACATATTTTTATATATATTTATTATCTAATAATATTTTTATATAATAATATTGCATTTTAATTTTTAAAATATTAACCTATATAAATTTTAATAATTGAAATTATTTGAAATAAATTAACATATATATCAATTAAAAAAAACATAGAAAAAGAATCGTAATATAATATAAATATATAAAATAAATATATTAATAGTTTAATTTAAAAAATTATTATTTTTATTATCAAAAGGTAACCAACAATTTAATTTAATCATTGAATGAAAAGATTAGTATTTTCACTAACCATTTTATTTAGTTGAATATGAAAAGGTAGAAAATTAGTTAATGAAATTTAAATATATTTAAAAATAATTTATATTATATTTTAAATTTTAAATTTTAAATTTTCAAAAAATTTTGGATAGTTTTAATTTTTTAATTTTTTTTTAAGGTAATGACTTTTTTATAAATATAATAAATTTTGATAATTGTATTTCTTATTAGAGGTAATGAGTTTGTTATACTCCCTTGGTCCCATAAAGAAATATCTATTTGCTTTTTGCACGTAGTTTTAGAAATATTAATATTATATTGGAATATAGTATGAATAAAATAGAAATGACTAAAATAACCTTATTAGTATGTGTGAAATAAAGGTAATGACATTTGTGTAATATATTGTAAATTGTAAAGGTATTTGTAATGTTAAGTAGATAGTACAATTACTAAAAAAAAAAAATGAATATTTTGTTATGGAACGGACTAAAATTGAAAAATAGATACTTTATTATGGGACGGGTAGTAAAAACTGAAAATGCAATGATAAAGTAATAAAAGAGGTGAACGGATGTTATGAGTAAAAATAATTATTGTATAATAAAAAAAATTGACTAAGATTAAGATAATTTAAATGAGATTAAATGGTATAATTATATTTCAGAAAAAAATTATGGGAACTGACGAAAACAAAATATAAATAAATTCTGTTGGACTGAAGGAAGGAGTATATAATAAATTTGATTTTATTTTAAAATTACAAAAGAACAATTCTATTTTAATACTCCTTATTTTTATTATTAAAATTTATTACTTTTAATATATGATGTATTATGTTATATAGTCTGTTTTTTTCACGTAAATTTTTTTTAATATTACTATTATATTAGATTGCAGTGAAAATAATAAAAATACTTATTAGTATTGTGTAATACTATAAAAATTATGATATTTGTATAATATTGTTAATGCAAAATTTTCAACAATAAAAAAGTAAAATCCGAAAATAGAAAATTATCTTCGAATTTGATATAATTAGTGCTTGAGATTAGGAATCTCTAAACACCGTACGATACATAAGTAAACTGGAAAATAAATGCTAGAGACTGAAAATTAAATGATGATCCCCGAATCACTGACTTTGCTGTCGTTTGAAGATGATTGAAGATCCTTGTCAGTTGCTGACTCCAATCATTAAATATTCCTCAGAAATGATACCTGGAACCGTCGTCCGAATGGTTACAACACCTGCTATCAACCGTCTACTAATTCCTCTTTTGTTGACACGTGTTTTCAACCGTCTTACTAGCTGCGTAACCCAACCGATAAACTACTGTTCTCTCACTCAATCTCCGCAGCAGCCGACCTCCATGGCAGCCGACTTGCTCATCCAACTGCGGACCAATCAACCTGCCTGTCCGACTGTGGACCAACCGACCTGCCTATCCGACCGCGGACCTTCCGACCTGCTTATCCGACTGCGGACCAACCGACCTGCCTGTCCGACATCGGACTTTCCGACTTGTTTATTCACTGCGGACCAACCGACCTGCCTGTCCGACCTGCGGACCATCCGACATGCGGACCATCTGACCTGCCTATTTCCTTAGAAAGACATCCGGTCAACCGATTATCCCGAAACACTCCTTAATTAATCTAACGGATCCAACTACAAGCCCACACCTCCTTCTAACTTTGGCTTTTTAATCTAATTATAAAATTCATATGTAACAAATATATTATAAATTTAAAAAATATTTATTATATTAATTAAATAATATAATTATTAAATTAGAAAATTGTACAATTATTTTGAACACATAAAAATGAAAAATAAAACCCATTGTATGAGAGGGAGGACGTACATAAAAAAGACGAGTGAATAGCGAGGGTATTTGAGTAAATTGAGGTAGATTGTGGGTAGCGGGAATTAAGGAAAGAAATGGCATTTAGCGGAAAAGAATTAAGAAAGCGTGGCGAGTGGGGGCCACTGCCCCCTCCGTACCTTCCGTCGGTGTTGTCTTATCTGGCGGACGCGTCCCTTCGCTACAATCTCACCGTGTGTATATATATATATGTATGTATCTATGTATTATATACCACCGTATTCGTATAATAAATCGTATGTATTTATTAATTCATGTATAGATTACATTAGGGGTGTGTTTGGTATAGAGAATTGGCAGCGGAGAAATGAAAATGTTTACATTTTTCTTATTTGTTTAAGTTAGAGAAAATTATTTTTAATTTATCATTCAAGTATTTAAATTTTTACAAAAATTTATACTAAAATATGATTTTACAAAATTTCGTATATAATTTATAACTTTTTATTTTTAAAAAAATCACCATAAATATTTTTTCATGACTCTCACTTGCTAAAACTCTCTTTTGTTAGATTAATCATTTATTCTTGTCCGATCCATTTATTTTCTTTTTACATTTCTCAACTGAATTCTCTATTGTACCAAATAAGAGAATTAATTCTCATGATCTCCCCAATTCCCTTTTCTCTCTAATTCTATTCTCTACTCTCATTTATTTGCAATTCCATTCTCTGTGCCAAACGCCCCTAGGTACTATCTACCTTGTATTCTCGATTTCCTATGTTAATTTATGCTTATTATTGTTTGATAAAATAAAAAAAAAAATAAAAAAATAAAGTAGAAAGAAGAAAGAAGAAAAAGAAGAACAAGAAGAAGAAAAGAAGCCATAGTTATAATAATAAATAAGTTTACTACTTAAAATATTTTTCCGCTATTTTGTTGAGTGAGTATTATAATGCTGATTGTTTCCAGCCGTTGGATTGTATTGGAGTGGAGCGTTGGATTTGGATATGAAAAAATTTGACGAGTGAAATGAACATCGATTGTCAAATTAAGTGGTAATAGTTTGAACTCATGACTTTTCAATCACGAGTCAATTTCACACTATCAGATCATTTATTACAAAACGATGTATAAATTAATTATATATGTCATGATATATTTTGTAATTTATTTAAAAATTAAAAATATTTGATATTAATGGTCTAGCCACTTCACACAAAAAATATTCTATTAGAGATAACCGCGCCAGGGAGGCCGTCGCACCCAGGACCTGCTACATTATTTATTTTAATTTATTTTAATTATGTAAATTATTTTTTTCATTCTTGTTCTATTATTTTTCCTTGGATTTCTATACTTATTAATTACTTTTTTATCAGTTTTTTTTTTTTTTTCCATTTTTTGCATTTACTTACTTCTTTCTTCCGGGCATTACTGTTATTATTATTTTTTTTTATTATTCTGCATCATTATTACAATTTCATTGATTTTTGTTCGATATTTCAACCTGTTGGACATGCGATTCCGAATCATTTTACGAGGAAGTCGGAGAATACATTCGAATTTCAACTTGATAAATTCGTCAAATCATGAAAATTTTTTTTGAAGGATAACAGAAGGCCCAAATGTTTTGGGCCCACGCGCAGGGCCCAAATGTGTTGGGCCCTTTGAAGGCCCCTTTTGTTAAAAAAAGAAAAATAAAGATATATATATATTTATATATAAATAAATATTATAAATATATGTATAAAATTGAAATATTTATGTTAAAATTTATTTGACTATATCTAAATTTGAATTTTTATTAAATATATTTTGATATAATATTTTATTAAAAATAATATATTTTTATTTGTAATAGAAGCAAACAAATTTAAACATAAATAATTATTTTTATATACTCCCCCTGTTATTCAAATTTATTTTCACTTTTATTTTTTGGTTGTCAGCCAAATTTATTCCTGTTTCCATAAATACCACTTTTCTTTTTAAGAAAAATAAAAATAAAAAATTTATATTCTTACAATTTTTCTTAAAATCCATGTTGGTCAAATGAGCAGACAATTGAATGAGAGAGGGAGTACTAAACAATTAAATAAAAGTTCATTTTTATTTATTTTGCCCGTAATCTATCAAAACTCAAAAAGACCATTATCAAAATATATTTTTTCGATTTTAATAAAAGTAATTATATATTAATGTCAAAATATTAATAATTTTTTATGTAAATTACAAAGATACTATTACATATATAATTAATTTATACATAATTTTTAAGGGCAAAAAATATTAAAATTTCTTACACATTTTCACTAAATAATATAATAGTACTCCCTGCGTCTCATGTTGCATGTCCGAATTATTGTAGGCACAAAAATTTAAGATAAGTATATTAGTAGATAATTAAGAATATATTAGTAAAAATAATTATTTTATAATATATATAATTATAAATTAAAATTAAAATAACTAATTAGTTCAATTAAAATTTAAAATAAAATTAAGGTGTGCAATCATTTAAAAAAAATGACATGAAATGCTGACAAAAACTGCAACGTGGATATAGTAGGTGAGACAGAAGGAATATTTTTTAAAATTTATTACAAAAATATAAAAAATACTTTGAAATATAGGTTACTTAGGTTGCGTTCTTTTGTAGATTTCACTATAATTTTTTACTATTTAGATTCTTTTTTTCCTCCAAAAATATTATATCAAATAATTATTTTTCTTTTTTTATATTATATTATAAATTTATTTTACATCAAAACATCACATCGATATTTATTTATATCACATTAAATAACTATTCAAATTTAACTTTTTATTATTAAAAAATCCAAACCGACAAACAGATTTTTTAAATAAAAGGCTTTGGGGAAACAGAAATGGAACAATGAAATATGATCGACATTGCAATAAATTATAAATTATTAAGATTGGCAGTTTTTGATTTGCTTGCACGACAGGGAACAAACTTTGTGTACTACGAAAACTTTGGAACAGCACATTTGTCATTACATTCTAAGAACTATATATTTAATTCCTAATTAGATACATAGTTTACTCAAGTAAGTGTCAGATAATTATTAATTAAGGCTCTGTTTGTTTGTGCTTCTATACGATTTTTGTAATAATGTTTTTGGAGCCTGAAGAAGTACTGTACATCTGCCGTACATTTTATTAGGTAATGCCTGTTATAATTTTGATTTAAATATATATATATATTTGATTATAGGTAAACTGTTTTTTTAGTCCCGTAATAGTACAATTTTTATCATTTTAGTCTTATAAGTGGAGCATGTCGCAAACTAGTCACATAAGTGAAAATTTTTTGCTGTTTTAGTCCTCCGGTGCCGGAGAAGCCCGCGTGGCTCGCCGGATGTGACGTGTTCGCCAGGTGTCCCGCCAGGTCAGCGACACCTGGCAGACACACGTGGATTTATTTATTTATTTTTCATTTTTTTTAATTGGACCAAATAAAAAAATAAATAAAATACAAATAAAATTTAAAATAAATTTAAAATAAGTTTTAAAATAAATTAAAAAAGAAAAAATTCACGTCTCCGCCAGATCAGCGACACCGGGCAGACACTTCACATCCGGCGAGCCACGCGGGCATCTCCGGCGCCGGAGGACTAAAACAGCGAAAATTTTTCACTTATGAGACTAATTTGCGGCAGGCTTCACTTACGGGACTAAAATGATAAGGGGTCAAATTACGGAACTAAAAAAATAGTTTACCCTTTGATTATTCTATTTGTAATTATTATTTGAAAATATTGAAAATACATGATGTGATCGTTTCATGTATATCATTATGATCTAACTTAATTAATAAATACTCTCTCCGTCTCATATTTATATATCCATTTATTTTTTACACAGAATATTAAAAATATTAGTATTATATTGAGATAAAATAAAAATAAAAATAAAAATACTAAATTAACCCTATTAGTATTGTATGATATAAAGGTAACGACATTTGTGTAATATATTGTAAATTCAAAGGGTATTTGTAATGTTAGGTAGATAGTACAATTACTAAAAAAAATTAAATAAATACTTTGTTATAGGACGAACCAAAATAAAAAAATAGATACATTGTTAAGGGACGGAGAGAGTATTTGTTTATATGTGTTTTGGTAAATTTTCCATTAGGACTTATTTATAATTTTTAATTTAATAAACACATTAATAATATTTTATGTGATAATTAACATGTAACTATGTAAGTGTATTAACTAAAATAACATTGATTTTTTATTTTTTATTTTTAATTAATAGAGAATTGTATGATATAATTTTAGATGAAATATAAAGACATTTATTAATGTACAAGGAATATATTTGTTGTTGATAATTTAAAATAGTAAATAGATATAAAGTATATATTTTCTTGTGAATAACATTCAATTTAATTTATATATATATATATGTAGTGCCATTTTAAATATTATTTAACACTTCTTTCTATTCAAATCCTTACAAAATGTAATTATGATTAAAAAAAACCATTTGAAAATATTGGGAAAATTCTTTGCATCTATGTTCACTTCCCTTACAAATGGAATAAATAAACAATAAAGGGTGTTTTGATTTTACTGATTCAATATTTTTTTACTCTAAAAAATATTAAATCAAATATTTATTTTTAATTTATTATATTATATTAAAATATAATTTTACATTCAAAATATACATCAATATATATTTATTTCATATCAAACAATTATTTCAATTCAAAACCAAAACTCAAAATCAAAACCCCACAAATAAAACACACTCAAAGAAAAAAAAAAAAAAAAAAAGAAAAAGGAAAAAGAAAAGGATCTTTATAGAAAATCATACTCCTTATTTCCCAATACAATAATCTTGTTTATCATTTTTGTCCGTCCCAAAACAATAGTCTTGTTTCCATAAATAACCATATTACTTTTTACATTAATACATTCACAAGAACAAAAAAATCTTTTATCCATACTTTTTATCAACTACCAATATAATATCAATATTCCTTAAATTTCGTACCCGATCCAATTAAAATTATATTTAGGCAAAATTGCCCATAACTCCCTTGTGGTTCCGAAACTCAGCGTAAATTTCCCATCTACTTAAAAAATTGCATGATACCCCCTTATATTTTAAAAAATATTGCATGAAACCACTTTGTGGTTTCGAAACTCAGCATAAATCCCCATTTTACTTTAAAAAATTGAATGACGCTCACTTATACTTTAAAAAATATTGCATAAAATCCCCCTGCCATGCAAAACATATAGATAGAAAATCATCTTCTTATCACATAAGAAAAGTTTCATAGTGGTAGAGTTTCATGCAACGTTTTTTAAAGTATAAGGGGGTACCATGCAATTTTTAAAGTAGAAGGAGAATTTACGCTGAGTTTCGAAACCACAAGGAAATTATAGACAATTTTGCCTTATATTTATGGGACGGAGGGAGTACATATTAGTATTACAAAGTAAAAAAGTGAAACAAATATGAAAGAGAACAAAGTCACAAAAACTCCAAAAATACAAACAAACACGTTTATTCTGAAATTTCAATTCAACTTTGTTTTGTTCGCGGGATCATATGTAATTTCACACATGACTTTGTCGTGTAATATATATATATATATATATGTGGATGAAGAACAGTATTACATTATCAAGTCCTCGGAGAAAGCATTAATTGTTAGAAATTAATTTTCTTTAAAATATGGAAAAATTAGCAGTGATTTTGCTTCTCGCATTTGCCTTTGGAGCCGGTGCAGCTTCATTCCCATGTATGTATGTTTCTTCTTTTTTGTATTTCATTCTTTACATTACTACATAATCCCTCCGTCCCATAAAGTAGAATTGACTAAAATAATTTTATTAGTATTGTGTGATATAAAGATAATGATATTTGTGTAATATATTATAAATTGTAAGAGTATTTTTAATGTTAAATAGATAGTACAATTGCTAAAAAAAAAATATAAATACTTTGTTATGAAACAAAAGGAGTATATATATATAATTTTATTATTTTCAATAATAATTATAGCAATTATATATAAAAATATATATTATATTAAACAATTAGTTGAATTTATTATTATATGTTGATTTAATTTCAATATGATCATAACTAGTAATTCTTGTATTGATTATATGTTAACACAAGTATTATATAAACATATATAACTATATATCGTCGGTTGTTGTATAAATATTGGTTATCCACTAAATTTATTTACAATCTATTCATAATAAATAATTTTATCCACTCACAATTTTATATCTATTGTTTACTTTTTCTATTTATCATACATTTTTTTATTTTTTTTTTCAATTTTTTGCTAAATTTTCTACTATAATTCTCCATCTGTCACTTAACAATCTATCTATTTTTTCTTTATTTTGGTCCGTTCCATAACAAAATATTTATTTCCATTTTTTAGTAACTGTACTATCTACCTAACATTAAAAATACCCTTATAATTTACAATATATTAAACAAATGTCAGTACCTTTATATCATACAATACTAATAGATTAGTTTATTTTTTTACCTTTATTTCTACTGTATCACAATATAATATTAATATTTTTAGAATTCCGTGAAAAAAAAAAAAATAGACAGATAGATATGGTACATAGGGGTACTACTTTACCTTTTTAACTGAACAAAGAAAGTAAAATACTAAATCCGTTCCCAGAATATGAGCAACTTTTGCTTTTTGCACGTAGATTTTTAAATATTAGTATTATATTAGTTTATAGTAAAAAGGATAAAAATGCCCTTATTAGATTGAGTGATATAAAAGTAATAATATTTGTATAATATATTGAAAATTGTAAAGATATTAATTATGTTAAGTATATAGTATAATTATTAAATTAAAAAATAATTTTCTTATTTTGGAACGAATAAAATTAAAAAATAGTATTCTTAATACAATAATAATCCAAATTCTTTTTTTTTTTTTTTTTTAATTATTGAACCCAATCCATTAATTGTCATCCCTAAAACTTCTGCTTTCGCAGACACGAAACTGTATCACCTCCGCATCGACTGCGGAGTGAACGACGACGGCAACGGCGCCCTAATTAACACAATCAACAACGACTCATGGTTCCGCGACGGCGGCCTCTTCACCGACTCCGGCAAGGCCGAGAAACTCCCCTCCGGCGCCACCGCCGCCGTGCCGGAATTCCTCGCCACCCTCAGAACTTTCCCCGGCGGCGAGAATCAGGACCCGATCTGTTACCCGCTGCCGCTGGCCACCACTCACAGTTTCCTTTTCCGGGGGGGCTTTTACTACGCCAACTACGACGGCAAGTCGCAGCCGCCGGTGTTCGACCTGCAGCTGGCCGGGAAGACGTTGGCCGCCGTCGATCCCTCCGGCGGCGCGCCGACGTTCGTGGAGGTGGTGTACTGGCCGAGAAACGATAATATAACGGTGTGCTTGGTCGGCCGGAAAGACGGCGGCCGGCCGTTCATTTCGTCGCTGGAGGCGACGGCGTTGGATGGGATGAGTTATAATCAGACGCCGATGTACCGGAAAATGACGCAAGGCACGGCTTATCGGCTCGTAAGCCGGCTCAATTTTGGGGGCGACAACCAAGTTGTAGAGTAAGTACATATATGCAACTTCTATCCCAAATTATTATTTATTATTATTATTATTATTATTATTATTATGTTTTGATAATGTATATATATTTGCATATTTATTAAATTTTAAAATATTTTTAAAATTTTAATAATAATTATAAATAATAGTACCACATAACTAATGATAAATGCATTATGTTATTTAAGACAAAAACTTATATGTATGGAGGGAATTTTAATCTTTCCATAAAAATTAGGTTGAATTGTTTTTTTAATCTCATAATTGGACATCTTTATCATTTTAATCATATAATTGGAACATATCGCAAACTAGCTATGAAAGTGAATTATTTTTACAATTTGTCATTCGGCGCCGAAAATGCCTGCATGACACCCGCGTGGTTTGCCGGAGACCACGTGTCCGCTAGACCAAGCATCTCTGGTGCCCGATGATGAAAACTGTGAAAAAATTTCACTTACCGAATTAGTTTGGGATAAGCTCCAATTACAAGACTAAAATAATAAAATTGTCAATTACGAAGCTTACCTTATAAATTAGTATTAAATTTTTGTTAGATTAAATAAATGGTAAATTAAATAATACTTTATCTGTTCCAATACAATAGTCTTATTTTCATAAATAACCATATCACTATAAAAGTACCATTACTTTTTCATTATTATTACACAATTGTCATTACTTTTTACACTAATACACTAATAAGGCAATTACGCATACTTTTTACCCACTATCAATATAATATCAATATTTTTTAAATTCTTTATCAAACACAACAAAACTAAAGTTTTGAGATGGAGGGAGTATTAAATATTAATTAGTTGAAAAACAATAAATAGTGTACAATGGTGGATCTAAGGAGAAATTGGAGGGACACCAACCCAAACCCCAAATTTCATTAAATTTTTTAGCGTAAAATATATATTTTAAAAAATATAACTACGACTAATTTATTTTTGAAAATAATAAAATTATCATTTTGTTATGTCTTTTTACATATATCTATATTTTTTTAACTCCTTATACAAATTTGGAAGCTATTCCATATTGCAAATCTAGAAGTGTAGTTGAAAATTCAATTTTATTTTTAAATAACAAGATTTATATGCTCATTAATATAATTTCTATAACGATCTATTGAATACTTGAATATTGAATCAATCGACCGGGTAGGCCGTGGTCGATGTGGGCGAACTCTTGCGAAGAAACACAAAACAGATATTGGGTGCCGCAACGAATGGACTACTACAGCCAACTTACCTTCGAACGCTCGACGGCTTGCACCGGCCGAATTTACGAAAACGTACCTCCCGACTCTGTCATCACCACCGCCGTAACTCCGGCGCCCACCGCTCCCTCACAATCGATCTACGTGCCCGTTGAATTCCCTTCGACAGACAATACGACCGCAACCACAGCCATGACCGTGTACGTAGTTTTGTATTTCTATCAGGGCCTCAACTCAGCAGAAGTGCGCGAACCCATGAGGATTATGGATATTTACATTGACGGATGGCTCATGGGAAGCGTCGGTTTGGAGGAGCACGACGCGGGCGAGGTGGTGACGTTGTATCCGGTGACGGTTTCCGGTGGGACAATGAATTTGACGATTTCCCCCGGAGAGAAGACGGCGTTGCCCCCGCTGTTGAACGGGATGGAAGTGTTTTTGGCAATGGAGATGGGGCATGAGGTGTTTAGTTATGGGTTTAGGGTTAGTTGTTGGATTGTGGGGAGGATCGTACTGCAGGTTCTGCTGATCATTGGGGTACTTTTTTATTAGGGTTAGAGCTTGATTATGTGATTGAATTTTTTTATTCCGACGTAAAAATCACACTAGACGAATCATATGTGACAGGTGACCTAAAACGTCGGGGTTGTCACTAGTTCAACCCCTACACTGCCAGACCTTCCTTTACGGGATAACTCTTGACTCTACTTTCAAAATACAAACACACGTTCCACAAAAACTAGGGATATTAATACTATTGTTTCTTTTTTTTTTTTTTAATTTCTCGTTCTTTTTTTTTTTTTTTTTGTCGTAATATGAATTTATTAGGATAATACTATTATTATTTAATTTACTATAATATATATTTTTTATGACGTGGGAATCCGCAACTGCTATCCAAAAGTATATACTGAGTAAATTCTCGATCGAACCTAATACCTTGTACTATTATTATTTAATTTACTATAAATTTTTTCTGAATTATTATTAGTATTACTATTACTATTACTACTTATTATTAGTATTACTATTACTATTACTACTAATTATTTTGTTCAGAATTAGGCCATGTATTTATACATTTTTACCAATTTTACATTTATTACTTATTTCTCAATTAAATAAAATCAAGCTAATTACAAAACACAATTGCTCACCTATAATCTAAGGTAATTTAGCCTGTGGTTAGTATTTACTTTAATTTTAATTTAAATAATAAATTTATGTATAATATTTTATAAAAATTAATATTTACTTAGTCATTCAAATTTATTTTTATTTTTTTAAAAAAATTATAATTTAAATTAATTTTCATTTTTTTAAAAGTTTTTTCTACTTTTCTTTATACGTTAAAAAAGTTTTATTTTTTTAAAACTCGTATCCGGACATATTTTTTACGACGAATAGAGCATATTTATATTAAAAACATAAAAAATGAATAATAAAACATAAAAACAAAAGAAGAAACCCTTATTTATTGGCAACATCATCAGTCTGATTCCCATAAGCAACACACTTAAAAAAAAAAAAAAAGGCAACAACGACATCATCTCTCTCACATGTTTTCCCAAATTATTCAAACATTCTTAAAAAAGGCAACACCTAAAATACACACATTCCAATCCATCACAACCACCCTTCAATTCTGCCTCCGACCAATGTACTCCGCCAGCGCCGCCAGCGGCGCCGCCTTGTCCGAATCGAACTCCGCCAGCTGTTCCTTCGCCTCCTCGCACAACTTATTCGCAAATTCTCGGGCCCCCTCGACTCCCAAAAGCTTCGGATACGTCGTCTTGTCAGTGGCCAAGTCCTTCCCCGCCGTTTTTCCCAATTCTTCGGACGACATCGTCACATCTAGTATGTCGTCCACCACTTGAAAAAGCAACCCGATCTTTTGCGCAAAGATCCGTAGCTTATCCACTTGCTGGGGGCTTCCGCCCCCAAGAATTGCCCCCATTACCACCGACGCCTCCAGTAGCACCGCGGTCTTGTGGATATGTATGAATTCTAACATGTCTAGTCCCACGTCCGCGTTATTACCGGTGAGTTTTATGTCTGCCACTTGCCCCGCCACTAAACCGTCGCCCCCGACCGCCTTTGCTAATTCGTCGACACATGCTATGATCCTCTCCGGCGCCACGTCCTTAGTCCCCGTCGCTATGAATTCGAATGCAAAAGCTAATAAAGAATCACCTGCAATGTATAATGTAGTCAGCAATAAATAAATTACGAAGTATTATTTAACTGTGCCACTTAATTTTGTTACTTTTTTTTTTTTTTTTTTTGTTGGTGTCACTTAATTTTGTCGGTCTTATATTATATGTTTTTTTTTTTAAAAAAATATAATTATACATTTTAATCACATTTTAAAATTTAAAATTAATTTTTTTATTATTTTAATCTTAATTTATAATTATTTTTATTAATATATCTTTTAATTATTTAGTAATTATTTTTATCAAGACTTACCTACTTACATCGGAAAAGAGAAATGCAATTTACTATAAGTAAAATTCAGGAGTTGGAATTAACAAAAAAAAGAACAGGGGGGTGCGGAAAAGATATTTATTTAATAGCTTTGTTCTAAGTTCGAGAAACAGGGACGTCGTATCAGCTACCTGCAAGGACAGCAACGTTCTCGCCGAACATCTTGTGACTGGTCGGCTTGCCGCGGCGGAGGTCGTCGTTGTCCATACACGGCAGGTCGTCGTGGATCAGCGACATCGTGTGGATCATCTCCGCCGCGCAGGCGGCGGGCACGGCGGCGGACGGGTCCCCGCCGACGATCTCACAGGCGGCGATGCACAGCATCGGCCGGATCCGCTTCCCGCCGGCGAGCAACGAGTACCTCATCGCCTCGTGGATCACCGCCGGCTGCCTCATCACGACGGCGCCGTCGAGAGCTCCGTTAACGAACTCCGCCTTCTCCGCCACGTACCGGCCGAAGTCGAATTCCCGCCGCCCCTCCTTCCCGGCGGCGAGTTTCACGTCCTCCTCCGTCAGAATCGCCGCCACGCCGCCGGAATGCGCAATGCTCGTTTTTTTCAGTCGGATTGGACACGGCGGCAGTCTGGCGGCGCCGACGAAGGCGCTCCGAAGAATTGGCGGCGCCGGCCGGAAAATGGCGGCGGAATTGGCGGCGCAGGTGTCTACGAGATTCATTGATCCCATTGTCGGAATTGTTTTGTGAAATTGGGATAGAAAAAATTGAAATGAATTTTGGAGAAACGTCGGCTGAGGGAAGAGATAGGATTTGTGTGACCATATGTGTATATATATAAATAGTGAGAATTCTCAGAATTAATTGTAGCCAATCAGAAACACCCGATGGGTCACACTAAATTTTCATTCACTAAATTGGAAAAATAAAAATCATTTTATATAACCAATTTTTATTCATTTTGACATTATTATTTTTTTAAAACATAACCCATAAAATATATTATTTTCATCCTATTTCAATGATCTAATTTACTTTTCACATATTGATATTTAAATATTAATTATTATATAAAAATATAGTACAAATTAAAAAAAAATGATAAAAATATTTCTATTAGTGTCCCATGTTAAAGACGGAGATCCGGAGTTCCAATCCGGTGAAGCCTACTCCACTTAAACCATTTTCAAATTTGAAGTTGCAGCTCCAAATATGGAGATTTACCTCTTCATATCTAACACCATTTTTGGTGTTTGCTACAAAGCAACGCCAAATTTGGAGTTTTTTATTTTTTATTTATTATTTATTTTTTTAAATTTTTGCAAATTGTAAATTAGTTTCTATAAAATTTAATTTGTAATTTTTTATATTTTAATTGTATATATTTATATTTTTTAATATAAAAAATAGTTTAAAATAATATATAAAATAGAATATTTAGAGAATATTTTTTTTTTGGAGTTAAAAATAGAGTTGTGAGTTGGAGTTAAATTACCGTAGCAATTGTATATTTAGAATTAAAATTGAATAAATTAAGTTGATGGATTGGAGATGACCTTACAATAAATTGTTTTAAATTAGAAGTCCGAATGTAATGACGTGATACGTAAATGAGACCGAAATATTATTTATGGTACGTTAATATCAATTTTTCTTACCAGTCTTTCAAAGTACAATTGTGAATCATGCACTAAAATTATATATATACATATATATATATATGTATAAATAATTCAGAATGGATTGAAACATGGTTTGTTGGATTTTTCGAATTGGGTTATATAAAAAATACTTAATTTTTATTTATTAAGGCTGAAAAAAACACGTGCTTTAGTTTTTGTCTGTGGTGACATAAATATCTCTCTACAATTCATGAATTAAAACTTGTGACAATAACAAGGTCTACTCAGACACAAATGAATAAGGTGTGTTTGTTTGGAGATTGAATTTTTAATATACTGTTCATTTCATTTTTTTCTCTCAAAAATATCAAATTAAATATATTTTTTTTAATTTTTTATAATATGCTAAAAATTAATTTTACATTCAAAACATCACATCAACACTTATTTATATCACATCATACAACTATTCAAATTCAAATTTTTTACTATTCAAAACCCAACTCAAAATCCAAACCCCCAAACAAACACACCCCTAGGTGTTTATGAAACTATTCATGAAAATTTTTCAAAAAAAATTAATACACTATATACATTCATTATTTTTATATTTTCTACACAATTTTTCTATACTTCATGGTAGAAATATTTCATTTTCAACAATTTTCACAAAACAAACATACCCCTAATGTTTGTTTAAGAAATTAAACAATTAATATATTTATTTAAGAAAAAAATTAAAATATTATATTATATCGTATTTTTTAGGCCATAGTTTCCCAAACTTACTGTTCTTTTACTGTGTAATCAATTTTGGGCGCGAGAGTATGCCTACATCCGACAACTTCTGCACCTACATAAGTAGGTTTGGACCATTTTACACTCCTACTTTATTTGTTTGTTTGTTTGTTTTTTTTGTTTTTTTTGTTTATTTGTTTTTTTTTATCTTCCTCATCTATCATCATCGATTTTCATCCTCCCATCTACACAAGCCAAAATCTACATCGACCAAAAGCTCCATTGCCAGTTCGAATCGTGCGACCTTGATCCCCCTCGGCTAATCGAGGGCGACTTTGGGTCTGCGTTTGTCCATCTCCTCGCAATCGCTCACCAAAGGAGGACCATTGGCGCACGGCGCAGCGTTGAAGGGTAACGGCAAGTATCACCGGGCAGCGGTGAAGGTTGGAGAAGAGGCGACTACTGTCATAAAATTTTTAGGAGGAGAAAAAGAAGAATAATGGAAAAGAAGAAGGAAGAACAAGGAGATGATAGCATGGTTCGCCGTCGCGGATCATTGTCGCGGATAGGCCTTTACCATTCCAAATACTCCAAATACATCGCGGTGCATCGACGCCATGTATTGGTCAAATATCAATCAATTATTTATATATATATATAAATATAATGATAAATTTTAAATAATAATTTTACTTGCTATAAATTATTCTAAAATATTATTTTTAATAAAAATCAATTTGTATAAATTAAATACAAATTAAATACAATCCAAAACAATTACGTCAATAAATTAAATAAACAAATTAATCAAATTAACTTAATATTAATTCCAATCCAAAAATTAAAGTAAACAAATTAATTGGGTTTTTGGGTCATTACCTAATTATTTTAATCCAGTTTTTCCCCAACAAGCATTTCTTCCTCAACGCCTTTCTTCTCCAACCCTCCCAACCGCATGTAGCAGGCGGTATCCTCTCAAAATTCGTCACAATTCCTCTCCAATGCCGTTTTCTTCTTAGCAAGTTTCAATTTCTTTTTTCAGATTTCAAATTGAGAGAGGAGTAGAAAACGGAAAAAAGCACGGCAACAGGAGAAAGAGAGCGACAAAAGGAAATATCCGATATGTTCTCTGAATCGGCCAAGTCGGACCGGACTCGGCCGATCCGGCGAACCATGGATGACAATGAAGGAGGAAAGGGTAGAATGGTTTTTTTTTTTTTAATGTGTTTTTAAAATATATTTATAATAAAAATAATTTATTTTAAATTAAAAAACAATATTATTAACAAAAAATTAATTTATTTAATTTAATATAATTATTACATATCAAATCAATACATATCAAAATCCTCCAAACTCAAATCAAACCTTCGTATTATCTAAAGAAACAACAAAAATCAAACTTACTCCAAAATTCAAATACAATCCAAACTCAAACTCTATTTTCCCAAACATTCGTTTATATTTAAATTTCTCATCAAACTCAGCTCCTTATTTTGATGATTAATAACACAATTTCATTATTTTTTCCCTAAATTTCTAACATGGTATCAGAGCCTATCTTTCTCATGCCGTAGATATAGCCTACCAACCCGTGTTTCTCCAGGTACATTCAACCTGGATTGTACCCGAAGGTCTTGTGATTTTGAGATCATGCATTTGCAAGTTGTTTTTTTGCAAATCTGTCTCGTCTCGTCTCCGATCTGCCATCTATCCGCTGCTTGTCTGTTGTCTGTATGCAATCTGAAATCTTCGCTTCTTGTCTGTTGCCTGCGAGCGATCTAAAACGATCTGCCATATGTCTGTTGTTTGTCTGTTGCTGCGTGCGATCTGCCATCTTTCGTTGCTTATTTGTTGCCGGAAATCTGTCTATGATCTGTCATCTATCCGCTGTTTGTCTGTTGCCTGCGTGCGATCTGATATGTCCAATGTTTGCGATTTGTCGGTTTTCGGCTCTAGTAGTCATATGGTTTTCGACTCCGATGGAGAGTCATCTCGTTTTCAGTTCCGGTGGAGCGTCATCTCGTTTTTTGCTCATATGGAGAGTCATCTCATTTTCGGCTCCGGTGGAGTCCTATTGTTTTCAGCTTTGGTGGAGTCATCTCGTTTTCAGCTCCGGTGGAGTCATGTCATTTTTGGCTCCGGTGGAGTCATCTCGTTTTCGATGGCTCCGGTGGAGTCATGTCATTTTCGGCTCTGGTGAAGTCATCTCGTTTTCGGCTCCGGTGGAATCATCTCGTTTTCAGCTCTGGTGGAGTCATGTTTCGGCTCCGGTAGAGTCATCTCGTTTTCGGCTCCGATGGAGAGTCATCTCGTGTTCGGCTCCGATGGAGAGTCATCTCGTGTTCGGTTTCGGTGGAGTCATGTCATTTTCGGCTTCGGTGGAGTCATCTCGTTTTTTGCTCCGGTGGAGAGTCATCTCGTTTTTTTCTCCGGTGGGTGGAGAGTCAACTGCTAATTTTATTTATGTTTTCTTTTTGTGTTTATATTCAAATTTCTCATCAAACTCAAGTTGGTTTCTGTTATACCACTTGAGTTTGAAGGGATGTTGAGATATTTTAGATATTCAGTTTTAGATTTAGTAGATTTGTATTTAGATTTGATCTTATCCATAGATTGGATTAGTTAGATTTGAGTCTATCGAGTATGTTTTGTATTGCATGTAGCTCCTTATTGTGATGATTAATAAAACAATCTCATTATTTTTCCTCTAAATTTCAAACACCGTCAAATATCTCTGTCTTATATATTTTAACTATATTATAAATTTTTAAATTTTAGTTTTTTAATTTTCATTACATTAATAATTAGTTATTTTAATCTTAATTTATAATTACTCATGTTATATTGTAATTATTTTTAATAATACTTCCTCCGTCCCATAACAAAATATTAATTTTTTTTTAGTAATTGTACTATCTACTTAACGTTACAAATAGTCTTCCAATTTACAATATATTACACAAATGTCACTACCTTTATATCATACAATACTAATAGGGTTAATTTAGTCTTTTTATCTTTATTTATACTTTATCTCAATATAATATTAATATTTTAAAATTCCGTGCAAAAAATAAATAGATATATAGATATGGGATGGAGGTAGTATATTTTTTTAATTATTTATTAAATATTATTTCTAAAATATAATGTCTAAGATAAACATCATAAAAATATATGGAACATATAGATTAATTAATACCTATATTTTGTAAAAAAATAATTAAAATAAAAGACATTTAATTGGGAGTGGTAAAATTTTTGGGGACAATAACCAACAAACTCCATGGGTGTGTTGTTTTGGTAATTGTACCAAACTATTAGTTTGGAATTATAAATAATAAAAATTTCAGTGGAAAGAAAGGTTGATATTATAAATAGATATTTAATACTTCATCCGTCCAAAAACTATAGTATGAATTATGTTTTATACAGAATTTAAAAATAATTTATATTATATTAATTGTAAGTAAAAAGTATGGGTAGAAGATTTTTTTGCCCTTGCGAATGTATTAGTGTAAAAAATAGTGACAATTGTGTAATAATGAAAAAGTTAGGGTAGTTTTATAGTGATATAGTTATTTATGGAAATGAGACTATTGTTTTGGGACAGATAAAAATAATAAAAAATATTATTGTATTGGGACCGAGGGAGTACAATATTTGAATAAAACTACTAGTTTTTTTTTTTTTTTTTATAAAAAATTTAGATGAAAATTATATTTGTTTTAATTCAATGATTTTGAAAAACAAATGACAAATGCAGACAATGAATTTTGAAAAATATTTATAGGTATGTTTGGCTGTCAATAGATTTTAGTTCCAATATTATTTTCTTCAAATATTTTCATATTAGGATCTACTTTAATTTTCTATTTTCATCTTTTCTAACATAACAAATGTACATATATAATTCAAGTTTTCATATTTTAATTAAATTGATTTATATTAATTGTATATAAATATATTATTTATATATCTATATTATATACTAAATTGATATTAATATTGAATCAATTTTATTGAAACAATGGGCTCCAACCATGACCTGAAAGATATGTGTTTGTTTGTGGGTTTGAATTTTTTTTAGTAATAAAATGAATTTGAATAGTTGATTGTGATAAAAAAATATATTTTAATTTGATATTTTGAATACAAAATAAATTTATAGTATAATAAAAAAAATAAAAAATAATTATTTGATTTGATATTTTTTGAGAGAAAAAAAAATTTAAATAATAAAACACTTATTTGTTTGGTTAAATTTTTTTAATCTAAATTTTTATTTAAATAATATTTCATGAGAAAAACATAATACTCCCTCCGTTCGCCTCTGGGTCACATTTACCTTGTGTGTCATTGTACTTAACATTAAAATTTTTTTTTATAGTTGTATAAGTTTTTGTATAAATGTCATTCTATTAGTATTATAAGACACTAATGAAAATATTTTTGCAATTTTTTCTTAATTTGTACTACTATTGATATAATAATTAATATTCAAATATCGATACGCAAAAAGTAAATGAGACCCTTAGAGTCCGACAAAAGTAGTATATTTTTACTAAAAACAGTACGACTTTAAACAGTAAAAAAATATAATCTGAAATCAAAATAAAACAAATCCTATATATATATATATATATATACATGTTCCAATCTATAACTCCAATTCTTCGAACTTCAAATCTTCCTACGAGCATTGTACTCCGTTATAGCGGCCAATGGCGCCACCTTATCCAAATCGAACTCTTTCAATAGTTCCTTAGCCTCCTCGTGCAACTCATTCACATATTTACGAGCACCCTCAAGCCCCAAAAGCTTCGGATATGTTGTCTTGTTGGCGTCCAAATCCTTACCCACATTTTTTCCTATTTTTTGAGACGACATAGTCACATCTAATATGTCGTCTACCACTTGACCCGTTAGCCCAAAATTTCGAGCTAAAACACGTAATTTTTTCACTTGTTCATCACTTCCACCGCCAAGAATCGCCCCCATCGCCATTGAAGCCTCCACTAGAATGGCGGCTTTGTGAATGTGTATGAATTCTAATGTGTCAAGTGTCACATTATCGTTGTTTCCGGTGAGTTTCAGGTCAACCACCTGTCCTGCCACTGTGCCTTCTAGTGCCTTCGCTAGTTCGTTAAGACATGCTATAATCCTTTCGGGTGAGACATCTTTTGTGGTTGTCACTAAGAACTCGAATGCAAAGGCCAACAAAGAATAACCTGACATGATACAAATAACTTTTTATTTTTTTTCAAATACTAACAAAAAAAAACCTGAATTTGATGGAAAAAATATTCTCATTAAACATTAAATTAAATACTGATTTTTTTATTTTTTTTAAATTTTCAAAATTTTAGAAACCTTCAAAAACCTCTATCTAAACGGGCCAAAAGTAAAACAAGCAAAGCCGAGGTAGGAATTGCTTATAAGTAATTTTATACTATCAATTTTGTTCTTACACTAATTTTGTATTTTATTGTATATTTTTTTCCAGGTGTTTCTATTAATTCTTTTAAAGGGTTTTAATAAATATATATTATTATATATATATATATATATAAAATTAGTAGGTAAACTATTTTTTAAGTCAAGTAGACACTGTTCGAAAATAGTTTCGTAAGTAAAATTTTTTTCGCTAATATAGTAATTCGGTCTCGGACTCGCCACGCTGACCCGACATTGCCGACATGATTATGACTCGACTCGTCATATAGTTGCCACATCAGTGATATGTGAATTTTTTTTAAAAAAAAATATAAAATGTCTTATTAAACTATTTTTTAGTCCCATAATGACTTTCTTTGTCATTTTTAGAACATTTAAATGGAATTTGTTTACAAATAGTCTTGCAAGTAAAATTTTTTTGCTAAAATAGTCAGTCCTCCAACGTGGCATTTACTTGGCGATGACATATTAGCCGCTCCGGCGCTACGTCAGCAACAAGTGGCCAGTGTGGCGGTTCGGCACTGAAGGACTATTTTAGCGAAAAAATTTTACTTACAAAACTATTTTCTGACATGGTCCACTTAAAGTTCTAAAATAATAAAAGAGGTCATATACAATACTAAAAAAATAATTTAGCCAAATTAATAACATGTTGGCATATTCAAAATTGCCAAGCACTTTTGTTTCTACTTTTGGCATATGAGCAAGTTGCATGATGTTGTTGCAGGTTTTGTTTGACACCATTTCGGGAAACCTGCCAACTGCAGAGTTGACCGAGTTACAGCTTTTGGATGCATCATGTGTGTTCTGCACTCAATGGAATAGGACAAATGAATATGCATTGGACAAAGGACGTGCAGGAGAAGCTGCATGTATTGTCCTCTCATACTGGATGGCATTAAATGACCTTGAACACACTGCCCCAAAAGTTGTCACAGTCAACTTTTGTCTTTTGTGTATTGTGCATATATTTTGTTGGATGTTTGTTTGTATTCGTGGGTGAGCAACCAGAACTTAGAGAAGTATTCTCTCCACCTGTTAGAATGTTGAGAGAGCTCATCCATGGAGGATTGAAGACGAGAAGAAGGATTCTTGGAGTCGAAGCCGAATAAGATATTCATCCGGTAAACAACCTTATTCTTAACTTGGTCGTTGGCCTGCTGGAGTTGTTGCGGTAGAGTAACAGCCAATCCATGAGAGTTTGTAAAACTAAATGGAGCTTGGGTAGAAGATAGGTTGGGTAGTTCGGTTTGGTGTCTTATATGGTGTAAACCAAGTGTTTGGTTTAGTTAAGACTCCTGGATTGGAATCCCCTAGACGTAGGTTGGAAAACCGAACTAGGTAAACAAACTTGGTGTGTTGTTTTTCTTTCTGCACTTATTCAGCCATCGATGCGTGCATGAATACACACCTCTGTTATAACCGCGAGACAACTACGTTGTAAAGTTGTGTTAACGTCGAACGTTTCACAGTTCCGCTGTGCAAGGTACTCGGAGGCGTTGGACCTCTTTCGCGCCCCTTTCCGCAACTTCCAACATAAGATAGTAACTATTTCATTTTGAAAAGTAATAAAAGCCGAATACTTCCTTTATTTTGTATTTGTAGTTTGAAATAATTTTTTATTAGGTATTAAAACAAAAAAAAAAAAATATATTTTATATTAAATTATTTAAATAACATATATATATTATATACTTCTTTTGTCTTACTCTAAAATTTACAATTTTTTTTTTTTCGTATGAAGGTATATATTTTATTTTTAATAACTATTAATCATTCAAAAAATTACAATTACATATCATTAATTTTCTTTAATAAAAACATAAATATTTTTACATAAAAAATAAATACTATTACAAACTAGTATTAAAATAATACTATCTCCGTCCACTTAATAAGTTTGCATTTATATTTTTCGTCATTGTAATTGACATTAAAAATATTCTTATATTTGTATAATTTTTACATAAATATTATTATATTTGTATTATAAAACACTAATAAAAATATTTTTATCATTTTCCCTTGATTTTTATTATATTTTAATATAATAATTAATATTTAAAAATCACCACAAAAATCAAATCTCAACCTTCTAATTGGAAAGAGGGAGTAATATTTATAAATTAGCAACCTAAACACCAAATACTCCTATTACCTTAGAAATGGACAAATGAATTATATTAAAATGAATATATGAACATCTTATATCTTTTATTATACTACTTTCCGGACCAAGGTTCTTATTTATTTTTTGCCTTAATCTTTAACTATTAATTATTATATTAAAAATGTAGTACAAATTAAGAAAAAATTACAATTATACTTCAATTAGTATTTTATAATACTAATAGAATAATATTTATACAAAAAATTATATAAATATAAAGACATTTTTAATGTCAACTATAATGGCGCAAAAGATAAATATAATCTTATAAGCGGACGAGAATATTGATTGAAAACGTACATGTTTTGTAATATAATATGATTATTAATTAATTTCAATAAAAAAAAGTAATACTATTAATTTCAATCCATAAAATATACTCCCTCCGTTCCAATACAATAGTCTTATTTACTATTTTTGTCTGTCTCAAAACAATAGTATTATTTCCATAAATAACCATATCACTATAAAAGTACCCTTACTTTATCATTATTATTATACAATTGTCACTACTTTTTACACTAATACACTCACAAGAGCAAAAAAATTTTTTACCCATACTTTTTACCCACTATCAATATAATATCAATATTCATTAAATCCCGTATACAACACAACAAAGACTATAGTTCTGGGACCGAGAGAGTATTAAATAAATTTATATACTCCCACTTTTAAATATCAACTTCGTTGAATTTTTGCATCATTGTACTTAACATTAAAAATATTTTTATATTTGTATAATTTTTTTATACAAATATTTTTCTATTAGTATTACAAGACACTAATGGAAATATTTTTATAATTTTTGTTAATATATACTATATTTTGATATAATAATTAATATTAAAAAATCAAATATACAAAAAGTAAATAAAACCGAAGACATTATAAAATTTATTTCAATTTAAAATTTAAATATATTTCAAATTCAAAAACACTACTTCAAAACCTACAAGCAAAACGACACCGTACTTACTTGCCAGGACAGCAACTTTCTCACCAAACACCTTGTGATTGGAGGGCTTGCCGCGGCGGAGGTCGCCGTTGTCCATACACGGCAGGTCGTCCTGCATCAACAAAATCGTTTGGATCATCTCCACCGCGCACGCGGCGGAGACGGCGGCCGCCGGATCGCCGCCGACGACCTCGCAGGCGGCGATGCACAGCATCGGTCGGATCCGCTTCCCGCCAGCGAGCAGCGAGTACCTCATCGCCTCGTGGATCACCCCCGGCCGCCTCATCGCGACGGCGCCGTCGAGCGCGCCGTTCACGAGCGCCGCCTTTTCCGCCATGTACTGGCCGAAGTCGAAGGTCGTCCGCCGCCCCTCCTTACCGCCGGCGACTTTCAGTTCCCGCTCGTTCAGACTCGCCGCCGCGACGCCGCCGGAATACGCAATGGCCGTGTTTTTCAGTCTCATCGGAGACGGCGGCAGTCTGGCGGCGGCGCCGACGAAGGAGGTTTGGAGCGTTGGCGGATGCCTGAAATTGGCGGCGCAGGGATCTATGAGATTCATTGATGCCATTGTCTCGATTGTTTTGTGGAATTTGGACAAAAATATTGAAATGAATTGTCTATCAATAGAGCTGGAAACGACTGAGCCGAACTTGTCATTTTTTAGTTCGGTTAGCTAAGGACTCAAGCTCAACTCGTGTTCGTTCGTTAAGATATACAAGTTGAAATTTTTATTTTACCTCGGTTCATTTAACAAATTTTTTGTTTGTATTCAACGCAACTCGGTTCGTTAAAAGAAATTTTATTTTATTTATTTAATTCTTTTAAAAAATTTAAATTTAGTTAATAATAATTATAGTTTTTATAAATAAATTTGAATAAAAAATAAAATGAAATATACGATTCATAAAGATATGTATATTTATTAAATATAAAATTATTAATTTAATTTTTTTAATAAATACTAACATTTGCGAACAAGCTTGAATTCATTCGTGAACATAACGAGTCAAAATTTATGTTAATATTCGGTTCGTTTAGCTTAACGAACGAGTTCTTAGTGAGTTCAAACAAGCCGAGCTCGTGAACTGTACATTTGTTTTACAACTCTATCTATAAATTGAATGTCGGGTCGGATCTGGTCGGCTCAGAGAGGATGGTCTAAGCCGTGGCAGTGTTGGCCACGTCCGATTTATTTATTTATTTTTTTGCGGGTTGACCCGGGCTATTTTTTAGTTCTGGAATGTTCTGATTTGATTTTAGTGAATATGCTTTTAAAAATTATATTGTCTACCGCTTAATTAGTGTAGACAACAAATTTAAGAAAGATATATGCTGTTTGTTTGGAAGTTTGAATTTTGAGATTTGATTTGAATAGTAAAAATATTGAATTGAAATAGTTATATGATGTGGTATAAATAAGGATTGATGTGATGTTTTGAATGTAAAATTAATTTTTAATATAATACTCCATCCGTCCCAAATACCGTGCAACATTTATATTTGGCACGGGAATTTAGGTGGAAAGTATTAAGTATGATAATTTGATATAATTTGGATATTAAAAGATGTGATTGGAGAGAGAAATGATTATTTGTTTTTTTTTTATTTGAGTGATGTGATGTGATAAAGTAAAATTTATATTAATATATGTATAAAAATATTATTAATTATTTATAAATTTGGAAATATTACAGTAAGTTTGAGACAAACAAAAAAGAAATGTTGCAGGGTGTTTGAGACTGAGGGAGTATAAAAATAAAAAATAGGTGTTCAATTTGATGTTTTTGAGGAAAAAAATTTAAATAAATAGTAGAATTTTGATAAAATCCTATAACCGAACCACCCATGGTAAATAAATAGAAATATATTAGTAAAAGTAATTATAATATAATAAAATTAATTATAAATTAAGGTTAAAAATTTAAAAATAATTAAAGTGTATAATATTTTTTTAAAAAAAATAAGATAAAATGTAGAACGAACAAAAATATAAAATAAGCAAAAATTTTGTTAACTTAAAAAAAAAATGTAGAACGAACAAAAATATAAAATAAGCAAAAATTTTGTTAACTTAAAAACAAAAATGTAGAACGAACAAAAATATAAAATAAGCAAAAATTTTGTTAACTTAAAAACAAAAATGTAAAACGAACAAAAATATAAAATAAGCAAAAATTCTGTTAACTTAAATAAATACAATTATTAAAATGTTATTTTTATCGATATTAAAAATTGTAATATTAAATATATATATAACTATATTGTTTATTACATATTTATAATATATTAAAAAATATTTAAAAATCAAATATTTATTTTTTATATTACATTAAAAATAAATTTTCATTTAAAATGTGAGCTTGTTATGTATATCATATTAATTAATTATTTTAAATTTTAAATTTTATTAAAATCTAAATTTTATTATTTATATCAATAAAAACTTTTTAGATAATAATTTTTTAGTTTTATTTTTATTGAAAGTAACAAATACTTTTAAAAAAATAATAACGTATGTGTGAAATCTTCATATTTTGAATTGAAATAATAAAAAATTAAAAGAATAATGGGAAAATAAGTGTAACAATTGTTCTTATAATGATGATCAGTAAAATTAATGGTAGCCAATCAGTAACAGCCAGATGTGCCCACCATTTTCCAATTCAAGCAAAATTAGGGTTTACATATTTATACCTTTTTATTATTATTATTATTTTTATTTTTTTATGACGTAGGACCCGCAGTCGTTACCCGAAAGTGCGCACTGGGTAAACTCCTGCCTGAATTTAAGGCCATCTCCAACCCATCAACTCTATTTATCCAGTTTTAACTCCAAATATACAGTTGCTACAGCAATTTTATTTTAACTATAACTTCATTTTTTACTATTATTCTTCAAATATTCAATTTTTTTTATTATTTTAAATAATTTTTTATTTTTATAATTTAAAATAAAATTTTAAAAAATGAAATGAAATTTAAAAATCAAATTTATAATTTTAAAAACTAAAAAATTAAAATATAAATAAATAAATAACACAACGCAAAAAAAAAAATGACATTACTATAATGCAACACCAACATTAGCGTTGAATTTAGCGTGGATTAAAAATAATCCACTCAAAATATACTAACTCAGCACCATTAATGACGCTGGGTTGAAGATCGCCCAATACCTGCAAACTAGACCGACAAATCAATTTATAGCCCATTTGCGTGCACGATATGTGGTCATTTAATAATAAAAATATAATAATAATGGAGTAATATATAGCGGATTACGTCTGTCGCAAATCACTTACTAATCAAAGGATAGTTGAAAATAATAATAATAATATTTTTTTCTGATTCACATGTAATGTTTATTTCTGTATGTCACATATTTTAATTTTATTTTTAACTTTATAATATATATTATCTCTAGTCTCATTTAAAAAAATAATAATATTTTAATCAATAAAAATAAGTAAAAAATTTGAATATTTGTAATTTAAATAAATTAATTTTGATTATTGTTATAATTATTTTTATTAAAATACGAAATATATATTTTAAATGAGACAGACAAAAATAATAATAAAATACTTCGAACTAAAACAAAAAGAATAATTTTTTTAATTTTAATTTGATTAATTATTATCTTAATTTAAATTATAATTAAATATATTATATTATAATTAATTTTACTAATATAATTTAAATTATTTAGTAATCATATCCTTCGAAATATGTGTAACAGTAACTAAAAGAGAGTAATAAATTTCATAATGGGTAAAGTGCATCACTCCATTAATTACAAAGGGTTTGTTTTTTTCGTCTAAAATATACTCCATTCGTCTCGAACAAAGTCCAATATTTATTTTGGGCACGAGTTTTTAGGTAAGTAGTCACCCCTCTGTTCTAATACAATAATTTTATTTATCATTTTTGTTCGTCCTAAAACTATACTCTCATTTCCATAAATAATCATATCACCGTAAAACTATCTCACAATTGCCACTATTTTTTACACTAATATACTCACAAGGGCAAAAAAGTCATTTATCCTTACATTTTATCAACTACCAATGTATTATCAATATTCTTTAAATCTCGTGCCTAATATAACAAGACTATACTTTTGGGACGGAGGAAGTATTAAATAGGATAATTTAAAAATTAGGTGATGTAATAGACAGAGAAATGTATATTTTATTTTATTTTATTTGGATGATGTGATGTGATAAAGTGTGGAGTAAAAATTAAGTACAATTAATAATTTTCTATTTTGGAAATATTGCAGTGTGTTTGGGATATACCAAAAAGAAAATATTGGAAAATGTTTGGGACGGAGGGAATATTTTATTTTCATTTAATAAATATTATTATATTTTAATAATAATTTGTAAAAGTTTTGATATGTAAAAACCATTTTATGCCTAAAATATGTAAAATTAATATAATAATATTTATATAAATAATAGATTAAATATTGATTTGAGAAATGAATTAATATATGTTTGAATTAATCTAGACCATTAATTTAAATCCACATATTTTAATTAAATAAATATTTTAATTAACTAATGGTGCTGATTAAACTCAATTTGAATTAATAAATTCAATCGGTGATCGAGATCGTAAATAAAATATAAAAATGTGAGATTATGTGTAATATGTAACGTGGCTTATATATACTAAAAAAATTGATATTGTATGTTTTTGATAAAAAGATGACAAAATGTATATTAACAAATTTGATTCTCGATAAATATTAAGTTTTTTGTCCACCAATTTTATTTTATTTTTTTACAAAAAAATATACTATTTTTCATTTATAACAAATAATTTGTATACACTTATTTAATTTATACTCGTCATTTTTTTTTATGTTATATTAAAAATTATTTTTATATTTAAAATATCAAATAAATGTATTCAAATTTTACTACTCCCTTCGTCCGGTGCGTTTACTTTTTGTAGGTAGATTTTTGAATATTAGTATTATAATGGGTTGTAGTAAAAAATACGAAAATACCCTTATTAGTATTGTGTAATATAAAATTAATGGCATTTGTGTAATATAGTGTAAGTTTGAAGGATATTTATTATGTTAGGTAGGTAGTACAATTACTAAATTAGAAAATGGTAACCTTGTTTTGGGACGGACAAAAATAGAAAATAACAACGTTTCCGTGGGATGATGGAGTATTTAATAATCCAAACCTAAAAATCAAATAGACAAACAAATAAATAATACTTATTTTATATTGAATATTAATATTTTTTTTTGTGAATGAATATTATATACTATTCCCTCCGTCTTATATCTATATATTCATTTACTTTTTGGACGAAGTTTTAGAAATATTAGTATTATATTGAGATAAAGTGGAAATAAATATAAAATGACTAAATTAACCCTATTAGTATTGTATGATATAAAGACAATAACATTTGTGTAATATATTGTAAATTGAAATGATATTTATAATATTAGGTAGATAATACAATTACTAAAAAAGCAAATTGATACTTTATTATGAGACGGACCAAAATAAAAGAATAGATAAATTATTAAGGAATTGAGGAAGTATTATATTATGTAAATATGGGTAAAAAAATATATTTTATATAATATTTTGTG